AAGAAGAAGAAGAAGAAGAAGAAGAAGAAGAAGAAGAAGAAGAAGAAGAAGAAGAAGAAGAAGAAGAAGAAGAAGAAGAAGAAGAAGAAGAAGAATGTATAAAAGGTTCATTTCCCAATTGCACGAGATAGGTGCAGGTGCAGCGAGGTAGTAGTAGGAGGACTTCCGAAATCAGTCACCAAACAATCCATTCCTCCGCCCACCCCAACATGATTCCCTAATCCCCCGGACACCTCCTCCCCGTCACAGCTAGATTGAACAAAAATCCCAGCCGGGTTGACGCTAAAGCGTTGGCCTGGATACCCATAGTGACTACGCCAGAAGACCAAGGTAAAAACTCCTTTGAAATGCATACAGTACACAAAAGAAAGATGTGAAAAATGTGGAAGGAGGACATCGTCATTGCCGAATACCTCATGTCGTGGCTCTCTTATCGCCGTTCGGAATAAGTCCGTCACGATGACCTCGAAAACAAGCCTTCTAGGCGGGAGTGACGCTTCTGCTATCTCTTCCTCGAGACAGCAAGCCCTTCCTCAACCCGGGGCTTTTCGGTTCTTGAGGAGCACCGTCCCGCGAATAGCTTGGCCGTGCGCTACTGACCTCGTTTGGTGCGAAGGAGCTCTTCACGATAACCTCACCCGGTCCAACCTTCACGCTCTTCTCGCTTCCAGAGCCTTGGTCGTCGACGAAGAATGGAGCTTCGCCCAGCTCTTCGTCACTTCCAAAAGTCGAATGATCTTTCACAATGAGGCGGAAAGCGGCATCGGCCGTGCATGGGACCTTGAAGGACTCCTCGGAGTAGGTCACGCTACCAGACGGCGCCTTGATGTGCTTCGTCTTGTGCACTTCCTTTGGACCTTTGGGGCCGGAGTCGAGACGAACATGGACGCGAAGGTCGGTGCCAGCAGGAAACCCAGAGGCGGATGCGATCGTAATGTTAGCAACACCATGCTCGGCGCCTCCAGCCGTACTGCTATCGCCGAATTTGCTAGCAAAGGATTGGGCACCCCATGACTTGTGGCGGTTGTGGTTCGACTTCGCCGACCCTTCAGCTTGCTCTACCGAAATCGCAGGCGGCTCGCCCTCTGCACTGCCATTGGCAGAGATGGCCTCGTCGTCGACATCTTCGGCACCTCTGCTCTTCCTCCTACGGAAGCCTCGGCCCAGGAACGAAGCCCCACGGGCAACATTACCGCCAACGAAAGCAGCTCCCTTGCCAACGCCCTTTACGGGGGCACCAATCACCTTTCCGGGAGCAGCGAATGTACCCGAGAACGTACTTGATCCCTGGCGAGCGCGCACGACGTAGTCTGGCTTGAACAACATCCGAAGCCGTATCGCACCAGACTTGCCGTCAAGGGCAAGGGTGACTTCTTGTTGCACGAAAGGCTCAAGAATTTCGAGGTTAATATCGGCTTTCCCGAGGAAATCGGCTTTATCGCCAAAGTCCCAGTCGTAGACCTTGACATAGAAGTGAGCTGCCGTTCTACTACGAATGGGAATCTCGAAGTATTCGTTCCAGCAAGGGTGAAGCGTCTTCTTCTGTGTCTTTGTCTTGTAAACATCCTTGTCGTTAAGGTAGAATTTGCTGTAAGGATCGGAGAAGCCGTTACGGTCGGCAGCGGGTAGGTCGGCAGCATCCATGACCTCCACCCGAAGCGTGCCCTGGTTGTTGAATGATTCGCTTGGATCGAGTTGCATTTTGATGGGGAGGTATTTGAGCGATACTGTGACCTTGTTCTCGCGGCCCTGGCTATCCTTGAGGATGAGCGTTGTAGGCGTGTACAAGCATTTGCGCAGTGTGTCAAGTGTGTTGCCAGTCAGTTTTGCGATGATCTCATCTTCATCACCCTCACCCTTCTTGTCGATGTGCTCAATCAGACGGATAGTGATCTTCGAAAAGTCTAGCTCTCGAACCATAGCATCGCCCACTGTATTGAGTTAGCACAACAGCGAGGATTGAAGGATAGCGCGGCTCTCTACTCACCCTCATTGAACGTCATCTTCTTACTCTTGATCTTTGAGCTCGAGTATGCGGGGAATGGAATGTCGTCCATAACGACGCCAATGTGACCTCCAGTCTCCGCGAATTCGCCCTCGATCAGCTTGAATACGATGAGACCGGTTTCTAAGCATGTCAGCAATATATCCTACTATTACGACGGACAAGGCTATGCATCTGTGTAATAGGACAGGAGGATAACAAACTCAGCTTCTCCCACTTCACACCACCTTTCTTTTGCACGCCAATGTCTTGATTGAAATTTCTATGCTTACCGTGTTGTGACAGGTCTTCAGGAGTGAGGCGGAGTTTCTCGATCGCTTTCTTCTGGTAGACCGCCGCCTCGTCCTGGTCACCCTCATTCCTGGCCAGTTGCTTGGCAAGGTCTACCTCACTTTCTTGCTTGGACGTTTGCGTAGACTTGAGGGATGAGAAGGTCCCAACCGTGTCCGATCGAGAGACTCCAGATACGGTTTTCTTGTGACCCTTTGATTGTGTACCATTTGCACCATTCACGGACGCCGAGCCGGAGGTCTTGAGAGAACTCTGCCTAGATAGCCCTCCCGCACTGAGCTCATCCTCGTCATCCTCATCAGGATCCCAAGTTGGCACCGTGGGGTAGAATGAGCAGGTGAAGTTCAAGGTTCCCTTGGTCTGCGAGGCGGTGCCCATCTTCAAGCCCCTGGAGATGGTCTGTTTGTTTTCGTTGACCAGATACTCGTCATCTTCATTCTGACGGATGTAGTCGGCCGCCGAGATCTCTGTGTGGCCGAGGGAACGGTCCTTGCCGAGGTTTTCCTCGTCCATCACCTCGAGGGTCAATTTCTCGCGGATCGAGTGGACCGGTACATACACCACCTCGTCAAAATCGGGGTTGAGATTGTTCTTGAAGGTGACAGTTCGTCCCTTTTGGACGCCGGAGAGTAGCACGCGTACATAGGGATCCGATTTGCTCAGGGTCTCGACATTGCGTAGGTCACGTGCGTTCTGGAAATGCAATCGGATAACACCAATGGGAGTAAGGTAGCCACCAGAGCCGGCGAGAGCACCCTTGAGAGCCACGGGCTTCCACTGTAGCTTCATCTTAGCACGTCCAGTCTTAGCACCAGCAAGATTGAACCACTCCTGGCCCTTGTTTGTAAGATCGAGCAGATCATCGAGCGTGATCTGGTAGGTTCCCACGATAGGATCGGCAGCGAGGTCTCGGTCATCTTTGAGGACAAGGCCCAGCTTGGCCTTCTTACGGTCAGTGATGAGGAGTTCCTTGGACGCATCTGGCCAGATGGGTTGATTTGTACGCTTCATCGCCCTGGAGGTATGCACCTCATGACCGTTGAGCAAAAGAATGGCGTAAGGACTCAGTTGTCCGATCATGCTCTTCGTGCCATCCAAGTCCTTGGCCTGTTCGATCGTGAACTTGGCGATTCCAGTCCTGGACTCGGGTGGAGGTTCTTGCGTTCCATCCTCGAGTTTCTCGCCTTCGAGAACGGGGAAGAAACGGATATCGCACTGCAAAATACCACGAGGGCGGCCACCAGCCAGCACCTCAAGGTGGAGATTTTCATGCTCATCATCAGTCTCAAACTGCTCCAGGGAGAAAGTTGCGGTACCGAGATCCTTGTCCTTGCGGTAGTCGTTGAAGTCAAATATGTTGATGGTCAATTGATCCTTCAGAGACGTCACAATGATGTTCATCGTCTCGTTCCAGCGGGGGTCCGCATTTTCGTGCACAGTCTTTGTTCGACCAAGCTCAGTACGGTTGTTGATAGAGACAACAGCATAGGGATCCGGTGTTCCAGAAAACTTGTCTGGGTTCTTAAGCCCTTGCGCACCGTGGAAAGTAATCTGCACAACACCAATGGCTTGGTCGACGGGATTGCCTGCCAGCATCTTGGCGATTTCGATGGGGAATACGTTCGGATCGTACATCATGGGAGCGAGATTGGCGTGGATCTGTTCCATGATGAAGCTCTCTAGGCCAGGAATAAAGTTGATATCGAATCCGAAAGTCTCGCCGCCGAGCGGTTTGCAGACATAGTCGATGGTGGGTCGCTCCAAGAAGGACATCTCCACCTTCTCAATGTGGGGGAATGGGAGCTGGAGTTTGAACTTTAGTCGCATGAGGCCGGAGAAGGCCATGTCTTCTACGATGACGTCCAAACCCTTGCTGACGAGGCCCTTTCCAACACGGATCTCGAGCACGACCTTGGGATTGATCTTGTTCTTGATCTGCCGGGAGGTCAGATCGGCATGGTCGTTGGGTGTGAAGCTAAATTTCCAGTCCATGAGCACGATGTCGTCATCCGCCTTTGGGTATGTCTTTACGTGCTCCAAACGCGGGGGTTTGGTGCCGAGGACGAATTGCTTCATCCTCAAGCTGTCGAGGAACGCCGGGGTCGAGGTGGACAAGACTTGGTCGACGGACGAAACGATGGTGTCGCAGAGGACCGGAGCGTAGATGGGCCAGAACTTGACCAGGAAGCTGTTGATCCACTCGAGACTCTCGTGGTCGGTCTCTAGCTTGTTCTTTGCCATCTCGCGATTGATATCATCCTTCACGTTCCGGCGGACGCGGCGGAGCGAGGTCCTATAGTAGGTACCGCAGACTGCCATGAGGCAGAAGACCCAACCCAGGCCTCCTCCCAGCACCGCGACGACCCACGAGCTCAGACACGCGAATATGATGACGCCAGTATTGTGATACCAGTCTCCAAAGAACTTGTCCTCCAGCTTTCCCTCGAGCCAGGTCTGATGGTCGAGCAAGGTGCCATCGTCGTCATCGTTGTCTTCGGAGCCAGGCATACCGAATCGTGGGGCCCAGCCGACGCGTGCCCAGCGAGCATCCTCGTCGAGTTCAGGTAGTTGGCCGTTTGCCTTTGCAGAGGTGGGAGAGGTGGGGGACAGTGGTGTTGTTATGGCGCCGGCGGTTGAGGGCGAAGGAAGGTCATACTTTGTGCCGATAGAGCCGTCCTGTGGGTCTTTAATCAGCACTGCAGTCGTCATCATAGATCGTACTCTACTGTATGGGCCCCCCAATATCTAGATACGGGCATGTGCCTGCAGCGAGCGATTGTGAGGAGATCATTACTCACGGCGTCGGTAGCCAATGCTACGGCGTTGGGGTTCCTCTTGTGGTGGAAGTCCTTGGGGATGTCGGCTCTGGCTTGCGCGCGCTTCTCTTCCGGGGAAGCGTCTGGGTCGAATTCGTAAGCTGCGCTGCCGCCTTTCCGTGCCTCTTGGAGGACCTTCTGTTCTGCATCTTCGGCTGTGACGGAGGAGTTTGGGTCCCTAGCAGCTTCTATTGCGCCCTGTTGTTTGAGTTCGTTTGCGCTGGCTTGAGTAGCCATTTCGGCGAAGCGGGCGGAGGTCCCGATGAGGTCAGTCCAGCCAGCAGGGGTGGGGAAACGAGACTCGCTCGGTCTCGAGAGTGAAGGACCGCGATCGGTTGGTCAATTGAGGGTGTGGGTGTGATTGAAAGAGAGTGGGTGAGAGTGGGAGGGAAGGAGGGAGAGGAAGAGATGAGGAAGATGAGATGGAGAGGGAACAGAGTATTAGGGAGGGTAGTAATGGTTGAGGTGGTGTGCGTGTGCGTGTGTGAGGGATTAGAAGCTTGGATGGAGGGAATAATAATTGGGCGCGGGAGTGAGAGTGGGAATGAGTGATGTTATTGTTTGGCTGGAGGAGAGCAAGGCCAGGTTGGGTGTAGCTGTATGCTGTATGTGCTCACTGTCCAGTTGGCAGGTGCAGGCGGCGGAGGCGCCGGTGGCCTGTAGGCAAGTACGCGGGCCAGTGGCGTAGAAAGTGGGCAGTGATGCAACTGTAGATTGGTGGTCGATAACTACCTCGGAGGGACTACAGTGCACTGTACCAAGGTAAACCTGCTTGGAGTTAAGAGCTTCTTGGATGGTGTCGTTGGCTATCGGCTGTGAGCTGTTGGGCAAAGGCGAAGGCGAAGGCGAAGGCGGCAGCCATGTACCCGTAGTCGCGTTACCAAGACCACCCTAGCACTGGGTAGACAGCTTGAACTAAACGTTAGACAGGCACCTAGGGAGATGGAAGAAGCAGGGTCGACAGCTTGGTACGAGTAGGTTGATGAGGAAGAGGAGATGGAGGAGGACTACACTACACTTACGGATTGACTGGAGTTGTACTCGGTAATGGGTGAATTGATTGAGGGATGGTTGGTTGCGGGTACGAGTAGTTTGGTAGGAGTTCCCAGTGGCTACTAGTGGGGGTGGAAGCACCTAACTACTACCTAGGTGAGCAGTAGTGGAGAACAAAGGAAAGGAAAGGAAAATTACGACTAGGCACGAAGATAATAGAAGAAAAGGAATTATCGCAAGAATGGATAGGGAATGTGAATATGTGACAGTGTTTGTTCTGTTGATTAAGGTAAATGGTGAAGGGTGAAGATGACGAAGACGGAGCTGATGATGTGGAGGAGAATGTGTGGCTCATTCAGGGTTGGAAGGAGGCAGACAGGGATTGGTACGATTAGATGCGATGCGATGCGGTTGAGATGCACGATACGATACGATGAGATACACACCAGCACACAGTAAGGAGTGTATCTTCGATTACAATCTACAATTAACCAATTGCAAGTACTCGTAGATAGATGGTTACCATTGTCATTGACTATCTTCTCGTAGGTATCTACGGAGTACTGGTGAATTGATGATAGTGATAACTTGCTGGTGGTGACGAAAGCGTAACCAGGGGAAGCGATGACGTTGCCAACCACCCTCTACGTGTATCTGCACAGTACAAAGCATCAGCTACGAGTATCTCTCTCACGCAACATAGCACACGACCCATCACCACCTCTGTCCTCTCCTGTCTCTCACTATTCAATTATACTAATTGCAATCATTTTAATATTGTCCAATTCACTAGTTCGTCAATTCGTAGTGCCGGCTAGCTGTGGCTGTGTACTCGTCATTACAAGTAGAGCTCCACGAGCTTCGAAGAGCTAGACGAGCTATGGGGGAGCTTGGACCGCCGTCTGATGAGGTATATTCTCCACTATCCGTATCCAGGTCTAGTGCATCATCATTCAATGAACATCACGATACGACTTTCTACAGAGGCACAAGAAGGTGACAGATATCGTCTGTGCCTAATATTCAGAGACTGCACTGTAACCAGCCTTCAGTAGTAATTATCTGTGTAGAAAGTACGGAGTACTGTATCCACCAAATAAACCCACGGCCTAATACTACTTCACCAAACTGTTTGAGCAGGGAAGTACGCCCGCCCGCACGCCCGGTATAATTTCCTGCAGAAACTGGAAAACTGGTTTTTGACAATAACCAAGCCATGTACTTACTCTACCTAATTACCTACTCACCAAGAGCAACAATACCAGACACTTACCGACCTACGTGCTCGTAGTCATCACTCCTGAAGTTCTGATCATACGATGCAACTGTGTAGATCTCCGAAAGACTCTCCCGACAATCCCAATACAAACACCCCTGCGCCGATCCTCATATCCTTTTCCTTCCCTTGGATCCCTCCCCACACACGCGTCATCGTCTCCCAGCTTGATGGGTGGTCGCACTGTCGACGGGTGGGGAGGTGGGCGATGGTAATTTCATTTCTTTTTTAGTTTTGGAGTTGGGGGTGGGTTGAGTGTAACTATATGTTGTGTACGGAGTACGGGTCAGTGTCTCCGCACGTGAGAACCTAAGTATAGGGCTTATGTTGGAAGTTACTCTAACTATGTTTGATATTCATAAAAATATATACCATGACTATCATGGACGGTCCGCGTAGATGATCGTACAATAAATATATGGAAAAGGGGTGACAGGAGAGTATAAATGCAAATGATCCATCACTCTGATATGTTGTTGTATCCATCATCATACACTTTATCTCATCATGAAGAATGTAGTTGTTGAGTGCTGGATTAGGCATTGGTTGATATTCATTTGATTTCATTCATTGGTCTCGTTACATGGTGTACAGACAGACAGCCGTCTGTCGTACACATCGTTCCTTTCATTTCGTTCGGTCTATCCGATTTCGTTGCACATTTGTTACATTCAGGGTCCGCATCGCCTCTTGTCGGGTTAGGTCTTGTTTGTTAGAAACATTTCCACCATCAATTGACGCACGCAATACACTCACTCCGTAGATTCAGAGTAGTTGGCTATCAATACGGCGCAACGGGATACCTCCTCCCGCCGACCCCGTCCTGCACCGGCGACCCGCTGCACGGCGCCACGCCCGGTACATGCGAGTACCGCTGCCTCACTCTGCCCTCGCGATCTCTATCTCTCTCCCGCTCCCGCTCCCTCTCCCTCTCCCTCTCTCGGTCTCTATCTCTATCCCTCCGTTCGCGCTCCTTTCTGTCCCGGTCCCGGTCACGGTCGCGAGGATGCTCGCGGTCTCGATCTCTGTCCCTGTCCCTATCCCGCTCGTGGTCGTCCCATGCATCGTGGCTTCGCGTCCGGGCCGAGTCGCTGCGTTCCCTCTCGCGGAGATGCCCCTCGCTTCGGCGGCGATCTCGGTCGCGGTCTCTGTGTTCGCGGCCGCGGTCGCTGGAGCGTGATGATGATGGGGGATCGTACTCGTCTCGGGACCTGTCACGAGGGTAGGGAATGTCTGGTTCGCGGGGCTGTATTGGTTGGAGTGTCGGATCCACGGCGTAGCGGACGTTGTGTGGGCGGTACGAGGACCGGGCAGGCATGGCGGGCCGTCGGTCGCCAATACGTTCCCGGTCAAACGTTGGCATGTAGTTCTGTGCCTGCATTTGGGCCACGTGGGTTGCGAACAGCGGGCTCTTCGTAGGTCCGTAGATTGGTGGAGGCCCGTCTTCCTTCCTGCCTAGCCGTTCTGGAGCGACAACGTCGTGGCTGTAGCGTCGCTCGTCGTAATGGGCGGGGAAGTACTCGCGGGGACTGCTGGGTCCATCGTGGCTACGCCTGTGACGGAGCATGGGCGAGCGGTGTCGAGGAGGGGCGTCCGAATCCGAGCTCGAGTCCGTTGAACTCAAAGAGTCGTCTCTTCGCGGCGGGTGAGGCCGCTTGTGGCTCGGATATCGGGGGTCCAGCCTTTCTCTGAGATGGTTGGGTGGCATAGCTGCGAGAGGTGTAGGCCCGCCGTCTGAGAAGTCGTCCTCGTCCGCCGGTGGACTGCTTCTTCTCCTGTCCCGGTTGAAAGGGTTCAGCAGATGGCGTACTCTATTGGCTACCCTGCCATGATCGTCGACGTATGCCGGCTGCTTCGGCGGGAAATTGTGGACGTACATGGGCGAGCGCCCTCCGCGTGCCTTCCTATACAGCGGATCCGAAAAATATGTCGCTGCGCCGTTTCGTCGGTACCCATCTGCAGAGCCTTCGTTGGAGAACTCGTCAGACGTTCGCGGAGCCGGTTCATCCACTTCCACGCGCACGTGTGGCCCACCATCGCGAACCTTCTCCTCTGCGCCCTCTTCTGCTTCGTGCTTCAATGTCTCCGCCACGCTCTGATACCATGTCTCCATGGCGCTGTCGGGCTTATCGGGGAAGCATGACTTTGGGAGAATCTTGGGAAACAATCCTCCTGTCTCGGGATCTTGCACGTCGAAAATCTCGACTGCCTTCTGCAGGAGAGGCACGTGTTCCTCGGGTCCAAGTAGGAGTTGTATGGTTTGCCACTTCACGAATCCTTTGTGTTTGAGTGCCGGGATCGTGGGTGCCGAGTACCCCTCATCATCGGGCGCGGGCTGCAGACTGTGGTACGCGCCGAGAGCGCTGTAGATGAAGGAAATGGACGCTGGAGGGGTCTCGATGAAGAGGACGTCGTAGTCTCCGCCTACTGCGCGGTAGAATGCCGCGATCTGGGTAGGAGTGAGATCTACGCAGTCACTAGGCTCAAACTTCTGGCTCTATCGTTTTCAATCAGCCTCAGGTCGCAGTGCAGTCGTACAGATACTGTGTAGAGCTTTCTCGCATGGATATGTTCAAGCTTACAATGACCTTTGCGATTCCTGTCAATAGTCTGTCGAAGATGGGTGTCCCGCACTTGTCCTCCTTGATCAGGTAGTAATCGTAGAACTGTTCCGCTTCCTTCTGCGCCGCTTCAGCGTTGGCAGTATTCTCCGCTTGTTCCGCCGTCATAATGAATGTGGTGTCCTCTCCTAGCAGGATGTTGGAAGCCCGGGATGATCATGTGAGGTTTCGGTATGGAAGGCACGATGTTGCGCTCAGCGGCGTAAGCAGCGACGTTGTTGTGATGGCGAAGGTTATGGTGAGGGCGGTGAGGGGCTAAAGAGGGATTCCTGGGCGTCGATGTGGTGTTTGACCGCAGACAAGAAGAGGCTTGTATGCAGATGATAAAGGGCAGATGTGAAAGAGAACAGCTCTTCGGCTACAGGAGTGAGATCATGCAATAATGCAACACAGATGACTGGGCAGCTGCGCCTCCAGCCAGGTACGGTCAGGTGGTGGTGGTGGTATGATGTGTGTACCTGCGAGGTATGTAGATGTTGATGTGTTTTGGGTGGGTTGTCGGAGGGAGCGGTAGTTTAGGGCAACTTTGGGCACCTAATCAATTAGTTATCTGTAGTCAGTACAAGTACCTTAGCAGCTTCGGTGCCCATTAGTGGAGAGATCAGTAACAATTGTCCTAGGTGTGTAGTGCGGGCGGCCGGGCGGGCAGTCGGTCGGGCAGTGAGGCTGCGGTTGCGCGGGGCATAATTAGTTAGTACCTAAGTGCCTAGGTACCCATCATCTACGCCTTAACCGTCACAATAAACGTCACATTGAGTAACTACCTCGTAGAACTACATAGTATTGAAGATGGCGTAACAAAGAACACGTACCGCGAAACTTGAGAAAAAAGGCGGGCACAAGGCAATGAATCAGGGTGGTAAGGCAGCCACAATGTCTGAGAGGGCGGCGCAGCTCCGAGACACATGAAATAGACGTCATATCACCATGTTCCTCAAAATATAAGATTGGATACACCCAATGGAAACAAGTGTGCACAACAGAGGGAAGACAATTTCAGATAATGGATATAAAGTTCAAAATTCGTTATTTTATTACAGTCGTAGCTGAGCGGGTATCCGCCATTAGAAAGTAAGTCCAGCTGGTACTGGACCTAGGTAGAGGTATTTTTGTCTAAAACAAGCATGCAATCATCATGACTATCCGTAACACCTATGCCCATATCCATCCGGCACAGATCCATCCTCCGACGATGGCAAGGAACCCACAGCGTCTATAGTCGCCAGCGGCTCACGTGCAAATCTGCCGTATGCTGAGAGGGCCAGAAATCGAAAAGAACCCCGTCTAGTGCTCAAGGAGGCGGAGGGAGCCCTGGACAACGACGTTCTCGAGGATAGAGCCCGGAGGAATGTCGATCGTGCTACCTTCCGTGGCAACAATGATGACGGTACCCTTGAGGACGACTCCACGGCCGAGGGTGACCTTGCCAGTGATGGTCAAGTGGTCAAGCTCGACGATCTTGGGGATGGAGGGAATGCGAGCCTGGAAGTTCGAGACCTTCTTGAAGTCGCTGCCGAGCTTGATCAAAGGAGCAGGGCCGAAACGGTTGGGGTCAATAACGAGCTGGCCGTGCTGGAGAGTGTAGAGATCAGACTTGACGAGCATGAGGTCAGAGCAAGTCTTGACGGGCAAGAAACGGCGCCTAGGGACGTTGACACCGTGGGCATTGCTGAAGTGACGGATGGCAGCTCCGACGGCAGTCTCGAGCTGGAGAACGGAGAGGTCGGCCTCGCCCTTCTTGTCGGCGGGGATGGACTTGCCGTTGGGGATGATCTCCATGGCGAGCTCGTTGTTCTCAACGACGCGCTTGATGGCCTTGAGGTTCAACCAGATGTTGTTGGTGTTGAAGTACTTGAACTTCTTGATCGACTTGAACTCGTTGACGTGCTCCTTAGGCACCTGGGCAATTTCAAGGAGGCGGACGGAGCCCTCGTAGTCGATGATGGTTCCACCCTTGACGTCAGCCTTGGTCTTGTCGGTCAACTCCATGATGTACTCCGACTTGGAGTCAACCATGTGCTGGAGGATGCGGAGGTCGACGACGGCACCCAAGTTGTCGGCGTTGGACAAGAAGATGATCTCGATGCCACGCTCGATGAGCTTGTCGAGGATTCCGGAGTTATACAGAGACTCGAAAACGTCACCGTGGCCCGGAGGGTACCAGTTGGAGATGTCGGAGTCTGCGGATTTGGGAGCGGGCAGGAGAGAGTCCTTGAGCACACGGGGGTACTTGGACTGGTTGAATGTGAGGATGTCAATGTTGTGTCCCTCGTACTTCTTGATGATGCTGGCTGTGTCGGAATCGGTGTTGAACGAGTTCATGAGGACGAATGGCACGTTGACGTCGTATGTGCGGTTGAGGTACTCGATCTGGCGGACGGAAAGATCGAGGAAGGACATGCCGTCACGGACCTCGATGACCGACTTGGGACCAACGCAACCCATGGAGGTACCGAGACCACCGTTGAGCTTGACAACAGCCAATTTGTTCAAGTATTCGACCGCCTCGGAGTTGGCAAGGTCATCGTAGTTGACGACCTGCTCGGCCTTGGGAGGGGCAATTCGGGACCACTCGATGGCATTGCCCTTGGCCTTGTCGTTGAGGTATCGTCGGAAGAGGGCGAAGAAGTTGTCCATCTCAACCTCGAAACGCTGAGGATTGTGTCAGATGATGTTGAGGGCAGAGTATGGAAAGGAGGGGGGAGATTTGGTCACTTACAGCCTTCTCCTTGGGGTCCTCGACGGTGTCTGCGAGCTTGTTGAGAGCATTGCGCATCTGGGAAGCAGCAACGTTGGTAGAGGTGTTCTCGAAAGCCTGAATCATGGCAACAAGGTCAGCGGCTGCAGGCATTGTGGTAGTTTGACGTGTCTGTCACGTAGAGAAAGAGAAAGAGAACCAGAATGCAAAATGCAAAGAAATGAAAGAGAAGTGAGGAATTGGTTGCTGTGGGCGAGATGATCATTCCCCAGGAGAAAAAAATGAGGAATTGCAGGCGCGGGAAGAGCAACTTCCTGCGATTGCGCTGCTCGTGGGCGGGCAGGAGCGCGCGGGGCGTCTCCACCCTCACCGCCGACTCTTCCCCCTCTCTGCCCTCACAAGAAAAGGAGTCTTGTACAGGACAGAAGCGAAGGAAAAAGGCGTGCCGATTCCCATCTTTCACTAAAGAGTCCAAAGTAGGACCGTGAAAGATATGGCATGTTGAATGCTCGCGGCTTTAGAAATTTTCCCCCCAACAGCGTAGCAAACTCAACCGTTGCGGGGTCAAGGGATCTGCATGCATGGTAGGATGCAGTTCCGCCACCAGGCGACCGGAACAGAGGCATTGCGTCTCCGCGCAGGTCGCTCGATGAAAGATGATGGAGAGAATATGAAACGGTGGCATGATGATAAAAGCAGGGGAAGTAAAAAACATAGGGATTTAGGGAGGCAGAGGAGGGGACCAACATACAACGTGGGACTGGGTCTTGCCGTGATGGCGGGCAGAGAAACCCTCAGCAGCGCCGTCGGCGGCGGCCGATGGCTTCAAGTGTGATGGAATCGCGCGAGAGGCCATGATGTGTGGTATTGAGGAGGAGAATTGGGTATCGAAGAGGAGGAAGGATGGAGTAATGTAGGAGGAGAAGAAGAAAAAGAGAGAGGAGGGAGAGAGAATGAGGAAGAGCTGGGGCGAGGGGAAGCTTTTATGGGTCGGTGGGAGGTGAGTTGAGTTGTAGTGAGTGAGAGAGTGAGAGAGTTGAGTTAGGTTTAGGTACCTGGTAGGCGGTGGTAGGTGTACCTAGTGAGGTAGTGAGTGACGGGCGAATCGAGATTGTCAATCGACACACACCATACACCATACACAGGCAAGCAAGCAACACAAGACCAGACCAGACTAGTTCGGGTTTTGACCATGAGCTACCAGTTCCAGCTATTTGTAGTATTGTGTGTTGTAGGTACCTAGTATGGTTTGGTTGTCCTCCCCTCCGTATGGTGGATGGGCTATTGGGGAGCTATGGCATTCGGAAAAGTCTGTGCGGAAGGTAAAAATGGAGTGTAAGACTAGAAGTGTCTTATGGAAGCGTATACCTTTGTACACAGTACTCCGTACTTCTACGAGGACTATTATTGAAGCTTCTAGGTCCCTACTTTTTCACTTAGGTACCTACTCACCTACTTGCTTTCTACTTGGTTATCTGGGGTACCTGCTACTCTGTACGCCCATCTGTGTACGGAGTACATCTTGTAGAAAGGTACCCAGGTCCTTGACAGCTCTTGTTGTTACTATTCTAATCCTCTTTAACGTGGGGCTGATGGGCGGGTTGAGAACGTGCCCTAGATTCATTAGTATCAACAGTATTACTCGTAGCATCCATCACCTCCCTACGATACCCTGATCTACTCTGAATCGTATTTGTTGTGGGTATCTTAAATCTTATAGCTACGGATGCCTCTTGTGCTACGCTTTCACCGTGTCTATTCCTCACATCACGACTCGGATCAGTCGTTGAGCAGATCTTGTCTTTTGTAATCAGGCATGTATCTATGTACATACATTACACCATGAATCGAGGCTCAAGCACAGGTCCAACAACCCACATGCAGACATGGGTGCACGCAACACCCTCCGACCGCTATTTACAAGTACATGGGGAGACCAGAATAAATCCCCCGAGCTGCTCTCACTTCAAATCGACTGACTGGCTTTGGTGATCCAGACTTACACTTCGGAATACGTTGGTGTTCATTTGCACCCCCATGATGTACGCCTCTCGCCAAAAAAAAAAAAACAAATCCTAAATTGCCTCAGCCGACATATCTTTCCGGACAAAGGAAAGATGATAATCAATTCCTACGTAATGTTTTCCGAAGTGTAGGGTATGGCATATGTACGAGGTACATGCACTGCACGAAGCCGGTAGCTGAAATCCGATCACTCGCCTCCAAGGTATACTGACTGGTAGACAATATCCTCATCCTCCCATACCTAGATCCTTTGCCTTGTCTTGCGTCAATGTCAACCCCACTACTCCCCCATCTCCTCTCAACGTAAAAGATCTACAGTACACGAGGCCGGGGTCGGGAGGGAGGCAACAAAAATTCTTGATGATAACAAGTGCCATGACCCCCGCCCAGAACCCTGACCCCCCCTGCTAGATCCCACCTGGTGCCAGTGGGACCCGGGCAAACGCGATGGGAGAGTCGAGTGCCGGCCTGGGTAGGTATTGTCTACCTACACAGTATGGTGGAAAGGTAATACTGGCACGAGTAGGAACATTGCTGGACAAGGCGAATCGATACATTATTCGATATTGCACAATTGTTTGTTGAGAGGCCATAGCTCCCTCCAGCTGCAACGAGAGAAAAAATACTGTTCCCATTTCTTGCCTAACCCATCACTACCAGGTACCAACAACCACCACCACCATTACTATTACCACTACCACCACTATCTACTAGTAACTCCGTAGATACTACCGATACTACGAGTACCACCTCACTCCTCTTCCAGCATCACAAAGTATACCAGCAGCCCCTGAACCAAATAACGAGACAGCCTCCAATCCATACACAGCCGACTTACGCGGCACGAAGCTACATACAAACCCACACATCCAAGGACCAAACCAGAATTAGCTGGCCATCCCCTGGGCCCTTCACCTACAACATGCCCATCCCATCACCCATGAAAAACTGCGTCTCTCCTCCCCTCCACCCCTCGTTTCGTGGCATCGGATGGCGTCCGCCTGGGAGCGTCCACTAACCCGGATTGGGAAGTTGTTGGCAGGGATGAGGTGGCGGTCAAGGAAAATCTCAAGCAGCCATGACGCTACTCCCTTAAACTTCCCCTCCACGCCTCCAACGACACGTCGAGACTCCTCCCAACAACTATTGTACTAACAACTGACGACACCGCAATCCTTTACATGAACAGATAGCTACGGGACGGGGTATGCTTTACGGAGTGCTTGCAGAACACACTTCTCAACCACTCGGCTCGGGTATACGGAATCATGATCAGTTATTCTCTGTTCTCCAAACCCGGGGTTGGTGGAAATAATCTCTTCCCTTACTCGAAACACTGCGTTTAGAACTCCCGAATATGGCTCAGCTCGTCAATTTATCTTGTTGATGAAGTATCGAGTGCAATTGTTCTGATCAATGAAAATTTCAAACACTGTCAAATAGCTACCGTACCCAAATTGTGTACACAGTATAGACTTCAGAGTATTCCCTACAATTCAACAGTACAGCAAAACCCCCTCTCCACCCCCTCAATCCCTGCACCACCACGAAAAAAGAATATCAACGCCAGAGAATAATAGATATTAGGGACGATAGAGAGAGAAAATAGAATAGACCAGACCAGGTCGCCACACGGCCGTCCGTCCCTCACCATCATCGTGGCGTCCACTTCCTCTCTACACGTGGGGGCCACCATACCCGAATACGGCTAGCCTTTGCTCGTCCTGCAGCTGAATTCTGTCAACTACGAGAACCCATGAACGCCTCGATTGTCCCTACATGCGCCGCCAGAATCCAGATACGTTTCGGCGTTGCTGAAAGCATCTCGTACAATGTTTTTACACTACCAATACTAACCTAGGACCTTCCCCGAAGCCGTGGCTGAACGAGACCGCACCTCATCCCGCTCGCCTAACGATAATAGTGGATGCGAGTTCACTACAGATATACTTGTTGTGTGTACTATACCTAGTCACTTGAAGCCATTGCATTCGCATGCAGCCGAGCCTCGCTCCGCTAATGTATTCGGCCGCTCCGCCAATATCTAGCCTCCGCTCTAGAATGTCAAGCTGACCCTTCAGGTACCCGCCCGCTCCATTCCATACAATATAGGGCAACTCTACAAAAGTATGTAGGTCGCTATGGTAACTACTGCGCAGTGGGTGTCTTTTCCGAGACCCAGGTCGGAAATACGATTGCTATTTTCATACATAGGCTTCCGAATTCCGATCAGCCATGAAATTGAGTGCAGCTGAATCTATTATATCAAATCAGTAGAAATCACTGGGTGGAAATGGATTTTCTGTCTAGCGTAGAGCAAGATGCCAGTTACTCGACTGTATATACGCTGTCTTCGTCCTCCGTAGGTTCTCAGTAGTTCTATTCATCCAGCATCATGCCTGAATCTATATGCACGCCCGTCTAATAATACACACATTGCGAGCACTTCTATCAAACTCATAGACCCTTTCGCTGTATCTGCGCCATCCGTTCGGAGGTGGATCCCTGGTCTGTCTACCCCAGCACCCCCATAGGGCTTGGATCCACTAAGCTCGAATACCACAGTATCGAAGACAGAAACACATCTAAACAATTGTATACACAAAGGTTCTTTGCCATTGTTCTGTGTAGACCAGATCCCACACATTCAAGTCTCATGAGCTCTCCGTCACATCCTGATCTATCCCATTTCCATATCCAAATCCAACCTCACAAACTCGCCTTAATCTTCTTTCTCTCCTCCCTACCCTCCCACTCCCAAACCTCCCCAACAAATCTACTCCCCTTCCACCGCTCATATATCCTCCTCCTCTCTCCCTCTCCCTCTCCCCCATCCGTCCCATCCGTCCCCCCACCGACCCTACACATCTCCCCCCAAACCCCCAACTGCTCCCTAAACCCCAAGTTCGGTTCGCAAACCGGCCGCCCCTCGCACAACCAGTCCAATCCCTCCTGGACCCCGACCCCAAACCTCCTCATCAAATACGCCACCACGACCGCCGCGCTCCGGCTCTTCCCCATCGCGCAGTGCACGAACACGCCCCCAGATGGCGACCGTAGGCCCTCCTCGATGAACGCGCACGTCGTCGGGAAGTGCTGCAGCATGTCGACGTTCGGATGATCCTCGACGTCGATGTGCAAGTGATTGACTTTCCCTTCTCCGCCCTCCCTCTTCCCGCTTCCATCTCTTCCGTCCTTGTCTTCTTCCCCTCTTCCCGCGAGCATGGAGGCCGGGAATGGATTCTTCGGCGCCTCCTCCTCCCCACCACTGCTTACTGTCCTACTCGGAAGCACGGCGGCATAGTCGATCACGGAAAGCACGTGCGTTATCCCGGCCCGCGACATCAGGTCGGTCTGGTAGAGTGCGTAGAGCCCGCCTATGTAGAGGTTTCCTCCGGCGCGGGGTACGAGGTCGACCCATCCCATGCCTGTGTGTGAAGTGGAGCCGTGGAGGAGGTAGTTCATATGTATATCTATATGTGTGTATGTGTGTGTTGCTTTACGTCTCCTCGTTGGCGGTGGCGTAGGATGATGAGGGTAGGTAGAGCTATGCAACGATGTAACGACTGTTATATCATGATGGTATGTACAAGCAAATTCGACTTGTTGTAGAGTCTAACTATACGTCCTCCTTTTTAGAGAACAGTCACAACAGAATGGAGTTGACTGTTACCCGACATCAATAATGTCGAGCCGAGGTTCGACGTCGATCGGATTACTAAATGGAGATTAGCGTACGATTCATTTATATAAGAGCTGTTCAGTAATTCTGGCGACGTCAACACTGCGCCGGATTCGTGGGATCGAAGATGCCCGACTGGACTGACATTGCATTGCACCATGCGTCGTCAAATAGAATGCGGAAGGATGATTTGATTGGGTTTGTGGGGTTTGGGTTTGGGGCATTCCAGCTCTGCCATCCATCCCTTTGGCGGGTCATGCAACCTCTTGGTATTGCGCCCTTGTCAGCCCAAGGCGACTTATAATAAACGCCAGCCATCTGGATTCGTTTGAAGAAAGAGGGATTACAGTAACTTCTCCAAGTATAAGGTAAGATATGGAGGTGTTATCATTCGAATGATCGAGCTGTTGCGCGTGGGATATGTATCCTCTAAGTGGCATGCAACTCGCCAGACCTATGCAGCTCACAGCGTCCAAAAGGGTGCGGAGACATATGTCATAGGCTCATAGTTACTATTGGCAATATCGAGGCGAACGAATCTATGCAACAGTGGCACAAACAGATGCCCTCTCAGTGCACCATTCTGCAAGGCGAGCCTTCATATATCCTACATACTTTACTTTGAGTCTCCCTTCGATGTGGTGGCCGGAATTCTCATCCACGTGATCCAGTGTCTCCGCGGCCACCACCTCACAATTACCCGATTAAGACATCAGTGTAATGATCTTGGCTACGCATGCTGGAGAGTATAAAAGGAGGCGGTCCCGTGCAGAATTGAGGCTCTTTGCCGCACTTACTTTGCCATTCGTTCAAAGTCAATCGCTATAAATAGTGTCGCCATTATCATTCGTTCCAATTCGCTCATTGTTTTTCCTAAAATCCAACGATTCATATTGTTTAAAAACCAAAAAAAGAAGTCATTTGCAATATCCACTGAGAAGTATTTCCTAACTCTAGCTAATCTTTTCCTCTCCCTCTTCCCCGTCCTTGTCTACTGATCTAGGTCCATGGGAAGGATGGTGAAACTTCTTCCCTATCTCCTCCCGGCCGTGGCCGCGCATCTCTTCGATTCCCAGCTGTCTATACCGTTGGAACCGGACGAACCGCACGCCCTCGTGCCGCACCTTTTGCCAAGGCAGATTCCCGATCCCACTCCTCCTCCTGAGGATTCCCTTCCGCAAGGGTGGGAGTACGCTGGTTGTTGGTCCACGCCGTATGTTCTTCAATCGAACAACTCGCAAAGAGATGAGATCCTCAACTGACGCCGAACCAATAGTCTCGATCCTGCCACACAACTGTTCCGTGACTACACTCCTCAAGGCTACTATCTTGCTCCATGGGACTACACTTCGTTCACTAACGCAGCACATGCAGTAACCTGCATTGACTTCTGTAACGTTAGGAGCTACTCTTTCGCGGGTACACTTCAAGGCGATAGATGCTGTACGTCCCGATACCATACTTTCTCGCTCACAGTCAGACTCTCTAACCACAGCAAAGGGTGTGCGCATGCCTTACAGGGGCCCGGCGCGCTGTCGACAAATAATGCGCTCGTCAACTTCGGTTGTGATGCTCGCTGTACGGATCCCGCGTTTACCAACGAAGCTTGCGGCGGCGCTTCATTCGTCTCGTAAGTACCACCAACCTGCCTCTGACTGGTATCAGTGGAATGCAATGCTAATCATCGATCAAACAGGGTCTACACAAACCATGCCCCGTTTGCCTATCCTCAGCCTGCAGCCCAGAACAGTCTCCCCGAACGCTGGGAGTACCTTGGATGCTATGTGTGAGTACTCTACAAGAAAGTCGACAGTGCACGACCAAGTCCGACTGACTCAAATGTAAATCTACAGCGCCCAAGACGACAACCCCCAAACATTGACCCTTGGCGGCGCCGGTACCAACTACGAAGAGGACATCACGGCCACGACGTGCATTGAATACTGCCAGACGGAGGCCGTCGGCGCGCCCTTCGAATTCGCCGGCACCACCAATCGAGGATACTGCAGTACGCACCACCCGCATCACAACTGAACGAGCAGACAAACTGACACTGATTGCACTAGGCTGTGGGAATCAAATCACAGGCGGGACGAGCAGACTCCTCCCGCCCGACCCGTCGGGCACAGAGCCGCAGTGCGTCGCGCCGTGTACCGGCGACGATAGCCAGGTGTGCGGAGGGAACAATCGCATCACGATCTATGGGATCGAACCGCCAGAGGTACGTCGTGAATCTCTTTCCAAAGACTGCTATTTGTGTGTTTCTGTTCTCTGCTCTCACGGTGAGTATCGTTGTTTTCCTTTTGTGTCGAGGTAGGAGTGGAGGAATTGGGATGGTGAAGTTGAGTGGAGGCATTCTTAAGCGTTCTATGTTTGAACTCGATGGGCGTATGTATGTTCGGGTATAGTGGGATATTCATAAAAGCCTCTGTATTGCTTCCGAGCTTCGGGTTTTATTTCTATGGGAGTTTTGATTAAGTAGATGGCAGATTGCGAAGGTGGCGAAATGCAAGTTGGCCTGGTCACAACAAGAGAATTGATTCACACATGTTCCTAATGTAATTAGAGGGATGAGCAGCTTGTCCCGAGCTCTTACAACCAAGTCACTCCCTCGTGTTATCTGCTCTGTCAATGTAGCTACTAGCATTCTAGATGCCTCAGAGTAGATGATTTCCATTTCTTCCCCACTGACTGATGATGACATCCTCCTATGTTGCCTCTCAAACAAAAAGTAAACACATTGGGCAGACTCCTGGCTGGCTTCATGTATTTTTCATACGTAAAACAGCTACCGGACTTCCAGCACGAAAACACGCATCGTAATCTGAAAGAATCTAGCGACATACCCGCCTCAAATTTCAAGGAGAGCGTCTCTTTCTTTGCAACATGCGTTTCCCAATTTCACCACTGTTCACCCGGCTACAAGAGCAGGTATGTGCGCTCCCACACAAAACGTTGCTCGGTCACTTGAAATCACCCACTGGCAGGGCAGGCATGGCCCAAGTGGTTGCATCGAATCCTAACTTCGTGGTCAGTCTTGCAGCAATGGTCGTAAGCCCTGCTTGTATCTGGAAATACCTGCGGCACGTGCCTTCTAAGGGTCTACTACTCCTCCCTCTTTCAGATGATTGTTGTTATGTGATCTTGTCTGTACACTACCTAGGTAGTTACCTAGGTATATAGAGTAACAAAACACCAGACACTACCAGACACCAAACACCACCAGACACCAGACACTATAGACCAGAAAGAATACACCAGATTATAGGAGACTATGCAAGCTCCTCCACCGCCTCCGCCGCCTCCACCGCATACTGTGTATGCCCAGAGTGGAGGGGGTAGTATACAAGACCCACTCGTAAGTATATTGTAACTCAATGTACAATAAGCTTTGCTAATAGTATCAAGATAGAGTGGTGGCAGAAGCCGCCAAATTTAACAAGTAGAGTTTTGGAGAACGAGATCGCCGTTCGAGATGCGGCAAGGCCGTGGGGGGGGGGGGATTCTCATATGCAGTCATAAGGTATTGTACGTACTATGCAGTTGGATATGCTTTAGCTAATATGTTATACGTTGTAGGGCCAAGGCATTACCATCTAAGCTTTCTAGACATGTCTGACAACGCCCAGACAAGATAAAGCTTGATCGATACCTTGACTCGCTTGTTCTCGGTATCCAAAGAATAAAACAATAGGTAATTGCGAGCTAGGATCATCACATTTCTGAGCGTTGGGCTGCTACTCTTCATGGTCGCCCGCCCTGTGGTGAGTTGAGCATGGCTTCGGAGAGGGATGATTGCTCGAGGCAATAATCGTATCGCAACTTCGAAAGACATTTCACAGTAATGAAGACGATGCGCTTGAGAATAGAAACACCACAGGTACGAGGGTATCTGAATTATTTGCTGTAGTCAACCATCGAGATGGATGTCACGTTTGAGTCATTAATGAGGATATGCAAACCATCACGAGTCGCACAGATGTGTACTTCTTTCTTTGGTACGAATCTACAGTTTGATCGTCGTTTGGAAATACTGAAATCAGGTTGAGGGGCTTCATCTACGGTTACAAACATAATCTTACTCCCAAAAATAGTTAATTCAGCCTACTAGAAATGGATCTGGCGCGTGTCTTCGGATCCAGATTGGAGTGCTCTGTAATGCAGGAACGAGCCTTTAACTTCGAAGGATCCGTGACAGATCAGCAGCTGAGGAAACGGTGGATCCTAAGCGACGTCAGGTCGGCCAGGCCCCCATTTCCGTGATGAAAACAAGCAGTTTCCTTCGATACGTGCGAAAAGTTCTGTTTGCAGCTTTTCACAACTATCACTTGGGTACGGAGTACACGCGGCGTGTATAAAAACCGCCACCTCATCCTTCGTTCGATGGAGTCATCCATAAGAGCAATGCTATGACCTAATAGCTGAAGACAATCCTGAGGGTTGAGGCCAAGCTCAAATGAACGTTCTGGAACCCCTGAATCGCGGCACATCTTCTTAGCCACATCGCCCTGTCCAGATCGACACGGCTCCGGAGGTTGGACCCGTTGAAGCACACTCCACAAGCTCGTCCAAGTCTTGATTCACATCGCTTGCCGGAAAGCTCTCCATCCAACCACGCCTCCATAAGCAAAGCGTAGGGGAAATTCAAAGCCAAAGTCATGGACAGAGGATTTTCTTGCAGCTAGCTGCAGGAGGGCTTTATTTTGTGTTTCAACTGTGCCGGGCCTGCAGGCCGCAATACACCACGTTCAATTCTGCCTGAAGTGCTGCTGCTCCTCGAGAATCGCATTTGACGCGGACACGAAACCCTTCCCCGCACTCTACCTGCCTTATTGTTTCTCCCATCTGGGACAGCTCTCCCTGCATTGAAAGTGTCTCCTTTAGCGAGGGCTTGCAGCTGGCATAAATTGTTCGGCGGTGGGTAAAAAGGCCCATCGCAATGCCGAAAAGCCCATCTCGCCTACTTCGACTGTTCAAAACAGGAACGGAGCACGAGGGACGCAGATGACATGCACTCCCACCCTTCGAGACTCGGTTACGATTTTTTGACAGTTGTGACAGGCGGCGCTATGGTTACTGGCGTCCTTTTAAACTTTGAGACCCCCGGCCACCTCGAACCCCATGTCCCTTTTCGCAGCACGGCAGCCAATAGGATGCATTCCCATCGACTCGAATCGTCCAATTGCCAGTGTGATATGCAGTGCTTTTACCCTCAGCTGTTGAGGCCAATTGCTTGCAGCAAGAATGGGGAGCACTGGTTCAAATCGACCACCCAATTACTAGGCTTGCGGTAGAGCTATCCTCTTTCCTCGCCATGGCTGGACCGTGCTGCCAGGGCTGCGAAGAGGGTTTGATTCAGGTCACGCATGCGGCCCCTCAACAGGCTATTTCTGAATTATGTATGTATAGTAGCGCTCTTCCCATTATTGGGGATTTCCAGACTATAGAAGAATGGCGCATGCTCCAGGTTTAGGTGGCCGTGAATTCTTATGTTAACAGTATCCATACGTTCCTCCGACTTCCTAGACTCCAGTTGTATGACTACACGCGACTGAACGATCACGATCCTGTGATTGATGATGCTCGCACAAGGTCCTCCTCCGGGTGGTGCACCACCTCCTGGTGCGCCAGCGGGACCACCTGACGCCAGTATGATTCCTTCTATTCCTTCACAAGCAGCTCAGGACACTGCGCAAGCGTTCGTTGGCGTTGCGATCTCACTAAACGTCCTCGCGTTCTTGGTACTTGTTGGAAGAATGTGGACGAGATCTTTTCCTATATACCGTGTCCAGCCAGAAGATTGGATCATTTGCGGAACATGGGTAAGTTGAGCGTGTCCGAGATCGGGAAGGTTGATGCCAACAACCAACGTCCACTAGGTACTCATTGTCGTCGATACGGCTCTACTTCTCTTGACCGTTCCATTTAAATTCGGCCGACCCATAGAATCTATTACCCTCGCAGACGCTCAAAACGCACAGCATTACGCTGTGCTCGCCCAACCGATATGGGCCTGGTCCATGGCCGGCATCAAGATCTCGGTGTGTCTCATGCTCCTGCGCCTACAAATGGAAACACGATGGCGCCGCATCCTCTGGAGCCTCATGGGATTCGTCGTCATCCTGACTATCTACAACATGGTAGCGCAACTGACGCAATGCATCCCCCTCCACAAGACGTGGGACCTCCTCGGCCTGGTTCCGGGCAAATGTTGGGGACCGGACGCCATCCGCGCAAACCTCTTCGCCATGTCAACCATCAACGTCGTCACGGATTTCATCGTCGCTCTGATTCCCATCACGTTTCTCCGCAAGATCCAGCGCCCCGTCCGCGAGCGCGCAATCATCGGCACGTTGATGGCGCTCGGCATATTCGCTGGAGTGGCGTCCATCGTGAAGATGGTGTCGGCGGTCAACTTCGGCAAGACGAATGATATGGATCTGGATGGTATTCGAGTGGGGATGTGGTCGTTGGTCGAGGAGCTGGTGGGGTTCATCGCCGCATGCGTGCCGTGTTTGAGGTCGCCATTCCAGCGCTGCTTGGAATACTTTGGATTGGTGTCGACGCACGCAAAGTCCAATTACGGGAGGGGTTATGGCCATGTCTACGCGAGTGGGGCAGTGAAGAATTCGAGATCAAAGAGTGCGAATATGCCTGGTGTGAAGTTGAAGAGCCTCAGGAGCGTCGATGCGCCAAGTGAGGAGAACATTCTCGCGGAGAGTAGAAGTGCCCATACAGGAATATCGGGAGGGGACTTGGGCGTGAGGGGACCACTCGACGATGGAAAAGACCATGGGGATGGCATTTGGTGCACCACCGAAGTATATCTCGAACAGGAAGAACGACGGACTCCCAGATCAGAAATGAATGATAGGAGGGAAGCGGGTTGGGATGATGATATTGCAAGACTGCACAATAAGGATTTACGATGAGATCGATCAAAATCATTGCCCGATCTCAGACGATCTGGATGGTAATTAAGGCGTAATGGCGTGTGTTTGTTGTTTCTTAAGAGATACCACTGATTTAAAGTTTACCGTTGTATTGTTTCAACGTAAAAAGGAAGTAACTCTGATACACACATAGAACAAAAAGAAAGAATTAATATGACAATTGATAATTAGGAAGGCGTTTTCACAATTGTGAGTACATTTGCAGGGAATTAAGACTGTCAACTGACTACGGGGTATTCTTGAGTCTGTCAAAAGGTCGATTTTGTGGAGGGGCGGGTGAAGTGGATGAGAAGATGAGAACCGTAAAGAGACATGAAGTTGGGAATTTTTTGAGTGCACTTTAACAACAACATGCCTCTCTTAATGTTGTCCTCTTTCTCCCTCGCAGAGTGGAGAGGCTAAGGCGGGTTTTCATACCATTCAACCACAGTCCATGGCCTCACCCGATGAGCTGGATTGTTCGCGAAGTTTTCAACGTAACTTTAACGAACCATTGGTACCCGATCTGTGTATGAACTAGGTTCTCCAAGTAGCAAATGGAAGAAGAATGTAGTTAATGATACTACTCTGCAACCTTCGCTTTTATGATATTATACATTTAACGTAAAACAGTGTTTACAATGATAGCTTTAACTTACTACAGTAGTTTTAAGTCCATCATTTGTTAATCGTGAAGATGGTAGATTGAATGAAGTCACAGACCTTCTTCCGTGAGTTGACTACCTTTGTAGAATCATTCACGGTCCATTCAATGTTCGCAGTTCTGTCACATCTCAAATTCACGTATCAGGAACAAAGCAATATCAAGTAATGATGATTTTCGGATTGATAGAGTACAACAACAATGCAGGAGGCGGGGAACAAGTCTAAACAGAAAACAATGCTATGCAAGAAACCAAATCCAATGCGACCCAAACATCGCAATTCAACGCTCCATGAAATGCAAATCCAGTCCTACAAGCTTTCCCATAATCTAATCGGCGTTGCAGACCCACTTGGGCTCCCACCAGTTGCCGTTGGGGCAGACGGACCTGTTCTTGAACTCGTCCGCGACGCAGTTGCCGACCTTGACGCCGTCCTTCTCGAGCCAGAGGTCCTTGTCGAGTCCACAACCGCCCATCTTGTATTTGCCCTGGAGTCCTGGAATGTTTTCGAGCGTAACATCGCAGGGGTTGCCCTTGTTCAGCTTGATGCCCAGGTCTGCGCGCTCGGCGTCGTCGCAAGGGTTCTTGTCCTTCACCCATGCACCCCAGCTGTCTCCCTTGCCGAGGAGGTCGATGGCAGCGTAGTAAGTGCCGAAACGGACTTCAGTGGCTCGAGTAGCGAGCTTGGTAGAGGCCAATGGGGTGCTGGGAGCAGCGGAGACGAGGGTGTTGAGGGAGAGCATGGCAATGAAAGACGCGGAAGAGATAGTGAACTGCATTTTGATTGAAGGTGGAAAGGAGAGTTGTTGATTGGCAAGGAATGCGATGTTTGAATGATTAGATGGTTGTGTAATGAGTGTGATGCTGCAAAGAGCGAAAAAGGAAAGTGATTGTAATGACTGTGGTTGTTGTTGTGGTGGTGGTGATTTCAATTGTGACGGCTGAACATGGCAGCTTTATAGAATCTTGAATCGTTATTTTTGGTAGATGCTGGAGCCGGCAACGGGTCGTACGGCATAGCGAATGTGTAGCAGTGTCGCATAGTCAACGCGAAGTGGACGAAGATGTCGAAAACAACGGGACTCCGAGTTCAGTAAGCATTCTGAAATGTCACTACTCATTACTCACACTGCGAACGCGCTGTGGAGGTGTCCATTTTTAGCTTGTACAAGGCCGATCTGAAACTCGGACAAGTTAACCTCCCCACATCATGTCTCTTGTCTAATTCAACATCAAATCACAAACTCTACAATCGTGCACACTCCCATACAATACATTTCCGTAAATGCAGAGGCTAGATGCCTATGTACTGGTGCGGAACATTGTACGAGGAAAGCCTATGGCCGAAGCCCGTTACTCGCCGTGCTAGGCATTATTCATAAAAATTCCATTGCATCAGCCACAATTCAATGTCGCGGCTATGGAATCTCCGTATTACTTCCATAGGGAATTCGTAATGATCCGAGAGCGATTTTATCACCCGACAGCTGTAATCATAGACTAACAATGAGCCTTATCAAGAGGCTGCCAAAGCAATATCGTTATTGAAGGTAACTTCAATGCGCGGAAAGATTCCTTTTCCCTAAAGTCCGGGACTCCGGAGAATGTATAACACGACGCAATGCCTCGAGTGCGGAACCAAAACGGTTCAAGACCGAGGTGCACCCAATACGGGCACTGCTGCACATTTTGGATATGTGGGGCGGTTATGTTGTCCGATTGTTGAAGACCGGATCTAGCCTCATCTTTGAAGAATGGGAACCTTGAGTTTGTAACAAGATACGACACGGTGACGGCAGTTTGCCATTGACTACTTCAAACCTACACAACGTTGGGTCGATAATTTGTGTTAGATTTCCATTGGTTTTTGTTCTAAGGCAATGTCAGAGTGGTGAACCTTTTGCGCCAACATGAGGTTTTCATCCTCCACCATGAAGGAGGAAAACCAAAGGCGTGCATGATACAGCTGTGTTTGGAAATCCTGGAAAATCGTCTTCGCGACCATTATTCCCAGCAATTGTCCAACTACGCCCATTCGTCGCACGAAGTCTTTGGATCGAAATCGCTACCAGACTGAGCTGCGCAAGATAATCTCCAAAGCTGTCAATCACAAACAACTGCATGATTTACCCGGAGCAGATCCCGCAAATACCAGCCAGCAGTCCATTGCGCGATCATCTCCCGTGGATCAACACCTTCCCCGCACATCGTGCAGGCTGGGCAAAGTGCGGGGATACCAAGAGATAAGACCGTATGAACCTTTGATAAGGGGAATTCGTAGCTATAAAATATTGGTGGTAATTTTGGACCATATGTGAATGTTGCGAGAGTTGATCAAAATAATCTTCATATAGAGGAACTGATCGAGTAAGAACAGCGAATAAGAGCGAATTTTTACATTGTACCATTGTCCTAATTAATAGTTGGATTGTTCGCTATGTAAAATTCAACACACGGTCATCCCGCTCCTGCAAATGCGAAAGGCGTGCTTGCGGTTGTGAGAGACATATCGCTCATTCAGCCTTGGGATTGTAGACTTTGACGTAGCGGATATGCTCATTACCCGCGTCATCGTAATGTCTCTGAGCGACGATCTTGTACCCTCCAATCTTCGGCACGACCTTGGTCCAGATTGTCCAGTAGAAGGCGCCGAGCAACAACACGCCGACACCAACGACGGGGAAGACGTAGTACGGGTAGCCTTCGGCATCCCAGTCGCCATCCGGCGGAATGAAGGGCACGAGCGCGAGGAAGATGTTGGCGGCAAGGTAGAGCACGGATACGGGGATCCAGGTGTGCCATGGTGATGTCCAGGCTTCTTTCTTGCTCCACTGGAGGTAGATGAGACCGGCGGTGACAAAGCCATTGATCCAGGCTCCTGGGTAGGTGTACAAATCGGTGATGAAGTTGTAGGCTGGGCCAGGAGGAGGTGCCACGAGAACGATGACAGTCACAATCCAATGAAGGAAGAGCTGAAGAATAATTAGCCATAACTCGATAGAGAAAAGATACCAGGATACTTACGGCGGTGGAAGGAGAGTTGAAGGGCTTATTCGAGGCCCAGAAGCGGCTCCATGGGAGGAGACCCTCTTTGGCAAATTCTTGATTGAGACGAGCGTGGGCGAAACTGACAGCAAGCACGTTGCCCAAGTTGCTAATGGCGACAAATGCAGGCAAACTGCGAGCTCCTGCGCTATCTCCGAAGACTTTCCTGAAGAAGACTCCAGCAACAATGACGTCGCTAGTGGCAAGTTCATCTTTGGGAATGGCGGCGAAGTAGGCGACGTTGGCCAAAACATAGAGAATAGTGACTCCGCCGATAGCTAATGGAGCAGCGACAGCCAAAGTCTTACGTGGATTCTTGACTTCGCCCAAGACGTAGTTGGCGTTCTCCCACCCCTTATAAGAATAAATAATGCGGAGGAGCGCCGTGCAGTAGGCATAGGCGCCGCCTCCACCCCAACCTTCACCGGTATTGAACTTGAAAGCGTCATCGAAATTGTGCGGATTCTCGGGTCGATGACCAGCGAGGGCTGCGAAACCAGAGAATACAATGAAGAGGAGAATGACTGCCTTGAAGACACCCAGAACATTGAATAAGCGGATACCCCACTTCGGTGCGATGACATGGATGAGGATGGCGAAAGTAACGCAAGCGATGGCGATGCCACGCGCCTCCCAATCTCCCGGCTTCTCGACACCTGAAGCATAGAGAACGTAATTACCGAATGCAAGACTGTTACCAGAGGAGAATCCAAGGAGGATCATCTGTGCGGCAAGAACACATGTGGCCAAATATTTCGGGTGACGGTAGACGCGTTCCAAATAGTTCTTCTCACCACCAGAGCGCGGGATTGCAAGACCGAATTCCATGAAGACAGAGAGACCAGCAAAAGTGAGGATTCCACCTGCAAAATGGTCAGCTGGTTCAAGTCAACTGTGTCACTGTAACGCGCAGAACTTACCGATGATCCACAGGAACAGACACACCCCAACGCTTCCGGTAGCAGCGAAGATTCCAGATGGAGTAGAGAAGATACCCGTTCCAATCATCTTATTCAGAATCAGGAAAACGGCACCGGTCACACCAAGCTTCCTGTCATCGGAGTAGGCATAGGTATTGTCTTGCTGAACAACGCCTTGGTCGAAGTCGGGAGGGGGCGTGGTGTCGTTGAAGTCGTTCTTTGGCTGAACGACTTCACCTCCTGCTTCATAGTCCTTCTTGTCGGCCATATCGCCGTGAAGGACTGGAGGTTGAATTAAGGTTGTCGAATATTCCCCCCTAGTGCAGCCCGATCAGGGAGTTTATCTCACGACGCAGATGCAGGTGTAGTTGGCAGAACCACAAGGGTGGGAGGGAGTGACAGGATGACTTTGACAGGCTGTGCGCGCGATCCATGCATATATATGAGAAAGCAAGTCACTGGTCATTGCGAGGTGAACATCGCGAATCCCGTAGGAGGCGGTGATTGCCCTTTCGCCATTGTCAGACGGGTTTGCGATGAATGTCTTGGGTTACATGGGCTCCAAGGCACCGGGAGATACCAAGAGTTGGATCTTTAATGACAGACAACCCCATGAGGAAGGTCAAGGTGTAGGACTGAGAAGATCAGGCTGACGGGGATGGACGCGGGTTAGTGGGACAGGCGGGATGAGCGTCATGGGGGATGGGGTTTTGTCTTGGGGTTGATGCTGTTTGGATATACGTAGTTATATGGGCGAGACTTAGTTGGACGGTGAATGCTTGTATCGCCCAAACCGTTACTAGTGGATGTCGTGATGACAGGGGACCATCGCGTTGTGCCCAATTCCTTCTTGGCTATTTCACTCTTCCTCTTCATCTTCCTCTTCTGGCGTCCTACACCTCCGTCTAGATGAAATCCACTACGAGAGCTGAGGTCGACATCTGGAGTTATCAAAGTTCATCATCCATGGCCTGCAGTTACTGACTGTAGGGAATGTGCTACAGAGAAGACGACGGCTTCGTACTTAGCCCTCAGTAGCGGTGCAGGCGGACTACCGCCCGGACTGCAGGTCAACGGGAGCGTCGATCATCACCAAGCCTATGACGACAAGGATGGCAACGCACTGTTTCTGTCAAAGGAGCTCGTGCCCTTAATATGTGCCAGCCAAGCAGAGGAAGGACAACTTATTGGGGAGCGAAGGATCTTTATACGAATGTCGTGAATTCAACACAAAATGATGAATATATTCCTTCCAATAATGCAACACATTCATTCCCACCAAAATATACACAGTATGGAGAGGCAACAATGAATGCATGAGGCCTGGAAAGGAACACGTCCCTACATGGTCAAGTGTCTTCTAGAAGCATGTTCGACTTTAAGGCGGACCGGGACCCTCGACATCGATCAGCAGTCTCTCAACTGACCTGGTGCCTGGATTCTTGGAATGCGCCGCGCCGACAAGACAAGACTGTGATATGTAGATCGCTTTTTTTCTGACTTGTAACGTCGTTTCGTTTGATCGGGCGGCCGAGACGATGTTCGCACGATCTACGCGTACAACATATTAGGCTACATACACCAAACATAATCGTGCACAGTACCTTATAACAGCATAGCTGAAGTTTGTACGCAATGCTGCGAATCTGACAGCAGCTTCGATTTCGGATACTCTATCCTGGCTACGCGGCAACTGCACCCACCAATGGATCTAGATAATCCAATATAAGTAATGCTTGTAATACAGTTGTTTACAATTTGCATACAGTGGGATCACTTCCAGTCCAACTTCTGCTTTGAGCATGAAGTGTATGCTGAGATGGAGGAGGCGGTGGAGTTGATGGATCTGATGGAGGTGGAGGAGGTAGACGTGGGTTTTGCGTTTCCAACTGAGGTCTTCAACCTGTCTATATTCTTCTGGGGTTCTGTCTCGCCGCAGTGTATGGCGTATTTCCGTTACTCTATAGTGTACAGACGTCATCAAGACGAAACAAGGACAACAGCAGCTTCCTTCTTTCTTACTCCAAATCTCAGATGGAAGGTTTGGTCCTTACATCGCTCACACTGGCAGTTACGGCCCTACCTAATTTCTTTTTAGTGTTAACATCCTAATACCAGCTACCTATAGCAAAGCTAAGCTTAGTAAACCATCTTGCGTCGATACAGCCAGATATGGTTATAATACCAAGGACGATATGTAGAATGCCAGCCACTTACGTTGCGCCCTCATCCTTCTATCAAGTAGTCAGTTAAAGTTGACTAGAGTCTGTGTCAATTTCTAGTAAAATAAAGCACAGTATGTACATCATACATAGACACGCTTACTGGCCAAGTTACTCGCAGCCACGCCGCGCTTTGAACTCCGATGAATAACTATGGCCAACCACATAGATGCCTAGGTATTCAGTACCGGCCGAAGCCCTCAGCGAAGGTCTGTAGATACAGCGGGTTGGCATGTCAACCTAATTTCCTGCTAGTATATATATTATGCCTACAACAGTGCGTTTGCAAGAGATCTATTGCAAGCAGTTAAGGTTGTTTACTGGCTACAGCACACTCTTAAATAGATACTTTAGGCATCAGAGATACATGAAGCTAGCAGGTGGACAGTCCGACGTGCTAAGCTTTTGTACATTGATAGTCCTGCATCCGGCTGGCGCCTGTTCTACAACATGTAATTCCAGAATAAATCTCACTAACTGGTTTCTTGTCCTCTACATTTGCTTAAAAGAGAACATTACTTCGCCCTTGATTATTCTGAACACACTAATAAGAGCAAATTATGAACGAGTTGGAGCCAATATAAAGGCTACACCAACTAATCAGCAGTTACATCGCCGTGCCTCGCTTGACATGACCCGGTATCCTTATATTAGGGCTGTGCCACTCACAGTCAGATGGGCAAGTGGCATAGCAACACACACTTCAAATGGCCTACAGCCGAGAAGCTCTGTGGAGGCAATGGGATATGAAAATCCATCAGACGGTCCAGCGATCTGGGTGCTACGACAATCGACGGTTCTACAGATGTAACAGGCACCGCGACAGATCCGTATCCTTTCAGTGTACAAAAGTTAAGGACTGTTGAGCTATGTGAACATGCAACCTCTCAAGGGAAGCGTATGGGAGTCGCTGTCCCTATGAGGCCCAGCAGACACCTTATATATTAAGCTCGAGAGTCGCTAGCACACGATCAATCTATTTCGACAAGAAGTGCACCGCCCCTTCTCATTCCACCATACCATTGAAGAATCATGGCAAAAGTATTGAACAATGGCACAGAGCCAGCTGTACTACGCAAACTCGGAATCAAGTAAGTATCTGTGATTGACTTCAGCGTAGTATTTCGGAAACCCTCACTGATGCGGCGTGTCTAGTGAGAAGTACCAACTAGCTATGTATCTCCTGGATCAGTACCGTGGCACTATTCTCTCCTGTCGCTACACACTTCCGCAACACCTCGCACTGGCAGAGTCGCAGACCCGGTTAGAGGAGGTAGTGAAGGTTGCTGTCGTGGACACCATTATGAGACATCCAATGCTGCAAGTCGGCATGATAGATGCCACGTCTAAAACACCCTCGTGGATCCAGCTGAAGAGTCTCGACCTGAAGCATCATATACAATGGCTTTATCTTGGCAAAGATATTGATTTTGAACATACTGTCCAGGAAACCATTCGCGTTCAGCTCGATGAGCGTTTTCCTGAGCTTTCTACGAAGCAGCCAGACTGGAAGATCACCGTCATTTGGCAAGCAGGTGCTGCTGTCATGGAGGTCCTACTCACCTGGAACCACCCTCAGTTCGACGGTGTAGGTGCCAAGGTGTTCCATGAAGACCTCCTCGAGATGCTTACCAGCGTCGACGATAGAGGATACGAGCGGCCAGGATTGAATGAAGATATCCTTACCCTGCCCGAAGCGCCTCCCTGCCTTCCAACCCCAATCGAGAGTTTAAAGAGCCTCCCTTTAGATTTAAAGTATCTCGCCAGAGTATATTGGGACGAAATAAGGCCCCAATTTCTCAACCGTGACGTATCCCAGGCAACCTGGTGTCCGATCCGCTCCTCTCCATACAAGACCCAGTTCCGGGCCTTCTTAATAGACAACGCATCGTTACTTGCGATTCTAGCACTCTGCCGACAAAACAAGACGACAATCACCGGCCTGCTAAACGCACTGGCGCTCATTGCCTTCTCGTCGCGCCTCGACAGCGCGGCCGCCCCGGCCTTTCAATGTTCAACCGTCATGGACCACCGCCGGAATCTGCCTCCAGCACCGCCAGATGCCCCGTGGGATCGGTCTGACAGAGCAGTAAGCAATTACGTGACACAGGTACCCCATAGATTCGACACGGGGCTGGTGGGTCGAATTCGCTCCAAGCTGCTGGCGAATAGCAGTGAGGGATGTGACCTTCTATCCACCGACCTACAACGCGAGCTCTGGACTGTCGCAGCGCAGAACCGACGGGAGATATTGCAGAAGCTAGACGACGGGCTGCGAAATGATCTCGTAGGCGTATTTAGGCACGTCACAGACTGGCAGAAGACGATGAGGGATATGGCAAAAAGACAGCGTCAATTCACATGGCTGATCAGCAACATTGGTGTCCTCGCGGGCAACACTTCTGAAAATGCCCAGGAGTGGTCGATCAACCGAGCACAGTTTGGCCTCAGTGCAGAAATTCCCGCTGCCGCCATCGAGTTTGCCCCGATTAGCGTGGCTGGCCGGGGTATGTGTGTCAGTGTCAACTGGCCGGACTGCGCTGTTGATTTGATGCTAGGGGAGCGCATCATGGCTGATCTGAAAAGTTGACTGATCCAACTTGCGAGGCAAAGTCTTTCTGTTTCATAGGCTTACTCTAATGTGATCAGTTGTTGGCTACTTGGTGGAATGGAACAACACAAGGAGGTCATGTTAGAAGCTATCAGTATCGGAGGCCAACTACTGCATACATTGACATCTCATGTACACATTACATAATCTATCCCTTCTGAACTTATGTGTCTCACCATCAGATTTCCAAGCAGTTCATGCCGGGCGAGTGGTGTATTCGTTTGTGGCTAACTACGGTAGCTGGAGAAACGACATAAAGGTACAGAAGTATGCAGCTCGACTATCAGTCTCGCACTTATGGTGCGTTGAGACACTGCTACAAGTGATCCCCCAACCTGATCCTACCTGTCCTTGGCTGTATAGCCTAGGTTCACCTCCTACTTGATGACTAAAGGAATCTTGCCAAAGGCAACACAAAAGTCCTTTCAGAATCGTTCCTCAAGGGCTGCAGCCTTACGCTTGTTTGGCGCACTCCTGATGACTGTCCTGAAGTGCATATCGACCTCACTAGTGATGTCCACCATCGTCCGAGGTACTCCTTCATGCAGTGTTCGGAGGTAGATATGGGGCACTTTTGCGGTACCCTTTGAATTTTTCACGCTGTCGTACAATTGTTTTCCAGCGTGCGCCCACTGTTGTCGGATTTCCGGCAAGTGGCCAGGCATGGCCATTGCCATGACGAGCCTCCTCATCCTTGGGATTCCAAGCTTCCTAATTCTGCTGCCGTCAGAGTCCGCGCGACGTTTTGTGTGGGAACGCACATACCTGGTCTTGTAGCTGTGTGGGAGAAACAAGATCATTGTTGGACTAAAGTTGTACATCTTGGCGTACAACGCTGCGAATTCCAATTCCTTCTCTGCATTCGTGAGGGCGTACCCACAAGCCTTTGCAAAGAAATGCTTTGCCATCTCTTCGCCAGATGCAAAAGGTCTAGGACCTACTATTTTCTGTCCAAGGCGATAGGCTTTAGATCTAGTGTTCTCAAAAGCAGCGCTAAGTGCTCTGAAGGAGTTGTAGAATTCGACTGCAGCTATTGCGTTAAGAAGGTCGCTTGTAGCATTTGGAGTGTCATTCACATGCCCTCCAGTACGACTGTAAGCCAAGAAGAAATCTTGGATGATGCCAGTAAAGCCTTCATGGCCTGCGTATTCGAAGGCGCGGACATTCGGTTTCCCTACCTTGAGCTTATGGGTGAGGTTGTAGGCAGCAGTCTGATTAAATCTGTAGATCCCAGACCGACTATACATATCAATGATGAGATTGACGGCTTCGACCGCCATCTTTACACCGAATCCCCTGATTTGGTGGCGGAGTCCGGCCCCATACGCATACACAGCCTTGGATAGATATCTGAACAATTGGAGAAAACGACCGGCCAGGGCTTCTCGATCAAGGTCAGTAGAGACTCCGTACAAAACTTCTTTAATGTTGAGTTCATCCTCCCACGTCGAGACCAAGGCAGGTTCTTGGGGAGCGGGGTAGTCCTTTTGACCAACCGCCACCCTAACATCGTCTTGGAGGTACTGTCGTTCTTGGGGCATTAACTTCCTGTCGGTAGCGATGATACCCGTCATTGAGTCAACCAGGGCGCGCACTTCTCCTTTCTCGGGGCCTTCGTTGCTGAGCCGGGTGGCGATCTCTGGTAGAGGGCGATGGTTGGCCCAACCCCAACAGGCCTGCGTTTCTCGGCTTCAAAACGATGGGACCTCTTAGAATTTTCATCTTGATCAAGCATAGAACCCGAACTGAAATGTGTCGTGGATGATTTGAAGTGCCGGTGCGGGTAGCGGCCTGTGTGATCTTCTCTCTAACGACCTCAAACGCGATCTTTTGGCTGTAGCGGCGCAGAAACGACAGAAGATATTGCGAAAGCTAAACGACAGGCTGCAACAAGACCTCGTGGGAATTTTCAAGCACGTCGCGGACGGGCAGAAGACAGAGAGGTATATGGCGAAAAGAGATGTGGAGAGGAGGGGTGTGGAGAAGAGAGATATGGAGAAGAGGCGAAGAGGACGCGCCAGTTCGCGTGGCAGGTGAGAATAGCGGTGTGCTCGACGAACGGCTGTCAGGAGTAGCCAATCGTTCGAGCTTGATCTGATCTTGGTGCTGAGGTTCCTGCTGCTGAGATCGAATTTTCACCTGTCAGTGTGGCTGGTTGAGGGAAGAGTTTGGTGCCAACTGTCTGGATTGTGCTGTCGATAGAGTGCTAAGTGAGAGAGTCGTGGCTGATCTGAGGAGATGGCTGGCGCGATTGGCAAAGCAAAGATGGCGTGAACTTTTGTTTATTCATCAGTTTCCTTGTACAGTTGCAAATGCCAGTACTGAGGCTCAGAGAGGGGAATCAGGAAAGATTTAATGCATCATTGCTCCTGTTTCTGATCTCCAAGGCGACGTGTGCCAATTCGAATGCTTGCTACGATAGAGGCTCTTTCACGCTGTCGATGGAAAGTCATGTACTGTATATAGTAACCAGAAGTCTCAAGGAACTAACTCCACCCAAAGGCTAACTTGAATTTCATATGGAAATCACTTATATGGTAAGGTAGCCTCGAAACCCCCCCAACAGTCCACCAGCCAATCAATCAACCATCTGCATTTGAAGCCATCGAAGCTCGCGGACGCAATCTCTCCACTCTTCCGGAGTAACTATGTACGAACCGCCCTCTCTCTCGACTCCACTCATCCCCTCAATGCTCCTCCCGTAGAGCACCTAATTCCCACCTCCCCTCCACCCCCTTCCACAAAGCACACCACCATCCCTTCCATCGAGACCGAATCTACCCAATACGGCTGATCAAGAACCTCGGCGCGTTAATCGCCGCCTCATCAGTGTACAAGAAGTGGGCAGGGAGGATGAATAGCGTGCCATAGCACACGGTGTCAGTGACCTGGCAGTAGACCTCGACCTTGCTTCCGGGGAACCCATCAATGCCGCCTCTGTTCTGCAGATTCTGCGTGTATCCGAACAAAACGACGCCCTTGATCTGGTCCTTCACTGCGGTGCTGAGCTCAGAGATGGAGGCGGCCATTACGGCGGTGCCTTGGCTGGTTTGGGGGGTCAGTGATGAGGTAGCTATGGATGGGGCGATGAGAAGGAGGTGTCGTACCTGTAGCCGCCTGCTACAATGGCAGCGTTGGGGCATTTCTGCGCGGCGAGGTTGAAGAGACGCTTTGCTTCTCCGATGGCGGCGGTGCTGGTGCCACGGGGGAGGAAGTTGGATGCTAGGTCGGCTGTGTAGGGGAGGCCGACGCCTTGGACCCAGATATTGTTCCTGTACTGTGCTTCCAGGCGGTCGGCTAGAGTGGTTCCCGCGCTGATGCCCTGTTCAAGATGTGTTTAGCTTCAGCTCGAGGAATTGAGGGGGTTTCGAGATTGCGTTGGCATACCATGTTTCCAGGCTCAGTGGAAGCGCGAGCGAAGATGAAGATCACGCGAGGGCAGTTGGCAGCATTGCCGTTGACCAAGTCATTGCGAGTGGAGCCCACCTGGCGGACTTCCAAAGCAGCTTCTTCGGAGACTGGAGCAGCAGCGGCGAGCTGTGCGATGATCGAGAGGATAGCGAAGAACTTCATGGTTGAGATTGTTCAAAGATCGATTGATGCTTTTTCTTCGACACTGGAAGGATCTGGAACTTGGATTGAAGAAGACAGTGACTTTGCGGCTTGGTGTTTCTGATCGTGCTGATGAGATCCCTTTCGCCATGATTCCTTCACTCTTTTATACTTCTTCCCTCGCTCTTCAAGACACTTGCACATGTCTCCTCCCCGCTTTACCAAAAAGAAAAACCTTCAAGGCAATTCGATTTTGAAGCATCTTCCTCGGTATCTTTCCAGACTTCCCTTCCCACACCAGGATCATCGCGAGAAAGCACCGCACCCGCTAAGAGATTTATATTGAAGTCATCAGGGGGCCGGTCATTGCAGGAAGCATTTCCACGCTAATGTCTATCAAGATTACATACCTGCATCCATCGGGGGGAGACCTATCAAATCACCTCACCCCATTCCAACCATCACCGCCACAAATTTAGTCCTCAAGCATATTCCCCGAGAAAACACACCCCGTTGTCGTTAACCTGAAGCCCAAATTCACGTCACATGACCGCGTGTATGCACAGCGCCCAGACAGGAATGACCGCATTGCGTACTGCCTCGGCATCGAATATCAACACAGCAACACCATTCGTCAGCTAGCGACTTCGACATCAACAACATCAACAACGATGCACACACACACTCGACCATCCATGGAAAAGTGCTCTCCAGTACCCACAAAAACAAAACTTTGGCTGCAAGACTTCCGGTTCCTTTTCATGTACCCCGCAAAGCCAAGGTCGTAATGCTGCCTGTCGCCATCTCCACCATCTCATAGCAGGCTTCTGCTTGCCCTTCGATGCGATCAAAGAGTCCCATCATTGGTGGGACATTATAAAAAAGCAGTCCTAGCACAGCATCTTCTCGCGTATCGGCAACTATGAATCTGTAGTTACATACCTAGGTAGTTAGTGTCGGGACTCGTATATCTGGGGTACATGACATGACATGGTCTGGGGTTTTGCATTGCATTGCATCTTTTCAAAGGCGAGGAGAAAAGCAAAATTGAGGCTTGATGTTTTGGAATTTGCCGAGGCATTGATGGGAGGGAGAACTTTCTGGAGAGGAGAGAGTGTGTTGTCCTTGTTGTTTAATTTCGAGTTGAATGTGCCGCGGTTTGGGAGAGGATGTGGGTATGGCATGGCATGGCATGATATGGTGGATGGGATGGCTTTGGAATCGTTGTAGGACTATGGTGATTAGCAGGTGTCAGATCCTTCCATCTCCATCCATATCACGTGGAAAAAGGGCGATTTGGAAGCCATCTTGAACAAGAAGAATCTCGAGTAAGAGGATGCAAGGCATCAACGGGCTTCCTTGAATGTTCTGCTTCCCAGCGTGCCTTCTTCCGTTGATGGTTTCTCATCTAACAATAAGCGCATACGACAGGTTGAGATAAGCCTGAGGGTACTTCGACGTGGCAAAAGGGGCTCCAATCAGTTCGCGTGAGTATTGACAGTGCATTATCACTCAAATGGAACTATTTCTTATACGCTCATGAACGTTACCATGAACGAGGGAAAGGACCGCATTAGCGCAGATAAGCTCAACAGTTTGTCGTGCACACAGTATATAATCTGCTGAAGAAATACGTTGCGGAAACGTCGTCCCGTGGGTGGTCACTAACTTCAAGGAGTGAGATAGAGCAATTATGTGGCCAACACTTCGTTGTCGGAAATTCAGGGCACTTAGAAAGATCTTTGGGGGCACAGAAGAAACGGTGGTCTCCTTCACACTGCACGATGATATCTCATATTGTAACGCTTCCATTGTATTTGGTATTGTTTAACCCTAAACGCCTTTTTGTGTATTAGTACCCCATGAACAAACACTTCGCACCCATCAGTACCGTATTTTCAAGTATCTCGTCTCATATCTACCCAATCTTAACATCAACTTCCATAACACATTTGACCAAATCTACTTCGGTCAATCAAGTCATCAGCAGATCACGTCTCCGCAGCCGACCCCCCAGGTCCGAAGCCAGTGGACCCGAGATTCGAGCTCAGCCGGCGGAACCCTATGCCCATGCCGACAGGCACACTGCTCCTTCTCCTGACGGCGGTGCTCCTTCGTCGCGAGCGGCTCCGTTCTCCTCCCACGTTGGTGTGCGAGCTTGATGACGCGCGGCGCTTCTTGTATCTTGTCGCTACTCCTGCCCCAGGATAGCGGTTGTCTTCGTCTTCGGAGGACGAGTGATACGCGACAGATGATCCATAGGATAAGGTGTGGGAAAGTAGGTTGGTAGGTTCGCCGTATTCGGATTCGGATTGGCCTTCCTCGTCCTCCGCTGCAGTGCCGTTTCTCTTCGCCTTTGCGTCCACGTGCTTCCGCCTTCCGTTATCGTCGATAATGTCTCCTTCATCCTCATCGTCCTCCTCGCCACTCACGATAATAGAACTCCCAGACGAAGCACTAGCACTCAAAACGCTCCCCTCTCCATCCGCCTCGTCAGGATCGTCACCGAACCCCTTACCCTCGACCAGCCAGAATGTCGGCACAAACGCCGCGGCCGCGATCACGCTGAGAGCCCAGAAGGGGATGATGACGTAACCGATTTTGGCACCGAGGGTGAATAGATTGCCGCCCGTGGCTGGTCCCGCAGCTCGGCCTACCGCTGAAACGGAGGTCGCGAGCCCGTTCAGTACGCCCAGGACGCGCAGCGAAGGGGCCGAATTCGTGATCATAATTGTCGAGCAAGGGAACGCGAAAGTGCCTGCGAAGCCGCGAACAATCATCAGGGCGCAAATTCCCAGTTCCTTGGTGGACTGCGTGGGGAGAAGAGAGACGAAGGGCGTGATGAAGAAGACAAAGGGGTAGATACAGAGAGACATGCGGAGGCACGGAAGAACACCGAAGTGCCGGGTTATGGCTGGGAAGGCGAGGAATTGAAACAGCGTGCAAGCGATGGAGAAGACGGTAAAGATGGCACCGATGCGACGCGAGTCGATGCCAAAGCCGCCGGAGAATTTGAGGGGAAGCTTCACGGCGGGATCGTCTATTGATTGCGGTGGGTGGTGCATGAAGACCGGAAGAAGCTGGAGGAAAGAATTAGCAAACGATGTTGGGATGCTGAGAGGCATTGAACTAACTTGGTCGTATGAAAGTGAAAAGAATGCGAGGAGCGTGTAGACAATCAAGTTTAGCTGGGTCTGGGGAGTCAAAATCTCGAGGGCGCTGAGGGACCTCGTAGGCTTGATCGCGGCTGCATCTGGTGCTCCTGTCTCTTCGTCGTCGACGTCTTTCGAACCTAGCAGGGGTTCACGCTCGTGGTGATGATGATGGATCTTCTTCTCTCTTTTGCTAATCCTGAAAGTCTTTCGGAACCATGCAGTCAATTTATCTCCTACCATGCGCCCATAGTCAGGCGCATTCTTCTTTGATTCGAGCGTTTCCTATCACCAATCGATCAGCGCCACATTCCATTACTATCGTAAGAATAGCCGCCTTCATACCTTCAAAAACAGCCAACCAGTAATAATTCCCGTAATAAAGAAACACGCAGCAACGATATTCGGCAGGCAATAGGGATACCTCTCCAACAGCGACGTTCCACGGGGGCCATTCGGATCGACGCCCATCGGGTTCGACAACCCGCCTCCCAGCGAGGGACCAATGATGGACCCGACCGTGAAAACAAGCGGCATGATACTGAAAGCTCTAGGTTGCAATTCCTTCCAGGGACACAGTTCCGCGACGGTGGTGCGCAAGATGCCCACGTTCCCGCTACCGAACCCTTGCAGGCCACGCGCGACCATTGCCATGGGTAGGGTCGTGGAGAAACCCCACAGGAGCATCGTGATCATGGTATTTGTGAGGCCGATGAGGATTGTTGGTTTGCGACCGATGCGGTCGCTGATGGCGCCCCATATGATTCCCGTGCAGGCCTGGCAAATGGAGAAGGTGGCGGAGGTGAGGCCAGCCCAGCGTGCGATGTCATTTTTAGGGACGCCGAAGGACTCGATCATCTCGGGGAGGTAGGGGAAGACGGAGGTGAGCGCGATGGGCTCTGCGAAGCGACATATTGCTGCGATTGCGGAAATGGTATGTTAGTGTATCGAAGGGGCCTTCAACGTAGTTTTATGAGGGCTGGAGAAGTCGCTGAGGGAAGGGAGAGGGAGGGGTTTAGGAATGACGCACAAAGGATGACCAGTTGCTTGACTGGTAAGCGGCGCTCTGTCATATCAAGGCGAGGGTGAGCCACAGAGGCATGCTATCAACCTTCAGAGAAGGAGACGAGGGAAAGGGAAGGGAAGGGATAAGAATGGGGGGTTATAAGAGTGGGGATGGAGGGAATGGATGCGGTGTGCATCACATTGCTGGGTTATGTATGTACATATGTATGTATGTACAGATGTGTTCGGAGTATACCTACAGGTATATGTATGTAGTTGGCGTAGTTGGATGGATGCAGTTGACGAGTGACGGAATAGCTGTGAGACAGGTCGGAATGACTAAGGAGCCGCCCCCCGCACATCACGGCACTCCCTCTACCGACCTCCCTCTCTCATATCTCACTTGCTATCAAGTACCCAATAACCTTTCGAACATAAATGATTATTCGGTCCTCACTTCTCCATAATGATCTTTGCTCTCGCTCTAGGTTCTATGCTGGAATAGTTTCCGATGGTTATCCGCATGGGCATGTAAGGTGGGAGTCACATAGTCACACGCACACGCGGGCGGCATCGAATCCTAGCTGCAGATGCGCACACCACCCATACACACCCACACGACGATCCTTGTTGCCCCAACCATTTACTCCATCCTGCTATTCCATAAGAGCCATAATTGTTGAAACGACAATAGTAATGCAGAAATCTCTGTTTTATTGAATTCGATCCAAGCTCGTTTCCACTCCATCAGTCTTCTCCATCCAAAGAGAAACTACCTGATCGCTACGTTGGTTGATTCGTCCCAGGGCATTGACAATGCGCATTCGATCATTGGAGTGGCAGAGCACGCAATAATCCACTCCGTACGGAATACACACTGTGATACACTAAAGAAAATTTGCTCCCGCTCCTTTAATCTGCGACAGATGGCTTTTGTATTATTATTCACGAAAAAGTCGCGAACAGGGTGGGTGAATGGCCATTGTCTCCATCCGCGACAGTTCTGACCAACCAACGATCAATTACTCCGACCGGCCGGCTGGCTACAGGTAACCAAAAAAATACACCATACACAGTACATCATTGAAGTTCAAGAACATTTCTTTTGCTTGCATAGATTTACATCATGCATGCGGGTAGTCGCATCAATATGTTGTTACTACCTAGTACTACTACTACATTAAAGATTGTCATTACAATTACGTTCTTTTGTTCATTTTCATCCATCATCTCCACGCTAGGAAATCTGCTTAGGACTTGATGACAATGTCCTGGATCAACTCCTTGTCCTGGCCAGTGTAGTACCTGATCCAGTTGAAGATGGACTTGTGCCAGACCAAGCTGTTCTCGCGGTTCAAGACCCAGTGGTTCTCGTTGGGGAAGTGGAGGAATCGGGAGGGGACACCGAGACTCTGGAGGATGTTGAACAACATGATACCCTCAGCGATGGGCAGACGGTAGTCAAGGTCGTTGTGCACAACGAAGTGAGGGGTCGAGAAGTTGACGGCGTGGTTCAATGGGTCCCACCTCTCGTAGTTCTCGCGGTCGTTCCAGATGGTACCGTTCTGGTCCTGCTGGACGAACCAGAGCTCCTCAGTTCCGTAGGAACCGACCTGGTTGAGCTTGCCATCGTGGCCGACAAGGGCCTTGAAGCGCCTGCCGAGCTCGTGACCCTGAACCCAGTTGATCCTAGTACAATTGTCAGCTATTGCTCGCATCGTTCATGCTGTTTGGATATCCTAGGGAGAACTTACATGTAGCCTCCGTAACTGGCACCGGCAGCAATGGCGTTGTCAGTGTCAATGTAGTCAATGTTCTCCTTGATGTAGTCGAAGGTCTCAACGAGATCAGTGTAAGGAGTTCCACCCCAGTTGTTCTGGATCTTGTCGGTGAATTCCTGGCTGTAGCTGGGCGTACCGGTGAACTGGGTGGAGGTGACAACGAAGCCCTGATCAGCCCAGGTGCGCATGTTCCAACGAGTGCTCCATGCATCGCCCAAGCTGGACTGAGGTCCACCGTGAATGACGAATGCGAGAGGGTACTTCTTGCTGGGATCAAAGTCGGAGGGGTAGAAGACGAACGTCTGGATCTTGTCACCGTCCTTGTTGGTGATCCAGAAGTTGGAGGTGGAGTTGGGGTAGAGGCCAGCCAACTCAGGGTCGACCTCGTTGGCAGTGAAGATGACCTTCTTGTCCTGTCCAGGGTACTGGCTGTAGAAGATACGGCTGGTCCAGCTGGAAGCGGCGGAGACAAGAGCCGAGCCATCCTTCAAGATGTCGAAATCAGCCAAGGTGGTGTCAGGTCCGGTGAAGTTGACAGGCTTGAAGTCAGCCTCGGCATCAGCGGGGACGAGCCAAAGACGGACAGAGGCGTGGAGCTCGGAGGCAACCCACAGATCGACATCATCGGGGCTCCACTTGAAGGTAGAGACGCTGGTGTCCCAGTTCTCGGCAACGGGGGTGACCTTGGAGTTGAGACCATCGACCTCGGCTACGTAGAGCTTGTAGCGGTCGGACTCGTATGAGATACCATCCTGCTGGATGTATGCGAGCTTCTTGCCATCGTGGGACCAGTGGGGAGCACCAGAGGCACCCTTGGCGGCCTCAGGGGCGGAAGAGCCGGGGCCGTTGACGGCAACAGGTGCCTCAGAACCGTCGATGGGAACAAGGTAGATGTAGCTGGCAGTGAAGTTTGCCTTGGGGAGCTCGGGAGCCTTGGTGAGGAAAGCAACAGTGTTGCCATCGGGGCTAATATCATAATCACCCTGGTCGCCGAATGGCTGCACGGGGGTCTCAGGACGGGTAACAGTAGCATTGATACCCAAGAGAAGGTTGGTGACGTTTCCGTCGAAGCTGAGTCCCTTGTCACCCTTGACGAGAGATCCACCAAAGACAGCATATCTTTCGTGGGCAATGTAGACATCCCAGTGGCGGACATAGATGTTGTCATAGAGCTGGCCGGTGCTCAATGGGACGGTGGCAAGCTCTGGGTTGTACGCAGAGCCGTTGTTGGCGTAGGCAAGAGTGTTAACAGCGAAGCTGATGTCACCGTTCTCCTTCTTGACAGCCTTGAGACCCTGGAAGGGTGCTTCAAGCGAAGCGACGAGAGATCTATGATATGAATGTCAGCTGTATTGCTCAAAGACAACAGTCAAACTAAATTGCGAGATAGTAAAGCTTACGGGGAGAACTCTTCGGCACCAATGTCAGCGGTGTAGAGGGTGACACCTCCGGGAACCTCATCGTTCGTGCCGTTGATGTAGAGGATGCTGGTGTCGGTGTCACCAACCCAGACAACCTCGGAGACCTCGGCGTCAAAGGGGGCCACAGTGATGTTGCCGCTCTCGACGTTGAGGAGCTGCCACGTAGTCTTGGACTTGTGGGTAGTCCAGTTGTAGGACGTGGAGGTGAAAAGAGCCCATTCCTACATTCCTCAGTTAGCATCATCTTTTTCCATAGACATGTGGCAATAGGCTAAGACTTACGCCACTAGGGTTCAAGTTGGCGGTGCCTCTGCGAGGAGCAGCAAGCAGACCCCTACGAAAGTCAGTCAGTACATTTTGTCTGTGGCAGATGTGCTAGCAAGTGGTGGAACGTACTCGGGGGTGATAGCTTTGGCCGAGCCAAGCAAGAAGCTGGCGGCAACGAAACACGCACGCATGGCCATGTTTAGCTCAATTGGGCGCTGTACTCAAGCTCAAGACGAGGAGTAAAGAAGCTTGAGGCTCGAAGCTTAAAGGCAGCTGCGGGAGCTTCTTAAGCTTCAGGCTGGAGGCGCGGGCCATGACGTGCTAATTGGGATAGCTCCAGCAGCCCATCTACCCTTGCCTAGACATAGCAGGTATCCAGGATCTCGGCTCGTGGGTTGCGCAGGTTCTCACAAGTTGCAGCATGGGTCGAGCAGTTTTGTCCCACCTCTCAGACCAATTTGGGGTTGGACAGTTAGGCGGGAGTAGTGATTAGAGTGGAGACTCGGAGACGGAGAGGAGAGAGAGAGCGGGTGGCGGGTAGCAATCTGGGAGGTGATAATATCGTGTAGCCATTCAAGGATCACGAATGTTGCATGGATCGCAGGATGGACAAGGGAGAGGGAAGAAGACGAGGTACTCCGTAATAGAAGTTGGAAGAGTGACGAAAGAGAGAAAAAGGCAAGATGATGTTGCGATGTTCCCGATTATCCAAAATGTCAAGTCGTGCAACGATTGGCTAAGCTTATTTCCACCTTCCCAATCGAGACCGTTGCCAAGAGATTGTTCCTGGTGGGGAACATCTTCGTCGAAGCTTAGACAGAGTCCAACTGTTAACCAACACACATAACTAGTTATTCCATCGATTCCATCCACGCATCATCCTCGATGGTGACTAGGTTTACTCCGTTCCCATCGTATAGCCCAAATCACCTCCAAAATCAAACTAATCTACTCGTCCCATCAGTGTAATTGACTCCAACGATGGCCACCCGATCCCACATCCCTGCCTTCGACTTTCCTCTCTCTTCCTAGACCCTGAGAGGCGAGGTCGGGAATACGGGAATTGCCTCGACCGTCAGCAATCTTGCCATCCTTAGTGTTCTCTGTATCACACCAGCCAACTTTCCCACCTTCCAATCCCAGGTTCAACTACCGGCACCATCAGCATACGAGCCATAGTTGCCCCCGCTTGCTGATAGCCTGATGGCCTTGAACAATGTAATGAGCACGTGAGCCACCCCAGTGTTGACGCACCACCGATGATGCAATCACCGTTTAGTCTTAGACGTTCACAATCACAACACAGTTGTCCCGTATTCATCTCCTCGCACAGGTGGCAATGGAATTACACCAACAATTACTAAGATTGCCGCACCGTGAGTCTAGATTGCAAACGAAATGCCGCAATCTTATGGATTTCCCACAAGTGAATGCATCGTTGCAATGATCTCTCTCTCTCTCCCTCTCTTTCCAGGTGGGCGTCAATTCCTCCGGTAAGCAGGCAGAACTACAACTACAAACAAGAGCATATCAACAACAGGCGACAAACAATCAATTGAGGCACTCAATCGTGAATTATATCCATACTAGAACATTCAGCCAATCAAATCACGACACAAGCTTCTTGGCTCTCAATGCCCGTCATGTAGGACGTACCCAGTGGTACCTTACAGATCGTCAACATCCTATCACATTTCATTAGACCTTGTCGCTATCGTCCCGAAGCCGGCGAGATACAGTGCACCACGCAGGGTTGCCATCTGGTTCCTGTCTATCATTCAACGGTGAACCTTTGCCATGGAACCAAAACTTGTTCAGGAACCACGATCTCCCTGTTCCCACGTGGGTATCTGCTGCAGGGCAATGGCATTGAGCCTCACATGCCTGTCTACGCAGCACACCACTGAATAAGTGGGTGTCGGGGCATCATGATGCTGTCTGGTCGATTTGTATCAAATCCCAGCATTCGGATATACTCCGTAGACGAACGAACATTCTACACATCCTATCAGGGCGTAAAATGGTGCAAAACGGCGAGCGCATGCCCATTTGCTACTACTGTGTAGAAAGAACACTGATCACACTGATATGGTCATCCTGTTTGAATGCTGGAGGCACGTGATGTTGACATATCCTTAGACTCAACCAGATCTTAGCACTGAGATCTGCATGATCCACTCCCCTTGGTGGAAGGCCGACGGGGGAGGCTTGTCTAGATTTCTCGAGCTTGTGTTTCTCGAGCTTGTGTTTCTCTTTACTTCGAGAGGCATCGACGATATTCAGGTTTTGCACTACAACTAGTCAGAGGGCCAAAGCCAAAGGCGAGTGAATGCATTGAACTAGCCCAAGGACCTTTATACTTCCGCTTGTGTGATCAACTCTTTTCGGTTATTCGTCCATTACAACTAAAGGCGCATCACATGTTATAGAATTGCTCATATTCTACGATTGAATCGCGCTTGTTTACCATAAAGGCGACATCTGTCCAGCGATTTCGGCATTATCTAGGTGCGATACACGTAGGTCTTCTTCAGGATAATGACTTCATCGCCCGACATGAGCTTCTTGTCATCCAAGTCTGCCCTTTCATAGCACTTTCATTACTGCTACAATGTGGAGCATCAAAGTCTTGGATGACTGATATCTTGCTTGGTGCTTCTCGTCTCCGCAACATAAAGCTCCAATAGGAAGACAGGCAGAGCACCGTCTACCATACTACAGAGGGTTGACACGTCGGGTCGTCCGCCTGCTAGTGTTTTTAGCAGATACAAGGAACAATACGTGCATCTATAGCTTCTTATTTGCTCTAAAGCAGCTGATTAAGGTTAAAGTATACATAACACTAGCAGGTGGACGACTGGACGTGTCAACCCTCTGTACCTGTTCGATATCTCGAGTCGACTTGTCTAGGTAACAAGTGCCACTTATGTGCGTTTGCTAATCGCACGCATGCCACCTTACCTTTCCAGCAATCATACCAGTCCAATTGTCTGTATCTCCCGCTTCTCCGACAGTACTTCCCCATCCATATACCCATGTAAATACGCCTCCCCGACAAGCGTAGCCCGCTTCGGCGCCTTCCCATTATCAATCGGCCTAACAACAAAAGGCACCTTTGCAGAGAACAGCACCCAAATTTCGTCCCCGGGCTGGACGGACTTAGGACCCATGCCCAGAAGGTTCCTCTCGGTACGGAACATCCTCCGGCCCTTCTTCACCTCCTGCATGCGGCGTTCGAACTGCTGTTTTCGGGTCTTCTCCTCGGGTGTGAGGACCGGACAGGCGAAATTTTTCGGCCTTTCCTTCTTGCTAAGCTCCATGTACATGCAAGATAGGAGGGCAGACTGGCGGAATTCATCGGGGAGGTAACGAGAAGGATGCATTGTGGGCGTCAGATTCATCTCCTTGAGCTGCTGCGTGAATTCGTCGTCCGGCGATATCTCATTGAAGCACTCCATTGCACATTCATGGCAGATGTACAGGCCGTTCTCGTCGGCGTGGAGCTTGCCCCAAACCTTTCGTTTCCGCTCTTGGCTGTCTAGGAACCCTCGCAAATTCTTGAGAGCTGTTTTGTCCGTCTCTTTGTCGATAAGACTCTGTATCTGCCCGCTGAGATGCAGCGAATGATGTATATGAGCAGCCACCCAGTCCGAGAACCCGAATCCGATGGACACCGGCGCGGGATGGATATCTGAATAGGCGTCGGCGATCATCGTGCGCCACAGGGCTTCGACGCGCGACATCGTGCCGGGCTCCACTGCATCACGATCTTGGGACATTCGCATGAGGAAATTCCCCTTGTATGTGTAGTCTCCTCCGAGCTTCTTAGAGTACATCTTGGGCGTTCGCAACGCCAGCTCTGCGACTCGCGTGAAGTAGCAACCTTTCTCATCTGCGAGGTCGACAACAGTGTCGACGTGATACCCGCAGAGCACGAGGACCTCGTACGTTTTGCCGTGCTCTTCAGCGGTGAGATAGAACTTCGGCTGCGTCATGGCCGATCCACAGGCGGAGTAGGGCGAGGATTTATTGTCTTGTATGAGCGGCTTTCGTTTCAAAGGTACACTCAAGTCTGGAACCCAACTTGGCAGGTCTTTGATCTTGGTATCCGCGGGGTCCTGGACGTGTGAGAAGATGGACAGATCGCCAATTTCGAAGATTATCTTGGTGGCTACTTTGAGGATGTATTGCGTGTTGGCTCTGTAGTTGGCCTTCATGCCTGGGATCTCAGTCGCCAGATGAAGGAATGCAAAGACTTTGTCCCGCGGGTCGGATGCACCGACATCTCGAAATCTTGTCAGGAGGGAGAATAGTGAGATTGGTTCCGGAGGCACAGGGTCTGCTGGTTCGAGGTCATGATTGAGAAAGGACCCATTAATCCGCACGGCTTCGCTGACCCTATCTTGGCCAGGTGTTGAATTCGCAAAAGGCTCTGACAGATCCTTTCGCAAATAGTTTATCATTAGTCCCTCGCGATCGAGAGGTATCATGAAAGGACTAGTAGTACCCTTCTCCTTGCGAACAAACTTGAACGTAGGCAGCCCGAGGCGAGCTTTGATATCGACAACGCCATTTACGAACGACACAGCAGCTTCAATTCTGTCGAAAATCTCCTCTTCTGTTATCTCTGGCGCTTCCACGGCTTTTCCTTTGGATATGGCTTCGAAGAGTCTGAGCTTCCTAGCGAGTTGGCTGGTCGGCCCTCGCGATATCAACCCAGCCATGAGCTCAGCCATCTCTGAAATAACGCCTTCCTTCCCTATAGCCCGAATCGCGTGGACCAGATTCCACCATTCGATGAAAATGCCTCCGGACCACAGATACAACCGGCGAGCATAGACAGCCTCTTGCACCACCCACGCTCTGTGAAACCACAGCCTTAATAGCAACGCAGTCATTGCATACATGTCCATCTTCCTCTCGCCCTGCTTCCGAGGTATGTCTTCGCTTCCGGGGTCCCTCTCCCAGTCGTCTTTCTTCGCTAGGGAATTCTCCAGGTTGATGATCGCGCTGATGCCAGCCGCACCGAGCGAGTCCATTTCCCCGATCCAGGCAAACACATATTGTGCGGATGCAAATATGCGGTTCATCAACGGGACCTGTGCGTTTCTCTCGTCGATGTCTTCTTGGTTGATGCAGATCGCATCGATCCAGATGTACTTCGATCGGGAGACGGGTAGGGTTTCAAGGTAGGTTAGGCCCTTTGATTCGGCATCCAGCTTGCTCATCACGATCCTTCGAAGCTGCAACAGTGCGGAGAAAAGCGTCTCTGTGACGTTCAGTTCTTGCCCATCGCACATGATCTTTTTGCAGCGATCACGCCCGTGTTCGTGGTCTAGGTAAGGTAGGGAACTATGGACTGCGAGGAAGAACATCATAGATGCTTCGAAATACAGAACACCGGGTGAATCCTTAGACAGATGCATAGGTTTTGCGATCAGTTCGTTCCGAATCTTCTGGCCTACTGGCCCTCCCGGAATAGGTTCCTCTCGGATGGTTATCGGGTTGGCCCACGAGTAGGACAATGCACCGAATGTAGGATTGTCGTCCAGGTCCACCGTAGTGAGCGAGCAATTGATTTCGCCATCTAGCGACGGGAGAAGCTCCAATACACGGATCGATGAGTCGTTGGCTAATCGCTTATATTGGTAAGGTGATGGTGCTGGCAATGGCGGCGTCTCCTTGGCCTGCTGCTTGCGCCGTTGTCGCATCCGCTTTGCGCGTTTTGAAGGCATTCTAAGTGACTCAAAAGTGGTTTTTTGTATCTTGAAACGAAATTCATGGCTTTAGAGTATGATTGCTAGAAACAAGAGGGGATGCTTGGATTTGATGTCGTCGCCTGCAAAGCCACTTTTAAACACGAGCTACGCGCCTGAGGCTTGCCCAGGTGCCGATCTATGCCTGTCGGGCACTGTGGCTGCATCTTAAATCAGCCTACAAGGCGCTCACCTTCGCCAATTGTAACTTGAAGTTTGGAAGTGCTCTACCTCAACGTATGAATACTACGATTTATTTCACCACTTTATCAATAAATATGATCGCTAGTGTTAGGTGGTCCTCCAATTTCACGCGGATGAAGGAAAAGGCAGTTGTCCGAAGAATTGTTTCTATCAAAGAAATCAGTTATTTCTGCAATATGGTGCTGTGACAACTCACCTTTCGCTAAGCCACTCCTCATACTTCCCAGTTTCGTTTCCTGAGGCACTACTCGTGATAGGCACTCAATGACTCACCCGTCAATATCAACAACGTCGATGATGAAACCAACCAATGATAATTAGCACCTCGAATATTTGCAAGGCAACTTTGTCTGCCAGGAGTGCAATGACTTGTATAAGTCCACAGCTGAACCGGACAATATCCTATTTAAGGCGAGTTAATGTCACATTAATATTCCACTTTATCGACTGAGGCTGGCTGTAGAGATTCGGCAAGCTCTGGTGTGCCCTCGATAGTCCAATCCTGTTGTCAGCAGCCAACTGTTTGCAGATTTCCTTGTGCGTTGGGTAATATGCTTCGTTGTCAAGTAATGAGAGAAGAAGAGGGTTGCAAGTACCATCGCTGTCACTAATCTATTCAAAGTGCAGTAAGAGTACTGGTAATGATAGTTAAGAAGGATATTTTTTTTGGGATGCAAGTGTCGTGTAAGAGATCATTTTGTAATTGGATATCAGTTGTGCGAGGGTCCATATACTCTACCATCACCAAGACAGGTGGGTAGTCATGAAAATGGCTTGTAGCCGATCAAAAGAGAATGCAAACGTGCAACTTGTATATTGTGAAATATCCAGGCACGACGACAGTATCCTATATCCAAATTTTTCGCCTGTCTAGAGATAAAGCGGTAAAAGTCTTCGGTCTCAGAGTATTCGTACAAAAAATTCTCTACACAGAAAAGTTAATAGAAAGTAATGTAAAACTATGCGTTCGTTTCACTAGAGAAAAGATAATAGATTCAATGGAAACGAAAACGAATGCAGCGATTCGACAGCGATTGAAATGAGAGAGAGAGACGGTATGAGATGTGCACATGACCTTTGAAGATTTTTGTACATGATCAAAATATTGACTATGTGCAATGACCGCGCCTTTCCATTAATATTTCATCATGTCATTGTGCCAAAGTCTCCACATCCCGAAAGAACCATTATGATCGTCCTCGGCTGGTGCACTTCCATCCGCCCACGCAACCAATAGGCAAAACGTCGGCACATCATCCATGATCGACGTCATATTGGAAAGCGGAGCACAGCAATGACCGGCACTAGAACGTTCAACCCCCTTACACATTCTCTACCAAAAGACACCACACGATACCACATGATGCAGTAACTCGTGGCTACAATGTCTCAATCGGGGTATCAACCTCCGTAAATCACCACTTCACCCTCCACCTCCGCCTACCTTTGCAGTCTCCCCACATCTTGGCTACCTTGGCACAGCGGGCTTCCCCAGCCTACAACGAGCTTCTTCCAATGTTACATCCTTGTACATTCGATGATGGTATAGCGATTTCCCATACGTGACGCCTTCCGAGTGCCACTGCCGATGAGGGAACAGATTTTTTTCAACGGAGGTCGCAAAGAATTGGCTTAGCTCATGAGGGGCTGGCCGTGAGTATGGCCGAGGGATCTGAGAAATGTCCAATACTGGTCTGGAGAACATCGATGATCGACCTCTTCCACGATTGCGGGGGGAAATCGTTGAAGATATAAAAGGGACGACAATGGATTATGATTCTATTCCAGAATATCTGTGGAGAAACACGCAGTGGAGACTCATCGTATTCTCGTTTTCTCAAATCGGGGATTTCTTTTTCCAAAGTCGAAATACATTGGACGAATTCAGCATTGTTAGCCTACGGACTACAGAATGATGGCCACTAGCAGCAGCCATCGTAAACCCACATCGCGCAGCCGTTGGCGACGACGTTCCGCGATCGCGACACTGCTGTTATTCTCGACAACGACATTGATGATAGCACCGTCGACAATTGCATCTCCAGGAGTACCATTCACACCCGCAGCCAGCAACAAGATGCTCGAACCACGAGGCACCAGCAACAACAATGGAACAAACACTCCAACCTACCCCTACCAGGACCCCAACCTCTGCATCGCCGACCGAGTAGAAGACCTCCTCTCACGCATGACGCTCGCCGAAAAGGCAGGCCAACTCTTCCACACGCAACTCCAGATGGGACCCAACGGCACGCTGGACGAAGGCGACCCCGCGACGCGGCGCAACAGCACAGAAGACATGATCGGTACGAAACTCATGACGCACTTCAACCTGCTGGGCTCCGTCTCCAACGTTCGCGAGGCAGCAGAATGGTACAACCGCGTGCAGACCCGCGCGCTGCAGAACCGACTCGGGATCCCCATCACCCTGAGCACCGACCCGCGGCACTCGTTCACCGAGAACCTGGGCACTGGATTCCAGGCGACGTCGTTCTCGCAGTGGCCGGAGAGTCTGGGGCTCGCCGCACTGCGAGATCCGGACGTCGTGCGGAAGTTCGCAGAGGTCGCGAGGGAGGAGTACATGGCGATTGGGATCCGGTCCGCGCTGCACCCGCAGATCGACCTCTCGACGGAGCCCCGCTGGGCGAGGATAGGAAACACAATGGGCGAAGACGCGGACCTCACCAGCGCGCTCGTCGTCGCCTACATCCAAGGGTTCCAGGGCGACGAACTCGGCCCGCACTCTGTGACCACCGTGACGAAGCACTTCCCGGGTGCTGGGCCCATGGAGAACGGCGAGGACTCGCACTTCGTGTACGGCAAGAACCAGACATACCCGGGTAACAACTTCGAATACCACCTCAAGCCCTTCAAGGCCGCCATCGCCGCCGGCGCCAGACAAATGATGCCCTACTACTCCCGCCCCATCGGCACCGCCTACGAAGAAGTCGGCTTCGGCTTCAACAAAGGCATCGTGACCGACCTCCTCCGCACGCAACTCGGCTTCACCGGCATCGTCGTCAGCGACTGGGGCCTGGTCACAGACGCCATCATCCGCGGACAAGACATGCCCGCCCGAGCCTGGGGCGTCGAGCACCTGTCCGAGCTCGAGCGCGCCGCGAAAGTCCTCCACGCGGGCGTCGACCAGTTCGGCGGCGAGCAGCGCCCGGAACTCATAATCCAACTCGTCGAGTCCGGCGTCGTGCCCGCCTCACGCATCGACGACTCCGTCCGCCGCCTGCTCGCCGAGAAATTCACCCTCGGCCTCTTCGACAACCCCTTCGTCGACCCGGACGCCGCCGCCGCCGTGGTCGGGAACCCGTACTTCGTTCGCCTTGGGCAGGAGGCCCAGCGAAACGCCTACACGCTTCTCACCAACCCGACTAACCTCCTCCCGTTATCCCCCTCTCCCGCCTCAACCTCCCCCCTGAAATTCTACGTCGAGGGCATCGACGCAAGCCACCTCGAAGCCCGCAACCTCACCGTCGTGCCCACCCCCGAGGACTCCGACATCGCGCTGCTCCGCCTCCAAGCACCCTTCGAGCCCCGACCCGGCGGCTTCGAATCCGCCTACCACGCCGGCTCGCTCGCGTTCAACGCCTCCGAGGTCGCCCGCCTATCCCACATCTTCACCACCACCCGGGCAATCGTGGACATCAAGCTCGACCGGCCGGCCGTGATTCCCGAGGTAGCGGAGGGTGCGGCCGCGCTGCTGGCCAGCTACGGGAGCGGGCCGGAGGCGTTCCTGGACGTGGTGTTTGGGGCTGGGGGCGCGAGGCCCAGGGGAAAGCTGCCGTTTGATTTGCCGAGGTCGATGGAGGCGGTGGAACAGTCGAGGGAGGATGTGCCGTTTGATACGGTGGATCCGGTGTTTAGGTTTGGTCATGGGTTGGAGTATGGGAGGGAGTGTTAGTGAGTGGTTGGGGGGGAGACGGTGGTTCTGGCCGCAAATGTCGAGAGATGTGATGGTACCGTATCACCGTACATTAGTTAGAAACGAAGTAAATGTAATGAAAGTAATGCGATAGATACTTTTTACGACGTCGAACGAAAGTACAAAAAGAATCAACAATTTTCATACGACGTATGAAGACTTCAAGCGAAACCGTGCACGCACATGGTCCATTCAAATGAAGAAGCCAATTCATCTGGCATTAACATTAACCCTAGCCCCTCCCCTTTCTTCCCCTCGCTGTGTATATATATGTACCTATGTATGCATTGCATGTTTGCTCGCTCGCTCCATATGCTTTCTTTCCCACGTACGTACATCCCGTCCCACCCTGCCTTACCCTACGCGCTGTACAATCCTCTCGAACGCGGGACGATCGACCACTCGCTCTAGCTGCGTGCGTGCGTCCGTTCTCCTAACCTCCCTTTGTGTATATCTCGCCAGAATCATCTTCCACGATGACGACGAGTAGAGATGGCACACGGTATCTTCCCTATCTCCCCCAAACAAAAAAGAAAAGCAGCATTGCTTCCCACCAGATCCCCGATAAAAAGGCAACACAAAAACACCTCTTTTCTTGGTATTATCTACATCCCCCCCAAAAAAAACCCCTTTCCCGTCCGTCCAAAATGCTTTAACGCCCTACTCATTAAAAGATTTCGAATATGTCGAAACAAAGATTTATCGCTTCGGTAATGGTCCATTGGCCTGGCTGATGCTGCCGACCGCGGCGCCGGTGACGGGTGTCTGGGCGCCGGCTGGGGTCTGCGGCGCGGGCGTGGGTGCTCGACTCGGTGCTGCGCTTCGGTTGTGCGCCATGTGCGCCCTGACGAGATGACCTGCGGCGAGGGCGGAGTTGAGGGAGAGTTCTCCGGCGAGGACGGCGGCGGCGATGATTCGGGCGAGCTGGCGGGAGTTGTCGCCGGGAGAGGTGGGGTGAGGGCCACGGACGCCGAGGAGGTCGAGCATGGCGGATTGGGGCTCGAGGATGGTTCCGCCACCGATGGTGCCGACTTCGATCGAAGGCATGGAGACGGAGATCTGAAGGTTTCCTTTGAGGCTGTGATATCGTTAGTTCAAGTTGGGATATCTAAATAGCTTGCATACGTACTTCTTCATGATGACGATACAGTTGGAGCTCTCGACAACCTGTGCAGGATCCTGACCGGTTGCGAGGAAAATGGCAGCGACGATGTTGGCAGCGTGGGCGTTGAAACCACCTAGCGAACCTGCCATGGCGGAACCGACCAAGTTCTTACTGATGTTGAGCTCCACAAGAGAGTCGACGTCCGACTTGAGCACGCTCTTGACGATGTGACCGGGAATGATGGCTTCGGCGACGACGCCCTTGCCTCGTCCGTCAATCCAGTTGATAGCGGCCGCCTTCTTGTCAGTGCAGTAGTTACCAGACACGGAGATGATGTCCATATCTTCGAAACCAGCCTCGTTGGCCATGACGTTGAGTGCGTGTTCGACACCCTTGGAAATCATGTTCATGCCCATAGCGTCACCAGTCGTGGTCTTGAAGCGAATGTACAGGTTGGTACCGGCGATGGCAGTCTTCATAGTCTGGAGACGGGCGAAACGAGAGGTTGAGTTGAAAGCAGCCTTCATCGTCCTCTGTCCCTCCTCGGAGTCGAGCCAGATCTTTGCAGCTCCAGCGCGAGCAAGAGACTCGAAAGCAACGCAAGGACCACGGGTCATACCGTCGGCAGTAATGACAGTAGTAGCACCTCCACCAGCGTTGATGGCCTTGGCACCTCGGGATGTACTGGCGACCAAGACACCCTCGGTAGTAGCCATGGGGAGGAAGTAGTTTTGACCGTCAACCAGGATGGGACCAGCGACACCAAGAGGAAGAGGAAGGTAACCGATGACGTTCTCGCAGCAGGCACCGTGCACAAGATCGTAGTTGTAGTCCTTGTAGGGCAGGAGCGACCTCTCGAGAAGGTTAGAAGTCTCACGGGTAGCATGGGTACGAGATACAAGGCCACGTCGGATCTTGACAGCGCGAGTCTTGTTGCCGAGGGTTTTCTCAAGCGCATAGCCGGGAATCTTGCCCTTAACGGAGACAGCGATCAACTCCTCATCGGTAAGCTTGTGTGCCTTCTTGTCTTTGATGATTTGCTCGAGGACTTCCATTGGCCTGTTGGGCTGCTTCTGTTCCTCGTCCGTCGGGCTATCGATCTGAGGGCTTGGGGTGAGGTGAGCAACCTGCGTAAGGGGACGGACGGCTCCACGGGCAGCTTGCTGTTCCGGGCCAGGAGTGATGGCGGGAGTGATCGGCGGGGACAGGATGCTGTTTGGTGGCATGCCGGATGCCGGGGTGGGAGGAGCGCCATCCTGCACCTCAGCAGCCGTAGGGGGGTCGAGCGGGCGATGGGGCTCCTTGATAGTCCATCGGGCGGCATTGAAAAGGTAGCCGTTGAGGACCACGCTCAGGACCAGAGCGCCGATAATCCATTTGCCCAAGAAGGGGTCTTCCAGGCTCTTGAGAACTCCCTCCACAAAGTGTGAGCTGATGTTTCCACCGAAAGGACTGTCTTCAATGATAGGCTCGCCGTAATGAATGGAGGGAAATGCGAGCTCGTACTTGATGGGCATCAACACGGTGACCAAAGTAGAGACACCAGCTGTCTTGGCCTGCTCGAGGATAGCATCCAACGCGCTGCTAGCGACCTTGAAGGGATCCAGAGGGGGAGTGGCCCCCACGCTGGCAATGGAAGAAGAGGCCCTGGAGTTCTTGGTGAGGCCAAAGCGGAGGGTGGCAAGATTGAGCACGTTGACAAGGATGAATCCAGCAACCATGAACACCTTGAACTTGGGAACGGTGACCTTCTTTCCAAAGATGGTGGTGGTGGTTGCACGGCTGTGGTCGTTGACACTGTTGGGCCAGTCATTGCTCGAAGCAACGTTCTCTGCTACCGATCGGCTGACACCATCGTCTTCGAGGGCCCTTCGGAGTGCCACGTGACGTTTGATGCGGTTGATTTCGAGCTTGATGGTCAAGATGGCGGTAAAGAAGGTGAGCAGCATGATGGCGTCGAAGAGCAAGATCCAGGCACCCAAGAAGCAGAACTGGCGGAGGCCACCCTGGATGCCAGACATGGCACCGGCAACCAAAATGAGGATCTCGAAGAAGTAGTCGCGGACAATCTCGAAGCCGGTCTGCTTGATGGCGGTTTGGACGGCGTTCTGGATGGTGAGCGTCTCAGCCCTGCCGCCCTCTGCCCTTCTGCGGGCATCGAGTGAGGCAGAAAGCACAGCCTTGGTGAGTACGATTGGCTTCTCGAATCCAATGATGACGACCAGGAACGGCAATCCCTCGGACAAGAGGACCATGGTGATGGGTACACCGAGGTAGATGGTGACGAGGAGTGCGAACAGGAAAGCGAATGCGGACTGGAAAAGGACCGTGGCGGCAAGCCAGAAGTTGGACCCGAGACGACGCATGGCCAGGAAAAGGGACACGAAGGTCAGGTGCATGGCAAGGTATCCGAGGGCCATGATTATAATATCTCCAGTATCGGCATTCTAGAGAGATGTTAGACCCTGTCCTGTTATGGTTCAGGAAATCAGCAAACGTACCTTGAGCAGATCAAGGAATGAAGTCCATGATTCACGGATCCAGTTGCGGACACCAGAGGAAGGAGTCGCGCTCTTAGCAGCCTTCATAATCCACTTCTTCTCCTCGCGTGTGCCCTCCTCTTCTGAGCCCTGAATTTCGGATGCGGTCTCGGGTGCGGACATCTCCTGAATAGCGGCGAGGAACTCTGGGGCCTCGGCATAGTCGACGGAGAAGGCGAGGGAGGTATCGTGGGAGATCGTGGAGAAGGAGCTCGAGGAGCTGGGCAGCAATTGGGCGGAACCGTTAGTGGGGATGGCATCGTGAGAAGGCGCGCTGTTGCTGCCGCTGGACGAAGGGAAAACGAGCGTGATGAGGGCGATCTCCTGTGCGTTCTTCTGCCAGAAAAAGTCAATCAATGGTCCTGAAGAGTGACATGCTGTCACCCCCAATTGAGCCTACCTGTGAAAGCTTTGTCTGTGCCTCCTCCGGCCGCCATGCCCAGGCCGTTTCCTTTCCTACGTAGAGGTTCTTGCTGCCGGCCAACAGGGTGTTGAAGTCCACCTTTCCCGTCACCGAGTCTGCGTCCTGCTCCAAGAGACCCTTATCCAAGACGCCGAGGTAGGAGTAACTGGCGAGGAAGGCAATTGTGACGATGGTGTGTATCGGGTGGGTGCAAGCCCTCTTCGCAATGGAGAGGAGGATGGGAGAGAAGTGGCGGTCAAACCACTCCGGGCGAAGCTTTTCAGATCCGCCCGGGCTCTGCCATCGCGAGGTCAAGAACCCAAACATTTCTGTGTGAATTCTTCTTGTTTCAAGAAGTCGAGGGAGTGAGGAGAGTCGCGGGGGCAGCAATCATGGGATCGAATTGCGGCCTGGGAGGAGAGAAAAATAATATTACGCGGAGGGGTGGCTGAGGCGTACGGGGCGTGGGTGTGGTCGTGCGCGTGCGCTGTGGAGTAGATATGGACGATGGAAGGCCGACGAGAAGCCCGATGAACGGCTCAGCGATGCGGAGAGGGCTTGAGGGTCGTCAGCATGGGGGTCATGGGTACGAGGAGGACGTGAGATGGAGATGCAAAGGGACGTACTGGTTGGCTGGGTGGAGGGAATTCCGAATCGCAGCCCCGAGGGATGGAGAGTGACGAAGACGGAGGTCCGATGATGGCAGGCAGACCAGTATAGTACTCGCAGGCAGGCACGGAGGAGAGACTTGCAGGTACTTGTAAATTCTACTGTCTGTGTGTCTGGTTTGTATGTAGTTTGGACTATAGTCGACTACGGGCAAGGACAGGGGGGGGCTAATGGGCGAGTGAGCGGGAGAGATAGCCGAAGTCGTCAACGCCGCAATCTCTGATGCTCTGATGCAGTCACCTCGCACAGCAGCAGATGGATTTGTACAACCTCGGAGGGGTGGGAAGGGTATATAAAAGGGAGGGGAAGGAGGGTTGTGAGGAGGTCACTTGTGAGGATGGAGAGGGTGAGGGGGTGGTGGAGGTGAAATCACGATAACCAGGACAACAATATGAGGGACAATGAGACTACAGTTTACTTGGTAGGATAACAGCCACCAGTAAGTCATTCTTTTCCTCTTTTTCCATCAATCCATCCCCATCCCCTTCCCCTTTCCCCTTGTACAGACTACACGGTACCTAGTCAAGTTGTCGCCTGCCCGTAGCGTACAAGTGCAAGTCACAATTTTTTTGGATCTGGCTCCCAACTAAAAAAATACTCCCAAATAGGAATAGTTCATGTCGATGATGCTATTATGTATGTACCTCTGTGTACCTTTATACATTGTAGTCGTTCATATTTAGTAGGCATAACGAAGTATCTACTTACACAAGTTACTGTAGATATATCAAGTACTTATTCCTCATTACTTACCTACTACACAGTGGTTATGTATCTAGGTAGTCACTCGGTTACTTCCAATACTGTGTAGTTTTTCAACTCTCTCGCTCTCCCCTGGTCGGAGACTCCCGAGGTCGGTCCGCAGCTGGTCTGGTCTGCCACTTGAACCCTTCCCCTTACGTACACAGTAATACATGTAACTATTCTACTTCGAATTTTCTTCGTCCATGGACCAAGGCATTAATTGATCAATTAGTGAAGAGAATCACCGATCCACCTCAACATTCACCATACCCTTACAACAACCTGAGGGGTTAAATTCAAGTCCCCAACATGGTCGAACACCCCCCCCCCGCCAAGGCCGTCACCGCTCTCGAATCCTGATCTCCTCCCGCAATCCTACGAGGTACCGTTTTGCCTACCTACGCCGCACGCCACGCCACATCATCCATCCACTCTTTCCTTCATCTTCACCAATTACCCTACAGACTACCTCGTAGAATCACATTAACGGCCAATCAATCCCCTCAAACTACACTCGCCTCTATCCCACCTATCCAACGTAATTCCCTCTCTTTCGCAAAAAAAAAAAAAAAAAAAGGAATTCCAGCGTGCATATTCATTGTTCTCTCCACCGACACTCCTTTGTTGCGAAGGTGCCCTGCATACAGTAGACCCTGATCTGGCTTAGCGGTTCGCGTGGTTCGGGGGTCGGAACTCGGGGGGTTGATCAGCCATTGATGGGCGCGGTAACGCTTACGGCCACCACTAGCTTGTAGATTGATAGATACCTCCTAGGAGTAATTGACGAAAGGGGAGGTAGGTAGAGGACGAGGAAAAGAAAAGATGGGAATGAGGTTCACATCTTCGGTTATAGAATGGTAGGCCAATCCAAGATTGGAACTCGATAATCGAAGAGGTACCACAGTTGAGGGGAGAGGAGGTGGACGCCACTTACATACCTCCTTTGCGCCACATCCATTATACTTATTGCGTCCCTTATGTACCACCTAGAATTCAATTCAGCAGGAGACTGGACAATTTATGAGAATATAGCTGATCTATATCTAAAGAAGGATAGTGACGTTGAAGATTTTAGATTGATTTTATTAAGTATCCACTACATTACGGATTACTTCGTATCAGATCTTCGATATATCAAAAGGGCAATAAAGAAATGCAGGGTCCTCATCCCATGGTTACTCGTTGTTCTGGATGAGGTGATCCTCCGTGGCTTGCTTGTCTACACATGTAAGATCTATGTACGTATGTAGTATCTGCCTCGTACATTCATTGTATGATATGATTTGCATACGGCAGAGGGGGAGGAGGAAGGTCAAGAAGAAAGTTCCATGAAGTCATTACACGTATATGTATCGCTATAATACGACTAATAGACGGGAGAAAAGGGAACCATCGCTATATCATAACACGCCCATCACTACAATAATCACACAGAGAACAACCACAGCCCCATCGATATCATCACCCAACCAACGCCGCCATCGGCACATCCCCGCCCGTAATCCTCTCCACAAACCCCGCCTCCGGCTCGTACAGCATGACGTGAAAGTGCTCGATCGCATGCACGCTCTTCAAGCTCTGCCAGTTCCTAAACCACGCGACGCTGGTCGGCGGCAGTCCGCCCTCCTTCACGAACGTGCGCTCCACGTACGCGTCGATCTGGGCGCGCAGCGCGGGCTCCAGGTCGTCGGTGCCGGGGGCCTCGGGGAGGTCAAACTTCGTCCAGACGACGAGGTGCACGATTGAGGGGGACACGCCGTAGGGCCAGTCGTTGTGGAGGATTTTGATGTCGTCTTTGGGGTTGGGGGAGGGTTGGTTAGTGGGTTGCTAAGAAGGTACGTGTAGTGTCTATCTGTGGTGATAGAGGGAAGGCAAGGCTTGGGTATAGGATTGGCAAGATATGTAAGATCGGATCGGATGTGTATGTGCATGGGTTAAATGAATGTGTGATGTCTTACCGTCGTACTCGAAGGGCAGACCGCGAGGTGCCAAGGACTTCCACTTCAGCCTCTCGTTGACGATGAAGTTCATGATGCTTCCGTGCTCTTTGATCAGCTTGTGCGTGAACAGGCGGTATTTGCGCAGTTGCGACGGCACGCGGTGGAACCTGTCGACGCGGTTGATTCCTATTGTTATCATAATTAGCATTCGATCACACGATTACACCATTCGTCAGGCCCGGACATGACTATACACATCCAGATACAATTCACATTGTCTGGGTTGGTTGATTTCAGAAGGTGCAGGGAAAGGCTTACGGATCCATTCGAGAGCAACCTCCCAAGACACGAGCTCATATTCCGAATCCGGGGTTCCGATGATTCGACGGTCCTTCTCGTTACAGGCCTTGAGCGCCTCAGGACACTCGGCAGGCCATTGGTCGCTGGGCACGTTGACCAGCCAGAAGGGGAGCTGCTCCTCGTGAGGCATGCCGGGCATGGCGGCAGGCTGCCCGACCTACCGATGTGAAACGAGTGGGATGGAGAGTCGGGACTGGTCGCACAGTAATAATTTGCTCAGTGGTTGTCGTTCTGGACAAGGTCGAGTTGTGAGGTCAAACAGATACGAGGGTTGGCAACGGGTTTCGTGCAAGGATTGCGATGGTGAGGGCAGAGGAGATGAGTATGCAAAGATGGGAACGTGCAACAAGTAACAATTAATACGCTGGAGGATGAAAGATGCTACTATTCTACCCTTGAGACTGGGACGAAGGTTGACCGTTGAGAGAGAGGGAGTCCAACTTGTCGGTCAACTGTGCGGGCGTGGCTAGCGTAGGTGAGTGATAGATGATACTCGTAAATGGTGGTTAGTGGTCAGGTATGGTAGAAGCCTGGAAGACATGCTACCTCAAAATGCTACTGTACGTATCAACTCCATCTCTTCACCGATTGTTAAGTCTATTGATCTGCGATTCTACTAATAGTCACTGTGTATATGCGGAGAAATAAAATGCAAATCCCACGTTGTCATACATGCCATGCTGCAAGGTAATTATTATTGTCACGTTGGCTGACAGCTGTTGGTTGGGTCATGTGATTCACACAACGCGCGTCATGGTACTTGTATTGCTTCCAACTACGAGTAATTGTCTACAAACTCTGTACTTGAATGTAAATAGAACCAACAGACATACGAGTACGAGGTAGGAACAAAACAACGGCAATGCAAGTATCGTGTCAGAGTCCCACTGTTGGCCGCTGTCAGTCAATTCTTGTTTTGTACCAAGCGTCGACCAGGAAGCTCCTTGTATTTGTGGTTTGTACTGTATCATCCATCATCCATCGTCCTCTGTGAGTCCAACATCAAATGCAACATCAATGATCAAGGCAACAGCACCGACGCAATTAAAGGTAAAGTCGCAGTCAGGCAGTCGTCGGTCGCCAGTCACTCACAGCCAAGGTTCACGTTCACGAGTAATTGTTCCATGTCGAATGCCGGTCCGGTCACATTCTCTGCAATCTTAACGCACGTTTCAGGGCTCATCAGCGATACCCACCCAAGGATTGCCCGTTAATCTCGGTGAACTTGACACTATCGCCCACAACGACTAAGATCCTCTCGTGCCCTTCAAGACAATCCCCGATCTCTGGTCGGACACTGGGATGACCCCAGCCAGCAAACCTCGTATTAACCGTTGCTGATTGGCACATTTCCCGGACACAAAACCGATGTGTCTTCGTTTCTGGCTTAAGCTAGGAGCTATGTCCACTCTACTGCCAACGTCTGCCAGTTGCTCTTTGTGCAATTCTACCAAGATTGCCGTAACTCAATACTGTCGCTTTCTTTCGAGTCTCGAACCGCGACGTGCACAGATGTCGGGGCAAATGAGTTTCCCTTTGGCGAGGAGATGTACCGGTACTAAATACTAGGAATTGTATGTACAATGTGTTCATAGCTCATGATCCCCGGCGCCCTACTAGGTTTTGTTTTGCACCGTGGAGTCGTGGACGGGCATCACCCATGGTTCGTCGAAGGATGGGAAAAAACACCTAATATAGTGAACTACGGTCACATCCCCCATACTCCAAGTGCTTTTCATCTTACTTTCATTTCGTTTCTCATCTCATCTCATCCTCTTGTTGACCAACAACAAAACACCATTCATTCTTTACGACGCGCCTTGACGTGCTGCCGTCTATCGCTCTCTTCTACCATCGTGTCGTCGTCCGTCACTCATTCTGAAAATCGCAAATATTCAACAATTCCAACTCGACGTCCCACAATATCCTCAAAAATTGGCTGCTTTTTTCTCTCTTCCCAAGGAAAGGAAAAGACCTAAAATATCTTCAATTGGGTTCAGTGTAAGCTTGCGATCACCTCTGTGTATCCAGCCAGGATATCCCGTCACAACCTGCGACAACCACTGCCTCCTTTCCGCGTGTGACTTTAATTCCAACGGCCCGATCCGACTTCAAAGACATCAAGCACGTTTGGTGTCTCTGTTTCCTGTCGAACATTCCAAACGGCCCAATTCCAGTCCATTGCGGGAGCCAGTCCATCGTGGAAGCCACATTCCGTATCCACTACCATCTTTCGTTTATTCGATTTCGATATCCACCTGGGCAACTGCTCATCTCTTACCGACCCTACGAAATAGCCTTCGCTCCATAGTTCCTGGAAGAACACACCTTGGTTGAACCATCTGTTTCAAGAAACGGGACTGGCCGGGGATTTGGCCAATCGTCCCACCATTCATTCTCCCCAAGTAGAGTAGGACGGCGCAGTGCGACCTTCGTCCACCATTACTGAGTAGCTGCAACATTCCACAGGCGGCTACTGGCGAATTGACATCGAATCCCTACAAGATTCGCATGGAACACCCCGCATTTCGACAGTCAAACAAACGGCCATTGTTTTCCTTTTCTTGGAGGGACGGTGTGTGTGTGTGTGTGTGTGTGTGTTGTACTAAAGTAATCTCCGACTTGAGGCTGCGACTGGACTCCACCTTCACCCTTCGCCTACCAACCACAACTACACCAAACAATCGACCATCACCAGTGGCCACTGCCTTCGCCTTCCCTAAACGGGCAATCATTCACTTAACTTCAACTTCAACTTCGACTTCGTCTCCCATACGTTAACTTACTCGACCACTCGACCGTTTGTCTACTCGACTGCTGCCATCTACTCAACCCAGCACTTACCAAGCACCTCCTCTTACATCAGAGGCCGAGCCATCCCTCCTTCGAAACACCACCACCTGACAACCTGCCTATCATGGCCGTCCCACGCGACCCTAACTTCTGGCGTCGTTTCAGCACGGCAGTTCACCAAGAGGAAGCTGCTCAGATAGAAGCAGCGCAGAGACCTGACCTCAAGCATTCGTATGTTTACCCCAGTGATTCGCCCTGCAACTCCCCAAGCATTGCGTCTCCCTCATCCTTCCCGCCCGCATCACCGGACTCGACATATCCCATTGCACATTCAAGATCCCACCAAGACGACGTACCTTCCTCGCCTCCGCCCGCATATCTCCCTCGAAAGAGCTCCAAGCGCCTCATAAAGAAGAACAAAGTCCCCGAATTCGACATGAACCTCGTCAATAACAACAACAATAACAATGCCACAACCACCGACGAAGCCGCAACAACAACAAAAACAACACCACTGGACGAGAAACCCAACTCAGTCACCACCGTCGGCCTCGCTCCCATCGAAAGACAAACCACTGTCGACACTACCTTCTCCGAACCGCCTCCCAAATCCCACCTTCGCACCCTCTCCGTCGCATCCCCTCCCCTCTCCCCAGTGACCCCCAATACCGCCCCCTCCATAAAGCCTCTCACCAACCGCCCCTATGCCCCTCGCTTCAACACGTCCCAACTTACACTTGGTTTCTCCGGCCGCCCCAACTCGCGCTTCAACTTCTGGACCCATGTGTCCGCTAACCCAGCAAACAGAGAGTCGTGGCTCGAGGAGCAGAAGCGCAAGAAGAGCAAGCGGACCTGCATGTGCTGGTGCTTCTGGTTGGTCTTCCTCGCACTGGTCGGCGGCGCCGTCGCAGCCGTCGTCGTGCTGAGGTCGAAAGGCATAATCTGAGCGCGAGCACCTCTCGATACTTTGGAGGACGATCGGTACGAAAAACATGCAGAGCATACCGTTTCATTTCACGACTAGACCGAGCCGTCGATCGTCACGATCCTCCCTCTTGTCGAGAACCTTCCCAACACAATACCCTCATTCAGATCACGAAGCACAGGACTAAGCGAGCGGGCTGGACGGACGGACGGGACGGGCATATATACCACGGAGCCATGGCGTTCTATCTCTTTGTTTTTTTTCTTTCTTTCTCGGCGGGCGAGCGAGCCTGTATGGCACATACATACCCCAGACACACAAATATGCAGAGCATACCGCATCGGAGAGCACGAACCCCCCGGTCCTCTCTCCCGTGCCTTTTTCCATACCCTTCCCTTCCCTCAACCTCGAATATGTAACTGTACATTAGATACATAACCCTTTCCTTCCAAAAATGTGTGCAGCACACGCATGGCATGCATGCACTACTCACTCACCCACCTGGACAACAACGTCTTATCTTCTCCTTCTTCGTCCAATTTTCGTAGTATGTCTTCTTGTTCAGCGAGCGGTATATACCCATCTAGCCAGTACAACAACAGCAATACGATTCACTTCAATACAATTCAATTCAATTCAAAGTAATGTGAAAGAAACAAGTAGATTTTGAAGTGAGGCAGTCTCAGATGCCCTTCTTAATAATGAACTGCATAGTATGAGGTATAGTACGCCCGTACTGACTCACTGACTCGGCTCACATCCAGAGAGACCAAATCCAAACCCTGATTCCAGAACCTGAACTCAAATCGAAAGTACGCATGATTCCCGACCCAGATCCAGATCCGGATCCCTAGGAATGGGAAGCCCTTCTAGAGAGGTGATGCGAACCATTATACACCCTCTCCACATAACAGAGGCTGTCGCCACGGTGCGCACGCGCACGCGCATGTCGAACGATATCATGGATTCACATGGCATTGGGTATATGAGACGCGTTCGTTTCAAAACAATCAACCAACAGTGCACAGCTTACGATTTCGCAGAGATTCACTTTTTTGAACTTGAAGTATTTCATTTCTGTGTTTTTGTGGGGAAAAGTCTAATGTACATGTCCTTAACTCCATCTTTCTTTCTCTTCCAGCCACACCCAAGGAAGAGAAAAAGAGATTGAAGAAAAAGCCCTTTTATGTGTGTGTGATTGATGCCCATTCATCCAGCAGCCAAAAGTAGTAGTGGTATCATTTGAGGAAAAGATGGGGGAAAACAAGTGGTGGTGGGGGATCCATAAGAACGCCGTTATGCAAAGCTGGGGCAGGGAAATTGGTGAAAGGGCATGGGCCAACCAAAAGTGGATTGCTGGTAGGAGAAGGTGACGGCAGGTTTGGGTTGTGGGGGTGCTCCTAATTGCCGTGCGCCCTTGGGCATCTACCAGATCCACGCGTACGAGTTGGGGACGTTTCGCCAGCCGATTTCAAAGTAACGAGCATTGAGGTCAAGAATGGGAGAGGAGCCTTCGTTGGTTGGGGTTGGTAGACGGATGTAATCGGGTTCTTGATCTTCCTGCTTGGAACTGCGATCCATGTCTTGGTTGGAGCCTGGATGATGGTCGTCCTCAACGGGTGTGTCAGCGCGGCCAGGCTTCTCGATGCCTTTCATAGGAGGAGAAGATGAGGGTGAATCATCTCTACAAGGAAAAGTGTTAGTATCGAACGGTAGGAACAATAGAGCAGCAAGCAAGCAAGCGTTCCAAATCCACCCATCGCTTCCACTCCATCGCGACCTCGTGGCCTTCGACATAAGGCGCTGAGAGTGAAAAGCAATCGATAGATCAGACGCAAAACAGCAGCATTGCAACTTCTTAGTACCGGGCACGATCAGCTGGAGGCGTCGGGCTCTTCGACATGCTCCTGGGGTCCCTTCCACGCTCCTGGAGCCACTTCCTGGTAGACATATCCAAATCGCGATCCAGCTCTGGGGTGGGCTCCTTGCGGTGAATGAAGTTGCAGAAGCCACCACGGACGCAGCCGTCGCCGCTGTTGAGACGGCAGCAAGCCTCGCGGAAATCGGTGACGGGAGACAACTCGCAGTAGATCGGGCGGCCGGCGTACCAGCGGGAGTTCAACGCATCGCAAGCTTTCTGGGCGTCCTCTTCGTACTTGAAGCGAACGTAGACATTGCCGATGAGATCTGGCGAAAAGTTAGCGCACATGTTTCAATGATGATGGAAAGGCTGGGACTTACGGTCATTGTTGTTGTCGCACACGACGAGCTCTTCGACGAGGCCGTACTTGCAGAGCTCACACCAGATATCCTCGTAGAATGCATCGAAGTGCATCTGCATCTGCTGAGGATTCATTTTGTTCTTCGGATCATACTGGGGGTTCTGGTAGAGATTGGGGAGGAGAATGGTCTGGGAGTAGGAGGGCTTGACATGCTTGCGAGAGCAACGGTCGCCGTGACGGCATGCGCCAATCTTGTAGTAGAAACTACAATTGACCTGGAGGAGGATTTGTTAGCTAAAGTTTCACTTGAATGAGGATGAGGCTACTCACTTTGTCCTGCTCCGTACCAAAGATGGAAGCTAGATAGTTGGCCATGATGATTGTTGCGCGACGAACTTGAGGTGTTAATCGCAGCAAGAAAGTTGATTGTGGGGTTGACGTGAAGGTAAGACGGTTGCGCTGAGATCGTCTCTCAAGGTGATAGAAGGCGACGCGAAGTCACGCTAGTAAAGTCGCTGACTAACAATGCCAAGATCCTTCCAGAAGCAACGAACTTGATATTAGTTAGCACTACAAATACGATAGATAGGAACCTAAATAACTTTATAATGATGTTCGATACATTTTTGCAGTATTCGTAATCGGGATCTACTGATCACGCTCCTTCGTCATGCACTTGCAAATAATTTAATTGTGTTACGGATCACGAACCGCGAATGTGTTGCGTCGCAATGAGAATTGCCACCAGGAAGAACTCATTGATGGACCAGGCTGAGGCTGCACAAGGAAATTTCCAAGATTCGACCACACATCATAAGATTAGTTCGAATAGTGCCTATTTGGGATGGAATATGAGTTATTACTAGTGAGACAAAGTAAAGTTAAATGAAAGTCAATTGGTGATGCATACATACATTGTGTGTCCTGTTGCTTCAGACGACAAGGGGCTAACAATATAAGAATTGATATCTGCAATCTTACTACCAGGATTAATTAGGGAAACTTATCGTAGGATATAAGATCAGAATCGCATTTTGTAAATAATATGTTGATGGCTTTATCATGACGTTGGTGGCATACACGCACGACTTGCAATCTTCTTTGGGTCATCTCGAAGAGTATGGGTTGCCTTTAAAGTCACCCGTCACATTGAATCACAAGCACGACCCAAACAAAATGTACTTTCTCGTTATCTGGCTTACGCGCAAGATATCTTCCAAACTGTCTGGTTAACACCTCCAAATCCGTATGTCTAAGACATATGCTGGTTGATAATGGCCTCCTGAGTGCTATTAGGTTATAGTGACGAGTTCGACACTCTTGTGACTGTCTCGAACATCGGAAGATAGGGTATTCCATCGATTGTAAGGGAAAGGTCACTCGTGCAGCGTGCCTGGAAATGAATGCAAAATCTGTCTCAGGCAGCAACCTAATCTATGCCGTCCTTGGCTGCTTCAGATGGTGACGAGATCATGATTTCAGGAAATCGAAAGTGGCATAAATCTTACTATTGGTTCTATTTGAACCACTCTGTGTCTACAAATATAATAATCGAGGAAGTAAAGTAGCGGAAACGATACGAGGGAATAGCAGGCATGCATGAATTGATGATGCATGTGCCCGTGGCCCAAACGGACTGCCTCACTTAGCCTCATCTTGTCTTGGCCTTTGTCAATGGATCAAACTTGAAAGGTTCACCAGGTTTGAGAGGGAAAGACTACTACATAAAAACGTTCTCTCAGCAAGATGTAGTTTGTCTTCCTCGGTGGGGCAGTACATTCGGAGTGGTTCGCCCGCTCTTGCATCTCGGAATCGCGACCTGGTACCTGGGAGGACCAATAATGATATCGAGATTGGGAGAGCTACTGCAGATTAATCTGATGGTGGTAGTGGCTACGACTGCGAAATCCAATGAAAGCCGAATACTGTACGTTAATCCGTGTACAATCCCGAACGACACGAACACCACACAGGTTTCGGCATATCATTTCCTCCACGAGCTCAAGTGACAGATTTGCAATGGGGAATTAGTCACGATCCGAAACTTCGTTGATCCAGTTCCCGGAGTGTTTTTACTTTTCACTTGTCGGCGGAAAATGAGAAAGGGTGATACTGCCCAGTTAGCTTGGCTGTTGGTTCCGTTGGTCGAACGTCGCGCGCGCGCAAAAGCAATGACGCGTATATTGAGCATGATCGTTTTTGAATTCAATAGTGCCGTAGTGGTCATTATTAGAACAATTTGTACGCCCAGATTGACGCCCAGATGTCTCTAAATTTGTACATTTGGGGATACACGCTGGCTATAGGATATCGAAAAGAGAGTGAATGCGCACCAATGGGATGAAGGAGACTAGGGATAGTCAGACGGGACTAGACTGAACCGAGGCTAGATCTAGGAGAATAAGCGCCAATAGGAACCCTTGCAGCGCATAGATCTGAAACAACTTGGCCTCCAACGACATCAACTCTCTGTTGTCTCTCCACAATGCGATCCCTCCTCTTTTCCAACCTTCCCTGCCTCCATCTCGCCAGGCCCAGGTCCAGGCCCAGTCATACTCATCCTTCCCTTCAACTCTATTCTTCTTTCCAAGCGCCCCAACGGTGCATATCCGCCTGTCGTCGCGTGGTGCGAGCCTCATCTTCTCACCACCATCGGTACATTGCATATCCGCTAGCGACTGCTTCTTGCTTCTCCCCACTGTTATTCATGCCTATTTGTTCGCGTTTGCATGTCTTTGTTCCTGGCATTGTTTCCGTTCGCTGTGAGTTCTTCCAAGTATCCTGATCTTTCAACCAGGATAGAACGGGATGCTGCCGCTCGCAGTGTCGCAGACCCTCCCGATAACTTTGCCCAACTTCCATCCGTCAAATCTACCTGATTCCGTAGTGAATGATTAGCGCCCGCATAGCGGAGTCGAGTGGACCCGCTATTGTTTGCCTTGAACTTCAATGCGACTTTTGCACGTTTGACATCTTATCGATATGTTTCCACTGTTGCCCTAAGGGCCTGAAGATCATGATTCAAGAATATGGTTCGCAGTCCGGATGTACTTAGCCTTGCAGCCCATCTCGTTGGTACCTGCATCTCTCGCGTCCACTTGCGGCGGCTACAGTGTAGGTCAATCTTGAAACACACATCGTACACCACACCTTAGGCTCATGATGCTTAAATGCGGGAGCGCGTGGTGGCGTTCTCGTTTCGACCTGCTTTTGCGCGGCCTTTCCATTGGCTATCATTCTCTCCCAGCTTCTACAATGGGCTTTTTCTGTTCTATTCACCATTACTTGCTTGTGTCTCACGACCATTCATCCGCTTAATATAAGGGACATACCGCCCTTGATTACGAGGCTTGCACCACCGTCGTTCACCCCCATATTGTCACCTGCTTTCTATTCACCCTCCTCCCTCCTTCTCCTTCTCTCTCCTTCTCTTCACCACCTTCTTGCGGTGAAGCTGGGTTGCAGGCAACAAAGGAATTCTTTAGTCTTTTCATTATCAAACCATGTCTTTGTCTTCTTCCAGGTGAAGGTCAGCGAGAGCACGCTAGATTGGGAATAACAGCATTGTGTCTAACTAATGGTGATTGTTGGCCGTGCCAAGACTAATTTCACTACACAACAATCGCAGTACATATTTCACCGCCAAACCTTTTCCCCCACCAACCTCTTTTGCCCCAAATCACTACTGTTACTTTCTCAAATATCTTTGCGCCCCCATTTCTCTTTCTGTTGCACACCTACAATTGTTCCACAACGCTTTGCCAGTCAAGAACGCTCCACCAGAAAACTTGATATTTGACATATCAGAGGTTCTGTGCAGCTACTCAGGAACATCATGCACTTTACCATCAAAGCCCTTGTGGCTTTGGTAGCCTTGCCGGCTGCCCTTGGTCACTCTTGGATCGAACAAGTCCGAGCAGTCAATTCAGACGGCCAGTACGTCGGCGAGTACGGATACCCTCGTGGCTTCGTCTCCAAGAACGCGCCGGGCTACGATGGAGAGAAGGATATGGTCTACCTTCTCCCGCCTCTGGAGACCCAGCCTCCCTTCATCAACTCTAGCCACTTGCTCTGCCACCCCAATCAGCGCGAGCAGACTCAGAATGACCAGTTTCCTCGCGTCAAGGGCACTGCCGGTGGTTACCTTGCACTTCGCTATGCCGAGAACGGGCATGTCTCCAATCCTTCACCTTTGAACGGTCACACCCCGGGCACTGTCGAGTTCCAGCGCCGCGAGAACGGCGGGTCCATCTTCGTCTACGGCACTACAGACCCCAAGCCCGATGAGACCATTGCCAACGTCCTCCAGTGGACCACGGACGGACGGGGTGGCGACAGAGGTGGAGTTCTCCTCACTGTTAACGATTTCGACGATGGCCGCTGCTACGAGATCAATCCTGTCACTGAACATGGAGAGCGCATGAAGGCGTTTCCCAACTACGCCCAAGGGCAGGCTCCCCAAGGATCCGCCAACGCTCGTCCGGGAGACTTTCCACTCATGTGCGAGACCAACGTCGAGCTCCCCAAGGATGCGCCCAATGGCAAGCCATATACCCTTTATTGGGTCTGGCAGTGGCCGTTCGACCCGAACCCGAAGTCTCAGTTCTTCCCCAACGGCAAGGACGAATACTACACGACCTGTCTCGACGTCGACATCGTCGAGACGGTGAAGGAAGAGTCCAAGCTGCAGTTCGCGTTGGCTCCACAAGACGCCATGGAGAATGCCGTCCGCGACTTCAAGAACCGCAAGGCACTGATCATGAACGCCATGGAAGGTGAAGTTGGCCCCGTCTTCAGTGGCAAGCCGACTCCCACTGCTGGCGTTCCCCCCGCCTCGCAGGGAACTCTCGTGCCCAGTGCACCTCCATACGCCAATTCTTCGACCGGTCTTCAGGCCCCGACTATCACCAGACGCCCAGGCGGTGGTGGCAGGCCTACAAAAGCTCCTTCCAGCAAGCTAACCACTGGCCCTGGCGAAGGCGGCATGGTCACCATCATCGTCACCGAGCGCATCACCGTGACAGCTCCAGCCGTCACCCAGATCGCCACTGCTCGTGCTGAGCACGTTGCTCGTCACAAGAACGGTGCCAAATTCCGGCGTGGTACGTTTTTCGCAGCATGAGCCAACATCCTCCGCTTGAGTTTTTGTTCATTGCTTTCGAAAGTACTTCGTCCTGCCACCCCCCAGTGTTTGCCTGCCAGCGAACCTTTCCCCCACTGTTCTTCTTGTAAATGCTTGTTTGCCATCTTTTTCAATGTATTTTCTACGGTCACTGTACCTTTTTATCTTCTTTCATTACCATATTGCATGCATCCAAGAATTCAATTCTATGATACCCGCATATACTAATGCAAGGCTTTTCGACTCGATGGCAGGCCATTAGGATCTCATCTTCTTTCTTTCTTCCGACATCTCTGCATCACCACCGGGTTGGCAACATTTCTCATTTTCCTTTTCTTTCTTTCAAGCATTGCCACCGACCTTGCATCTGCATCTGCATTGGGACAAACCGGATCATCGGACATGGAAAAATCAAGGATCGATTGAAATGATACCCCCCCCCTTTTTCTTTCTTCTCTCGCGCACAATGAATTCCCCCCTTCATTGTGCGTTCCTTTTTTCAACCTTTTCTCTTTCATTTGGCGCATTCACGTCACATATCAATGGTGTTTTTACGGTTTCGGTCCGGCCTCGATACCACTTCTCTCGGATTTTCACATACGGCGTATTGGATGGATCAACGGAGCAATCACGAGAACATGGAATATTATACCCTGGGATCACACGCGCACATGGTTGAATGAATGGATGAATGGGTGCTCTGGATATGGATCATGGATCATGGGCATCGATTGCTTGGATGCTACATAACTGGCAACCACAGTGAATAACAAACTTCAAATTCAAACCCCGCTCTTTGTCTTGCGTGATGTGAATCGAGTGAGCGAGTCTTTTCGCGAAGTGATTTGGGTCGAAGTCAATGAAGGTATGACTTACCTATACTAGTTCCAACTTACAGACGTGTATAGTGTGACGACGGGCTGTGGCAAGTAGCAGCAAGTAGACGAGCATATAGGCATTGATGATGGTACATTCCATGAACGAGGGAGTACAACAGACATGTTTGAATTTCTTATTCAATTGAGGGGGAAACGTAAGGCTTTTCCTCCGTCCGTTCGGCAAGATACGTGCGAGCACTGAGTACACACTGGAAGTGATAACCACGATTGGAAGCCTCCCACTGTCCCGTCCGCATAAAAAAAAATAAAAACTGGAGAAAGAAAAGAAAGAACACCTGGGAACTCCCACCACGCTAACATTGACCGGACGGACGAACGGACTGAGTATACCCAAGAAGCCAAAGACTGGAATAGTGGAAGGAAGATGAACGCCTGGTAATGATATAGATCCCTCTGTGCAAATATTGAGAACAGATCTGCTGGTACACTGTTCGTGCTTACACTGCCATCGCCAAGCAGAAATAGCTAGATAGGTCTTTTTGCATCATCATTTCTCGGGCTCCGCTTCAGCCTTCTGAGCGGCCTCCGTCTGGGCTTCAGCACGTTCATCTTCCTCGGTCCGTTCCTTAAGCCCCTCGTCCTTCTTTTCCTGAATCTCTTCGGCCTTAGTCTCGTCGTCCTTCATCTCAACATCGCCTTCTGCAGTAGCCTCTGCTTCGGCTGTCTCGGTAGCTACCGCGGGCGCTGGAGACTCGGGTGGGGTGACAACTCCTGCAGGTGATCGTGAGCGCGATGTAGGAGCATCTTGTGGAGCGGCTTCTGTCGTTGCTTCTACTGCGGCGGGTTCAGCCTCTTTCTCGGGTGCGGTCTCTTCTTTCTCAACAGCCTCCGCGGCTTCATCATTGTCGGCGGCATCCATATCGATGTCGCCGTCTTCATCAGCGCCTGCAACGGGCGTCGGCTTCTCCGATGTTGCTGCTCCAGTTGCACCTTTGGAGGACGCACGGCTCGCTGATTGTTGAGGCGGGGCAGGACTTGGCTGCTGGGTGGTTCGAGCACTCTCGCCATTGAGGGCACGGGCGCCATTGGGTGTGCTTTCGCCATCGTCAGGGAGGGCATCGGGATTTTGGAAATCCATGATGTTGCGCCTCCGCTTTTGCCCGGGCTGTCTGCGCACTCCGAGACTTTCCTTGTACTCTTCATCCTCGCTAGCATCTTCGAACTCGGCCTCGTTGTCGATCTGTTGATCGCGTTGACGTTGGGTCACACGCTTATCTGGGTTCGCATCGGCGTCCAGGTCATCCATTTCATCTTCATCGTCCGAGTCCATGCCACGGTTCAGCGACTCGGCCGGGATATTCGTGAAAGCCTCCACGGAAGGTTTTCCAGTGCGTCGGATGTTCTCTATGACAGTGGACTTGATCTTGTGTAGATAGTCATGCGAGTTGGCGTTCTCCATATTGGAGGGGCGCACGTTCAGTTCGTAGTCGGGGGCGAAGTACTGTTTGCGTTAGATCAACATGTTTCTTCTTTGTTGAATACAAAGCCTTACCTCGTAATAGTCGTTGAAAGGAAGTTGAGGCGACATCTGCTGATTAACGAGGCAACCGGTCTCGTAAGCCCATGTGCGGGCGACATTTCGCATGGTGTAGCCACCACCTCCGAGAACAATGACCGGAACACCAAAGCTCTTCACGAACTGCACGCAATTGGCGTGGCCTTTCATGCTGAGGTTGAAGCAGCCTAGCCTATCTCCAGACAAAGAATCTCCACCACACTGTAGGACAATAGCTTCGGGACCGTAGTACGTCATCACGGCATCGATGACAGGCTCGAAGATGTTCTTGTATGTCTCGTCTGTGATGCCATCGCGCAGAGGGAAATTGACCGAGTAATTCTTACCCGTGCCAACACCAATGTCGCGAAGCTCGCCTGTGCCTGGGAAGTACTCTCCGTACTTGTGGAATGACACTGTCATCACTCGATCGGTTGTGTAGAATGCTTCCTCCACGCCGTCGCCATGATGGACGTCAATGTCGATGTACAACACACGTTGCTTATACCTAAGAAGCTCGATGATACCAAGAACAATATCTAGTCACCGTATTAGCATGCACTTGCTCGGGCCAGTTCGTCAGAAGGCATACCATTGACGTAGCAGAAACCACTAGCTTCGCTCTTCTTTGCGTGATGCAAACCGCCAGCCCAGTTGACGGCAACGTCACACTTTCCACGGTTCAAGCGCGCAGCACCTTCCATTGTTCCACCGGCGCTGATGCCGCAGAATTCGAACAGACCGTCGAACACGGGACAGTCGTCACCAACATTGTACTTGCTTTGCTCTTTTGCAAAGCTGTCCATGTTATCGGGAGTCACTTTGTAGAGGAAATCGATGTATTCGTCTGTGTGAAATTGCGTCATCTCGTACTTGGAAGCTGGTTTGGCGCGCTGTAGTATGTTAGCATATGGTGGGGAGTGCAAGAGCGCGCGGCGCAAGTCGCGCGGGAAAAAGGTTGGAGGACATACGTAGATTTCCATTTTGCTATACAGACCATAGTTCATGATCAAGCTGTGGGCCATCCTTATTCGATGTGGCTTCATAGGATGCCCTGCGACGTATGCGTAATTTCCTACATCGGAATCATAGAAGTAGGCGACTTTCTTATTCGATGCGGTGGTGCCGTTCATGTTCAAGGTCGCGCTGCCGTTGAGAAGAGGTGTGGCGTCTTGCGCCATGGTGAGAAGATCGTTGCAGTCGTTTCGTTACAGTCGTGACAAAGGTTTGGATTGGATTGGACTGGTAGGGGGAACAAGTGCAGTACTTGCTTTATATGTGAACGGGAGGGGGAGGGATGGGGTAACGGTAATGTGGTTCGAGGGCAGGCGACGGAGGTGTCGAGTGGTGGGTGGTGAATGAATGAATAGCTGGGAACAATACGAGTACAATGAGAGGGCGTGAGACAATAAGGAAGAGCTCCGCGCTAGTCGTCAAGGTGGTAAGGGTAAGAGCCACCCATGCAATCCCCCGAGGATCGTCCGAATCGGTACGGATCAACCATAACCCCCGATGACCGCCGCCGCCGCCAGAGAGCTCCGTGAACATCAACACCACGAGAGCTTCTTCTCCGTCATCACCACCAGCATTACGATTCGCCTCCATTCCCACGGATTTCCGCCATAGTACATCTCACACCTTCTCCGCCTATATATCTGCAAGCACCCCCGATTTTCTGCCCCCCAATACGCTACTACCAATAACAACAACAACACCATGGATCGGTTAAGCCGAATGCTCGCGGCCGCCCAGAGTATGGGCGGCATGGGAGGACCCGCGCAAGACACAATCCTGATCGATAACTCTGAAACCGTCTACATCTCTTCTCTCGCGCTGCTGAAGATGCTGCGGCACGGACGTGCTGGTGTGCCGATGGAGGTCATGGGTCTGATGTTGGGAGAGTTCGTAGATGACTACACAGTCCGGGTGGTGGACGTCTTCGCCATGCCACAGTCCGGAACAGGTGTGTCAGTCGAGGCTGTGGATCCGGTGTTCCAGACCAAGATGATGGACATGCTACGACAGACGGGAAGGTAAGCTTCAGAAGAATACCGTTCTATTTACAAGATGCATTGCTGACATATCTGCTATCACAGGCAAGAGACAGTAGTAGGCTGGTATCACTCGCATCCTGGATTCGGCTGCTGGCTATCCTCCGTCGATATCAACACCCAGCAATCCTTCGAACAACTCACACCCCGCGCCGTCGCCGTCGTGGTCGACCCCATCCAGTCCGTGAAGGGCAAGGTCGTCATCGATGCCTTCCGCCTGATCAACCCACAAACCCTCATGATGGGCCACGAACCCCGCCAGACCACCTCCAACGTCGGCCACCTCAACAAGCCTTCGATTCAGGCACTCATCCACGGGCTTAATAGGCACTACTACTCCATAGGCATCAACTACCGAAAGACGGGTCTTGAGGAGAACATGCTGATGAACCTGCACAAGCACGTGTGGACGGAGGCGCTGCTCATGGACGACTTCCGAGAAGAGGGCGTGCGAAACAAGGACAGGCTGCAGAAGCTGGTGAGCCTGGCAGAGGGATACGAGAAGAGGGTGAAGGAGGAGACGGAGTTGACCAAGGAGCAACTGAAGACGCGATACGTCGGCAAGGTGGACCCGAAGAAGCGTACGTATCCCGGATTTTTTTTCATACACCTGGACTGCGGGTGCTAACAATCTATAGATCTCGAAGACGTCGGCCAGAAACTCATCGAAGACAACATCGTCTCCGTCTCGCGACAAATGATCGACAAGGAAGCCAGCGTTCCCAAGACGGGCTCAAGATCAGAACGCAACGCCCACGGCGACGGCGATGTCGAGATGGACGAGTAGAGAAACGAAAGGCATCTGGCAAGGGCGAGCGATATCATAGGATACGGTACGATACCACTATCACGACAAAACCGTGTAGAGGGATACGGAATCAGCATTTGTGACAAGGCCGTTATACTACTCGTAGACTCCGGTCGGGGGGGCGGACTCAGTTGGAACGACGCCATCCCCCGTGATTTTAGAAGAAGTAAAGCTTCCAAAACAGCGTTCCTCCCTCTCGGCATCAAATAGCCCCCCCATCTGCTGCCATTCCTTCTAGCGGCAACTCCAAGCATGAAATATGAGCAAAACATTAATTTCAAACATCATGTCCACAAAATCACCGTTGTCCCACGTGAACTCGCCTTTGACTCAGACCCGATTCAGTTTTCTTTTTCTTGCCATTCGTAGCTAGCTAGCTAGCTAGCTCATCTCGATGATAGTTAAATGTAAAAGAGGGGTATAGATAGTTAGGTAAGATCTTGCTCGTAACGACAACAAAAAACCGCCAGCCAGAAAACGCAACAAAAGTTCCGCCCGTAGAAGAATGCCTCCAGCGATCCAACCCGTTCCAGCGCCAGAAGAAAGATCCAAAAGGAAAGAATCCAAAGCAAGCTCCTCCTGTAGTGTAACTATGCATCCAAAGACATTCATACAACAAAGCCTCCCACCCAATTCCATCTAAGAACGAAAAGGAAAGATGCCTCATTTCTTACAACATCCTCCTTTTTCTCTTTCTCCCCCGGGATTCAAACAGACGAACGAACGAAAGATCGATCGATCGAACACTACACCTCCGCAGCACCTCCCTCCGCCTCCGCCTTCCCTCCCGACTCGACGACCTCCCCCGGGAACGGCTTCCGGCCATACACGCAGCGCACCTCATGCCAGAAATGGTTCTTGCGATCCTTAATCACTTTCCTGAACTCTTTCACGAAGCCCTGCACCTCCTCGTACGTCCAGCCGAGCACGCGCGTATACAGCGCGATGACCCACCCCTCGATGCCGTCCGCCCAGTTGCGCTCGCCCCACCGCCCCATGTCCTTGAGGTGCGGGTCCGAGGGCCAGGGCCCGATCGGCCAGACGAAGCGGTGCTCTTCGACGTCGACGAAGCCGGCGGCGAGCATGTAGGATTTCATGTGGCGGATCGTGCGGAAGGTCATCCCCGTGCGGTTGTCGCCGAGGGAGAGGATCGAGTTGGAGAATTGGGTGTACATTTGGTGGGCGTGGGCGGGGTTGTTGGGGTCCGCGTTCGTGTCGATGCTGAATTCGAGGTGCTCGAAGTAGCCGCCGGGTTTGAGGTGTCTGGTTTGGAGTGGTTAGGAGATGGTGATGCGGGCGTGGGGTTTCGGGGGTTGAGTACGGGAAAGGGGGAGTGAGAGAGGGGGAGGAGGTCGGGCTTACTTGTATGCTTGCTCGTAGAGATACGGCCAATCTCTCACACAACCTGTGAGGCCTCGCACGTGCACAAAGTCGAACGAATCTCGTGGGTACGTCCATTCCGAACATGCGTCGTCTACTTCGAAGCGGATGTTTGGAGGGGCGGTGGTGACTTGGGTGGGCGAAAGGTCTGTGCCGATGATTTCGGCGGAAGGGAAGTAGTCCGCCATGTCTCTGGGGATATTGTTAGCAGTCTGCTCGCGGATTTGAATGGACAAGGAGCTTGGGACAGATATATGATTTGGGGGAGGTGAAGAGATCGGGATAGAGATGAGGTAAATGAGAGGTGGACATACATTGCCCATAGACCTGTTCCAGTGCCAACGTCGAGGATCATCTCCGGATCATCTATAGGTGCGAGGAAGAGTTTGTCGTCGAGTGTCAGGAGCCAAAGATGGTGTCTGCAGATTGGTCAGATTCCATCTTTTGAGGTCTATAGAATCCTGTATAGATTTGAAAACTTACACCACCATCTCATACGAAGCATATTTATCGTCGTTGGGTCCATAGAATTGACCATCCCCTAAAGAAAGCTCAATTAGATATAGGAACGTTCAAGAGAAGTAGCAGGACTTACGAAACGCATGATATCGCCTGCCGTTCTCATATCGATATCGCGTGACGCTCGATGCTAATGACTGACCCCTTTCGAACGATTAAAACTATATTCTTTTGTACGCGATTAGGTTGATGTGGTTGAGGACATACGAGGTATATGTCATACGATCATCATCGTACTCATCTTGATACTTATCGTATGCTGAGTCCTATTTTCATTGTCAGATACTCAGGTCGAATAATGTAAAACATGTCGGTGATCAGTCATGCTATGTTTGCATACACATGGTGAATGCTAGTAGCAAGGATCGACCATTATAATTGATTGGCTGATCATGCTCGATTGCCAGAAATGTAGAAGGTCGGGCAAATCTCGGCAAGCAGCAGCAACGGCCGCTTCACCGCATGATTTGTAACCTCACACATGAAGGCTCAAAGGGAATGAAAAATAAGGGAGAGGCGTTTCATGTTCGTGTGCGGGGCAGACGAGCAAGCAAACACATGGGGTGATATCGATAAAGGTGAAGACGATAGAGGAGTGGGTAAGGGAAGTAGGGTAGACGTACGATGGCTATGTCGTGGGCATCCTCGGGCAGCATCTTCGACATGCTGAGTTGCTCGAGTGGATCCAGTTTGTCGGTATTCTGGGGGAAAACCAAGTGGAGGGGGCCTGCTGCTATGGCGGCGGCGCCCTACACTAATTTTCCTTTTGCTCGCAGCTTGCGATACGTCAAGTCAAAGACAAGTCAGGTCCAGTTAAGACGAGACGGAAGGGTGGAGGGTTCCGAATATCGGGGTCGGGGTGCGTTCAGTGCTACTGCTGGAATGCGGCGAGGGCGTCCTGTTGGTGCTGATGGTTCTGTCGGTGGTAGTATCGTTGCCGCAACGAAACAAACGACAGCGGGTGCTAATGTCGAGTAGAGTACCGGCAGTATGGGTATGAATGGCCGGGTCGTAGCTATGTCTTTGAATCCGAGATGTGAGGACAATGGGAGTCGTTCTGGCGGATAGTCGTGCTAGATGAGACCAAATGTGAATGGAGATCACGGGAATTGGAGAATAGGTGGAAGAAGAGAAGTAGCTGGAGATGAAGATGAAGATGGAAGGGAAGGGAAGAACAAGAACAAGAGCAGCAGGAAATAACTGAGAAGACGTTACTTCAGACGAGGAACGTAGTTAGTAGAGTAGGGGTAGGGTAGTTAAGGTAAGGTGGTGGTGGTGGTGGTGGGTATGCGCAATGAGTGGATGGATGGAAGGATGATCCGTTAGAGGAAGAGAGAGCGAAGATGAGGTGCGGCGGTAGACAAGCGGGGTGATGGGTGATGGGTGATGGGTGATGCTTCTGCCAGTGCCAGTGCCAGTGCTTGCATGATCGGTCCGTTGTCTTGGTCTTGCATCTATGTACATACACCATCACAACTACATACACCGCAACTATCAAAAATATGAATACTGTGTTACATTACTATATCAAATTCACATCACCAATCATACAAACACAATATTCTCCCAGCACAATAATTTCCACTTTCTTCTCACCAACACAGCACCTCTCAACCCTGTCCGCATCCAGCTACTACCCCAAAAGTACGCCAACTGTACCGTACTTTCGACTTCAGCCTCACCGAACCCAACCTAGCGGCTCAGCACTCAAAATTGCTAAATCGGGAGAATAGTCTCGAAACAAACCTGTGAGTTCTGAGCAGTAGCAGTAGCTAGCAGAAGTACCCTAGGGGACGGAAACTCTGGATGGCATGATGGGTGTGGCTCCAACCTACCCAACTAGCCTGTTGCCAGCTGTCTGGCTCTGGGACCCCCCCTCCCCCCTCCCCGGATGCGGACGCGGATACATGCGGGCGGGCGCTGATGCACCTGTGTTCCCATCCAGTCGGTCCGTTGTCTTGTTGGGTTGTTAGGATACGAGTAGAGTATGTCGATGTTTTGATTGAAAGGTCTTCGTGGTCATTGTTGTTCAATCGTTGATGGGCGGATAGATGAATGGGCGTTGAACGGGATGTTCCGACCTCGACATGATATGTATTGTGGTATGATATATGATATGGGAAACTCCAATTCTGAGGCATGTATGGTGTACTAATGAATAGTACTTTTCTCATCCATCAGTAAACTACAGCACATATGCAGGAAATCGCCGACGTGTAATATAATAATGAAGCGAAGCGAAGCCACGCACACCACCGAAACACGGTACAGGATCCTTTAGCACGTACGAGACGAGCCCACCATGATAACGCACTGTTGACTCGAGACCTCTGGTGTTCGAACCAAAGCAAGACAAGGCAAGGTAAGATAAAGCACCTAGGGTGAAGGCACAAGCAAGGGAAAGAAGAAAGAAGCGACCCAGCGCCGGGCGGTCTATCCGGTACCTCAATTAATTACCTGAAGAAAGAAATTCGCCGATTACGAAGAGGCTCCCTACTCGTACATACTCGTGACACCCACACACCTTACTTGAAAAATGACTTATTATTCAAGGTTCGGGTTTTTCTTTCATCTTGTTCGATCGTATGGAGATTCTATCCGCCCTATATCTGACTGACTAGTAACTATTCCTCGTACCAAACCATCTGGGAGTACCAGTACTCCACCATACCTCAACCCTCCCCATCGATCAAATCAATCCCACTCCCCCCAAACCAAGCCAAATAATCCCCTCTACCATAACAACTTGCACATTCACCTAACCCTCAATCAAAACTCCGTGCTTGTACTCTGTAGTTCCCATCGTCAGTTATGGTGTGCACTGTGCCCATGACCCGCCCCGCCGGATACGGCACCCACCTACGACATTAGTCCGATCGCCGCCCGCCCCGAGACAGCGGCGGCAGGTCAGCCCTGAATCCTTCTCCAGGGTCTCGGTACCGAAATATGTGTGCTTACGCTGGTTTGAGGTCTCGAATTGCACGATCGTGGGGGAACACATATGCGTGCGTGAAAGATCTGTATAGGTAATTTGGTTTGAGATGGGAAGGATGGGATGTGTGCGTGTTGGGATTGTGTATATGTGACTTTCTGTCGTCTTGTTCAACCCTAGAACCCCTCCAGCACGTTACATTTGTAAAAAGGGACAATGAAAGTACAAGCAAGACACAACACCTCTAATTCGTACCAAACCAGCACATCGACCGTTTCCATTCCTCATTATCTCATCTGATTCCCATTTTCATGGTCTTGATCTCCATGCCTGAGCCTAAATCTCCACAAGATTAAAGCTGATCAGCGCCAACATTTACAAGGGGTACATTCAGTCTCATCATATTGATAAAGGGACTTTTTAGCAGTGACAGTACCAGCAGAATCAATAGCAAAAGCTGTAAATCATAAACGATCACACAAACACTCTTCCTGCATTTCTCCCTCCCTCTCTGGCTATCTTTAGGTGCCCGCTCACGGCGCAGATGTAACTCCCCTTCCCCAACGTCTTCCCATGGAAAAAAGGCATCAAAGCAAAGCAAGGTAGAAAGGTAAACGTCAATACAAGACAAGAAAAGTATGTCAAATCCAATTACCTACCTAACTCGCCGGCTATCGGTTCGTCTGATGTAATCCAAGAGTCTACATGTACGTCAGAACAGAAATGCTGTTCGGGGGGAGGAGGTGTTTTAGAGAGAGGTGGAAGGAAGGAAGGGGACAGAGGGGTGGTCTATGGTGATGAAGATGGCGTCATGATTTTGAAGATGAAGCACGGATGGATGTGTGGAAAGTGGAGGGTAGGGAGATTGAGAGATGGGTGCGTGTAGTTGATTGATAGATAGATACTCGCGCCTCTAAGTGCGACAGAGGGAAGAATGCGGGTTAGTTATATTCGACTTGTTCATGTTGTGATGTATGGATCAATCTGTTCCCCCTTTCCCACGTACTTTCGGCGGTGGAGAGAGAACATGATGGATGACTTCAACATACATAGAGCTAATGAGTCAACAAGTGAATGTCAAAGACAAACATCAGGCACATGCATAGACGGATCGATACGTGTTCATTCTTTTATCATCATTCAATTCTGTACCATTTTTGTTCTGAGATAATAATCTTTTGTGTGAGAGAGAAAAAGTGTGATCCGAATCCCCTCCCGTCTACCCGGCCGGCCAAAAAGAGAGAAAAAAGACAATGATGAAGGGAAAAAATTTCTCCTCTTTACTCTCCTCAATTCATTCCCGTGCCTGTGATTGTGACAGGTCCTAGGCGTAGCGTAACCGCCGCCTCTCTTCTCATCATCAGTCTATCAATCTTGAGGCGTGCATCTTCATTCCCTTCATCTTATCCCTAATAACTGGGACGGTGGAGAATAAACCCATGATGGATCGTCCGTCCCCTCTTTTTCGGAAGAGTAACGTGCAAGTGCAAGAAACAACAAGCCGCCCCGCCATATGTCCTTCATTGGCTTTCTTTGGTATTACGACAAAATCCCCCTCCCACAAAGACCCCCATTGCCTGAATCCACCCCTGACTGCCCACCCGAAAACGAAATTATAGAAAAGAACGCCAGTACCAGAAAAAGAAGCTGGAAAGTGGAGAACGTATAGGAGGTTTGCGTCTGGAAAGAAAGAAACACAGATGATAAGACATGCTACCCAACAACGCCAGACCCAGAGTGCCCCCAAGCCGTGAGCCGTGAGCGTGAGACATGAACAGAACGTATCAGAAAAGGCAAAAAAGGAACAAACGATGAACAAACGACGAAAGAGGGCAAGCAATATATGGCAACGCTTTTCCGCAAGGAAAGAGGGAGGAAAAAAATTATGAAATGTGAGAGTGTGGTTTTGTACACCGACGATGCAGGTCTGCATCACTCAAAGGGAGAATCTCAGGCGTTCCGATCTAGACACTGTTGGACCTGAATACCCTAAATTCAGGGGTGTCCGGCAGGTTTGCCATGGTCGCTGCCTTGGTATTCGGTCGTCGAGGGAGTTCCACGAACCTTCTTGGCTCGCTCATCGTCGCTCGAGGAATTGGAATGGCTGGAGCTGCCGTCGTCCAAGTTGATGTTGCCATCCTTGGACTCCCGTCGGAGGCGGTCTGCCTTGTCCTTCAAGATCTTCGCTTGCTCTGCTGCGCGTTGCGCGCGAATCTGCTTCTTCCACATGGCTGCATAGTGTCCGTTCTTCTCCAGCAACTCCTCATGCGTGCCTCGTTCGGCCACCTTGCCCTTGTGGAGAACCAGAATTTGGTCGGCATGAGTAATCGTGCTAAGACGGTGCGCGATGATCAGCATGGTGCGGCCCTGCGCTAGCGCCGTAAACGCTTCTTGGATGTGTTGCTCGGTTTCCGTGTCGAGCGCAGCGGTGGCCTCATCAAGCATGATGATGCGGGGATTCTTCAGAATGGTACGCGCAATCGCCACCCGTTGCTTCTCGCCACCGGAGAGGCGGAGACCACGCTCGCCTACCTTAGTCTCGTACTTATCCGGGAAGCCCAGGATCTTATCATGGATCGAAGCTGCACGACATGCGGCGTAAACCTCCTCATCCGTCGCATCGGGGTTGGCGTACTTCAAGTTGTACATGAGCGACTCGTTGAACAGGACCGTATCCTGGGGGACGACGCCAATGTGTCGCCGCACGGAATCAATGGTGAGCTCCTCGACATCGTGTCCGTCGACCTGGATGCTGCCAGACATGGTGTTGTAGAATCGGTACATGAGCCGGAATACGGTGGATTTTCCACCACCGGATTCGCCGACAAACGCGGTTGTGGTCCCTGGCGCACAGTGGAAATCGAGTCCCTGGAGGGCCGGTTTCCTCGTGTCGTAAGAGAAATGGACGTCGTTAAACCTGAGATTTCCCTCACACGACGGGAGCGTTGCCGCATCTGGAGCGTCGATGACCGTCGGTTGCTCCTTGAACAGCTCCAACATGCGCTCGGAATTGATCATGGCGGACTGGATCATCCTGTAGAAGGTGCCGAAGAAGTTGAGTGGACTTTGCAGCTGGCCCATGTACATGATCAGGGTAACGAATTTGCCAACTTCGCGCTGGCCCGTCGTAATCTGGTACGCCGCGATGAAGCATGTAGCCAGCAGACCGAGCATGAATACCATGTTCTGGGTAATGTTCATGAGGTTAAGCGAGAACAAGACCTGGTACTCAGCGGTCTGGAACTTGTTGACTGCATTGCGGTAACGGTTAAATTCGTACGCCTCAGCGTTGAAGTACTTTACGGTCTCGTAAGAAACCATGGAGTCGTTCCTGCATTTTGTTAGTCTGGGTGTCGTCGCATAGAGTGGAGATACAGATACTCACTTGACTGCATCTTCTTCTCTATCCGCATTGACCATTTCGCGGCGTATTTCAGCTCTCCATTGGGCCATGCGGATAGTCAGATAGATGTACCAGAAAGTTACGACAGCAATCACGAGTGCATAGTAGGCGTCGAACTTGATCAAAAAGTAGCCAATGGCGACAGCGAGATCGATGAGCATGGGGACGACCTGAAAGGTCACCTGCTCCAAAAAGGTGTTGATGGAGCTACCCTTTCCGAGGGCTGACAAGACCTCGCCAGTCTTCTTGCCGAGGTGGAAATCGAGGCTGAGGCTGTGCACGTGCTCGAATGCCGCAACGGACAACTCGCGATATGAATATTGCCCCACCGGGATCCAGAGCGTCGACCGCAGAGCCCCAAGCAAGCCATTGTTGCCTTGGACGAGGCGGAAAAATATGAAGATCAGGATCTCGGCCCATGCGTTGCCTGCGCGCTCACCAGCCAAGGTGCTGACGATCTTGCCGACTTGATCGGGAACGAGCAGATTGATGATGCGCTGAGCGATGACAATCAGGAAGCAGATGACTACCACCAACTGCAAGCGGCGGTCCTTTGATGGCCACAAGTAAGGGAAAAAGACACGGTATCCCTTGAGGTACTCCCACCAGCTGCGCGATGGAGCTCCCGTGGGCCGACTCCAAGCGGGCGGAGCAGCACCCTCACTATGCGGAGGTTTGCCACCAGCATTATTGATTGAGCCATAGCCATTCGCGTGACCATTCTCGGCCTGACCGTCGCGGTCCCCACCAAGCAAGGATGCGGTCTCGCTGGAGCTTCCCGCCTCTTGTGACGCCTTCCTGTTCCTGGGTAGGACAACGAAAATGAAGTAGAATGCGATAAGGGTGAGCAGTAGCACAATGCGGAGCAGGTCGACTGCAACTTCAGTGCTCTCCCATTCGGTCATGTGGAAGCGGTATCTGGGGTGGGCGGGCTTCTTCGCGGTAGGTTCCTTGTGCGTATGTGTGTAGATGGCGAGGGAGCATCCGAGCAAGACGATTTCGAGAGCGGTTGCCACGACCCATGTTGAAAGATGGGCGACGGTGGGAGACGGTTTCGAATCGAGGAGGGAGATCAGGAAAAGGCAGTAGATGAAGAAGGAGCCGACGAGGTAGATCTAGCCATGTGCATGTTAGAATGATATTTTTTCCCCTTTTCCCTTTCCTTTCAGGCATGTTGGGGACCAATTGAACATACGACGGTGTGTTGACCGCACCACCAATTCTCCTTGCGGGCGTATAGGGCATGAACGATGACATTGACGGCATTTCCGAGGAAGGTGAGGGCGGTGGCCAGAGACAACCATTCAAAGAGGCGCTTCTGACTCTGCGTGACGTCGTCGGTGACGGTCTTCTTGACGAAATTGCGGGTTGGGTCGTTTGCGGGCAGAGGCTTGCCGCCAGGGCCGAGTTGGTTTGATTTGGAGATATTAGAATTAGAATTAGTTGCAAGGATGCTGCGGGCGGTGAAAGCGGCGAGGAAGAAGACGAGCAGAAAGATGGGATAGGCGAATTGCAAGATCTTGACGGTCAAGCGAAGGTCATGGTTGCGGCGCATCCACTCGGGGGAGGTTGCGTTGGTGGTGAATAGGTTCAGCGAGGCCTCGACATCCAGCGGCGCGGCCATGATGGGTGTGGTGATGCAAGCAGCAGCGGCGTCGGCGTCGGCGGCAGCAATGCAATGCAATGCTTCACCGAGTGGAGGAAGGCGGTACTCGGTATCGAAGAGATCTCACCAGGCGCGGAGGTGGGGGGATGTGAGACAGGTGGTGATGGTGGTGGAGGGAGAAAAAGAAGAGAGGGAGGAAGGTAGGAGGGAAGAGAGAGGAGGAGGAGGAGAGATAGATGATTGTTGTATGTTAGTAGAAGGAAGGGAGAAGGGTGGGGTGGAGGGAATGGGAGGGGAGGATATGAGAAAAGAAAAGAAGAAGAGGAAGAGGAGGTGGAGGTGGAGGAGGAAGAGGATGAAGATGTATGAAATGTATGAGGAGGAGGGGAGGGAGAGTATGTATGAGGTAGAGATGTATGGTGGTGGTTGTAGTAGCTAGTAGGAGGTACTCGGTAGGTAGCTAGTAGTTGGTAATAGTGGTGGGAGTACTGCCTCTCCCGTAGTGTATACTAACAAAAGAAGGTCGTAGTCTCGTAGGGTGTGTGTAATATGTAACTGGAGAAGTGTAAAAGGTGTATTAATGGTGTAATGGTGCAGCTGCTTCTTCTTCTTCTAGCTCCCTTCGAGTAATACTCGTGGTGAGGTGCTTTTTTCTCTCTGGATTTGTATGAAGAAGTTCATCCAATTCATGTCTTCCCACCTCCTAGTCCTGACACGATCTCTTCATCATCTTTTTCATCTCTTCGTCCTTCTCTTCCCACTTGCTAAGACTTTCTCCGTACTTTAGTAAGTAGCCAGTCTACTAGTATGCTAAGTAGTAGGGTAGTAGGGCAAGGGAATAATTCGTCTACAAGGTTGGAGGTAACAGAGTCGAAGCTGGTCGCCGCCGCTTGTCGCCCACAGACGCGCCACCACTCAGGCTAATCCGATTACGATCTGCGCTAGTCCCGAATGGGCTTTTGAGCAGCCATCGGATCATGAGCGAATCCCTGTGATGTGTGTGTGTGTGGTGTGGGAGGGTGTCTGCCTCTGTGTGTGTGTGTGTACACGGAGTACACTGTAACTATGTGGGTGTGTGTGGATGGATTGTATGGGTTGGTTGGGCCGTTCTTGTGGATGGATGATTGTATGCATGTATGGGTGTACCGTGTAGGATGATGGAAGGATATAGATAGATACACTGTTACTGTGCAATGGTTGGATGGATGACTATCTGCAGTGCGGACATGGAGATGAACTGGCGGCATAGGATGCCATAGGATGGATGATGGATGATGAATGAGTGGATGGATGGACGGTATGAGCATTGTGAGCTTCCTATAGTTACAACTTACTTCCTTGCGCATCCTTTCTCATCGTCATCAGTGCATTGCATGTCTGTATGTTCTGGTATTCTCTACTAGGAATTGTACGGCGTATGTACTGTATGTAGGTACATACAGACAAGGTACATACATACATACATACCAGGTACCTAAGGTAGGCTATGGCATCATCATGGGTTGTTGAAGATGACAAGATTCATTCGTTATTTACCGTCCACCACATACATACAGGTACAGCCCTCCGTAGCCTACACATAGATGCAAAAACATAATTGCCTAGATCCTTGTTCGATCAGGTTTTCGATTACTCCGTAGCGCGTAACCCACCCTCCACTCCCCTACCCTTCTACCGTCGTCAATACCCTGACCTGTCCTGCCCTACTGTGTGTCTGTCTGTCCGCCCTTGTACTTTTACCGTACACGCATGCGAGGTGCAGTCTGGCTGCAGTCTATCTGCATCTCTGCATCGCTGCAACCTGCACGCTGCACGCTGCCAATCTGCAACCAGTCTCTCGGCCTGCATGGAGCTTCTCTCCTTAGATCCCCAAGACCCAAAAGTCTTGTCTTGCCTGGTCTTGTTGTAATACAATAGTCTGGTCATCTCTGATGGTGGTCTGGCCCCGTCGTCTCCGTCCCGCCTCGCTAGATTGTGTCTTGACTCTCGAAAAGGTCTGGCCCCGTATGCATCAGCTCGTCGTCGTACGTACCCCTACCCACCTTTATTCCACAATAATATTACAATACATGTCCAATCCAATAATTAATTAATACTTTGTTAGTCGACCAACTAATAATACTCCATAATACCTAAAACAAATCCCATCTCCATAGTTAACCATCTCCAGTTATTGCTTGCTCCGTCTATACCTACTAATCATCACCATCATCCTCATCATTCATCATTTCATCATTCATCATTCATCATATCAAGCATCGTACGGAGTACTTAGTCTTCACTCTCCTACAACAGTATACGAAGTATATGCGGACCACTGTACGGAGTACTCCGTCACACATCAGGTACACAAGTGATATCGCATACTCATTTGTGGTGGTAGAATCTATAGTTGAACAGACACATTTTTATCATTGGGTACACTCTTTGTCACTCCGTTTATATTGTACAGCTGTCATTCTCTCACCGTTGAGTGCAGAACACCCATACACTGTACAGTAACTACAGCCCATAGTATACGAGTACGAGCACTGCATGCACCTCGTGTACCTACATACACAGTAAATGTAATTGCGCATCATAGGTTGGGTATACGACATCCATCCAACCAATCTCTATATACTCTTTCTACCGATCTCCCTCTCTCTATGTCGTTATCTCTCTTCTTGTGTTCCTGTGGTCTATTACTTACAGCGTCAGCACTCTCCTAACCTTTTGACAAGAATCGATCGCGATCAATTGATTGACCAATGGGAATCCATCGAGGGAGAGGGCAACGTTCCATCTTATTACCTGCCCGTCCAGCTAACTACATACCGTATCAACTGTGCACACACATTGATTCTCCTCTTCCGCTCTACCAATATGAATACGAACCTGTATGAACATGAGTAGTGATGGCGAATATCATGATGATCCCTCTCTAGCAGGACTCAGAATTCAGGCCTCAAGAGAGTGACCACCACCTCACCTCACCGTCGGCGGTTTTATCAATCGCACTAGCTTCCTAATCCTCCGTCGCTCCGTTTCTATCATCATTGTTTTTCCCATTTACACCTCATCTTCTTCTTCCCTTTCCTATTTGTGTGAAGTTACACCGTACTTACTGAATAATTGCTTCTTGCCATGCTTGTACTGTGTAGTGTGCGATTGTCATATTCTCTCCATTACTCGATCGCTTGCTCGCTTACGAGCTTGTACTTGTAGCTAACCTAACGAACGACACTGGTCCATGGTCGCGACGTGCCTGCATCCCTCCATCCCCATTCCATCTCATCCACCCATCTCCATCCTATCCCATCCCATCCCATCCCTCCAGTGTCCAGTGTCATCCTAACCCCATCCTCATCCTCTTCCTCCTCATCATCTCCAACTCCCACTCTAGCGGATATCCAACCACGTCAACAATGTTCTCGTGGTATCGGCACGGTACCTGACGCCAACCACCACCCCTCCTCCTCCTCCTTGTCCCCACCCCCACTGGTCCAATTCCTTCATACAGCACAGTACTCTGTACAGCACAGCACAGCACAGCACAGCACAGCAGCAACAGCGGCCACAATAACAACAAGGCCATACAGCTCTAGCTCAAGCTCCTCCAAGCTTCCCCTTCGGCGCCGACGGTGGCACTTCGGTCGTAGCTGCCGTTCTCGAAACAACAATCAAACTTCTGCTTCTTCGACCAACGGCATCAGATCAGTAATATCTGTCTATATCTGTCTGTATCTGCATCTGTATCTGCATCAATTGGTATCAGAAACAACCACAGCAACAGCATGGCTGACCCACCGTCACGCCGTGCCCCATCCAATCCTGCTGCTGGTGCTGCCTCTTCTTCCGCTTCTGCTGGTGCTGGTGCTGCTGGTACTGCTTCTGCTTCCGACTCTGTTGCGGCAACCACTGCGGCGTCCACTGCTTCCGCCAACGCAATCCCACCTCCTCCACCGCTACCACCACCCCAACCCAAAACAACCTCATACTTCTCCCGATTCGTGACCCAACCGTTGACCGCATACGGCTCACGGCCTGCCAGCTCCCAAACGAATCGCCCCGAAAGTGGGCGTCCCAATCCGCTCGTACCAAGATTGCCCGGGTAAGTGTCCCTCTCCTAATCGCCCTACGTATCACCACACATCTACTCTACTCTACTCGACTCGACTCGACTCTGCTCTGCCCTATCTAGCACCAACCCTGCATTGCATCTCTGCTGTCCCTCGTTCTTCGTTACTGGTCACTCGCCGACCGTCGTTCGTTACTGGCCATTACCTCGTTTTCTTTCCTTTTTTTTTTTTTTTCTTTCCTGCCGCCTGCCGCCTGCCGCCTTCCCGGTCTGCCGCGTCTTACGTTGTATCACGTCTGCCTCTTTTTATCCTCCTACAGCGCGGCATTTTCAAGAGCCACTGGTTGTCTTTGTCTGCTGCATCCACCCGTGCCCGAAATCCACCGGCCCACCGCCTCCACGCGACGTCGTTCCCGTTTTCCTGTGCCCGACTCTTCCCGTCCGTCCCTTGATTCATTCATTCATCCTGTCATTCGCATATCATCCAATCCATCCAACCGTCCCGTCCATGTAGTAGTTGTCTCGACAGTTATTCGTTCGCTTCCCTTTCCCCTTGGCCCATCACTGAGTTCTACCATCACATGTAGCATCCGCACTGGCTTGTCGCAAGATGCAAGCCATAAAACGGGCCTTGATATCTCCGCCCTCGATATCAACCGCGATAGGACCCACGCTGTCCTCGCCGGCAAGGAGATTCTCAAGACTGTCCGCGTCCAAGATGCAAGGATCGTCGAAGAGACGAACCTGCGCGCCGCCGTCATCAATGCTGCTGAGCATAGCACTTCCCACGCCCGGCAGCGTGAGGGACTTACCATCCATGATGTGAAGTGGTCCCATGGCCAGTTCAACACGCATATTGCAACCGCCGCCGCAAATGGAAAGATCATCCTGTACGACCTGAATAGAGCTGGCGTCGAGTTGGCTCGTTTACACGAACACACTCGCCAGGTCCACAAGATTGCTTTCAACCCCCATCAAGGCCATTTACTGCTGTCCGCAAGCCATGACGCCACCGTGCGTCTGTGGGACTTGAGAGACATGAAAAAGGATATCATGACCTGTCCGAGTAGAGATCAGTACGCCGGTATCAACGGTGGCATTCGTGATGTCCAATGGTCCCCCACTGACGCCGTAGAGTTCGCTTTCGGGACTGACAATGGCACCATCCAGCGATGGGACTTTCGGCACAGCAAGGGTCCAAAGCAGAAGATCACGGCCCACGATCAGCGGATATGCACCTCGATCGACTGGCACCCGGACGGCAAGCACCTGCTCAGTGCAGGCGTCGATAAGACCGTCAAGGTCTGGGACTTCTCTGTAGACGGCCGGCGCCAGAAGCCCGCCTTCGTGCTGACCGCGCCTTACCCTGTCTATAAGGCAAGATGGAGGCCACCCTACTGGTCCGACGAATACCACGAAAAGGGAGTGTATCAGTGCACGCAGCTGGCAACATCTTACGACAGGGACCATCCTGCCATACACGTATGGGACTTTCGGCGTCCTTACCTTCCGTTTCGGGAGATCACCAAATTCCCCAGCGCACCATCTGATATGCTTTGGCACTCGCGTGATATACTTTGGACCGTCGGCAGAGAAGGTGTCTTCCAGCAGAATGATGTTCATTTGGCCCCCAAGATCGTGGATCGCCGCAACCTGCAGGCTTTTGCAGTATCGCCAAGTGGCGAGATGGGTGGATTTGCGCAGCGAAGGGCCCGGCACCATCCGCCAGGCCTCGACTACTCGACTGATGACACGTACTTAGGCGAGAAACGCAGCCCTGAGAAGAACAGCCTGCGAAGTTCCGCGGATGACAGTCTGGATGACAGCTTCCTTAGCTCCTCCATCAAGAAGCATCATGGGCGTACAGCGAGCAATCGTTCGACAAAGTCATTTGGAAGTAACCCTCCATCAGACATAGTACCCAAGGTCATGTTTCTCACCGATTCTATGGCCATGCATAATGACTCCTTCAAACCAAATCAGCTCGCTTTCCGTGGCATGCTGCCTGGTGCACCGAGCATCCAGGTGTTTTCATATCTTGCCCAGAAGTACAGGGCAATTCCCCTTCCCGACCCTCCTACCTTGCAATCCTTTGCCGACGTCCAGCATGTGTTTGACCAGAATGCCGAATATGCACAGCGAGCCGCGTTCTACAGGCAAGCTGAGACTTGGAGGATAGTTGGGTTGTCAATTGCGGTTGCGACCAGGCGCCGGGCAGAGTTGCACAGACAACAGCGTTTATTGCAGCTTAAGCCTGCCGCAGTAGTGCCACCTGCCGCTGATGTAGCAGACACTACCGCTTCGAAGCCTGTGATGGCACATGACACAGTGCCCGCTCATCCGCCTCCACAGAACCCTGCCGTGCGTGCCATCCTAGGTGCTCCTGACAAACCACAGGCGTCTCACAATACAGTTCAATTGCTCTCTGCAAACGAGAGTACTTCGAACCTCCCAACCCCGCTTGCGCGACCTCTCACAAGCTCTGGAGCAAATGATGCGGCTTCGCGTCAGTTGTCTCAGCTTCCCGATCCGGAGCATGAAGAAGAGATCAAGCTTCCACCAGCCATTGCAGGCCCGCATTCCACGGCAGGGAAGGAAACGGCGGCCCAAAGAGACGAGGATCCCACGATTGCCGCGGATCGACCCAACTTCAGCGGCCCACATTGGTATTCGTCCAACGACCTGGACGAACGTCGAGCCATGGTCGGCAGTTGGCGGGCTCCACCGCGAGCACCGCTGAGTCTGGAGCCTACCGATTCTCACGGGATCAACATCCACATACCGCCTCGACTGGATCGCCACAATTCGGACGAAAGCTTTGGCATGTTTTCTGCCTCCACTGACTCGCAGCGGGGTACTTCGATCCCGGACTCATTTGCTAGTGGGAAGTCCCAATCCCAGAGCATGGAGTCAATACCAGAAGCGTGGCAGCATCCTCCTGCAGGCTCTAGTTTTGGGCCGCCAAGATCTGCAGAGCTAGTTCAAATCTTGAATGAGCGGGCTGCTGGAACCTCGGCCTTGGGTAAAAGCATTCAGGTATCCCCCACGACCATTCCGATTGGTATGTCAGAAATCGGCAGGGACATACCCTCCGTACGGGGCGGTCAGCAGCAAGGTTCGGCCCGTAACGGGACGGCACAGTCGATCGAATATAGCAGTCAAGAACGTGCTGTCCAAGATATAGAGAACTTGCGCCGCAACAATCAGCTCCTGCGTCATGATAGCTCCGAATCAGAGGCCTACTTGAGCAGCAGAGACGGAGCATCCATGTCTCGAGACTACAGCATTGACATGGAAGCCAGCGGGACGATTGTGCCTGAATTCCATGAGGAGCCTCGATCCCCGCAGGGCCAGAGGCTTCCTGCAGCCCTGCACCATGCAACGGAGAGTGCTCCTCCGGCACTTGACCCGTCAGCCGAGCAAGGAATTCTATTGTCAGACTATCAAGCCATGCGTATTGACGCAGAGGAAGGATCGGCATTCTCAGTGATCGGCCTCGTAAACAACATCTTGACCTTCAACACGACTACTCTGTTCGAGGCGCAGATGTCGTCGCTCTTACTGCTGCTCCTCACACCTCTGCTGCCACAAGCTGCTTCGCCTGGGCAGTCTAGCTTCGATGATGCCGAGGTCCAAGCAATCTTTTCAGACACACTGTCTGGGCTGGGACTGACGCCCACTCAGGTCCAAACCGTGATTTCTACCCAACTGACCGATCTGCTGGCGACAGGCATCAATCTATTTCAGGCAGAAGCCATTTTGCACACGTACCACTCTCAATTGCATAGCTTCTCTCTGTATAATTCGGCTGCATCTCTTCGTCGTCTCGCATACCCTACCTACCCTGCTGTATACGAGCAGGCGCTGAAGGATACTCAGCTTGGCCTACTGTGTTTGAGCTGCAAGTCACCAATTAACAATCCCCAGGATAAGATGCGATGCGAGAGCTGTAAGCGAGCTCAGGCACCTTGTCCTATATGCTGGGGTCGATATCCAGCCTTCGAACCCGTGTCGTCCAAAAAGTCAAAGTCAAAGTCACGTTCGAGCTTGAAGGAGAGGGATTACGGCCGGAAACGGTCTTCCCTACCGCCCGTTTCTGGCTTTGACCAACATACATCTGTAGAACACGAATCGAGCCCATCCGTGCCAGAGAAGCCCACCCCTCCCAAAGCGACATTGTGGACGTGGTGCCCGTTGTGTGGCCACGGCGGTCATACGAACTGCCTTTCCACATGGTTTGCGGACTCTTCGCTATCAGACGGAGCCTGTGCAACAGAAGGCTGCCTCTGTGACTGTGTTCGCGGTAACAGACGAGACGCTAAGATCGAAGAGCTTCTGGCGAAGAAAGCAGAGAAAGAGAGAATGAAGGTTGTCAGAAAAGGTGACGACTGGAAAGTTTCCGAAAGCAAGGCCGTTTCTGCTGTACGAGGAACCTTCGGGCAATCTGGTGCGGTGTCAAAGGACGCAGCACAGAACGAACCGCCGGCGGTGGCCAAGAGAGATGATGGACGACGAGTCCGAGTCGTTGGACCCCAGGACGAACGCCACTAGTACACAGCATCAACTCAAATTCCCCCGGACGAGCCAATACTGGGCCGGCAAAATGCCTGGGTGCTACTCGGAATTCAGCCGTGCCTCCGACTATCTATCTTTGTGTACAATTGCACCTTGCTTTATGCCGGCATCGGGCACAGCTAATTGATGAAGCGAATGCTTTGACATCACCCACGGCACTTTGCAAAAAGAACCAAAAGGCCCGAAGATGATGTCCAATGTACGAGCGGGAACGACTTGTATGCGATGCCCGCGGCTGCATACATCACACCGCTTTTCAAACGCGGATGCGCCAAGGCTGGTGCGAGTCTTCCCCGGCTGCGGGTGGCTGGAAGCGGATGTGAAGGATCGCGAACAACCACGTTTTTATTTCCAACGACCATGCCACCCATGCGGATTTGTGAACATTACTCACACGTGCCTGCGGGGCAGGGTCTCCTTCTTTCGAAGATCGAAGACCCGTGTGACGTGAAGTTGACGTCCGAATCCTTTGCCGAACGTTGATGTGACCCTGTCGTGAAGTCGAGGTTTGTATCAAAATCGAATTCAGAGTGTACGATATGCGATTATACCCATAGTTACTTTAGACCGTCGGACATTTTTGGTTTCGACGCCCATCATTGAAACTTAATCAATAATAATAACAATAATATTTTACAAACTAAGCCCTTTCTTCCCTCCTTCTCTCCTTCTCTCGAGTCAAAAGGATACTACCGCTCGCGTGACACAAAGACACGCCTTCCAGCTTATCAGCAGCCACTTCCCCCTCCCACCAGCCTATCATATAACGAGTACACGATATTCGGATGAATCGAACCCGGCACCCCGACCAATGACGAGCCATCGGGGCACGAACGCGAACTTCGCCGGATGACCGCGCCCGGGGAACTGGGAGCGCTAAATTGAGATAATTGGAAAGAAGAGAAAAAAGCAAAAGGAAACGAGGGAGGGAAGTTGGGGAGGAAGTCCTTTTTAGCGAAAGTTTGCTGAGGAAAAATTGGTTTGGTGTATCGGGGTTGTAGAAATGAATGGACTGGATGGATGGAAGGGGAAGGGAGAGAGAAAAGGTATGGAGTTTAGAGGTATTTCGTTTGACGTATAGATTCGTTTGGTAGGCTTGTAAGTGGATGGATAGATACAATCGATAGGGGTAGAGAAAGAGCACTACTATGTAGGTACGCCTAGGGTTTACTCCTTCTTTTCTCTGTTTCTGAATGGTAGCATATCTGTGAGTTTCCTCCTTTCTTTTCTCCCTTTGAAGGGGAGGGTATGTGAGGGAGATGAGGGCCATGAAGTTGTTTATGCTGTTTGGTGTGGTCTTGGACGAAAATATCGTATATACATATCTGAGGGAGGTGACATCTTTTTATTTTCGTTATTTGTGGTTGGAATGGGGAGAGAGAGGAAGAGGGTCAGATGGAAGGATACTGTTTGATATGTCTCTGGGGTTTGAGGCGGAGATATCAGGGGCAAGAATAGGTATCACGGACATTGACATTATGTCGAGGTTGTTTTTGAATTCTGTTTGTGTGATTTTCTGGGTTTTGCTCACTCGAGATGGGATGAGAATCAGTCAGGTGGTGTTGATGTTTCGTTTGCGGGATCTGATAGAATATTTTTCATATTTTATACATTTCTTTTAGGGAGAGAGAAAAGAATAAAGGGCCAGGGGAAGAGTTTGGGTTTGTTTACGGTGAAATGGAGAGTGTTTGTTTTATTTAATTGGTAGATTGATTGATTCATATTTAAAATGTACGATACTGACGTCCTGATATATGCACACATCCACACTGGGGATGAAGTATACGCCGTATTATCGTCTACTCATCAATGTTTTACATCTAAGCACGCCCTAAATCGACGAAGGGAATATACGCAGTAGAAAAAGGGAGTCGTGAATTTGTTACGGTGGTCGCAATTGCAGATATGCCTTTAGACTAATTGATGGAGTACATTCCCTTGCACTCATTCTGCTATTCAGGGCCTAAAGAGGGCAGGGGAAGGTGGGTTAGGAAGAGTGTGTTTGTAAGGATCTATGCCGAGTTTGTATTGTTTTGTTTCAATTCGTTTTGAAACATTTGCTTCGTGGTTGTAACTATCGTGGTCGTCATACGATGGAGGTTGAATGACGACGTTGACCGTTTCTCGGCATCGTGTGTATACACACACTTCCCTACTATCCCGGTTTTCTGTCAAAACTCATAACTTAAGATTCGGCCGAAATACCAGGCAACCATGTTGTGTCCCGGAGAAAGATGATTGCTCATCGGAGATTAACAATTTTGTCATACCTCTTCCCGTGCAGCTGGATGTGTTAGGGTTTGAGTAACAACGTCACAAAAGTCAAATTAACTCCAAAAAGAAGGTATCAGTATGGCTATAGGAGTGTGATACAGCTACATACGAGATGCATAGGCGCCGATGCTCACCCCTCGCACCAAGCTGCACATAGCCATCTCATCCCAAATTGAAAAGAAAAAGAAATGAATGCCCGTTCAAAACAAAATACGGAGTACTCCGTACCATACAAAGGGTTCACACAGATCAGTATTCCGTAGCGCCCGCGAAACAGATCTCATGGCCGAGTCGCGACCTTCACCGATCAAGGCAAGACTTGGGATGTTGGGAACCGGGGGTGTTGCGGGCGGTGGATTGTGGCGTTTTTTGACATCCCCTTCGGGAAATCATTTTGCCATGGAGGGATGGAGTAGCTATGTCAGGCTATATTGATGGCTTGCTGTCTGGCTAGCTGTCACTGTTCTCGACGCAATTTCGCGTTGGGCGAAAGCAGATGCCTGGGATAAGGGCCTGATGAAGGGTTCCTCTTTTCCTGGTATGGTAATTGAGGGTACAAGCCTACATGCGGAGTACCGAAACTCCATGTCTACTCCATGAACAACGCAACAAATGCATCCTCAATCAAGCCATGCAGACGCAACAAATTGTGAAGTTTCAGCCCTCGCGCCCGCCCGCCAGCCCGCACATGCAAGCCTTCTGGTGAGGTGTGTGTAATGCAGCGCGAGAGCGGGACTGCCATGCGCACCTCCATGCATGCCTACATACATGGCTGCTGCGAGGCCTCGGGAGTGACGAATTGGGGCAATGCGCGAAGTGCTACGGAGTACTATCTCATGGACATGCCGCTGTTGTGTTACCGTCGTAACTTGCGAATGCGCGTGAATTCTTCACCTTCTGATCTCACCGATCTTTGGGGACCGATGACAGATAGAGACGCAGTGCAGCGCAGCGCAACGCAGTACAGCACATCATGGAGGCTGTGGGAAACTGTGATACTTGAGTTTAGTTACTGTACCTTGGTGGAGGCGTGGCACCGCCGTGTAGTCACTACATGCGGGGAGTGAGCATACGTGTGAGTTAGACTGAAACGATGTGTGACGGACAGATAGGACAGGACGAGATTAGATAGACAGGGGAAAAACGGCGAATACGAGGTGGGTGTGCTCCTCGATGACTTGACTCTCGCTGGGAATTTTGATCCTGGGGGATCGATACTGGTTCTGATCGGTCGGACGAGGGAGGGGTGCGGGGGATGGGGATTCGGAGATAGGCGCAATGTTGGGAAATGTTATGTGCATGCCAGGACTGTCTATCTTTCTGGAAAATAGTGGCGTAGGAGGGAAATGTGTCTGTTGAAGGTTAATTTTGCTTGCTCCTTCAGCACTTCGTATGCACGAAGAAAATGAAATTATTCGATTTATTGCCTGGTGAAAGTTAAGTTTACAGATTGCGCTCGGAAAAGTCTAGGAGTCATGAGGATAACTGTCAACGTTGACCATACCGGCGGTAAATGTGTCATGTGCCGAGCGTTTTCGTCTTGCGTTTCACAGCCCCAGAGCTATGTAAATTCAAAAAGCATGCTGGAGTCGCACAGCTGGTCTTTGGGCGATCACGTAACGTAAGGTGGAAACACGATCGTCGGGATCTGATTTGAGGACCCGGAATTGTGGTGGCAGCCGCAATGTGGACGGGGAATCTGGATACGCTTCCGGCGGTATTGGAAAGCTGTGCGTTGGCCTCGAAATGCCAGTCATCCCGCATGTGTCCCGGAAACTATACTAATCGTCGGGTCGGTCTCTGAAGTCTAGACACTGCGTCTGGCAACGCCCTTGATTGGATCTGTCTGGTTACACAAAATCATCATCCTGTACGGATGAAGTAGAGACGCTGCTACGTATCGCTCGATAATATTGGATGTAAACGGTGAACAGTGAGCCGATATGACGCGTCCACCGTTCGATGAGCATTGGGCGAGTATGTATGTGTGCGAGAGGATCGACAGTCATGTGCATTTGAAATGCAGACTTCGAGTTCAGACTGATGGGCTTACGCAACTATATCCAAGCGCCCATTCCAATTGCGAGAACTGTGACGATGAAGTGACGACCTACGAGTAAGTAACATGCACGGAAATCGAAAGTTGAACATTGATAGGCGATTTGATTGTGATTGCATTTAAGACCATACCCATAAACCGTCCGTGAAAACCGTCATGCCGAAATCGTGAGTCTATTGGGCTCATCGAAAATGAAGCGGGGCATCTTCCGAGCTGTAGACGATACTACGCTCGACCAGCACTCCTTTTGATCCAGTCCGGTATTCCTGGGCAGCATTAGCCATGCAGGCTCCGTCGCCTCATGTGCGTGATCCGTACCACTAAACTCCTCGCCAAACTCATCGTGCACGCTTATCGGGATGCGCTCCAGACGTTCTTCAAGTAGCCGTCCCTCTGTGTGAGCCTGTTGAAGCTGTCGTCGCACTCGCCCATGGCCCTGACGAAGCCGCAGATGGCGTAGGTCTGGTTCTCGCCGGTGTAACTAACCAACAAAGTCAGCATGGTTCCCAATCTCCAAATGATGGTGGCGCCGCTGCTCGTTCTTGTATCTCAAGACTTTCGATTCCCTCCGTATGCGATTCGAGCAGGGCGCCGACCGAATTCATGTGTTTGGGGATTCGTACCGGCCGTTCTCATCGACCTTAGCGATCGAGATCTGGACGCTAGAGTGGTCCTTGGCCTTGATGATCCTGCCAGTCGCAGCGCCTGTTATCGTACTCGTCAGTCCTTGGTTCTTGTTCGCGAAGTTATCGGTGCCCGGCGGTGGCATTCAATACTGACATTTGCGGGGGACGTAGCTATCAACTGATGTTAGCAAATTGGTACCGGAAGAGTCGCAGGACGAATTTTCGTGTGTCGAGATGTGACGTTTGAAATGTATGGAAACTTACAGGTCGACGAGTTCACCGCGTTCTATTTTGAAAAATTAGCATTTGTGTATTTCAGTAGAAGATCAATTATACGAACCGTTCTCCATTTTGACTGAGTGTGTGGTGGGAGGAGTAGGTGTTGTGGTAGTTGCAAGGCGTCGATATTGTCGATGTTGGTTTCGCTGAGGTTGTGGGAATTTTGCGCCTCGGGGCGGCTCGCTTAGATGGGTGCATCACGTGAATTGCAGGGTTTGTGCCACCAAGATGGGACTAGCGTTTTTTACTTCCCGTCTAGTGCCTTTTCTACGCCTCAAGTGTCTATGGTCTCGCCTCACAACTATTTGTTCTGCAACTCCTCTCTCAATACCTTTCAATTGTAGCAGAATGAATTATGAAGGCAGTACTGCTGGTTTATCAAAGACCTTAGCCGAACCGAGTGTGAATTTCATGTCTCTGCCGTCCTATGTCCGTAAATTGATCTATGAACACTATTTTGATCACGGATCTTCAGTCTTCGATCTCAATCTCCTTGGGCTATCTCACAAGTTGATATGCCTGCGTGACCAAGAAGTTGGCCTTCCGCAACACCAGCAGTTCTTGCACTGCGTGCACTTTGCTGGGTGGCTACAAAACATGGAAACCTCTACTTTAGAAACGACATGTTGGACCCTCTCGGATGAGAGCGACTTTTCGATTGCACGACGAAGTAATCGGTTCTGCTGCACGACATTGGGCTTTATGGCGCTTTTGTATGTCAACAAACAAATATTCGAAGAAGTCACAAAGGTGTTCTACGCTATGCACCAATTTCGTGTATGCGGAGGCAATCCACATGGGTTCGGCCGGTTGTTCAAAATGAACGAAACCATGCTGGGCTCACTGACCAAACTTGCACTCCGCCTTGATGTGCCTCAGAAATCGATACCCCCAAGAGGGGGCTGGGAAGACTACCATTATGCAATCCCAACTCCTATCGATCTAGCAGATAGCATTGGATTTAATGTGTTGCAGGAATGGAAATTATCTCATCGAAAGACTGGCAAGCAACATTTGTCCATACACACTCCGACTTGAAGTTGTATTCCGTGCGATTGACATGGATGTCGCACAGGAAGTTCTCATGCCCCTAACCAGATTACCTCGATTGAAAAGTTGTGCTATTTGGGCGCGGATTTCCCATGCCCAATCCCGCAACATAATGGCGAGTAGAGCTCGAGCGAGAAAAGTACACCCGACACTAATATATGCTAGGTCTTGGATGGTCGCCAACCGACAAATGCCAGCGATGAGTGGACAATGAGTGTTCATGAGCCAGATGAAACACTGGCTGCTGCAATAAGTAGCACGATACGTCACCTCACCACACCACAGCAATCCTCGCAGTGTTCTTTCAATTATCTTGGTCTTCCACAAGGGCTGAGACGCCTGATACTATTGCATACGGATCTAGTATCTCATTGTGACAGACAGTGGAGACCTCGCATGAACCGACCTGACATCAGTTCGGCAGGTGCTTGCGATTGCAAATCATACGGTGAACCTTTCTTCAACGAAGCAGGATGTCGATGCCCACCTTATCCGTACCAACAAAGAGCTGACGATCCACTCAATAATCCTTGCTGCTCGGAGTGTACAATTGAAAGCTATAGTTATACTTGTTTCTGTCCAGTCGGCAGCAATTTTCTTTCCTCGACTTGTCGATGTTATACTCCGCGTCATTCATTGTTCTCTGTCAGTCGACAGGTCAGAGAAGATGCAATGAATGTCTACTATTCGGAAAATCGCTTCCTCATTACCCCGTATGGATCTCCTCAATACAAGGCCGTGTCGTACGATATGATTCCAATCATCCCTCTATCTTGGGGCAGAATGATCCAGACGGAACTTTCTCTCTATCTATCAGAAATATCTCGACTTGCGCTTTTGCGAATACGGTGGATGGAATTGATGCTTCCATGGACTGGGGAACTACCATATATAACACCCGTGTCGCCTGCTTGGCCTGATTTTATCGAGACCCTCCATCTCATGAAGTCTGCCATGAGCCTCAACGCGTTGACCTTTGTTATCTTGATCCCTTGCGAAGCATCTGATTTTCTTGAGAGTGGGGAGGAACCAAAGAATAACAAGTATTGTGCCCTGAATCCTCACTTGTTCAAGGCACTTAGAACACTTGGGACGGGCGGTCTGAAGGACTTTTTCGTTCACTGTATAGCACGACGACCTGCACACATCAAATCTCTTCATGAAGAACGACTGATTGAAAGATTCGTGATGGGAGAAGCATATGATAGCACGAAGAAAGGGAAGTTTCACTTCAGGTCGATTGATAATGACGAATACCCAGAGTATCAATCTACATAAATGCATGGCGGCGCCCGGACATCGCTCCTTTGACAGTCATGGTAGTGAGTTCCGCGATCAGCTCTTTAGCCACCGAGAACAGACCACTTTCGGTAAATAATTCTGGACCATTTCCAAAGTTCTCTTTTCTCTTTCATTTATACTCGGTGCATACCAGCCTATGTCTTTGTGCGTCTTCACGTCTATGATTCTCATCCCTCATATCATCAATCGCATATCCTCTAAGTCGATTTCGACACCGCAACTCAACTGTGGCACCTGCGTGTAATTGCTTTGATCAAGCATGTGCCTCGTCATTTGCAATGTCTGTAATCCGCGTCAGTGACTAGAACTCATTGAAAGGGTCACATTTGGCTTACCTGACCGTAGGTTGGCTCACTCTCATTCTTCATGACTTCCAAGAAGGCCCAAGTCATTGCGCCCGTGTGCTCTCCTTCGATTCTGGCATCCGCACTCGTTTGGTCATCCCTACAACCGCTAAACATAGTCACCATCTTCTTTTCGCTGCCATATTGTCCTTCAAACTCCCCGCCCTCCAGACCCTCCTCTTCTTGCTCACCCATGTGTCTCAGGCCTTGGAAGAAACTTGAAGCACCAGCAAGGAGCTCTCGTGCCTCGCCCATTTTATTGTACGAAAAGCCACCATCGATAAGGTCTCGCGCTTCACCGACCAATTTCACACCTGCCTTCAGGTTATCCAACAGCGAGATGTTACCATCCGAGTCCGAACGATAAACAAATGGTAGCTCAACTGCAGAACCCGAATGACAACAGTCCATAATGATGAACAAAGTGCACCCGGGCGCCATATATGTTACCAAATGCTCATGAAGAATAGTACTGCTAATCTGTCCACGCTGCTCGAAGTCAATCGGAACAATTGAGTCATCGATGCCATTGTCTCTGTTCCCGTCGACATCGTGAATCTGGCCTCCGTGGCCGGAGTAGTGGAGGAAGAGAGTGCAATTTGGTTCAGAGACCAACCAGTCCATTGCTGCCAGGATATTGTGGCCTGTCGGATAGAACGGTCCTTGGGGATCCGTGGTAGGCGCGTCGCTCAAGGTCACTCGAGAGCGTTGGTCATCGCTGTATCCTCGATAGCTGAGAAATTCAGCGATGTTTTCTATATCGGAGATGCAGCCATTCAAGGCGTGGGATGAGCCGTGGTAGTTGATGCCAATAAGGAGGGACTTCTTGCGGTACGCCATTGTGGTATTTGGTTCGCTCTCCGTACTTGTGAGACTATTTTCGTAACAGTATCAAGAGGTGGCTGAAGTGTGGCGGGTGAATTTTCTATCAAGGTTGGGCAAAGAGGATGTTGCGGATAGAGTGAGGCATTATCGTGGATGTAGCTGCATGAAGACCCACCAGCTGCCCACCATCTGGAAATGGTTGGTTCCCGGCAGCCTTCCGCTTATTCGGAATTGTTGCACATCAGCCAGCCACGTGAAGTCGCTCACTAAAGGAATGCTTTGCAGCTGGATTTAGCTTTCAATTCTCACTTACTAGTGCATCAAGTAAATCCTTGTAGTTCCTACCATTTCTCGAGATGTAAGAGATGTAAATTCATAGAGCAGGATGCTGTTTCAGGTCGGTGACACTACTTCGTGGTAGTGCACTGATATTGGCTTCCATAATGTTCAACATCAATAAGCTTACAATGACATACTTGGCCATAGAAAGATTTACAGCTCCATATTTTTTTTCTTCCAATAGAGCATGGCTTGAATTGGCGAAACATCAATTCAACACCAAACATAAGTAAAGAGAAAAGTATTCCAAACTGTCCACCGTTGCTGACGAATCCGTTTCTGTCGTAGCGAATTATCCACATGAGCGCACGAATTCAATAGCAATCTTGCAGTCCATCAAGCGTATTCCTACTCTTTGTTTAAAAGTACGTCAATGCGCCCTAATCACCGTCTCTCCCTTCACAATACGAATAAGGCGGATTGAATACAACATAAAAATTACTGTGCCTCACGACCTGCCTAGCTGTTTTGCTAAAGTGATTATGGGGCACTCCGTTCCAAAGTGTTGGTGAAATGGATTTCTCCTCACGGATTTTTGGTATTGTATTACGTTGTATGAAGTCAGTGCGACATTCGTGGCTTGGACGTCTGGGCATTTGTGCTTTTTGTTACACCGCGCTCACTACGACGCAATTTAGGACTTGAGCTTGATATTGGATGCTCTGTCAGCCATGACTCGTTCGGCGGTTGATAGTTTTCCATTTGTCGCAAGTCTTCCCATTGTTGATACCCCTCCGCTCGTCGTTTAAAGTGTGAACTGTTGAAATTGGCAGGTGAACTGTTGAAATTGGCAGGTTTTATCAGTTGGCCAGGATTCTGTACAGTCTCATTCAAGGAAGTCTTGTCAAACCACTTAGGACGAGGTGCGGAGGTGACTCTCCCCAAGGAGGCGTCCTTGCTTGATGTCTCTGCAACGTCACTGTTACTGTTTGCGCTATGAACGTCCCGCCATCCATCAGCACCATCGCCTTCGTAGCCCATCGTCTGGTCCAGTGGATTGGTAGCCATGGCATCAATTGTGCCCAATTTTATTTTTAGTTCAACTCGACGTCGCCTTTCATGAATTTGCCGTCGGCTTTCAGGAATTTGCTGTTTCAGTTCATCTCGATGTCGGCTTCCAAGATTTTGCTGGATATAACAATTTACATCCGCTGGGGTTGCTACTCTCACAGAGTGGCCCAACATGCTTTCAATGTCTCCGAACACTTGGTCTGCAGTTAGCATGTGCAGGTACGGGCTTCGATCATATGCCGCATAGATAATGCCACACAATTGACCGTCTCGCACCACCCATGACCCTGACATTCCATGAACTATCATTGTTAGCGGAAAACGTTCACAATACTTTATAGTGAAGCATGCCTGATACTTACAGCCGGGTTGAGCTACTTGAATCTTTCGCGTTCGCAATACAACACCTCTTAAGATAAGAGATGAATCACCTTTCAAGAGGAACCCTTGAGTAGGTGAGTCTTGTGAATTGGATAGAATCCACACCGCACCCCCCGAGAGTTGATTTGCTTCGATGTGACTCGAAATAAGCACGTCGTGCATCTGTTTTGGGTCGTTATACTGATTTAACGGGACTTTCCCGTCGGGTCGAGACATCATTTGAATCATGGTACCTGGATCAAGAAGCATGAAGTCTGAACTCTCATTTGTTTCATCCTGGAATGAATAATCCCCAGTGGTAGTACCCGAGCCCATGTAGGCCAAGATCTTTGGTTCGGCGACCATGACATGTGATAATAGATAATCATCATATATGAATGGTCTACTTGGATATCGTGGGCTTTCTGCTGATGGTACTCTTGAAGATCGAAGGTTAGAGGATTGACATCGGTCTGGATGCATTTCCGAGGGCGTAGCTCCTGATCTTGCCGGGGGCCAGTCGGTTTCCGAATCATCTGATTCAGAGCTTGAGGTGAGACTATCCTCAGGACTGGACTCCTCCCCGTTCTCAGTTTCAGACAAACCGACGAAGTCGTTGGGGAAATTACGAAACGCGCTGACAATGGCGTGGGCTGATGTCAAAATGAAAAGTTCTTCGTTGACCATGATAAGCCCTCCAATCGTGGACCTGTATATGTTCATTTGCCCGAAAGCAACGAAACGAGCCTCAAGCATGTTTCCATGGATCGAATTATCGGATGGATGAACCTCGATACTGAAAGCCATGGAAGTTGAATGTAGCAGAGCAGATGAAGTTTCTCCCGCTGACGGCCAGGGTGCGTGAAGAGACACATGAGGCCCTTCCACATGATATGCGAGCAGAAAATCTTCCAAATAAAGTAAATTTTGCACAGACTTTCTGACCTTTGCTCTGCATGCCCTACTGCCACAGAATATCCAAACAGTAGGCTTTAGGGTCGCTATACCTGATGCTGAGCTTAGAGTGATAAAATGACCCGAAGCACTGCGTAGTGTCGATTTTTTACCTGCCAGGCAAAGAACCACTTCTGTCATCACTTTCTCGTCTGACAATGAACTCGGGAGAAGCATCGTGGCCTGACGTATGTGATTCTCTAGATCGGGACGTATGGTTTTGTCAAACTCGGTTTGGATATCATCGGGGCAAGGCAAATCCTTCAATAGCCCGACATGAAACTTGTCTATCATGAAAACGGATGTACTTTGAATGCGTGCGTTGATCTTGTAGCCTTGGCGATCGGAGGCGGATTTTGTGATGTCTGATCGCTTCGGCAGCGGCGGGGTAAGTTTACTGGCTTTCTGATTGCCTTCACCAGTTTGCATCGTGTCGTTAGGTGGAGTGTAAGTGTTCGGAGATAGAGAAACGGGTGCTTTGCTAAAAAATGCTGTCCCCGAGACATTGGCATCCAATGTAGCAAGGTGACCATCGAAACAAGCTCTGGATCACTTACAGTAAGCGATTATCTACGAAGAAGAGTGGGATTGAACATGATTTGAACCTACAGGGTATGGCCGCCACTATGAATACTTGTAGCATCATTCAACGTGTTCTCCATATTTGGACTGGATTCAAAAAATAAACAAAATATAATCGATAATTCCCTAGGTGCGGAGAGGAGTTCTTTTGAAGTTTAGGCATCGATGCCTCGTCCAAGAGAAGTCCTTCGTTTCAGCCTTGTCTTCTGGCGCTAACAGAACGCTGATGATACGTCGGAATTCGTTGAGCTTTATGAATAGACGAGCCGGATTCAGCTTTCCCTACGTGTCAGATGATTTGCGGGGTCGCATATGAACATGCTGCAGCCTGGCTTTGCCTGAATCATAATATCATAATATCTCATCTGCCTTCTTCTCTCACAATATCTTCACCCCAGAGTTGCCCCTCCGAAACCGCATGCTGATGGCCAAACAATCTTTATTTTCCAAGTCCGCTTTGGCAGACATCGCCAAGTTGAGCAGCAAGCAAAAGTGTTCAATAATCAATACATTTTGGCCCCACTTGAATCTTTCCAGTGAAGCATACAAAGACACAAGTTACGCAGGCTTCCTTCGATATCTCGGTCGAAATCTGCAATATCTGCACCAGTACAGCTCGAAATTGGTTGTTCAAGACTGGGACGACTTATCTGCAATGTGTGAACATCTGCGAACTCATCGAACCTCCAAAAGAGCTCTGCTTCTCGAGAGTATCCAGCGACAATACATTAATACACCCGAAAGTCACGTCGGTGCTTCGATTGACCTCGCAGCCCGGCTTTTGCTTGGGCTGAATATCTCTGGAATAGGTATGCCAATCAGACGGTCGAACACTAGGGACAGCCAAGTTCATTGGCATGACAACCAGTCTCTAGATGAGATGATCATGGCGGAGTTTCCAACGGGAACGAAGCAGCTGGCAGTCTCGACCCTGGCGATCGATACTTCATTCACCGCCGTAACGTTAAAAAGCGTATGTCGAGTCAACATCCGATGGACAGATAATTTGGTGGATCATTTGAAGTTACATGGAAGGCGAGGCGACAGGACTTTATCGATCTACCAACATAAGATCTGTCTTGTGAATCATCTGAAAGGACCTGAATCGAGCATACTACCAGAAGATTTATTGAGAGAGACCTTGACGACCCTTAGTATTCTTTTTCCTGTTGGCGATGAGGACACGGAAGCATTTTTGCAGGACCAGAACATTCAGTTCTGGAATGATTATTCAGCTAGAGAATCTGGGTTTAGAGGACTCGATGATTTCAAGTATTGGAAGCATAGGCTGACGCAGTTGCTGACCTTGTATCACGGACCTCCGGAAACTGTTATTCAGACACTGCTGGACACTAGGAACGTATCTCAATTCGCAACTCTATGGGTCGCTATCTTTGGTGTGTTCTTTTTAACGATCTTATTTGGTGTTCTCTCAACCATATATTCCGTCAAGCAATACAATGTGGCCGTGAAGTCGTACGAGCTTGCAATCGCTCAAGCTTGTCAGCAAAACTCCGCGCCACTGGTGGGGTTTTGTGATTGAGAGAAGTGGAAACTACTAGAAAATGAAACTTTATGCGAAATTCGACCATTACATACTTGCTGCCTGTATTTCAATATTGTGAAAACCATACACACTCTATTCGCATGGATGATGCTCTAATCATTACGGGTCTTGATCTCATGCCTTGGGCATCATGTCAAGATACTCATTTTATTCGGAACCAGATCCTTCAGATTCAGATTCAGACTCAAACTCACTCAGTTCGATACTCTCATCAGAAGTATCATCGGAGTCTTCCTCGACAATTCCACGCTGGTATTTCACATCCTTGAAGCTCGCCCGAAACACTACACCAGCCTCTGAAAACAAAGTTGGTACGCGCTTAAAAGCAGCCTCAAACGGCGCAACGTCACAGAGGATCGACACCCTCTTCAACAAGGGAAGCATTTCCAAGCAGTTGGCCGCAAGATACTCCACCGCACGACCACTCGCGAGCCTCTTGTTCTTTTCAATCCAGTTCATCTCAAGTACAAGCTCGGAGAGAGACGGCGGTAAGTTCTCGATCAATGAATCAGGCTGCACTGTGGCGATTCGTTTCAGAGCACTTAGCGAGATATCTATCAAGCCACTGATTGATATTCGGACGTCCTCCAGTTTCGGAAAGTCTCGTAGCCCGTGTAAGCGACCGCTGGTCATATGGTCTTCGCTATCAAGGTGTAATTTCCTGAGAGATTTACGATGTCGAGTAAGTGAGTCGCTAAGTGATCTTAAATCAAAGACAGAATCGAAATGAAGGGACTCATCGGCGCCACCTTCCTGATCCCACCACATCCGTCCGTTCTGGTAGAAACATCTCTCGTCCCGGTGAGTGTAGTGTAAATGCTCTAGTGCACGACAACTGTTGACCAACAATGTCAAAACGCCTGTTTCAAGCCAGCAATCATGGAGAATGAGCTGCGTGATGTGGGATGATCCATTAGCAATGGGCCATTTCAGAACCTTCTTTTCACCAGCTGGCTTAGCAGTCTCCACCAAGCCGATTAATTTAAGCTGTTGAAGGGAAGGTACTCGAAACAAGGTGGACAGTTGGCGTAGCCGCAGTCCGCCCAGATCAATTGAGACTGAGCGAAGATGCGGGAACTTGTGCATGCCTTCGAAAGAGCGGCCTGATAATGCATGGCCCATCAGCTCAATCCACTTCGGAGTTTGATAAGGTGTTTTTCCATCGTCTACTGTTATGCTTGTGACGTTTGGCGTGTGCATCAAGATAGCGGCGTATAGTATTTCCTGTTCCACACCATCCTCGTTGCATTCAGTCGCCCAAGTCTTCCAATCTAGCAGGCCCAAACCCCTGAATCCGCCTTTGAGTGTCCTTTTGTCTTCCAGGGTTGGATGGTATTGCTTTCGGTCCTCGTGGACACCAGTCCCATAATTCAAGTTGAGGTTACGGACCCTCTGCGCTGCTACAGGGTTCGACATTACCGTTCGCAGAAACAAGTAAGGGTTACAGAAGAAGCTGTTATATCCAGCATAGAGTGACGGCTGTACCAAATGATAGAAGTGGCGGTTCGTTTGTGACAGACTAAGAAGGGTTGCAAGTTGGAAATCTTTGAGGTTCAGAGCCGGTAGATTTTCAATGATATTTAGTAGTAGTTCCGTTGGAAGCCCATCAAGAGTGGCCTCAACCATTGGTGGCTCAGAGGCGTCATCCTCCCAAGGTTTGGTGATCACTACCTGCGATGGCAAAGGTGGAAATTCATCGTTGCTCGCGATAGCAGGCCCAGCTGCACTGGTATCACTCTTATCTAACCTGGATCTTCGAGCCATTACGAGGTAGAGAGACTGGCATTCGAAGATTTCACTTGGTGGGGGACCCGGAAGCTAGATGTAATTGTGTAGCTTGTAAGGCTTCAATTCATCTAGTGGATATAAATGACTGATGGACAAGGATATACACAATAAACCGAACTACTACTAAAGAGATGTGGTGTATCTGCTCGCATTAGGGTTGGTGGTTGGTTGTCAAGACTAGGTTCAAGTAGCGCCTGGGTTGAAGAAGTGCGGTTGCTGACGTCATCGGACTGAATGCGTCGGGTGCAATGGCACGATCAAAATGAGCAGCGTTTTGCAATGATACTGAATGGAACAAATGATTCGTGATATAAGTCCACCACCAACAAAGAGACGGAAGACTACGCGCAACGTCGTGCATGCTGTAGCGGCGCAATCGTTCCCCCAGGCATTACCAACTGCTTCCCCGGACGTTATCCGGATCTATTCTTGGAATATTAATGGCATCGACCCATTCCTTCAACAACCCATAACTAACTTTTTCTCGAAGGCAAAACACCTAAACCTTGAAAACAATGGAGCACCTCAGACTGGAGCATCACTTCGTCTGTTTCTTCAGCGCCACCTCTGGCCGGAACTGCTCTTCCTTCAAGAAGTCAAAATTGCAAGCAGAGATGAGAAGACACAGAATGCCGTGCGTAGTGCCGTGAACACGCCAACTTCGGCTGAAGATCGATCAGTGTCCGGAAAAGGACCGAGCTATGAAGTTCATTTTGTCCTGCCAACCGACAAGCAGAACGCCCGAGGCTTAGGGGGCAGCGGAAAAGTGTACGGCGTCTGCAGTATCATCCGCACTGATCTCGTGGTTACGCATAATGTCGCCGTAGCAGCGGAAACAATCAATTGGGACAACGAGGGCCGGGTGTCTTGCATTAAGCTCCAGCCATCGTCGAAGTCGGAAAGAGGGCTTGCGATCTTTAACATCTACGCTGTGAATGGAACTGAGAACCCGTATCGGGACCCTAAATCTGGAACCATCATAGGCACGCGACATGATCGCAAACTTGAGTTCCACAGGCTATTGATGGAGGAAAGTCTGAGGCTAGAGCGTGAAGGGTATAATATCGTCATGGCGGGCGACTTCAATGTTGCTCCCGATGCCCGAGACGGGTATCCGAAGTTGAGGACTTGGCCGCAACAGCACTGCGTCAACCGGGCAGATTTTCTGGCAAAGTACTTGAGAAGACCACGGGAGGAGGTAGAAGATGTTGATAGCAGTATTCATTCGTCCTGGCAAGGAGTTGATGTCTGGCGAGAGGCTCATATGGACGAGCGGCGATATACATATTATCCTCGAACAAGAAGCTGGGGCACCACTTGTGACAGAGTCGATTACATTCTGACAAGCAAGACATTATGGGATTGCGGGAAAGTTCTTGTGTCGGGAATTTTGGACTCAGAAGCTGAACGAGGACCAAGCGACCATGTGCCTGTCTACGCATCGATCAATATCAGCACGAACCACGCAACATCTTCAAATACCTGCAACACCGATACAAATACTATGCGAGGACAATAAGCTGAAAGTAGGTGTAGCTAAGGTACCGATCCTGTATACTTATTCCCCTTTGCGCTGTTCACGCAGCACAGCATTCTTACACTATGGCAAAAGCCGTTTTCTGGATCTTTGCTAAGGATGAAGCCATCATGTAGTCGTCCGACGCAGTCTTGCAGGAAAGTAGATATGTGGATATATATTTTATACCCCATTTAACGGCCCATTGTAAGTTTAATTGCAAGCTCGTCTCGAGGGTATGTCCTAAACTTGAAGGGATCATACCAAATCAGGAAATCGGCGATTTATTCGGGGCGGGACGTTTGGAGTTGCACCCATTCAGATCCATGTACCCCACTTTTCCCCCTCGGATTTTTTCAATCGTTGTCTGCTCGCGGTCACGACTCATGAACTTCAAGAGTTTCAGGGACACTAGTCCATTGTCGGTGATAGGCGCGCATTCGGGATAATTAAAGGCGGCACGACATATTCGCCTGCCATTCTTCCCACTCACAGACTGCGGGGTCAATGACGTTTCCACCGAACAAGACTCCGGTGAAGGTACAAAATGCAGCTGTATGAAGCCCTGGATGAATACCCCATACAAGCCGGCGCACGCATCAGCTACCAGATTCCTACATTTGATACCTTCTGGAAATTTGTGACGACCACTATCACCGCTATGTCGTCAATCACCAATGTCGACCTGCTTTCTGCAGCTACCAATCCATCCTACTTTTCCACCCTGGTCACGACGAATGTCTCGAACCCAACTACAATCAGTCTTCTCTCTTACAATTCAAACTTCTCAAACGTCATTGGGGATGGAGCCACAGCCCGCCAATTGTACGATCTAGATTGGGAGGCATTCCACGAAATGGGCACCTACAATCGCGAAACCAATTCTCTTTACATAACGTCCAACTACGACTCCTTGCAAAATCCGATTAATATTACAATCCTTGACCTATCTTCCGACAACTATCCTCTGAAGTCCATCCGTTATCCAGAAGTCCGCGAAGCCAACGGCGGAACCAATTGGTACCCACCTGGCTCAAATACATCCGAACTCCTCTTCTGCGACGAAGGCGATTTTGAACATTACTCTGGCTTGGTTTCCGTGAACCCAAGCACCAACAAGTCCACCGTAATTGTCAACAATTTCCTTGGCCGCAACTTCAGTTCTGTAAACGACGTGCGACAGCACTTTGAAACAGGCGACTTGTGGTTCACGGATGCGGATTACGGATACTTCCAGTATTTCAGACCAGAACCAACGATCCCGAAACAGGTATATCGCTTCGACCCCAGCGCGGGCGAAATCGCTGTTGTGGCCGATGGATTTGACCAGTCTAATGGCTTGGAATTCTCGCCTGATTTCAAGACGTTGTACGTGACCGATACTGGCGCGCAGCATTTCACGCCCAACCAGACTCGACCAGCCACCATTTACGCCTATGATGTTATTGATGGCAAAACTCTAGCAAATAGAAGGACATTCGCATTTGTAGATACGGGTTTCCCGGATGGCATTCACACCGATACTGAGGGAAATGTGTGGGTTGGCGCCGGCGATGGTGTACATATCTTCGACCCAAGAGGTACCCTGCTTGGTAAGATTTGGGTAGGCGTCACCTCCAACAACTTTGCTTTCTTACCAGGAAAGGTGTTGGTATTTACGAACAGCCAGTTGTGGATAGTAGAGAACATCAAGGCTGTTGGTAGGGAGATTTGTAGAGATTTTGGCGTCTGCTGAGCAGATGACTTGCCAAGGTCGTGAACATTTACCAGCTGGACGAGTATAAAAATTATATGTACATACCGACTCAGACCTTCTAATTGGGTAATAACACTTCAAAAGCTCGGAAAGAAGCTTTCTTAGAGCACAAAACAAGCTTTCAATAGAACCAACATCATCCCTCTGCGATTGAGATATTCAATTTTCGCTGCTTGGATCCTCGAGGATCGTGAACACGAGGCGGTGTGCCATTATCACAATGATTCTGGCTCCAGCCTGTCACAGAGATGCCGATGTCTGGCAAGTTCAATCGCGTTAATTGTATGAATCATTGTTGCAGCCCGCCTGACGCTCGAAGACCACCTCATGACCTTCTCCAGATCGTCTAAAATTCCGCAGTTTTTCCGACAGCGGATTCCCGGGCCGTCATAACGAAGACGATTATGGTCAAATGGGCATCCGGCCCGACACTGCACCAATCAAAGCTGCTAAGCGAGAATGCCAAGATCACAACTGTGAATCGACTCTCGTCTGGAAACAGAGATGCTTGCGAGAAACTTCATCCGTAACACTGTACCCTTAGTAAGATTGGCATCGTGAGTCCAATTAGGAAATTTGGCTGCCACTATTGTGGCTTTTCTTCGGCACATCTGCTTGCACCAAGTCAACCAGGCTGCCCAAGTCTCACAACACATGGTGTGAATCGTGCTCATGAAAGACGGACCCTGGTGATATCTGACTTAAATCTTCCAGATATAAAAGAAGGTTGTATCCGTCGTAGAACACTCCACCCATTGCCAAAGGTTTATTCATTTGGCGCATGTGAGTCCTCCAAATTTCACTAGAGTCGAGAATGATACTGACATTGATAAAACTAGCGAAAATCGCTCAAAATGTCACCCTACGACAATGGTCTTGTCTGGCAACAGACTGCTCCTGGATTGTGGGAACGTGGAATCGACGAGATCGAAGAGTTCTACGCTACCATGAAAGAACTCTACAGAGGAAGCGGCCGAATGTTCTTTGCCATGACCGGATATCTCTCCCTCAATGTTGATATCTCCTCCTCAGATACGACAGAGGACCAGGTTGATGATGCAATCAAAAAGGCGTGGCTTACTCTACGCTACGATCACCCGACTCTCGCATCTCAAGTCGTCTATTCCCCAGGATCTGAGCCCGAGTGGAAGAAACAATATCGCCCATTGACTACCAAATTGTCGCAAGATGAATGGTTGAACGAAACGGTCGTGATCATCTCCAACGGCCAAACAGGAACAGAATGGGTCAATTCTGACCCACCAGCTCCAGAAATACCTACACTCTTCCTCATCCATCCACCCAAGTCCACCTCAGAGAAAGAAACTGCTTCCATCCGGCGAGACATTGTCTTCCGCTCTCCTCACGATATCATCGACGGCGTAGGCACACTCATGATGCTCAACAGTCTCCTGAACTACGCCAGCAAGACCTTCGAGGGCACATACATCCCCCCAATTCTCGACGGCTCCGAATCCGCCAACCTCTCACCCTCCTACCGCATCGCCGCGAACCTCCCACCAACCCTCACCCCAGCGCAAACCCAACTCCTCGAATCCATCATCGCCCAAAAGACCAACCTCGCCAACCCGGCCACCAACCCCCCTGACCTTTCACTCCCCTACAAACCCAGCAACCCATCTTCAACCCTCCCGGGCAAACATCAACGCTCATTCCTAACCCTCACCGCCGCCCAAACAACCGCCCTCCTCACCGCATGCAAAACCTCAAACATGACACCCACCCACGCCTTCCACGCGGCCGCAGCCCTCGTTCTCCTCACCATCCAGCCGACCCGACCCACGACGACGAAAGAAGTCCGCTACACGACGTACATCCTCCGCAACGAGCGCCGCACCTGCGTCCCGCCCTACGACTCCGCAGCCCACGCCGCAGCTCTCTACCACTCCGTCTCCGGCGCCAGTCTCGCTGTCGACCTGCAGCTCCGAAGTCTCGAGGATGAGCGGAATTTCACGCAGCAGGAGAGGAAGGAAGAGTTCCGAGACGTGGTGAAGAGGTTTAGTGATTACTATCTCGCGGTGAAGTACGACGAGCAGCATACGATGCTTGTGCCCTCGCTGTGGGCCCTGGGGATACCGAAGCTTCCGTCGAAGAAGGAGTCGGAACTGCATTTCCCTGTCCCGCCGCCGAGGGTTGCGCCGTCTGTGTCGATGTCGAGTATGGGGAGGGTGGACGAGATCGTCGCGCCGGAGGTTGGAAGGTTCAGGGTGGGTGATGTGTGGGTTACGGGGGAGGAGCTGGGGAATGGGTTGGGGTTGTTTTTGGGGACGTTTAAGGGGGAGTTGACAGTCAGTGCTGCGTGGAATGATGCGTGGCATGAGGAGAAGGAGGTGCTGGATTTCTTAGAGAGATGTCGGGATATTGTTTTTGAGGGGCTTGAAATTGGGTCTATATGAGGCTGGCGGAGTGTGTATATATAAGTAGATCAAGAGAATGCAAGTCACAAAAGATCAATCAAGGAGCCATGTATGAGTGAAAGCATTTGATAGAGAATTGGGGATGAAAATCCCCTTAAGACCCTACCAGTAACTGATCAAGTCAGCGAATAATATACAGTGTGGAAGACAGCATTTCGAGAACATTCATGCTGGCCAACCCGTGGAACACCGCTGAGGCCGGCTATGCTACAACCCAGTATTCGAGCCCAGGTTCAGTTTGATGCCACCGTTATCATCATCTCCACTATCGTCCACTCCATGGTCAGGATGATCAAGGTCCTCGGTCTTGGCAATCTGAAATTCCTGCTTGCCTCCATGGCTAACAATATCAACGGCGTTAACCTTGGCAGCTCGAGAGTCCTCATTGACTCTAACCATATCCATGTTCGAGGTGAGGGCATACACATCCCCTTGCCGATTGTCTTGATACTCCAAGATGTCATTCACCAACACGGGAGGCTTGAAACCGGGGGCGGTGCTGGGCTTCCTGTCTCTTGCGATCATGGCGTGTTTGATAGGGCCGAAAGTCATTGTTGCTGACTGAACGTTTGCGAGCAATGCCATTCCCACATCAGCTGCAGTCTCAGGCTTATCAAAATCTTCGAGCAGAGCATCGGATTCTTCTTGAGAATAACGGCTCATATCTGCCATGATGTCCGCGTATGCAACATCAATTTCTTCCTGGAAACAGAGCGCCTGGCAGTATGCGTAGAAGTCTTGCATGCGTCCGATATCCTGCTCGGGGCTTAGTCTTTGCCGTTTTGGTGACCCCTCGTTTTGGAAGTAAGGTAGAGATTCCGCAGGTTGCTCTGTCGCAATTGGGATTCGGCGAACCGGACGAGAGAAGGGAGTTGGTCCCCTACCCCTTCTTGCTCTTACCAGTGAATCTCTATCCTTAGAGAACCCAAAACCATCAGAGCGCTGTATGAATTTGATTTGCATTAACTTCGGTTTAGCATTTAGGTCGAATCGGGGAAATGGCTCAAGTCGAGCTGGTAGCTCATTCTCAATTGACTTGGAGATCGGGCCAACTTCCGTTTGTGCGCCGCTGCTCTGCTGCCCTTTGTCTTCTCTTGCTTGATCATCACCTTGTGGCCCAGGACTACCATTCACCGTGTCATGATTGCTGTCATGATTCCCGTTATCAGCCGCATCGTCATCCGTTTCATCTGTATCGTAGAGAGCAACATCGCTGTCGGAAGAAGCGTGGCCAGCCCGAGTGAGGAAAAACCGTTCGTTCTGGTAATATTCGCGTACACGTATATGTGGGTAAGTACAATCAGGGAGCTGTTGGCCGGGAACTGGCCAATACCTTTCCGCAAGGTATCTCCTAGAGGATAATGAGTCTAGATCTTCGAGGTAGTCTGCCATTTGATATGGTATAAAATCCCGAGTCGACTTGATATTCCCCAAATTACATTGAAGTCTCACTTCTTGTTCAAGAATCCATCGTGTTCTGGGGAGGCAAAGGAAGAACATAGAGGGCAGAGGGCAGAGGGCAGAGGGCAGAAGGCAGAAGAATATTGTACAGATAAAGCACAAAACTTACCAGAGTGCCATTTCATGCCAGGGCTGGAGTTCCTGATCATGCACCTCTCGTTTGATTATATCTCCAATGCGAAGCAGACGCTTGATAACCAAATCCATATATGTAATTCCAGCCCTGTTGGGTCGAGCAGGAGGGAGACGATTTGCAGACGTAGCCTTCAGCTGCTTCAACAATGGCAGCAGTTCATCCGTCTCCAGGATGCGCGCCGCAAAGTCCCCAGCGTGATTGGACATGAGGGTATAGCGCCGGTTCGTGCCCTCGGGTGCACCTTCTCGTGGAGTCGCAGGCATATCCCAAATGGCGGGCCCGAAGGGCGGCGAGACATGGTCTTCAGCCTGTGATCCTACACCACCGCCCTCCGACGGGATATGTCCAACGTCTGACAGTGGGCTGTCGCATGCTTCGACCCACCGTTGGAACTCTTCCATTCCTCTGCGATCTAGATCGGGAGGTTGTTGTGGAGACGCTGGCGCGTTTTCGTCGCGTGAACCCGACTGCGAAGGAACAATTTTGTCGTCATCGTCTCCGCACTCGGCAGTATATGGAGGACCTTCCGAGGTCGTTGACGGGTTTGAATTTGAAGCCATGATATCAACGCGTAGCAACTGGAGCGCGGCACGGACGGTGATGGTCGAAAGGTCGTTTGACGGTCAAGGAGCAGCAGGTGGATGTGAAATTGACCTTGGCGGGCTTTTGCCGCGCGTGTAGAGACTTGAAGTAAAGGGCGTCAAAAGAATACAATGATATGATGTAATGGCTATAATGCCTTAGAGGATGTGACGCGAGGTTTGGAGAGCCAACGTGGAGAAGAGATATAGTGGGGGGGTCGATATGGTGCAGAAGGTGCAGAAGGTTGAGTGTTTTCGTTTCAAGTAGCAACGTTCGTGATTCGTCATGATTTTACAGTAATTCTACATAGGAAGTCAAGGTGAAGGTGAGAGAGCCCTACTTGCTCTCTCTCCACCCAATGGGGATTAGAGCAGCAGCGACCTGCGAAACGCCCCGTTCCGTCGCTAGAAGATTGAATTGAGCGGCAGCATTGCGAGTGTCTTGAATCTCGAGCCGTATTCCTAGGTTGTTTAGGTGGGTGCGTACTTTGGGTGCGATTGGAAGCATGTGCGGCCCGGTGCCGATAATGAGGAGGTCTGTAATCTGATTAAATACTGACTTTATACAGGATGATGACATGAGCAACATACCTGGTTTTGGGTAGAGGAGGTCGAAAAGACCCCAGGCTTCGTCCTGTACCTCCCATTGCCCTTTCGCATTCTTCAGCGTGCCCTTCAGCTCATCATGAACGCTGTTGGAGCTTGATTTCTCTTCCTTCTCTTTACCAACTAACCAAGGCCGCCACCTGAATACTTCCCCACCAACGAGCAGCACACCGCATCCTCCTATCCTCATTTGATTATTGAGCGCAAATCCTTCTCCGGTGCAAGCATCGATCGAGGTTGCGGGGGCTACACTATTCCGCAGGACATCCAGATTCCCAAAGTCGGTTTGTGTATCTTCGTCACTCTTCGGGCCCCGATCGCGCGACTTGGGTGGACTTGACGCATACTGAGATGAGCGAGTGGCATGGAGACATCGGTACGGAGTAGGTCGAGAGGATGGTACGCTTCGAAACAATACGCGGGCTGGAGTCGGCCGAACAGTGTGCGAGGAGAAGGATCTCGAGGTGGTTGCGGAAGAGAATGTCACATTCAAAGCTCTGGAAAGGGGTTTTGAGGAAGAAAGGAGAAGAATTCGTTCCATGATAATTGAATTTATTTGGGGTTATCGATACTGAAGCAGTTCCATTGAGAGGAGATGCATATGCAGTGAAAAAAGTATTAGTTATTGGGTGTAGTTAATTAATTGATTGTGAGGGGAGGTCGGAAGTCCAATGTGAAGAACTTCCGTCATCGAATGGCCCTGCATGCATGGGCGGAGGACCAAGGCCCAATCAAGTTAGACCTTTGGAACTCAAGATGCCACGTGACCATCCAAAGACTTCCTGTCCTGTCATCTCGTGTCCATTCCTCATCATCATCCTCCTCATCCTCATCCTCATCCTCATCGATTCTATCCTTGCTCCGAGTCTCTTTTGCGGAGGCCTCGACCAGAGCAGATAAAATAGTACCATTATTAGCCATTAAAGTGTGGGTTTGTGGGGTGGGTATCCAGTCGAAAATTGAAAGTCGTTACGCAACCTTTCCCAATGCCATGTAATGTTTCAATATGCTGTTACCGGCAATAACCAGTAAATGTGTTTTACGAATCCATCAGTCATTGTTGCTCAATAGACCGTTGTCTTTTCTTGAGATCATCCAGGAAGTCGCCAATCTCCTCCTCGTCCTGTTGCTTCGCTTTGCCCTTTCTAGCCTCCTTGAGCGTCCTTTCCCACTCCTTCTCCTGTGACTTTTGCTTCAGGTTGAGGCTCTTCTTGTTCTTCTTGGCATCGTCTTTCTCGGCATCGGAATCTGAGTCGCTGTCGAAAGCATCTGGAAGCATGGATGGGGAAATTTCCATTTTCCTCAGCTGACTGGCGATGCTCGCGAAGCTCGTCTGTCGAGCGCTGTCGAGGTTGGAGTGTTCACCAACTGACGTGGCGGGGGTCGACCTCATAGAGAGGGTAAGAAGCGAACTAGTACTGACATTCCGTATCGGCTGCTTTTTGAAGTAACCAATGGGCTGACTCTCAACTAGGGAACTGAGGGCGCTGGTGTTGCCGTCTGACTGGGTCGAACAGGAGGACACTTCAGCAGAAGTGCGGCTGCCACTCCAGCTACATTGGCTGTATCTACCTTGCCTGGCACGGTTCATTTCTTGCAACTTCTGGCCCCGGATGTGGTTTGCCTTCGCGATCGCTTCCTCGTCGCCCAGAGGATTGCGCTCATGAGAATATGGCTTGTGCTGACCGACTGTAACCCCGCGATCGCAGATGTTGGACGCTCGCATGCTAGCATGTGGGTTATGGAGACTGCTGTCAGAAGTGAAATGAGTCCATGAACAGTAGGCAATTCGGTCGCATTCTCGAGGTGGAGGCGGGATAGAGGCCCAGTCCTTGATCATCTGGGCTTCACGCAATGACACATTGCTCGAAAGAGACGTCGGTGGACTCGGGGGTGCCGGTTGCTGCTGCTGGCGAGCCTCGGGGTTTTGTGCGAAATAGTTCCCGATGATGGACTTGCCCGGTACCTTCTGGTCGCGCAAGGGTTTGGATGCTGGAGTTGCAGCGTTTGACTCGCAAACGCTCATTGTGGTGGAGGAGGCCATGACTTCGTCAGTCACGGCTGCTGTTCTGTTTAAAGGTGGATGTGTGTTCGTGTTCGTGTTCTGTCAAGGTGGGAGGAAAGTCGGAGCGCGATCTGAGCAGTTTATACCCGCACAATGGGTTGAGAGTGCAACTTTTTCTGCGTAGCTGATCGTTGTTGAGTCCAGCGAACAGTGGTCGTATGAATTGCCGTACCGCCCAACGCAATGTTGAGGTTGAGTTTCTTCGCGGTGGTCACCCAGGTGAGAATATTGTGAGGTAGGCCTACAATGACTTTGTGGCTTCACCCTTTCCATGGTCTCTTTGTTTCACTCGCTTTCACCTCTGGCAGTCTTTCATTCACCTCACTCTCGCATGCAAGCCACTAACACCAAAGGGGACAGGAAAGGGAGCGCGACAAAGAGAGATGTTGGGGTATTCACAATACTGCACTGCACAGAGTAATATTGGGAAAAAGCAACGGATTCAGAGGATGCCATGAACTTGGGTGCAACGTTGCTTATGTATGGTTGTTGACTACCTTGCCCACCTGAGGTTGTGATTGTGGCGCATGAGAGGACACGAAAGGGACGGATGGAGGAATCGTTGGCTCACCCTGCCAGCGCATGGATGGGATTTGTATGGATCTGATTGCCGGACAACAACAAATACCTACCTAGTCATTAGACAGCCTCACAAACGAGACCGACCGAATGTTGTGAGCAAGCAAGCGAGCAATGAAACCATGACTCAATCAGGTTTTTGACTCTCCCCATCTTGACGTTTCGATAATGCGCTTCGCTGGCAGGACCGCCCAACCACATAGGCGAGAGCCAAACTGCTCTATCTCGTTCGCTGGCGCGTATCACGTTCTCAACATCAAACGCAATAATATCGATATCCTCATTCGCCTTTCTGAGGCGGCACAACCTGCTTCAGCCTCACAAGCCACCCTTGGACAGCCAAAAGACCCCTGCCATCACGCCCCCATCCCTGGGCGCGTCGCACAAATCCTACGTATCCTGTCGCTCCCAGTACCAAACCCGCCCTCCCCCATAACCATAGGAATCCCATCTTTTTCCTGTGGTTGGTTGTTGACACGCTGACATCATCGTATACTCCAGTTAGTACCATGTCTCACACACTCTCGCTAGTGATGTCCGTCCGAATCGGGAAGCCTGTACTCAGCTTCCGTTGTGCTTCTCGGCGGACAAAGCTACGCCTCCAAACGTCAACCCCGACCATTCATGCTAAACAACCATAAAACACAACGCCCACAGCAATCAATCTCGGCCCCTATGTCTTATCATTCACCACCCTCCCTACGGCGAAACTGAACGTCAGAAACCCTCATATACCTACTACAATCATCCTATCGCAGTTCACCGAGCATGACAACGTCGGACGTAAAACAGCATCAAAGTCAAGGTCTCAGTTGCCTCAACCCGCCTAGCTCGAATGGCTTATTCTGCATCGGGGGCGGGTGGAGACAGGATAAAAGCCATAGGGAGACGAAATAGGATGTCCGATCCCACGCCAGATCGGATCGAGAGTAGAGTAGGATCCCCCCCGATGCCATCGCGCTCCTCAGCTGTGGGGGGTGGTGAGGCGAGGCGGTGTTGGCTTGCTGGTACTCGTTGGATGCGATGCATACGACGATCCTGGGGTCTAGATCGATTGTGGAGAATTGCCAACTCCACATCCCTCCATCCAAAACCCCATATTTCCCATCCTTGCTGCCTGTGGGGATAGATGGCAGGGCTGAGGCGTGCACAAGGCCATTTCTGTATTGTGGTCTGTAGGATAAACAGGCCAATGCTGTTGCGGGTTCTTGTTCTCGCGAGACGATTCGTTAAGTGCCACCGGCCAATCAAGAGAAATTCAGGCAAGCAAATGCATTCATGTTGACTATTGCAAGCACACGAATTTGGGAGATGATCCATTACGTTTTCTGATTCCATAACCTCTGCTAACATCTTAATTTTCGAGCAAGTCGCTCGCGCGCTCAAAGGCTGCAGTCACAATACTGATCCATCGAACAATCCTCTCTTCATCTCCTGCCGTGATACTTTCTCGTAGACCAGGCAATGTTACCCCCTTATAGCCTTCCCAAAACCCAGGCGCGAAAACAGTGTGCTTGAACCAAGGTCGGCCGTCTAAGCCCTTGTCGTAGAGAAACTGTTTTTCTAGGTCGCGCAACTTGGTATTCACGACCTTCAGCTTTAAATCTAAGCGACTTCGTTGTCCAAATCGAAAGTATTGTAACCAGGATGTCTTTGGTTGACTCAGAGATCTAGACAAGACATCGACGTCTTGGTCGAATCGGGTTGCGACCTTCTTAAATCGGCCTGCAGCGGAATTCAGACAATCAAATATTCCGTCGCCGAGGGCGAGACCTTTCTCGGTATAAAGTCTCTTGTTTTCCTCCACGTACGACACCAGTTTGATCGCGTAGTGCGTCGCATTGAACGGAATCACAGGCTTCTCCACCAGCTCCGCAGCAACGAGACCCCACATCCGAGCAAGAACCGTGTGATACTCATAGTCTGGGTCGATGATCTTCTCCATGTACGTGATACTGTCATAGTTGGAATGATAATGGTATGTTGGCGCATTCTTTCTAGGGCCAAATCCGAGGTCGGCGGAGGTCACGCCAGCATGGTCAAGGAATGCAGAGTAGTCGCTGCCTCCCCCCAAAGTGCTGATTCCTGTGGTCCATAAGTCGCCCAAAGTCTGACCTGGTATCGTTTGATTCGGCGAAATTACGTTGTGGGCGGTGCGGAGGAACACATGGTCCAACAAGGGCGCGGATCTGACGAAAAGTTCCGGGCCTGTAGCTCCAGGATCTGAGTTGATATAGATCACCGCAGAATCTTTCAGCCATTTCAGGTGCTGCTCGACCCATTCTGTGGATCCGGTCATGCTATACTCTTCAGAGTCCCAACGAGCGAATATAAGTGTGCGTCGAGGCTTCCACCCCAGCTCGACAGCTCTACTGAAACTATGCACAATCTAATTCAGTGCGGCAGAACCACTGTGAGGGTCACCAGCACCACCCAGGGTCTATGAGTCGTGATGATTACCTAGTATAACAACCTCTTCACTCTGTGTACCATTTATGTAGTCTAGAAGGTTATGTGTCGTAGTGAATTCGTATGCCTGGTTGTTGTTTACGCGAAGAACAATCTCAGAGGGTGACGGTCCAATGTTGTATTTGACTCTCTTGTATTGCAAACCTGCTGTCTGCCATTTCTCACCGAAAGATGATGCCGATGGACCATGGCCGTTGAGGGCCTTCAATATAGGCACGGCATCCTCATAAGATATTGGCAGTGAAGGTATCTTAGGCAGACCGAACATGCCGTCGGGTTTCACTCGAGGGGCTCCTGGAAGGGACGGATATCCAGGTGTGGATGGGTCACCCGGCTGCCAATCTATTATGCACATCAGTTCCCTTGTTCAATTCAAGATGGTTGGGTAGGCTTCGCCTACTAATGCTTAGAACCGAGCCTCGTTGCACACTGCTAGGCTGTCTTGCATAGCCATTGGGATAGGGTTCAAGACCGTCGGACTCTTTGAAACAATCATCGCCAGGGTCAGTGTAAAGCACAGCGGCGACCATTCCTAGTTGCTCCGCTCGCATCACTTTCATCCCACGCCAGGTTTTGTCATACTTTGCGATTGCAATCTTCCCTTCCAGGCTTACATTAGCATTGACAAGGTCTTTAAAGTCTTGATAGGTGCCATAGATGACGTAGACATATTGCGCGGTGGCGTTTCCAGATGCACTATAGCCGTGAAAAGTCGGTATTCTGAGTGGATCAGAACTGGTCGGATCCTCTTCGAGAGGATCTTCTGCGAGCTTCGCCTCATAAAGAACCTTTGGTTCTGCTCTGTCGGCGATTGCTTCAGGTCGTTGAAGGAGCGTCAGACTATGGCCTGCGGGTCGGTTCAAGTAAACATCGTACGAGACGATTTGGGATTCTAACCCCCAAGAAGTCCATAAATTCTTTGTCCACAATACCTGGGAAAGGTTGGTGCCCGCCAAATGCGGCCCAGAGGAATAGTATCTAGTTGATCTTCGTGCTGCATTTGAATCCGGTGTTGTTTTAATCAATTCTTGCAGATCCTCGAAAGTGATGGTTTTACGCTTCAACCACGTGCTTGAACATGAAGCTTTGGATCCTCTGAAGTACAATAGTATCGTCCAGCAGGCTGCAAGTGACACAAGTATGCAAGTCAATTGGAAGGAGGATGTTGGTTTTCTCTTCATCATACTGGTCTTGTTGCTGAGGTAGAGAGAATGCTCGACAGATGTTTGATGTGTGGTACAAATAGAGCATAGCGCTTGTTTATGCAGCACGTGACTGTGCGTGCCGTTCGAACAGGATTCTGGTAAAGAAGTAGAGATAAGATGAATTCAGAAGAAGAACAGACTGTGAAAATGCTTGTTGTTTCAGATCCCATGCATTGCACACACCTCAGATTATTGCTAGACAGACAGTAGAAAGAACCCCATGTTCGTGAAGAAGCCCTACGTAATCTTCCTTTCATTCACTTGTGCTACCCCGACTTTATATATATTCATACGTTGATTGGTTTCTGATTCCGGAATATCATATGCGGCGATGTTCTTTTCCTTCCCCGCGATTCTTTTCTGCGAAAGAAATAGGTGGCCACTATAAATGAGTAAATGTCTTCATGAAGACAACGCAAGGTCGGGGCATCAAGGCATTCGACACAACCGAGGCGACCGATTACACACGCATGGGACTCTGCAAGATTCTTCGAATATCACTTCTTTCCACTATAGCTCATATGCCTCATCGAATGAAAGAGATTGCACAACCATAGCCAATCTTGACTTCCCATGTCGATTCGTCAAAGACTACTCTAACTAGATGTCCAAGGTAACCGCTTTCCATCAGCCACCTGTTTCACCGTGCACGCGATACCCTCCATCGCGGGAACTGTCTGTGTCCGCTGGTTTTGGTGACAATGCGAATATATTCTTCCAGGGTCGAACTTCGATGACTCTGGTAGGCCTTTCAATTGTTAGTTCCTGTATTCTGTTGCGCCATAGGAGGATATCTCACGAGTTGTTGCGATATTTGCTTTCGCTTACTAGTGACATCTTGGATGACCGATATTGAGTTCAGGTAATGAGTTATAAGATTTGAATTGGTGGAAGATTTGATGCTAGAGTTTGTGATTCGACGCATTCAGTGTGGATTTATCATGCACTTAAATATGTCAGCGCATGGCTCTATTGCATATCGGCCCAACATGTGAAAACAAGATTTAGTGATGGCACATTGCAGTTGGGCAAATCAATCCAATCATTAATACATACCCCACCCCAAGCTCCAGTGAAAACAGTGACAAGGCTGAGGAAAACGTTTATCTTGCATACCCCTCATCTCCTGATTGGCAAACGCCTGCATCGAGCTCTTTACCCTCGGTCAATTAAGCGGACGGAAAACACGACTGAAGCGGTCCAGAGGCTGGGACTTCAACGCCATCCCACGGAGGCGCATGCGACTGGGACATTGGACTATCAAAGGCAGGATGAGACGCAACTTGCACTTCGCTCAACATTGTCAGTGAGCTTCTAGGTCCAAGGGACTTACAACTCGTTCCTTTTTCTGGGCATGCAGAGTGAGATGTTATGGACGCGTAGACCTGGTCTCCTTTCAGTTTACTAGTGCAAAGCCATTGATACTGCGGGTTGTACTAGAACAAGCATGTCTCCTCGCTGAATTCAGCGTTTACGTAGTCTGCAGCGACAAGGTCATCATCCTCCACGCTTCTGGGGTGGCAAAGAGCCAGTGGGGAATCTTCGTTAATTTCATGGAGACATCGCCAGATGTTGGACTTGTCAGTAGATTTTAGCAGATCTCTAGAGCTGAGATTGGGATGGCTGACTTGATGACCCTCACGCGGTACTTGCCTTTCACATAGCCCGAGACCTCGGGAACTGTGACATGACGGGGAACCTTTTTCCATTCACCTTCCTTTGTTTGGTCTATGCTTTGGTCAATGCTAGCAGGTCAATGGGGTTGTGGCACTTGAGGTACCTAGCTGCACAAGATTCAACGGTGCATGTATGTGACATGGTTTGTACTTCACCATATACGTGACATGGTTCGTCCTTCACCAGGTACGTGACATGATAACATATGTCACTATGAGTAAAGAGCACAATATGTCCCCGCTATTGTTAAATCTTCATCTAGAAACTGAACTCAAAGTTTGAAAGGGTATTCCAGACCTAGAACTTACAATATTTCAACAATCATTATGGACCTTAAACTTCCGATGTCATTTGAGGCTCTTGACCAAGATGCAAAGATATGCCTTGGTGTACTTTCTTTTGTGGCAGCAGAAAACCTACCGAGCAAGTTCCTGCAAGTGTCTTCAGGTACAGATTTGCCAGAAGCCCTGGCATTCACCCGCGATAAAAACAAGTAGGTCTGGGGCATTCATTAGACGCATATATCCACTAATTATCCGTCCAGACTGGGAGGTTTGATAGAACAGCTGACAGACACTGCCTTGATACGACAGAGTGAGGATCGATCAACTCTGTCGTTGCACCGCCTTGTCCAGGCAGAATTCTTGAACCAGATCAATCATGAAGATCAACAGCGGTTGTTCGAAAACAGCATCTATCTACTACGTCAGGTATTTCCACATCGAGGTCAAGCCCGCGTCAATGAGTTAGAATGGCCAGCTGGCGACATATATTGGCCACATTGTCTCGCTACAATCAGTAAATACCGAGATTCACGAGAAGAAATGGAGCCTTTGCGGCCAACTCTGGAATTCTGCAAGCTTCTGGATGACTGCAGTTGGTTAGTTTTACACAACTCTGCCTGCATACTTCAGCCATTGACCTTTCTCAGGTATTTATTCCACAACGACATTGCTGGTACTGTAGCAATGGTGATCGACGTATGGTTTGATGCCAATGCAGCCTGCAAGAAGACAGGGCAGGATCCAATGGTCTATGCAAATCTGTTGAATATTGCCGGGCTCAATAACATGTCTATAGGGGAATTCGCCAGATCTGAAGCCCATTTTCTAGAGTGTAAATCGATCCGATCGAAGCATCTTGCAGAGAATGACGAGGCCATGCTTAACATCAACAGCAATATTGGACTAATCTACAGCTGCCAAAACGACTCTCAGAGAGGGGTGTCCTTTCTAATGAGAGCTTTGAAAATACTTCATTCATGGGATCACCGGAACTTAGTGAAAGAGGTACTGGTATATACCAACTTGGGCAAGATATATGGAGCAGCGGGCGAACTTGACGAAGCGGAACGTTATCTTCACATCGCCTTACAGGTTGCAATCGAACTGAACAGCGTTTACTGGACTACTGCGTAAGTGATGAAACCCTCTTCTTGATCCCAAATGAATAAGTTTCAATAACGTCGCGTAGTATTTATCGAGCTTTAGCCAGAACGGCTGTCTGCATGGCCAATATTTCAGCTGCTGATAAATACGCCCGGAAGATGAGGGACTTGCTGGAGACACCGAGTGGAAGTCGCGCGGGAAAGCTCATACAAAGCAAATGCAAGTATGCCGAAGGTTTGGTCCACCACAAAGCGGGGCGCAAAACCGAAGCCATGTCAGTATAATTCTCTTTTTCACATACTTGGAATTCGCTCAATTCACATCCAACAGAGAACATCTTGAACGAGCAGATGCAATGATGACAATGCATCGCCTGCCAATTCCCTTGCGCGCCCGAACAACGCACCTTTTCTCCCGAGCTTGTCTCCTCGTTGATAGTAGGCATGAAGAGGGTCTTAGACTGAAACTGAAAGCTCGGCATCTCCGACAACTACTACCTGGAGGTAAGGAAACTATCGACGAAGCTGATGATGAAGCCTATGACAAATTTGTCGATGTCATAGAACGTTGAGTGGTTACGGTTCGTAGCATAAAGTTGATGAATCTGCGTGGCTAGATCAGGTGCTTCATATTTCGTGATTCGTCAACTGTGCTATATCTGCATAGTCCTTTTTGTGATATATCCATCAAGTAGTTGGCTTCAGTTCTCTAATCTTGGGATTAAGGCGCAGCCAGCCATCCGGCCAATGACGTGGACGCGCACAGCATCCTCAATTAGGACTAGGATGTCAGCTCGCGCTAACTCAACGCCTTGCTGACTTCGAAGTCAAAGTAACTAATCTGTTAATACTTTCTTCAACATCCAGATCATGGATCTTTGTTAGCAGTATACAATGATCGTTAAGTTGTCTAAAACCATTTAGTTCCTCATAGCGCAGCGCCCGTCACCAACACGGGACCCATGACTATACGTATATCGAAGCTTGATCCCTTAGAGCTTGTCCAGTTGCTGGCTTTGCCATCCTTGTGAAGAGAGATTGAAGTCAGAGCTTTAGATTGATATGGTATATCGCGGAAGACCCTCGACGGGCTGTTTGAAATGTCGAAAACGAAAAATCAAAGTGAGCTTTCCGATCGCAGAACACAAGGCGGTGCCCCTGCCCTTAGGGACCTTCACAGTAATTCTCGGTTGCAAATTTACTTACGAGCGCAGTGTGATGAACGGCCAGATGGTTGCGTCAAGTGTGCAGAGAAAGGGTTCGATTGCCCGGGCTATGAGAGCCAACTCGATAGGCTCTTTCAGGATGAGTCTGCGCATGTTGAACGAAAGGCCAAAGCGGCAAAAGCGAAAGCCATTGCCTTGCGGAAGCAACATGATGACCAGGACAGAATTGACCAGCGAATGGCAAAACGCGAACACGCTGTCGAGCTAACTATACACATGCCACTTCTGGGTCCTCTGATTGATCAAGGTATTAATTTCTTCATGTCAAATTACGCGTACGTTACTTGTGGACTGGCCTAATCATTGGTTTCGTGTAATGTAGACTGATGATGTCCTTTAGCATAGGAATGAATCAACCGCCACTGCAGTCAAAATCTTACCACCAACACCTGGACACGTTCGGCTTCCACCCCATTATTGCGACATCGATGACGGCTTTGGGCTTAGCAGGAATCTCCAACATTTGCATGGATCGCAATTTCAAGAGGGAAGCCACACAATGGTACTTGAAGGCCCTCAAAATGACCAATGCAGCGCTTGCTTCGCCCACCCTGATGAAGCATGACAGCACTCTGCTTGCAACTATGCTTCTATGCATGTACGAGGCTACCAGTAATAAATTCACGCTGGCAGGCTGGAGCAGTCATGTTGACGGGTCAGCCTTGTTGTTGAAAATCAGAGGCAGTGGTCAGTTCGCAACACCATCTGGACGATGGATGTATCATCAGACAGTTGGGTTGTTGACTGCGAATTGCATGGGTAAAGGAGAGCCGATTCCCGAATATATTATGGAGATGAATCAGGAATCCGAAAAACATGAAGATAGCAAGCACCCAGGTAACCGATTTTTCCATGCTCACATCGAAGTGATCAATTTCCGCGCAGACATATCGCAAGGACGGCTCATTGACCTGGAAAAAATCATCAATCGTGCACTCGAGCTTGACGCCAAAACTCAAGATGCATTTAAAGATGCCGAGTCGGAATGGTTCTATAACGAAATTCCTGTTGAACGCGGTATTCCTGGTGTTTTTGGATCGCGCTATCACATCTACACTCACATGGCTGCTGCTCAGATTTGGAATTGGATCCGCTACATCAGGATATATCTTCATGACATTATCCGGAATAGCATTATATTAGGGTTCTCCATGAGTCCGCCATCCTTGTTCGGGAAAAAATATACCCACATCCTACAGGAAACTACACAAACCCTCTACAACTTGCAAGCTGATATCCTTGCGAGCATTCCTCAACTCCTACACGATACCCCGAAATCGCCGCTCCCATATTCACGCGATCTCATAAATCTCAACACAGTCGAAAGTACACCAGTAACCCCCAGATCGAAGTTCTTATGGTCGAACTTCCGAGAGCAAATTAGTTCCTCGTATAAATACTCTACAGAGGCTACCTCTACTGAACGGCTCCCCATCATTCGGGTGTCCGGGGGTTACACTCAACTATGGGCTTTCTTCATCGCCGGTACTATGCCTATCGCGACGCCTGAAGTGCAAGAATTCGTAATTCACTCTCTGAGTCGCATAGAAATGGAATTTGGCATCAGCCAGGCAAAGGTGTTTTCGAATGCTTTGAAACTCAAGATACAGATGGATAAGAAGGGAGAAACCCCTTTCCAGATAGTTCCGACGTATTTACCAATGGTTGGAGAACACCTCGAAATATTCCCAATGGGCGAAACTTAGAGAGGCGCCTAGTGCACACTAAAGGGGACTGCGGGCTATTTATTGGACTGCGAAAAGATTCCTAGCATATCATCGGACTCTTGCTCAGCGAGTCAATGTAAAAGCATGTAGGGATTACGAATTTGAATTTGCATTACAGGCCTATGCAAATTGATGCAAGGAGAACAAGCAATGATTCCTCTTACATAGACGTCGGATCTAGTCAATGATAGATTGTCGAAAAAGCCATAGTGGTGTATGTTGTCAGGATTGGATTGTCTCCCCTCGGCAACTTGTATGTTGCGCCAGCGCGTTATCGCAAATATTTCATTCCCGGATAATGATTCTAAATGACCATTGCTGTACAAATCTCGAAGAAATGTTCAGTGCCGCTCTGGAAAACGATCTTTCTTGGCTCTTTAGGAGGATGTCTTGATTGGCCTGGGGATCGAATACACCACTTTGTACTTCTGATGTTCGGCAAAATGCTCCACATAAATCCACTCAACAACTCCTTTGCCCAGAAGGACCTCCATTTAAACATCCTAGAAACATGGCCGAGATCAGCATCTCCCGAGAACTGCAAGTCCCTCAAGGCCCATCCATTAGCCACACACAGCCCATGTTCGCTTATCCGACGCCTCCTTCCTTATCTCGGTTAATCACCCTGATCGTCTCAGATTGATCCCATCAAATGCAGGCAAGCCAACTCATCCACAACCCAGAAATCTCCCCTTTACTAACCAACCACATCTCGCCATGTCCCAAAAAGGCCTTCCTCAGCCCTAGGAGTCCGCGCGTTTCATGCCAGGCTAGCTTACCGGCGCGGCGAATGGCACTCGCTCTAGCTCTCTTCTTTACCTCCTGTCTTGGTGCATTAACTGTTCAATTTATATCTTGAAGCAAGGGACAGGCGCTGTGCCTGCTGCAGGTACAGCACACTTACTGGCCTGATTTGCCATCAATTCGCCAGCAATATGTCCGAGTCTTGTTCTTGTCTCGTCGATAAGAAGTTGTTTGATCTGGGCCTGACCTGGGATTAGCCATGGCACTCAAGTTACCCTGTTGCCACGCACTTCGTCGACATGTGAGTGGGCGATAAGTGGAGAACACCATGGTGGGTTTGAAAAGGGTCGAGTGTCTTGGTGGTGGGTAACATAGACATTTAGAAAGCCCATAAGGTAGGCTATGTTTTGCCTTGTCTCGTCCTGTCCTGTTTTGTTCATCCATCAATCATCCATGACTGCTGGTGTGTCGTTTTGATTCTTTTCTCTCTTTTTACAACTCACACTCCTTTTCTGCCAGGCCCCCTTGTGGCTTTTACTCTTCCATGTTCGATTGAATTTCGAATCAATCGCTTTCAATAACTTGTTTTTTGGGGAGATTTAATGCAGTCTGATTGATCACCAACTCTCGTTTTCGACTCACGATACCGCCCTGGCGTACCACTGCTACACAGCATACGACACTTATTGATACCATATTTTACGCACTCGAGACCATAAAAGATCATCAATCGTTCCAATTACATTCAAAATGTTCAACTTCATCCAAGAAATGACCATGCGACACATCCGGCTCGTAGCCCTCTCCGCCGCCGCCACGCTCCCAACCCCCAAACCCATTCCCATCCTAGGCGACCCATCCGAAATCGCCAACGTCCTCCTCTCAAAGCTCCCCTCCCAATCCCAGGTCCTCCTCCCAAAGCCCTTCTGGTGGTGGCAATCCGGCACCGTAGTCGACAGCCTGCTGACGCTCTCCCACACCACCAACACAACCACCCACAACGCCCTCATCACCACGACACTGCTCTCCCAAGCCACGGGATCAAACGACTTCATGACGCCCGACGCCACGGGCAACGACGACCAAGCCTGGTGGTCCCTCGCCGCGCTGTCGGCCGCAGAATACAATCTGCCCTCCCCTTCCATCCCCTGGAACAACCTCGCGTCCAACGTCTTCGCTGCGCAGAAATCCCGCTGGGACGACACCCGCTGCAAGGGCGGTATCAAGTGGAAGATCAAGCCCGAGGACGACGGCTGGCACTACAAGTCGACGATCGCGAACGGCCTGTTCTTCCAGCTCGCGGCGCGGCTTGGGAGGTACGGGAATGATGGCGATGCACTGGCGTGGGCGGAGAAGAGCTACGATTGGACTGTTTCTGTCGGCTTGATTAGTCCTGAGTTTGATGTATTTGATGGGACGGATGATGCGAAGGGAGAGGGGGGCTGCGTGGATGTTAACCATGACATGTGGAGTTATAATGTTGGCGTCTTTTTGTATGGTGCGGCGGTCATGGCGGAGAAGACTGGGGAGGAGAGGTGGAGGAAAAGGGCACGCGGGTTCTTGGATTCGGCGAAGAGAAACTTTGTGAAGGATGGGAGACTGTTTGAGGGGAAGTGTGATGGCGATGGGAGCTGTGATAATGACCAGGTCAGTTTCAAGGCGCAGCTTGCAAGATGGCTGGGCGCCACGGCGGTTATATTGCCAGAGTTAAGGGGAGATGTGGTGGAAATGTTAGGACAGATTGCGGAAGGGGAAATGGGAGGTTGGAAACCAGAATTGGGGATTATGGAACAATTGACTGCTCTCGAAGTCGTTGATGCATCGATTGCAGCAGGCGGTGGTGCGAATGGAAGCGTGCCTCCGAAACCTGGCGTTGCAAAAAGGGCTATTGCTGGCCGGTTATGGATTTGATTGGATGAACAAAGTAATATAGATACGAATAAGATCTTCAAATAGACAACTTTTATTAATTGATGCTTCTGTTTATGTAGAGAGTGAGGCGGGTAAAGAAACCAATCATGAGTTGCGGAATACATAAAGCGTGATTTGAAAGTTCAGTAATAGATTGATATGATACTGTACATGCATTCATCTATCTCGTGCATGCGTCAACATCTCTACCCATGATCCTCCGCGCAAAGACTCCGGCAAGCGCAATGCCAGGCTTAAAAGCCAAGATGTCCATTAAAGACCAAACATAAGTCAAGGAAGTGCAGACATATGCTGGTTGGGAGAGGGAAGAAATAGACGTAACAAAATGAGTGAAACAGAAATTAAACGCCCCCAGAAACGGTTCAATCGCGAAAAGCACGAATAGTCTACCAGTCCCTCGCCAACGCCGATGTCTGTCATGTGCCAGCCACGGAAACTTGTTCCCTAAGCCCACTTGGTTCAATCTTCTTCGCTCTCCTGCCGAGCAAAGTCGAGTTATCCAAGCTTAGTTCAAAGGCCCCTCTGTTCTTCACCTGTCTTTTGGCAGCCGCAGCGACTGCAGGAGAATGCTGACCGTAGCCTCTCTCTTGCTGCTTTGGTTGCGCGGCCTGCCTTGCTTGAGCGGCGGCGGACAGCGAAGTGTTGCGCATCTTCTGCTCGACTGCAGAAACATCTGTGCCCTGAGACTTGGGGAGCTTCGCAGGTGGATGCTGTTGTGACGGGTCATAAGGAGCGGACTCGCCAGAGAATTCGTCGTCCTCGTCCTCATCAAGCGCGTTCAACGAGTTGATAGCGTTGGCGCCACGGTAACCTTGCTTGAAGTGCTTCCTCCTCTTGCCTTCTTCCTCCTGTCGATGGACGGCGTAACCAACATCGAAAACTTCGCGTAAATTGACGGCGCCTGGGGAACGGAAATCAGAACGACGTGCGCCTGGCGATTCGAGATAGCCGAAATTTTGTGCGAGAGGATCGGCTTTGCCTTGTTGGTATTGCTTTTCTCTAACGTGGAGAGGAGTGGCTAGAGGAGGCGCGTCATGTGCAGCGTACGTAACTTCGTCAGCCTCCCTAATCCATGGGTGGTCAAGGAATTGCTTGATGTCGTATCGCTTTTCGGGGTCCACGGTCAACAGATGCGAGACAAGATCTTGGGCAGACTTGGAAATGTCATCCCACCATGGCGACAGGAATGTATATTGGCCACGGGCAACCTTTTCTGTCAAGGTCTGGATGGATTCGTCATAGAATGGAGGGAATCCGCAGAGCAGTGTGTAGAGCACACAGCCCATTGCCCACATGTCGACGCTCTTGGAGTAACGCTCATCTTTAACGATCTCAGGCGCGGTGTAGCCGACAGTACCACAGGGTGTCATTGTCTGGCTATCCCAGATAACCTTGGACAAACCAAAGTCTGCAATCTTGATGACACCAATGCCACCAGCACCCTTACCCTTGATGAATTCACCCTCATCGGCCTTATCTTCGTCATCAGGTCCCCTTGGCTTAGGGTTCTTGGTTGGGACGAATGGAAGGGGGTAGAAGAGGAGATTCTCTGGCTTGATATCACTGCATGACGTCAGTTGTGACACCTCTTGGCAATCGTGAAGTTGGGACATACCGATGAACAACGCCTGCCTCTTCGTGCAGGTACTCTAGGGCTTTCGCCACTTGAATGATGACATGGCGTGCAAGATCCTCGCTGAAGTAGGTCAAGCGAACGATTTGATGGAAGAGCTCGCCTCCAGGGCAAAGCTCAAGGATGATGTAGTAGTATTGGCGAGATTCGTGGAAGTCAACGAGCTTGACGATATTGGGATGATCAAGTTGGCGCATAATTTGCACTTCCTTGAGGATGTTCGCTCTCTAAGGGGTATTACGTCAGTGTCCATCAAAAACTAAGGGAGTGGATACAGGCCGACACTCAGGGAATTGGTTGGGGGAGGATTTGAGTGTCTGCACTGTGATGAGATCGCACCTCCACTGCTTTTGGTGCCTTCTTGAAATCCGGATGAATGTGGTCGTCGCCCTACACCAGGCATTGTGTTGGCAAAATCCAAATACACCAACCTCTGTTACGACGAATAAGGGGGGAGGGGAGGAAGGGGAGTGAGATATTAATGCAATGGATGGGTGAATGCAAGTGGTTCTCGGTCTGGGCGATACATACTTGGCTAGAGTTCATTTCAAACTTTCGCACAACCTTAATGGCCACCTCTCCCCACTGGCCAGTATTATCCTTTGCGCGATAGACATTGCTGAAGGCACCATCTCCCATCTTCTCCAAGAGCGTCCACCGCTCCAGTCCAGGGTACTTTGGAAGTTTCCCCTTTGCCTCTCGCTCCTCAGCAACGATGCGCTCCAATACCGAAGGATCGATATCACCTTTCCGGTCTGTGGTGCCTGCAGCTTTGTGTGCCTGTTGCTTTTGGTTTTGCTCTGCTGCATGGGCAGCGGCTTGACCGGCCTGAGCGGCAACATTGCGGTTGTCGCCGGCAGCAACGGAGAAATCGCCGACTTTGGCACCAACAGAACCTTGGAGTGGCTGATGCTGGAGCACATTGGGATCACTGATAGCATAGTGGTGCTGCTCCTGCACGGCAGGATTGTGATGTCGCTGTTGCTGAGGCTGGGCGTGGACATTGGAGACGTTGGTGGTAGGGTCTGCATGCTGTGCGCGAGCCTGCTTCCCGTGCCGCAAGAAGTTCTTGAAGTTCTGTATGGCAGCCATAACTTAGTATGGGTACTGGTGAAGGTGGTGATGATGTGTGTGCGTATTATTCAGCCCCCTCGTGAAGTGTTGTCTCAGGAGAGAGAGAATGGGAGAAAGAAAAGAAGTGTGAATCTTGGAGTATCAAGAAACACAGTGAAAGTACGAGTAGTAGTGGCGGGGTATCAAGAAAATGTGAAGGGGGGAGGAGGTAGGGTATGTAAAAGGAAACGGAAGGCCACAGGCGCTAAACGTCAATGAATAAGACGTAGCGCGTCCAAGTGGTAAGAGTGGGTATTAGGAAGAAGGGGGATACGAGAAGGAGTTCCAGTGAATTAGAAGCAGGAAAGAGAAGAGAGAGAGGATGAGTATGAGGTAGAACAAGCAGGAGAGAGATGGGTGGTGGGAAACCAGTTGGGCTTGGCGGGAATGACGCACATGGTCATAGCGCCTGCGATGGAGTAAGGTATGACGAGGAGAAACGACATCATCATCAATCCCCAATACCAAATCTCTCGCCCATCATGCCCACCAGTATCCCGCCTCATCCAACCAATGCCCACTTCTCATACATCATCTTCCTTCCTTCCTTCTGCCTCAGCCGCCTTTCCGCGTGCCGAAAATGCACTGGCCCGTCTATCGCGGCTCGGAGGGGGGGTGGAGGGGCAGATGTGATGAAACAAAAGAGAATGAGAACCACATATGGGCGAGGATTGCGAGAATTCGTAGACATTGAAGAATTGACATGATAGGGAAATCGAAGAGCACTGCCCTCTGCCACTTAGTTCACAACAGCTGATACTGTAGTATGTGCAAGACTTTCCTTGCACATACACACATGATAGCGTGCGAATGCCGCCGGCTTTGGGCAATTTGCTCCGAACTGGGCTTTACAAAAGAAACAGGACTATTGATGAGATGCACCAACTCACCTCAATTACAGCCATCTTGCTGCTTCCTGAATGGTGACGATGGCGCCTACTGTTTGTACTACGGCTGTTGATATGCATCGAATGTCGCGCGCGCGGAGAAAGAAGGGCCGGAGGTCCGTGGTCTTGCTCGTGATCTATCCCCAAGCGTTAACCTCCACCGACGTCTTTAGGACGTCTATTTCGCTTCGGTACGGCGCGTTTCCTAGGATATTAGGGTTATGACGCCGGCTCGCTCACACACACAATCTCTCTTCCCTCGTAAATCAGGCTGTGTGCGCTGCGGAATCGGATCTGCTCCGCACGTTAATCGGGCCAGGGTCCTGCGGCAAGGAGGATGCAGCAGCAATAACAGCACAATGTGATTTTCGATCGTTGCGAATAATGATTCGCCGGGGAGCTGGTTCTGTTTCTGGACTTTGGTCAGAGCGGGTGTTCGACAAGGCGATGCGATGCGATGCGATGCGTATCTCGACGACGAATATACTCGTATGCGTTGGGAGAGAGGGGATAACAAAAGGACCCTCTACGGTGCAAGGAGAGGAGGGTTATTTAAAAGAGCGACTACTAATTACAGCACGCCGCGACCACGTCTCAGTCGCCCAAGAGCACCTAGTCGGCGGGCCTTCGGTTTTTGAGGCACCGCCCACCCATCCATCTACAATTGTATTCGTAGGTTGGATCCATCCAGCCCAGCGCCGGCGAGTGACGGGCGGCAAGACCGGAGCTGCTTTCCAAGCAGCGATGCCTGTGTCTGTACCGGTATAGTCTCAGGGTCATCAACTAAAACTCCAGACTATGGACTACTCGCTAGGGCAACGGCAGGAGTGTACGCCACACTAAGCAGCTCAGCTGCGAGGGCTCCTTGGAAGTTGGCACAAGCAGGGCTATGTAATCTGCAATAATGCATCCGGGCTCTGAAGCTTGGGGATATTTGAACAGGGCAGATCCCCTGTGCTTGAGCTTCTGGTGTGTGACGACAATTTTTTTCTTCTTCCAAGCAACCTCGTTCAATCACTGTCACGGCACGAAAGGAAGGGAACCGACGAGAAATGGTGACGAGGACGAGGGCGAGGAAGAGGACGACATTGATGATCACAATGGGCCCCTTCGCTTCTCTCCTCTCCTCCCCTCCCCCATTGATGGTCTGAGATGGGAGGCAATAATACTGTAACTGTCTTCTACTTGCAATTCCCCATTAATCTTTTAATAATAATTATTTATTCTTCTTTGGGATGTGGTTAGGAGCGACATGCAGGGTCTCATCAGGCTTGTCAGTTTACGTCACTGCCCGACGCCCGCCCAGGATCCTTTGGCTGTTTTGCTGCAACGCCATTTGGTGGGGTTTGGAGATTTCCGACGATCCTGGCCCTTTTCTGTCTCCCTTCCCAGCTCTACCTCTCCCAAGGCCCAAGGATCATCACCATTCATTAATCATTGACCTTCAGAGCCACCACCGTGTACTCATTACATTCCCCACCTCCTCAAAACATCATGAAATCTTGCCCAACCACAACCGGCAGCCATTTGACGTTTGCAGTCTTTCCTTTGGGCACTCGGCCTTTCGGCGCGGCACATGTTTGTTCCCTGGTGCACATCTATGAACAATCATGAACAAAGAGGCAGTCATCCGCCGCCTCTGTTCTGCGGGTATTTGGCCAGGTGGGGTAGGATGTTAAACAATTCACCATCCACTCATTTGCGTAGTTGTAGCCATTTTCGCGGTCTTAGCCCCGCCCACGTGAAGTAGCCCGCAGGACCGGTTGCTGACTGTACTCACCTAGTGTACCCCTTGAGTCCTCTTTATCGTTGGAACGCAGGGTTTGTTGAACGTGAGGTGTGCCGTCGCACTATGCAGAGTTGGGCAAAGACCGGTGTAGTAATCGACTCGTAAGTACATAGAGTTGCTGTAGGCGCTTCAGGCTATTTGCTCTATCTCCCATACACTATGCCGAAAGCACTTTCTCCCTCCCACATTTCTCGCGTGCTTCGCAACCTGTGATCGTTGCAGGACATTCATTTCTTCTGCATTGGTCGAAGGATCTCTACCGCTGGTGCATCTGCAAAGGTCACCGCCAGAGGTTTCTCAATGCGGAGCCTGAGCCAAGCGTCCCCATCAACCTTTGAAAAGAAATCGTCCCTAAATTGGTCTACCACCCGCGCTGACAACGACTCTAGCGTATCGAAAGTAGATTTGGATATCACCTTTTGCATCAATGTTAGCGTAGTCTGACTGATTATGTAGCTTGCTGCACAAATACCTCAACGAGTATGTCTTCCAATGGGCGGAAAGCGTCTCCCATGCTGTCTGGAGGATTCTCGACTTGCAAATTGACCACGACTGGTTGCTTCCGCTCCCGCTCGTTGGGGTTCACGCCGATGAGACAAGGGATGCGAATGTTCCGTAGGTAGGCCACTTTGGACGTCCATTCGCCATTGAGCGTAGAGTATACCAAGCCAGCGCCATCGCCAAATAACGTGGCCTTAGGGTAGAAAACATCGACCTCGGTCCCAGCAAGGTTGGTCTTCCCAGCCGTTTCCTGTACCTGACCCCAGATTTGCGCGGCAAAGTCCTGGGTGCTCAGATGTCTCGCATTGCCCTCGATTGCAGATCGGATGTCTTTGCTCAAGATTCCATAATGCACAGTGCTGGTATCCAGGCTGTCGGCCTGTGCAGCGGAATCGAATGGCCGTGCGAGCGAGAGCGCAACGCTGATGAGTGCGGGCTGCAGTTTCTCGCGACCCCACACGTCTTTTCCAGCCTTCGCTGTGACCTGAAGATTCTGGACGCAAATCTTGTCGGTGACTTCGCTCTCAGCGAGCTTGGCTTGGAAGAGGGCCTGACGGAGCGGTTTTGGCGACATCGTTAACAGGTGACCAATGGAAACGCAATGACTGAATATCAGTCAGCATCAATGGGGAGGCTTGATCTAGAAATTGTAACGTGCAGGGCTTGCGCGAGACCCAGGTGTCAGTCTTGAAATCCCACTCTGTTGCAGACTTGTGCGAGAGATTTTCCGTGCAAACATTTATTGCATTTTTTTTTATGCCAAACAAATCTCGCATGCAAGGATATGCGTGGGGTCTTCCAATCCCATTGGAGAGGCAATATGACATCATTGATCAAAGTAGACGTGAAGAATAGAATTTGTGGAGCAATACCATCAAATAATGACAAAGGCAAGGAGCTGCAGCACTTACAATCGATTCAATTATGGCAGAGTATGAAGGTTGGAAAAGGATCGAAGACGCCCTTTCAGCCCTAAGCTTCCAGACACAACAATGAAGAGCATAGAGGGGTTGCCCTCGGCGCTATGCTCGATAGGGAAGGGCGGTGGCAGAAACTTCGCCAGCCTTCCAACGGTGGAGGTTTCTAGAAGCTACATCAATTCTCATACTTTATTTCAGACTTCAAGTCCTATCTCCTAGCCGGCACGTCGCAAAAAAGCTAAGAACAAGCTACTGAACCGCCTAACAACCTTCGAAAATAATCCATCACAATGGCTGACGCTCTCAAAGCCGAGGGTAACAAGCTCTTTGCGGAGAAGAAGTTCGCCGAGTCCATGTGAGTTTTGATCACTTTCCCCGCCCCATCACACGATACCTATGACTGACAATGCTCCAACAGCGAGAAGTTCACACAAGCTATCGAGCTCGACCCCTCAAATCATGTGCTTTACTCCAACCGATCTGGTGCTTATGCTTCGTTGAAGGACTACGCCAAAGCACTGGAAGATGCAACAAAGACAACAGAGATCAAGCCCGACTGGTCCAAGGGCTGGGGACGAAAGGGTACCGCGCTCCACGGCAGCGGTGATCTGGGTACGTAAACCCCCCATATCCAATCAATCATAGCAGGATATTAACAAAAAATAGTCGGAGCCACCGATGCATTCGAGGAGGCTCTCAAACTCGACCCAAAGAACGCTCAAGCGCAGTCCGGCCTCAATTCCGTCAAGCGCGCGATCGAACAAGAAGCCCAAGCCGACGGCCTCAGCGGAGACCCCTCTGGCGGACTCGGAGGCATCTTCAACGACCCCAACATGTTCCAGAAGCTCGCTAGCAACCCCAAGACAGCGCCGCTGCTCGCCGACTCCGAATTCATGGCCAAGCTGCAGAGGCTGAAGACCAACCCCAACGATGTCGGTCTCGAGATGCAAGACCCCCGCTTTTTGCAGGTCATGAGCGTGCTTTTGGGAATTGACATGCAGTTCGGTGCTCCCCCAGGCGCCGACCAGCAGGGTGGCAGTGCACGGGAGGCTGAGGAAGATGTCGAGATGCCAGATGCAAGGCCACCACCAAAGTACGAGGAGGCCAAGAAGGAGCCTGAGCCCGTTCCCGAGCCGGAGGAAGAGACAGAGGAGGCCAAGGCAGCAAAGGAGGCCAAGGCCAAGGGTGACGAGGAGAAGAAGAAGGGAACAGAATTCTACAAGAAGAGGCAATTTGACCAGGCTATTGAACACTACACCAAGGCATGGGAGCTTCATAAGGATATCACATACCTGACCAACTTGGGAGCCGCCAAGTTCGAGAAGGGTGATTACGAGGGCGCAATCAAGGCTTGCCAGGAGGCAGTCGAATACGGCCGTGAGATTCTTGCTGACTTCAAGATGATCGCTAAGGCTTTTGCACGTATCGGTACCTCATACGAGAAGCTTGGAGATCTTACAAACGCCATTCTCTACTACCAGAAGGCCCAAACTGAGCACCGGACACCCGAGGTTCTCGCCAAGCTCCGCGCCGCTGAGAAGGCGAAGATCACGGCAGAGAAGAATGCATACATCAGCCCCGAAGAAGCCGAGAAGGCTCGCGAGCTCGGAAATGCCAAGTTCAAGGCTGCAGATTGGCCAGCTGCTGTCGAAGCTTACTCCGAGATGATCAAGCGTGCGCCTGAGGATCCACGAGGCTACTCTAACCGCGCTGCTTGCTTCATCAAGCTTTTGACCTTCCCTTCTGCCGTTGCTGACTGCGACGAGGCCATCAAGCGTGATCCCAAGTTCATCCGAGCCTACTTGCGCAAAGCACAAGCTTACTTCGCCATGCGCGAGTACAGCAAGTGTATCGACACCTGCGCCGAGGCAAGCGAGCACGACGAGGGCGGTAAGAATGCTCGTGAGATCCAGCAACAGGAACAGAAGGCTATGGAGGCCCAGTTCTCTGCACGTGAGGGCGAGACCGAGGAGGAGACCATGGAGCGAATCCAGCGTGACCCAGAGGTAAGCCTAAGAACCGACAGATCGTTTTGTCCAGACACTAACTTCCCCAGATCGTCAGCATTCTCCAGGATCCCATCATGCAGAGCATCCTCCAGCAAGCCAAGGAGAACCCGGCCGCTCTGCAGGAACATCTCAAGAACGCATCGATCCGACAAAAGGTGCAGAAGTTGGTAGCAGCTGGTGTGATCCGAATGGGCCGATGAGCAGTTTCCGACAACCACGCCCAAGCATACCCATACTAGGATGACGGGCGTAAGCGTATTTCAATATAAAAAGGTTGACAATATCAGCTGTTTGGGAAATACTCGCTAGTGTACTTATGTCAGTTTTCTTCTCTATCTGCATAGCGCGTAGATTGCAATGATACACTTCATGACAAAAGACCTGACCATCATTGATTGCTCAAATTCGGAAACTGGGTCCTAGACAGGCACCACTCCCCGATGCGACATCATTATATGCCCATTACATATCCCATGCGCTCCCGTAGATGATTGCTCTGACCACCAAGTATATCAAGATTCATCTATATTTACTTCATGATATCCTCATTGCAAGTCCTTTAAACTCCTCTTTCTCTTCTCGGAGCATTATTGGAGGTTTGGTCCAAGCTGTCATAGTCGCAGCGAAGGAACAATGTCCATATTGCAACTTGTGTTTTTCTGTGAGACCTCAAATATTGAATCAAGGCTAATTACAGTATTTAATTCTGCCAACTACAATGCCAAAATATATTTTCCATGGCGCCGCTATCGTGAAGTAGAAATATTTGAGTCGTGTATATTAATTCAACGAAGAGATGAATGAGCTGATTGTGGAGACTGTTACGCCCAAAAGAATGCATGTACTGTACGTAATTGCAAGAAAACACCTCACGCCATCCATGCTTAATTCATCTGCACATTAAATTGTACGCAGCTCCGTACTGCTCGCTTCGAGATGACACGCAGATCAATCGTATCCCAGCTTGCGACTCTCGGCGAAACACAGCATGTGTTCGCGATTCAGAACGGGGGGGCATGACGTCCAATTTAGCCAATCATGAGCCAAGTTCGTCGATATGTCACCGCTAGCCTTATCGATTAACGTCCATCGTGCCTCAGAATTCCGACCTCGAAACATCCCGCCACCTGCGGGAATTTGTTAAATAGGTAGACATGCGCCAACACGGTCCATCTCATGAAATCTCCTATTGGAACCCAAGACTCTCTGGACACAATAATCTCGACAAATGGTGAACAATGAGTGCCTCACCAGCATCGTCAGCAAGCTCCGGGTTCAATAATCTTGCCCCGAGGCGGAAACGGGTCACCGCTGAACACACCTTGAACCGTGTTCGTGAGAATCAACGAAGACATCGCGCCCGAAGAAAGGACCACATCGCCACGCTGGAGCAAAAGCTAGCTGAAACGGAGAAGCAACTCGAAGAGGCGAGGGAAGAGATCGCGAGGCTACGTTCAGAGAGGGAAACCACGCAAGCACAGGGTCAGTCTCAATGGAATGTCGGACTCATATTCCAAGAAGGCACCCTCGGAGCTACAGCGAACCAACAAAATGACACGCAAGAGATATCCAACGAGTTAAGAGGAGTCCTCACAAGACGACCAAACACCACCACAACCACCGAAAATATTCCCAACCCCCTAGCACCCTCCCCATCCATCGCCATCGTTGCCAACATCGCCAACCCCCCTGGCCCTCCACCATGCTGCCTCGACGAAACCTCCTCCATACCCCCAACCGCGGACGAAATCCCCGACCCCAACGACCCAGAGTGCCGATCCTGCAAGACGCGGCCCGCGCCCGCGCCTACGGAAAGCACCACCCTCTGCAGCCAAGCGTACGTGCTCATCGCGCAGCAAAACTTCCGCGGCATCGACGCCCCCACGATCCGCAAGTGGCTGTTCCAGGGGTTCCGGCGCGCGCGAAGAAAGGGAGAGGGCTGCAGCATTGAGAATACGGCGCTGATGAGCCTGCTGGATTTCATCAGTGGGTGCGAGGAGAGGGTCGGTGTGCCGTGTGGGCATCAGCAGAGTGGGGGTTTGGATGAGCCTCATGACCATTTGTTTGGGCTGTGAGGGCCTTGGTTGTTAGGCGCCGTGTACTGTTTCTATATACCCATTAGTGAATTGTATCTTCTTTTCCTTTAAGTTCTCTTTGAGCTGTGTTTGGCGATTTTCTTGTAGTTTCTTGGAACCAACTTCAATACAGTCATTGACAACAATCACCGACTAGTCCAGGAAACCATCGGATTGAGTTGAGTGCTCAACATATCCCTGTAGGATGATTAGCACCTGCCTTCCAAATAATGCTGAACACCCGATTGCACAAATCTTGCATGAACCTCTTGCCAATGAGCGGCAAGTTGCTGTTACGGCCGTGAAGTTGAGTACGAGCAATCTGAAGAGCCAGCAAACAGTTGTTGCAGTGAAGTCAGAACGAGGCTACAAGTATAGAGCATGGGCGCCCGGTACCTAGAGATTGTTTCCTTGTCCTCTCTCGCGCGCCATGGTGTCTGCGATGTTGAGTGGGTAGCGCTGTTCTATGACCTGTATTGGGTGTTCGCTAGATTTATTACACAAACTGTTATTGTAGATTACCCTGACATACGTAGAGCCTGAATGGAGTCTAGAGGGATTATTTGGAGCGTTCTTGGACCTCCTTTATTTACGTTGGATCGGTTTGTATGGCTATCTAGTCGTTCACTCACAATTGTCTGTCCGACCTGATCTGGGGCAACCTGACACTGTATCGCCATTGAGAGTCTCCCAGTGATGTAGACCTGAATCCAGAATACCTTAAGGCAATAATCGGGCACAATGGGCACCTACCGTGTATCTCAATGAAAAGCGGGAACAAGAGTGCACAGATGTGAATAGATTGCACTTTACTTTCTAAACATACATGCAGTCTTGTATTATCTTTACTGGCACAATGATGCTGAATTGTTCAAGACAGTGTAGGTGCCTGCCTAGGTAGGCTATGCTGCCTACTTTATCTGTTGGCATAACTGAAGTGAAGGCGCTTTTGGTCCTAGCGCACTCTCATTATATCCTCTCCTCTCTTCTCTCTCTTCTCTCGCTACAACACTCCGCTCGCCTGTACGAGATTACTCGTACAATATCTTCTTTCCTGTCTTTCGACACGAAAACAAAGCTTCCTTTTAGCTTTCTGCTAAAAAACTCTTCTTCAATGAAACTGTGCTGTGCCGACCCGCACATTGACACATCATCGTCAGCATCTTGAAGAGAACGTCCGAGCAGCAAATGGCGGGCGCTACAAATATCCGACAAGAAATGGGTGGGAGGAGCAAGCGCATGCCACCAAAGGACCCTGCAGGGCCTTTACCCAAGTATGTGTTTCCCCATCTCCTCAGAGGAAGTTGTGTCCCTTTACTGTGTGGTCACTTCACACTGTCATGACTGCTGCTAACCATGACTTTAGAGAATGATCCCGCAAGTCGGGTCGATACTTTGATATAAAAAGTGTCTTCCAGATTATTCCGTCAAAAGGTCTTTCAAGCATCGTCGCCACCCCTGCGGAGCCAGAAGTGCCAGCTATCCTGCAATCTCGCTCGCAAGACAAGTCAAATGTAAAGCGCCGCAGGCTGAATCGTTTGCTGCCATCATTTTCCCATCCCCCCATGTTGGGCTTCCTGGAGCTTGTCTCCAGTATGGTAATTGCCCTTGTGGCACACTGCAACTGTTCAGCGAACATAAGTTTCTTTCCGAAGCGCTCTGCCGCTTCTGGACCCCAACCGGTGCCGTGGAGCACACAGAGAACCACTGCCTACAGCAGAGCCGATAATTATGTTCTCGGGGCCTCGAGCCCTTCTTCAGAACAATCCCCTCCCGAGACTGCCACGATCAAAGAATTGTTCCCAAATGCTTTCACCAAAGGGTGTAAGCAAAACAACAGAATGATGACGTGAAAATCCAAGAGGAGGAAGATGGAAAAGGGGAGGGCGAAGAGAAGCCCCGGCCCTCTCCCTGGAGAAGCTTGAAAACGACCCGACGTCGCCTGGATTCAAACGAATGCCCCAGGGCTCCTTCAAAGATTACATGAACCGACGTCCTCACGAATCCCGCTACTGCTCGACCCGCTTTCGCTAGCCCATGAAGACATTTAGTCTCGGGCTATTATCATAATATCTCGGATTTTGAATCATCAGAGACTGTCGGTATGGGAGGAAACAACTAGATGAGAGGGGAAGTTGATGTTGGGAGCCAATGATTATATTAGGGCATTTAATCAGTCACTAAAATCCCAAGCATTCAGTCCTTTTTCCCGCATCTTTCTGTACCAATCCTTCACATAGCTCAAGCCCACATGTGGACCGTAGGGATTTTTCTCCCACTGTGGTCGCGGTGCCGGTAGTCCAGTCTCTTCCTCACACCTTGCCATCAATTCAACCATGCTGCCACCACGGTCGTAGTCCAGCTTCTTGCTGTAATCTGTGCTTTTTCTGTCTTCTCTCATCTTCTGCCGCAGCTCGTTCGTTGCGCCCTCATTCACGGTGAAATCGCCTGGTCGAACAACCACGCCGTAGTTGTTTGCCGCGCCTGCAAATGTTACAAGTTTACGATGAACCTCCGACGCTACAATCTGCGCAGGCCGTGTGAGAGGGTCGCCGAGGCCGCCGCCGCCCCAGGTAATCCATTCAAGAACATCGCCTGGAATCGTTAGCAAAGGTGTCGGAACCCAGAATAATTGTTGGTACATACCAGGGTGAACGTAGATATGATCCTGCTTGCTCTGCAGCAATTCCTTATTATCTCCCTCCTTCTCTGTTCCGTATGAATTGTTCTTGTAGAGTATTTTCTTACTCCGGGACCCGGGACTGCCACCGTTGACCCCCCATGGTTTGACAAACCACCTGTCGTCATGTATGCTCACCTCCCCTTCGCTCAAGAAACGATAGAGTGTTCTTTGTGCGTTACCTCCTCGGTAGTATCCAGCGCCTCCAGAGTCAGGCAATGCCTGATTCGCCTCGATAATGAGCGGAAAATATAGTTCAATGTTCTCTGTGGGAATCGATTTGATCGCAGGGAACAAGCAGTGGCAGTCTGGGCCGTCGCCAATCGGACGAGCCGGTACGCCGCCGAATCCAATTTGATAGAGAAGAAACCATTCGCCGTTCGGCTTGAAGCCGGAGTAGAAGAGATGAGGAGAGTCAGAGAAACCAGCCGCGCACCGGTACGCGGGGTTCCTCTGCCCGAATAGCGCTTGCATTACATCCATGACTCGGCCTAGTAGATGCGTTCGACAGCTCACTGCTGCCGGGCGGACGGGTCGGAGGATAGTGCCGGAGGGAATACGGATGTCGATGAGGTCGTGGAACCCGTCATTGACGACGCAGTGGGGATCGTAGACTGCAAGGAGGTAGTAGCCGATGAACATCTTGAACATCGTGACGGAAAGGTAGAAGTTCATGGACGTGTTAGACTGGGGAGATGTGCCGTCCCAGTCGAAGACGAGCTTGTCGCCCTGCTTCTGCATCGCGCATGATATCGCATATGGCCCAATGCCATGGCCATCGTCGTCGATGAAGTCGGTAAAGCTTGACTTCTCGGTACCGATCTTCTCGTCTATGATCGTCTTAATCGCCCTCCGATTTTGTAGTAGGAGATCATCCGTTGCCGCTTCGTACACCTCCAGTCCATATCGATCGCATAGCTCACAGACGCGGGCTGCGGCGGTTCTGCAAGCTGCAACAAGGGCAATTAGGTCGCTCTGAAACCACTCTGGCTGACGGGAGTTCCGGAAGAACACGCTGGCGAGTGCCTCGTTGTATACGCCCTTAGCGTAAAGCTTCACGATTGGTATTTGCAGGCCATCTTCGTAGATTGTCCGGGCATTTATACTCATTGATCCTGGAACCTTACCTTGGATATCGGTCAAATGTCCAAAGTTGGCGGCCCACCCAACCAGTTCATGGTTGAAGTGAATTGGCAGCAGTACAATAACGTCGTTTAAATGCGAAACTGCACCGTCAATTTGATAAACATCGTTCGTGACAAACACGTCCCCCTCCTCAACTGTGCCAGACCAACCGTTCAAGAACTGGGTGATGAAGCTGCCAAATTGACCAACAAGCATTTGACCTCGCGTGTTCGTGATAACGTTGAACTCATCCTGCTGTTCACGAATAGCAGGTGACATGGCGCAGCGGAGCATGAGCGTGTCCATTTCGCGGCGGATAGATTGCAGGGCAGACGAGATGAGAGTCGAGATCAAAGGCTGCTCTCTGATCAATTGCTGCGCGGATTCCCGAGTGTGAACAGCACTGTCTTCCGTTTTCTTCTCGGCAGGCCAGATCAAGATGTTGCCCATGGAGTCAATCTCGCCGATGTAGCCAGGCAAGATGAGAGTGTTTGAATCCATCTCGGTAATTACAGCTGGTCCGGGAATCTTAATACCAGCTTTCGTGAGCTTACTCCGATCCCAGAAGATTGCCTCGACTTTGTTTCCTTCATGTGTTATGTCGCGCTTCATCACTATGGCATCCTCTGGTGGCGTGGTACCGTCGGCCGTTTCGATCGATTTGATAGCGACTTCCTCCGAGGCGTCCAAGGCCTTTACACGCATTCGCATCGTTTCCAGTTCGGCGTCCTCGAGTGAGAAACCAAATTGCTGGTGGTGCATTTTCGAGAATTGTTCGCGTAGAGCTTTAAGCAAGCTAGGTGTGTTGTGCAAGTCTTCTTCGGCGAAATCGACAGTCTGCAAACCCGGTTAACTTCCTCAGGGGCCATCTGCTCAGCGCAGTATCTTACCAATGTCATTGCCTGTCCCTTATACCTCATATCGGTCTGATACTGGATCTTGAGGTTGGCACTCTCATGGAGGGCAGCCTTCATGGTCTTGATACAATTTTCCTTAAGCTCCCCTAGCGTAGATGTAAGATCGTCTGTTGTAATATTTGAAAACAATTTAATATAAGTGCAAGACTGCTCGTGTGACATTTTAGTAGTTGCATCTCCTTGTGCACATAGGATACCTGGACTTGGGGGCACAATGACAGGCCATGATCCAAGAAGCTTTCCGAGGGCATTGGCGTGTAGAGGACCAGCGCCACCGAAGGCAACAAGAGCAAAATTGCGTGGGTCGAAACCCTGTTCGATAGATACGAGGCGCAGGGCGCCATGCATAGCTTCGTTCACGAGGTCAATGATGCCTTCTGCAGCGGCAGTGACCCCCATGCCCATCTGCTTCGCTATTGATTCAACAGCCGCAGCAGAGGCCGCAACGTCAAGCTCGAAGGAGCCACCGAGAAGCTGTGAAGGCAGGTAGCCGAGAACAAGATTTGCATCAGTTACGGTAGCCTGTGAGCCTCCTTTGCCATATGCCGCAGGGCCTGGGTTTGCGCCGCTGGATTCTGGTCCGACGCGGAGTTGCTTCGTAAAGTCGTTGTAGATGGCGATAGAGCCGCCGCCAGCACCAACGGTTCGAACATCGACGGAAGGTGCCTTAACGGCCAGGGGTCCAATATTGGTCTCACGGCGAATGATAACATCTGAACCTGAGAGTAATGCACAGTCCGTACTTGTTCCTCCCATGTCTAACGTGATTAAATTCTTGTAGGGAGTGTTCTTCGCAACCAGGTGCGATACACCCTTCACACCACCAGCTGGCCCGCTCATCAAGATATGCACCGGTAGCTCGCCAGCGAGGTCAACCGATGTCAGATCCCCATCCGACTTCAAGATTCGTATCGTTTCCGTTTCCTCGGCAAGCTTTGTCTGGAGATTGTGCATATATCGCTTCACGACAGGCTTGACGATCGCATTCGCCGTAGTAGTCACTGTTCGCTCGTATTCTTGGATTTCGGGGAGCACATCTGTCGAGGTGACAATCTCGACATCGGGACCGAATTCGTCTCGCAAGATGTCTCTGATTTGAGTTTCATGGATGTTGTTGCTGAAGGAATTGAGTAGAGATACAGAAATAGCCTCAGGTTCCTGCCTCTTCAGATCTACCAGACTTTCCCGGAGCGCCTTCTCGTCCAATTTCTTGAAAACATCCCCACCAATGGTGACGCGCTCCACGGCCTCAACGGTTCGTTCCAGCGGCACAATTGGCTCTGGTTGAACGTAGTTTATCCATGCTCCTAGCCCTCCAGGTATTTGACTCCTCCTGACTGTCAGGATATCCTTGTGTCCTGCTGTTACGACTAGCCCAGCCTTTGCACCCTTCCCCTCTAGTATCGCATTCGTTCCGGTTGTTGTACCATGGTGGATATACTCGAACTTGCCGTCCCAATTGTATTTTTCCTTCAGAATTCTACGTGCCTTGGTGACACCTTCTTGTACGCCTATTGATTGATCGGTAGTATCGGTGAGGACTTTGACGCGGACCGTTTCGCCCTCTGGCGTAATTACGCAGATATCTGTGAAAGTTCTGTATTAGGCAACCCGTCAGCATAGCTCAGTCAAGGAACTCGCCCAGCAGGCGCTGGAATGCGGCGGACTTCTTCAACGTACCCTCCAACATCTACACCAAGCCTGTATCCAGGAGCCATTGTCGAAGTCGACAACGTCTTGCGCTCAGGATGTGGTCGCAGAGGCGAATTATCAGAGCGTGTACCTATGACGGAGGTCACCACAAATAGTTCCGCAGCGGCGCGCCAGAGCTTTAAGGTTCATGTCATCGGCCGCCAGATTAGCTTCCGGGAGCAGCGGAGCAGGGCCGACGTGCCACCGACCCACAAGTTCGAACTGCTCATCCTTTCTTTCGAGGTTTGTCTGAGATCGCTTGCTGACATCCGGACCGGTCGAGCGGGGTTGTATTGGTTTAGCAAGCTACAGAGATCAGGAAATAGTAATGCTATCGCTGACAGCTGATAGCGAGGCTGTTTTTTCTAGTCGAACGCTTACCAGGGATTGCGGGGTTGATAAGCCATGGTTGCACGCGGGATCGTATTCGCTAGCTGCCATTCGCGCAGACGCAGACCCTAGACACGCTGCCTTGTAGACACCCGAGCTGGCTTAGGCGTTGTTGTCAAACAAGCAGTTTTTATACCCCTTTTGGCCTTCTGGCGCTCACTCAATCGACGCAATCGGCAGTATCAGACGGTCTCAGCCCTGTACATCTCATATCGGGGTGGCGCACATGGATACCCGATAGTCTTACCATTCCAGTACGGGCGCAAGTATCCGTTAGAACACTTCATTCTCGATCAATGTTCCAATGCAGCAGATCAACTGTAAGCAGTATGCGCCAGAGCGCTGTAGGCGATTGGTGGAACGAAGGAATCACTCACGTGCACACGCGATATCAAATTAAACATGCTGCTCAAAGCAGCCCAGAGAGGTATTGATTGATACAAAAATTATATATACAGGATTCCTTGATGGATGATCAGCACTGGCACTCAGGCAGTGCCTGGCCGCGAGAGGAAGTGGTCTGGTTGACCACGCGGCAGATCTTGTGGTCGCAATGGACCGTACAGTGCTGCTCATATACCACAAAGTGGCTTGGGTCGTCTTCGAACGCCGGGAAAGCTTCAACAGCAACGTTAGTGACTGAACCAATGGGAATTGTAGGCGTAGTTGACTTACGTTCGCCGGCATCTGGTGCTCCGCCGATCGTTGGAGACGCCTGCTGAGCCTGCAGCGCGGCCCTCTTCAGGCGGTCGAAGGTGCCCTTGATGATGCTCTTCATTGCTTTGAGGAGCTTCATGGTGGTTGTGGTTGTGGTTGTGGTTGAGGATGTGGATGTGGATGTGGATGTGGATGTAGTTGTTGTTGGTGTAGTAGTGGTGACAGTAGGTACTGGCGTTTGCTTTCGGGTTGTGAGGTTGAGAGAGTTGGTTTGCAAAGGAGAATCAATTTATACTGGAGGTTCTGAGGCTGCTGTGGTTACTTCAAGAGCTCTATTGTTGCACTGGTATTGTTCAATAGGAGATGGTGTGATCAGACAGAAACTGCTTCAATTGTTCTGTACAAAATACAGTGATTAGACTGGATAGGCTCCAATTGTTCTGTACAAAATACAGTGATTAGACTGAATAGGCTCCAATTGTTCTTCAAATACCACTTTCAATAGATTCAAGACAATACGATACGATCCTTTGCCTTATTGTTCAATTGACGCTACAGAGAACTATCGGGAGATCTACGCTAGGCTACTATTATATTCAAGAAGCAAAAAAAAGGCAAAAAAAGGCAAAAAGAATCGATGCCGGCAGAGTGATCCAGGTCCCGGGGTCGAACCCAGACCGGCGCAAACCAGTGCCAAATAGCTACGCACTTCTCTACCGACACCACGAAAGGATTGTAAGTTTTGAAATATATATAGGGGCTCAAATGATCACAGCACTCTTAGATGTCCCTAGAAATAGGCACAACAAAGTTGGTTGTAGCCTGGATAACGCGTTGGATGAACGTGAGCTCGGAGTTGATGTTGCTAGTTTTGCTTGACAGTATAGACTCACTAGGGCACCTTTACTTCCTTGAACAGACAAGATTGGATTGTAACCTCTATTAATATTAACCCTACCTTGCATTGTAGTAAATTCGCCTAGAAGACTGTTGTGTGCACTGGGTACCTATTATAATTCCAGTGTTGTTTTGACGCGTAGATGAAAAGTAGCTTGCTGAATTACAGCAAGCCTACCTGTAGGGTCAATTAGGGCTGGATCAATAATCGACAGGACATGATGGACAGGCAACGGGTGGCTTGGTAAAGTAGACTCTGGACAAAGAGCTTCGTAATAGTCAAGATCAAGTCTATTCTTCTCATCAGCTATCTTGTTATTGTACCCGGCACAGTTATCTGTATAAGCTATTGGACCAGTTGACTACGATCACTGAGCTTTCATATACTCACCATGATTGCCAAGATCGCTAAATCCCTCAGAAAATGGGCATACAGGGAACACATAACCAGAATCATGACCGTGGGCTCTTTGAGATCTACAGTATTATTGGTTATTTGTCTCTCATTAATTCGGACAGAACAAGAAATCATCACGCCTATCTTACCCACACTGACGCGATATACCTAGACGCTACGCAGTCCATTGCAGCCTTGCAATAGGAACGAAAGCCCAGAATCTACATTCCTTCCTCCAGATACGCTTAAGTTATCGCCCCTCCCTGGATTTGCTACAAATTTGCGAGAGTAGCATACTTCCAGGCTAAGCAGCCAGTGCACGCAGATCCAAGCCAGAATAGTCGACATAGTGCAAAGATTACGAGATTACAAGTGCTTCTGACTTGAACATCAAGCTCTGATGCATGGGGGTGAAGGCGCCGATGCAGCTTGTGGAGTGTGGCACTCCACCATTACCGGCGCCACTCAGGGCAGCCCTCAACTCAACCGGCTGCCTCAGCTATCAGATTGTATTCGACAATTTCAACACGGACTTGCATCCTTGATCGTGCAGCTTAGATCAGTTCAGAATCCTCTGTTGCACAGTAACATCCGAGACTGACAACATACACCAAAGAACAAGTTGCAGACAACATCGGCTCAGCAAAACACGGCACCGTCCCCAGAATAGACAGTCTATGTGGGACTTTGAGCTCTCAAGCACAAACCTCGAATTTCATGTATCCGATGATCCTTCACGAATTCCTGGAAGGAAACGTTGTAGGTTGAAATACCAAAAGACGAAGCGTCGGGAAAGGTCAATGATGGATATGTGGAGGCACTCAGGCAGCAGAGCATGCGCCTCTTGGCAGTCTCGTAGCACTCGGTTGTGTATGTATACTCTACAGAACTGATAACGAGAGTCCAAATTGAGCTTGGGGCTTTTGACGTCGTAGGAAGTACAACTAGGTTGAGCCCCATTTCGGGGCACATCATAGAAGTATAGCAGCCTTTCAGTAGGACCTCTAGGACTCCTGGTTTTGCAATGCGTAGAGTACCATATCCGGGAGGCATATTTGTACCTCTGAGCCTTTCCCCGGGGGTTACTGATATTTGGCTTTGAAAGCCGACTTTGTAGAGCTGTTTGTAACGCGAGTTAGTACTACGTCATGCCTTAATCTGTCTGCTGATTACCTTAATGACATTGTCGACACATCTGCAATATATCGGAAGGAGTCAGCCGATATGAATTGCTGTACTTATCTCCTGCAAGCTCTCTCATCGGGCGCAAGCTTGCGACAAAACTTAATAAAAGCCTCTGCCGTGAATCAACCAATTACTGCACTTGCAACAGGATATGCTGTGCATGTTTACGCTTCGAGGCTTACCTGAATATTCCTCGTGCCTCTCTCAACAATTACCATTGCAGTAGGTTCCCCTGCAATGATCTAAAAGTCGCCACTTAATGAGATCTCGGTATCTACAGCCTCATCTACCCCACTGCATCCCAAGACCTTGGGTACAACAGTCCTGGTCATCATTTTCAAGTATGTGATAAGAGTTCGTTGAACAGTAAGCTAGGCTAGACCCTAGTCGATAAATACGAGGGAGGCTTGCAGGTGTCTTGTACAAATCGGGTATATTGCTACATTAAGCAGTTGTCGAGAACTCGAGATGCACGTAATAAGGAACATTTTCCATACATAACGTTCCATATAGACGCATCTGTAGTAGAGAGCATTACGGGCACGACCCGTAATCGTTAGGTAGGCAGCACTCATAAGTCTTGCTAAGTTCTGCACTGCATCCTGTGTTGATGTTGTCAAACACTATTTCTTCGAAGCCCTTTCTCCCTTTTAAACTCAAGCTCTGGTATTAAGTAATAAGCTCTTTGCTGACATCTATCAAGATTACAGTATTACTTCCTACAAAATCGCTAGACATACGCACACACGCACACACTGCAGTACATCGACTCACTTTCAACAGTGATAAAAACGAGAAACGTGGCCTTTCAAACAAACATCAGAAGAACAAGTCTAATGACAGCAAAGCAGTCTTCTCTCATGGACCGTGCATGTAGGCAGCCTCCCATCCGCAAAGCAGCGGTAAAGGCGGACTGAAGGTCTGTTTGCCTATGCGTCCGTGTGTTACTCTTAAGTACCAACCCTCATTTCCCCCAGTGACTTTACACACACGCAACCCACTTCCAACACTCTTCAATTGCACACTCTCAGTCTGGGGTTCCCTCGTTCAATCCAAAATCCCTCTGGAGAGCCACTTCTTTGGTACTTGGTCTACTTCATCGTATCAGTCGAAAGTTGGTTCGCTACAGCGCCCAAACGCGTTACTGCTGCAGCTTCTGCGATAGAACTTCAACCTTCAGCGAACTGGTAAGCAGCCTTTCTCCATCACCCATGAGAACTTACGCTTACATTGGAACGGTATTGCCAGCAATACTACGTCAACTCTAGGTCATCCTGCACTCTAGTGTAGCGTCAAACCTATCACCGAAACTGCACTCAGGCCTTCAGACAATCAAGCTCCGCAGGGTTGGAGTAGAGCAGTGCGCTGTCACCTCTTGCTAACAACCCAACGACTATTCAATCAAGTCCAGAAGAAGTCTCTTCCCCTGTGGAGATGACCTCCTTTCCGATCTCAGACTCTGTCAAGCTGCAGCTGCAGCGCTACGCTTTAGCTGCGTTACAACTCTGCAATTCTATACGTATCGTTTCCTTCTTCAATCCGTCATGATTATAGTATGCTAAGCTAAACAACTCCAGAATCTCTACCTGCTGAATTCAGCCCCTTTGCTGGCGCAACAGCTGTTCCAGGTCCTAGCATGATGGCCACAATACCCCTCAAGCCAGATGACCTTCTTCAGGTCGCGTCCACAGAGTCTACAAGCAGTAGCTCCTCAGCTCTTCCAGCCGCTAAACCGAAGTCGACAACACCCGCTGAGCGCAAGCAGTCGAACGTTCCAGCAGAATATCTAAAATACACAGTATCTGCCAAGTACAAGTTTAAAGGCACTGCTCCCCTCAGAACAACTGTCCAGTCGGCCAACCCCGTCTCCCACGACGTGAGGCGCCACCCAATTGGAGAAGACTGTGCAATCTGCAAACAGTCGACAGCGTTTGCACCACTTTCACAACTGTGGTGGTGCAAATACAGCTGTGGTCACAACCTCCACAAGGCCTGTGCAGATGCAGAATTTGCGAAAACCAAGTCGTCAGGAAAAGGGAAAAAGTGCGGCGCGTGTAGTCACCGAGTGCCACGCGCTCAGTGCGATTGTCAGGATGCCCAGGAGCACTAGAATAAGAGGGGAGGACACCACGGAGAAGAATTGCCAACGATACCCCTGGCATAAGACATGCAAAGGCGATCAAGTGAGACAGGAAGATATTTGTATTATTAACATGGAACTCCCTTTACTCAACATAATACAATTATTTTTTATGTATATTGTTTTTGATTCCGAGCAGTAATTGCTAAACAATCTGGTCTGCCTTGACGAAAATCAAACTTCCTCCCCAACTGAAATTCTGGTACAAGAATCCAGATGTCGCAACAATTTATCAACGAAGTTGCCCCAGAAGAGAGTCCCCAATACCTTTCGTAGATCTTTAGAGCTATTATGAGTCTGGGAGCATGTTGCAGTTCCTCCTTGTATATCTTGTTGTCCTTCCATCATCCTCCTTGCTGTTCCTTCACCGTCTATGTATGTGCCATCTTCTAACATGTCTAATGCAAATAACAATATCGAGCAAACTTCTTGCGCAGTTTATCGGACCGGTGTAATAGAGACCAAGGCACGGGTGTGTCCTGCGTGGGGGAGTGTTCGGCGGCGCTCGCTTCGTAGGTCTGGTGCTTGACATTACTGCTAGCATGGCGGCAAACATCGTTCCAGGGTCTGTAACAGATGGCAGGGTGAACCAGAGTGATTTTCTATTGCAGTATCAAGTGTGAGAATCGCGGCAATGGTTGCAGGGCATGCTATTGTGGTAGGCGGATGTTCATAACCCCGGTGAAAGGCGTACCATTACTCGAGATGGGATTACTGCCTGCTAATACAGTCAGCAAAGGACCCCAAGCAGGAGGAGAACTCATTCAGCCTCAAATACATATAGAATGTTTATCGTGACACTCTGACATGTCAATAGTCTGGCGTTGTTGGGGTATGTTTGTGCCGCTGGGAACAGCAACAACAGGCGAGGGCAAACAACGTTCTCCGAAAAGGTTGAGCTATGGGCACCAGACCGATTGAAGGGAGAATTTAGAATGCATCTGAATGTCCAAATGCATCTGCAATTGGGGGTATAAGTACAGGGTGGCTCTTCGTTGCCTAGACTTTTTCACCTCTGCCGCTAGTACAAACGCCGCTGACACTGGCACGGTACACACAGAACCTGCGCAGTGCAATACCCTGCCACTGCTGGCTTCTCTAGAAGCTTCTAGGAAGTCAGTAACCTACGTCGTAGGTATTAACCTTCTATACTGTATGTGCAACCGGTCCCTGTAGGACACAAGGTCAACATATCGAGTTCAATTTTGCTAATACTACTTCTGCCGACACAACAATGACAAAAAGAACATTTCAAAGATCGCCATCATTCCAACCGAGAACGAGCTCCCGGATTAAAATCCAAAATACCTCCCATTCTCGATTCTTGATGCGCTTACCTCAAGGCCGGTTGAAAACATATGTTACACCTATTTCCGACTTCATCGGCACGATACATTCGCTGAAGCTAGGCATATAATCAGGAATCTGTCACTAGAGTGATATGCAGAAGACAAAGTAGGGCAGCAACACCGGCGGAATCCATCATCAGAATACTGCTTCCTACGGCGCTACACCTACCCGGATTCGGCAGACAGGGAAGAATGGGCTTGAGGCTCATATCAGATTCCGACCTCTAGCAGATCGTCGGCGAATACGTATATCGCAGTGTCTTAGATGGTGGAATGCCGCACAAAGCAGCTTGAGGAAGTGGTACAACTCTACTTGATCACATTCTACAGCAAAAAGGGTACAGTTATGTTCTCTACAGTTTCTGAGAACATAAATTCCTTGATCTACATAGCTTGATCTTTGGTAACAGGTTGCTAATACCTGGAAAACCGATTCAATCAATGATGATTCGCAATATAGCCCTCACCGCTAGAAATCCAGGAATGCATAGCTTCCTTATAAGGTTTTGTAGCATAGCACAATATAAGAAAACCGAAGGTATCTATATAAAAACAATGATCTATTCATTATATTTTCCAAGAGACTGGATCTTGAAACTTCACGTAAGCCGAGTGTGCAAGTGTAATTATCGTGACTTCCTCATCTCCTCTATAAACAAGGATGCAAACCTATCGCAATCTATAATGTACTCATAGTTAAGTATGAATCTATATTAAATCTGCTAAGAATAATGCTATCTGGAGAACCAAGATCACTCTTCAACAATTCCAATGTAACGGCTCCTCAAACTTTCGATCTAAATCGCTGACGTTTCTTACGCAGTTGCGTAGAACATGTTGTGCTATCATAGGGCTCTAGACTACCTAGATTCAAGTAGGGTGTGTTTTCTCTGCCAGTAATAGTATCTTCGAAACATGTTTCTACCTTCACTATTTGCATATATTCAGTGTATAATTGTATGGGCTCTTCTCTCTTCATCCTTTACTACCAGTAGTGTATGTCTCATATATCAGAATGACTGTCAGAGAGCTTGTATACAGGGCTATATTCAGCACTTCTTTATTTTGACCTGCTTAGCACGCTTTCGCCGCATTCTAAGTCCTGCATCTGTTGAGGGTGACAAGGTCATCGTTTTTAGAGCCGGAGGATCTTGGGCATCGCTCAAATTAAGATCTGCTCAGTTGATTCGTGATTATCTGCTGTTCTCAGGGCTACTATCTCTATTATGTTGTTGAACTAAATGCAGATACCTTGATTTTTTAGTCTTTCATACAGTCGTATGCAAACGAGCGACCCGCTGCTTTAAAAACTGGGTACATGACAGGTGCCTCGATCGTGTCGCTGATATGAAAGCAACGTTAGGGTTGAACGTCGTACCTGTTCACGTGTTTTTGCCACGGCCTCCAGAAACGCGGTGAGCCCTTCCCGAGTTGCGTCAATTGCTCTTCTGAGAAGAAGAAGCTGTCATCCTCCTCCGCTTCCATTTCAACGCGATGCTCAGCTTCTTCAATATTGGTATCGCTGTTACTCGGTAAATTTCCCCAATCGACAAACTCAATCTCGTCACCGTCCATTGCTGTAACTCTTGAATCGTACCAGAACCCATCGGACTCGATCTAGCAAATCATAGAATGAGAATCGCATTGCAAAAGATGTCTTCTGTAGTTGTAGGGTGAAGTAGTACATACCTGAACCTTCTCACCAACCTTCGGCGGGTGAATGAAAACTTTCGACGACCCCAGAAGCGTACAGCAAATTTCCGGTATGGCGGAAGTTGAGGAGTTCTCATTTCCATGAAACACATCGTCAGACGAATGCTTGAGAGGTCTCGTGGAAAATTCAACAGAAGTGGAACGGTTACATGCCGTAATAATATACTCTCCACCTCGACATGCCTTGAACTCGGTGATGCGAAGATCGCAGCTCCAGGCATAATCGCCTGAATCCAGATCACGACGAACGGACAGTTCAGCTCCAACAGAAATGCTTCCAACCGGACGAACTTGCCTTGAGAGACTCTTGCGCTCGATTTGGCCAGTTTGAAGATAACGAACATACACGTGATTGTCTCCGGGCGATTCATTGAAGTAACCAAAGTGATCATTGTTACTTGATTCCATGGCCTCCCGGACGGTGATAATTCCAAGTTCATCAGGTGTTGGAACGGCCACAATCTGGGCAGATATCCAACCGATATGATCGGAAGGAGACTCGATTGCCGCCGGTAAGGGAAGATCAGCGGATGCTCTTTCGCATTCGATAAGCGTACCATAGCCAGCTCCTTCGAGAACCAGCCTTCTCAGTGCGTCGTACAAGGAGCAGCCGTGTATCAAATCAAAATAATCCTCAGGTTTGACATAGCCTTTGTGCAGGTGATCAAGAGCAGATCGAAGAGCCGGTAGCCAGAGAGGCCGGATGGTGGAAAGACAACGTGTGCCACTTTGGTGGATGGAATAACGAGATCCCTGTAGGCGAATGTAATCTATGTTACCGGTTTCAAAAATTCCAGTCGGCATCATTTTGAGAAGGAAGGACGTTTCGACCTCATGTACGAATCTTGCCCAAGAAATATAAAACGTCTGTTGAGATTGCAACACGTCAGTAGTATATCCAAATGGAGAACAAAGTGAAAGTAAAGTATGGAGATGCTATAAGCGTCATTACCTCATAGCGAAGAGCCGAGGCGTACAGTTTGCTTTTCTGGAATCGATCTTTCCAAAATGATGCTCCTTCTGGGTTCTGCGCCTGATAATCTTGGACAGCCGACATGTCAGGAACCAGAGAGCAAATTCTCAAGGCTTTTACATTCGTTCATGAGCTTTTCCACCATCCGGTCGATACTTGCGAATCCCGTGCTGAGGTTCAGGGCCAGCAACTCATCGTGCAAAGTAGTGTCTATTGGGACAAGGGACTTATGAGAGTCCTTCCCACTCAATTCCTTTTGGTGCTTCCGGACCTCGGAGAGGACTGAAATAGCCAGTATGCTAGATATCTTGTCAAGTTGTGCAGCTTTATCCCGAATCTCGTCGAGAATACTAGGAATTCGAGCAAAAATCACCACCCGCTTGGTAAAACTTTTACCATTAATCGCTGTCTTCTGAGTGGCAACTATAGTTCCAGCAAAATCGACGCCTAGGATTCTTGCACACTTGTTGTATGATTCTTGAATACTTTTCAGGATATTCAGCATCCTTGTAAAGCCTGACGAGTCGGCCCTGATGTCATTCTCGGACTCCTTAAGCACCTTCAACAGAACTTCAAGCTGGTCGGTGAGTAGCTGAAGCTCACTGGGAGATTGCTTGATGGAGTCAATTCGATTGTAGAGATCCACCCCTACTTTGATGAGGACAGTCACGATACCAAGGATATCGCCGACCGACATGATAGTTGTTTGACAATTGTGGCAACCAGTGAACTGCCCCGTGATGACTGCCGGCGCAAACTTTAGTCTGGCTGAAATATACCTAGATTACAAAGTTTGCTATGTAGCGGTGGGGAGCACTTTACCTCTGGACGATTCGCTTATGACGTGGTCGGTCGGCGGCAGAAGAAGGGAGGAGACCGGACTGTAATAGTACCTTGCTAAGACGGGACGCCCGTAAGGAATATTATGCTATCAAGCAACGCTTGTCACGCTTGAGAGTGCGAGAGGTGATATTATCATAACTTGATATAAGGAAGCAATTGTTGTTCGCTGGCTCGTGATGACAATTATGAATTTGGCCTGGGTATAAATACTACGAAATCTTTACGCGCAATCTTGAAGGTACATTATTTTTAGCAATGGCGCCCGATTCTGGGACCTTTCCATCCTAGCTTTCCGGTTAGTCGATGATGGCGGCAATATCACGTGACACCGTGCCAGCTTGGTGGCTCATGCTAGGTAATGATTGGCTCGGCAGTAAATATCCGAGCTCCATGCCCCGCGGTTCTTGGGAAATGGTCAACGAATGAACAATGAATGCTTGGCGTTTGTTCAACAATTGACGATACAATCACGGAGGGGTTACTTACTCAACAATTACTCGTTTTCACTCTAGATACAGAACAGTGATTTCTGACTTTCTCACGCACATACTCTCATATCCGATCTCATGGAAGGCTGGCTGAAACAATCTGGAGCGACAGGTTTGGATGACCTGGAGCTTGCCGACTTCTCGGACACTGGGCGAGGCATCAGAACGCGGCGGCATTTTGAAAAAGGCGAAAAGATTCTCACCATTACACACGACGTTCTCTGGACAGTGAAACATGCATATGATGATCCCTTTCTTGGACCTGCCCTTCTCTCCACGCAGCCGCCCTTGTCTGTCGATGACACTTTGGCTACTTATCTTCTCTTTGTCCGATCGCGCGGCTCAGGATATGATGGCCCAAGAAGCCATGTAGCAGCGATGCCTACGAATTATACTTCGACCATCTTCTTTGCAGAGGCTGAGTTAGAAGTCTGCGCGGGCAGTTCGCTCTACACTACCACGAAGCAGCTAGATCAACAGATCGAAGCCGATTATGAGGAATTGGTAGTGCGACTATTTGGGCGAGATCAAGAAATATTCCCACGCGACAAGTTCACCATCGAAGATGTAGGTATACAACAACCGGAAGAAGCTGTGAATCCGCTACTAAAACTTGCCAGTACAAGTGGGCACTCTGCACCGTGTGGAGTCGTGCCATGGATTTCAAGCTGCCCAATGGAGATTCAATTCGACTTTTGGCGCCTTTCGCAGACATGTTGAACCATTCATCCGAGGTTGAACGGTGTCATACCTACGATGTATCGTCTGGAAACCTCTATGTTCTTGCCGGAAAAGGCTACGAACCTGGAGATCAGGTATGTTCGTCCTCTTTCCTAACGCCGATAGTCAGCGCGCTTACGTTGAAACGTACTTCCAGGTTTTCATAAACTACGGGCCTGTCCCGAACAATCGCCTTTTACGACTCTACGGCTTTGTCTTGCCCGGTAATCCCAACGACAGCTATGATCTCGTTCTTGCGACGCATCCCTTGGCGCCGTTGTTTGAGCAAAAGCGCAAACTTTTGATCTCAGCCGGGCTTAATTCGACCTGTACTGTCTGCCTTACTCGCGCCGATCCGCTGCCGAATAGCGTCATTCGATACCTCCGTATTCAGCGACTGGACAAACCCGATCTTGCTGCAATGGGTCCTCATCCAGTAAATGCTGCAGTTGAGAAAATCAGCGACGAAAACGAAGTAGAAATCCTGCAGTTTCTGGTAGACTCAATCTCTAGTCTTCTCGATAGCTTTGGGACTCCAATGGGAAAGCTTGAAGAGCAACTCGCGGAGGGATTCTTTACTCCAGGTGGGAACGCATGGTCTGCAGCGCATGTCAGCTTGGGTGAACAGCGGGTGTTGCAATTGGCGAAAAAGGCGGCAGAGGATTTGTTGGCAGCAGTAGGGAGCGGAAGTGGAAATAAGGCTCAATGTGCAAAGTGCCAAAAGGTTCCTGCTCAGTTGATGTGGTGCGGAAGGTGCAACGGAGCTGCATACTGCGGGCGAGCTTGCCAGGTCGCGCATTTCAAGGAGCACAAGGCAATCTGCGAGAGGAATTAAGGGAAACTTTCAGTCAGCCCAGGATGCCCTCGCTGATGAATCCCGTCCCCATCAATCAATTCAGTCGAAAACGATTCCAAGCCGAACCCCTCGCAGGTGTCCGAGAGAAGAATTGCCGAAACTTACACTCAAAAGCCTGTCGTAGATTGAAGTACACTTTCTACTAATAGTAGTCTTACCTTAAATTGCAATAAACTCTCATAGAAGACATTACTAGGCTGCTACAACCTCACAGCCTCCAAAATAGCAAACGTCGGCCTCTCAAGCCATCTCTCCCAAAACCCTGTCCCCCTCCTCTCATCATCTGGCAAAACATACTCCTTCCACTCAAGCCTCAACCCCGCCTCCCTCGCACATCCCTCGTACACCTCCTTGAAAAGCTGAAAGCAGTCAAACTGCACAACGCTCTCCGTATGCGCAACAACCCTAGCCTTAATCCCAACAACGCCCTTCTCCTCCTCCCCAGGCGCCACGTACTCCTCGTCCAGAACCAATATCGTCATGCCATAGAAATCATGCTTCGGCAGCCGCATATCCTTGTCGTGCACGTTCGTCGTGAGACCCACGAAGCGTCCGCCGGGCGCGAGATTCTGCTCGATGACGCGGAACATGGAAGTCAGCTCTGCGGCGGTGCCGGCGTAGTTGAGGAACCAGCCTGCAAAGATGATGTCGAAGGTTGATGTCGGGGGAGGGGAGAGTGGTTTGCTGCAGTCGGCGACGGAGAAGGTGAGCGTCGGGTAGGAGGCTGGTGGGTAGGTGGATTGAGCGCCTTCCACCATGACGGGCGAGATGTCGTAGCCGGTTACTGAGGTCGCGCCGAAGGTGTGGAGGAGGTGGGTGTAGCGGCCTGTGCCGCATGCAAGGTCTGTGACATCTTGTTAGAGTCTTCGAAGTGTGTTTGAATAAAGTAATGATAATTGAGTTTAAGTAACGTGACTGTGAGTGAGCATATCGCACACGTTCATCTACTCTGATATCCTTGAAGGGCACACATGGACGTGGATTCAAGCCTTGTACTACAAGTTACCTATCTCTTAACTCACCAAGACATTTCTTTCCCTTGATATCCCCCAACGCTTCGACAACAGAAGGTTTCTCAGGCTCTACGGCAGGCAGCTCGTGCATGAGCTTGTACTTGGTGCCAATTTGATCGTACTGCCTATTCTGCGTGCTTCCCGATGCAGCATCCGCTTCTCCAGCGCCGACATCTGTGCCCATTGTAGCAGATATGCGGCTTTCACCTTTCTGGGAAGATGTTGCGCAACGTGGAGATCCCAAGCAACCAGGATGGAACGGACTAAGACGTGGCAGAATTGGGATATCGGAGGCGCTGATCTTTACCCGGTTTCGTACGATTATGGTCCAAGGTCAGGCGGTGGAAATGTAATTCGTGGGGATCCTAACGCCGCTATGGAAGCAGTTGTGGAGGGGCAGAGAGCAGTTGGATTAACGCCTGATGAGACGTTCGTTGGACATTAGTGGCGTAGACCGAGGTAGCATTGTGGGTTCCTTGGTGGGTGGAGACGGGTGTAAGGACAAATCGAATGCCGGCCGTAGCGGCGGCTTAACACTGTGGAGATCGTCGACTTATTCACTCTAGGCTTTCTTTCTCGTTGTTACTGTAACCCCCACCCCACACGCGTGATGAATTGAAGCTATACTCAGTATGCCTTAGCAATGCTCGGCAATCTTGGTATTGTTTAGGTCAGTCTTGAACGAGTAGTGATGTGGGTACGCTCTTCTAGACGAGTAATAATCAAAGCAGCGGAACATAAAACAGGCCAAGCCCGAAGTCCACAGCATAGTTGAGATACTGGGAAAGAGAAAGTAACTGCATGGCGGGTTTCTCTCCGGTCAACTAAAGGTTTGAAGTTGGAGCAGAGTGCGTGCCGAGGTCAATTTGGATGATAAAGCATTCCCAACAAGGCGTGCTTCTGCAGATAGAACATTGAGAGGGTCCAATAGTCATGTTTACATTTCTTTCGTTACTATTTTAAAGCTGTATCAGCATCTTTTGACCTAATATCGAGCCAATGTCTCCAAAATACATAGCCTCACAGGTATACACAGCACTTCGTGCGATAGCACAAATGACATTGTTTTACGTCGTTGCTGGCTCCTCGGAGGATAAGATCAAATCTTCTCGGTAGTTGCAACCTCCTCCTTGGTAGTTCTCTCATTTTTCTCGTCGAATTCGCGGCTGACTTGAGAGGAATTGCGTCCGGCTTCGATGTCCTTTGCGACACTTTCGGCAACTGGAGGTCCAACCACCTCGAATTTCCTGCCACGCTTCTCAGGTCCAAGCGCAGTAGTCACAGCAATACCCAGGGCGATGATTGCGGTAGCAATGCCCATTGTAGGTCCATAAGATGATACAGGCTTTCCTCCGTGCGGCCTGATTTTGTGACTTTCAGCAATGGCGTTGACGATTTGAGCCGAAGGAGACGAGATCATGTTTCCGAGCTGGTAAGTAATACCAGGGAAACTAGATCGGAAAGCAGGTGGTGAAAGCTCGTTAAGGTGAATGGGAATAACACCCCAGGCTCCCTGGACGAAGAATTGAATGAAAAAACCCGAAGCTGAAAGGCTTCGCTCGCCCTCGGGGATGATCCAAGCCGGAATCATGCAGGCAGACAGAAGAGCTGCACAGACAATAGCCCTACGACGACCGAACCATTGAGAGAAGTATCCGATGATGGTACCGCCAACGCAGGCGCCAGTCTTCATCAAAATAGATGCACGGGTAGCGGGCGCATTGGTCATGTGTTTCTGGGTCTTCATGAAAGTAGTGTAGCTATCCTGGCTGGTGTGCGAATAGTAGTTGAACTGGTTTGATTAGCTCGGAACATCTTCCGCATTTTCCTATGCTGTCGACTTACCCAAGTCATCAAAATGATGCAGTAGATACACATGCGCCATTCCTGGGCGAGCATGTGACGAGTCTCCCTCCAGAAAACACCGGGCGCCTTGGACTCTTTGCCAGCCTTCTTCGCTTCGATGAACTGCTTGGACTCTGGGAAGCAGATTCGAATCAGGCCGACGGCTATGGAAATACCAGCACCGATCCAGAAAACAGTCTTCCAGCTCTCTGTAGATCCTCCAACTCCAAGGTTTGCGCATGCAGCAATGACGTAGCCGAAGGAATAACCTTGCTGCAGGATACCGCTCATAAGACCTCTTGCGTTGACACTGAGATGGAGTTAGTTATTTATACTTCCAGGAAAGGTGTATTTTGAATACTTACGGGCAGTTCTCCAGTGCCATTGCAATAGCGTTTCCGTACACACCTCCCATGAAAAGACCGAATAGGCTTCGCACAGCGAGGAACTGCTGGAATGTGACACTGTAGATCGTTGCGACCTGGAGGAGTCCAAGAATGATCATGTTGACCACCATGGGCCACTTACGGCCCCATTTGTCTCCGGCAAGACCAAAGACAGCTGCACCGACCGAACGGAGGAGAAGAGTCAGGGTGATCGCAGTTGTGATATCGGTATTGGAGCGATCGTAGTAGTCTGCAAGCTTGGTTGTCTGAATAGAGAGCGCATGGAAATCAAAAGCATCAGCAGTCCAGGCACAGAAGCCAACAATGAAGTAAAGCCAGTCCTTTGCCTTAAGCTGGGCCATAAGGCTGATGGGGTTCTTCAAAGGCTCGGGCGATTGCCATTCGGTATGGGTCTCGCCATGGTCATTCGTGACAACAACCCGCTGTTTCCAGATGAAGAGGTCAGACCAGGCTTGCTTAGCCGTGGCAAGTGTGCCCTTGGCCAATGGGTCAGCAGGCTCGTAAGACGTAGCCATGGTGATGAGCAGCTCAAGAAAGACTCAAGAATGTCTGATACTTGAAAATAGAAGGGAAGAATCAAGCAAGTAGAGCTAGGCACGCTGAACGACATTCAAATGTGGGCATCGAGCTGGATTAATATACTTCTCCAGGGTCACCGCGGGGGAGCACCTGCGCATGCGTGTACGACCCTGCAATCATGGGCCTGGTCAAAGATCTTCTCTACTGTGTACAACAATGATAGCCATGCTACAAGCCAAGGGATGGCCAAGATGCCCAGACAACAGATGGTCGGCCATGTACAACCATTTCAAGAGAGCCAAGTCGACTAAGCATCGTAGGGTGTTCGTAGGCGGTCGAGCAGCGCGAATTAGGACGTCGATCGAAACATGGGCCAATGCACCTCTCGAGGTTCAAGTTCCGACAACCGTAAAGTCGAACAGGGTATGTGCTGATACGAGCGAAACGGCCGCGGTGATTGAGGGAGACCCCATGGGGACTCCGATTCGTGTTGGAACAAACCTTGCTTTAGGAGGAGTAGCACGGACAAACCTGTCAAATGCAGCATCAGCACGCATATATGTGCAGATAGAAGAATGTGTGTTGTAGTGTTAAGAGCATTTATTGAGATAGCGAAACCGTCCAAAGTGCCCTTTTGCTGACTTTAGTGTTTATTGTGGTACATGATAAAGACTAAGCTCCGTGGCATAGAATGAAGCCGGCGCCAGTCGCCTTCGCGGTGAATAAGAGTGTCGCCCAGACCGTAGCACGTCACTAAAGCGTTATATGGCCGTGTTTCTCCCCGCTGCCTGAATGCGCAGGCGTGCCGAAGCTTTTGCAAGCATTGTGCGGCGCCGAGACAGATTGGGCGGCACGAACAAAAGCCAAGGAAAAGAAGCAGTGGTGGCTTGCAGTACAGGCTGGTAACGTCGTCAGCCGAGCATTATCGAGGGCTTCTTTTGACCGTCATCCTTCGTTGCTATTTGCTGTATGGACATGGGAGGATGATGAGGTCGTTACTGCGTCAATGCTACCTCGGTTGCATCTCTCGTTAAATCTGGGGATGTTTGGGATGCAAACGCTGTATTACAATAGAGGTGCGGGCAGAGGTAAGATTCTGATATTTTTCCTGGTCAGCAGGTTCCACACCAAATGGCAAGGTACTTCTTGTTATCGGTCCGATCAACAAAAGGCGGCTCTTGAGCAAGCCTGTCAATAGTACTCTATCATATTCCTGTAAGTCGGTGCAGAGGAAAAGAAGAAGAAGAAGAAATGCCGATGCAAAACAGAGCAGAACTGGTCCAGGACAACCATGACTTCTGCAGGCGCGGGCGCGGACGCGGACGCGGAGGAGGAAGGGGAAATCGGGAGAATGAGGAGTAGGCACATGGAGCGCAACGGCGACCAAGAAGATAGTGGAGAGAATCAGGTGATGTTAGGGTGAGATCGCGATGCTGGGGCTGGGGCAGCAGTCGTAGCAATGGTTCATGTTGTTGTAGGATCCAACCCCGGTAGATCTATGTAATGAGGGACGAATATGGGCGTGGGAGGCGGCCGTAGTAGAGAAAAAGCGGAGGGTGTCCTGTGGGGTGATGCTCTAGTTAGTGATCCAGGCGTGCCAGGGTCCATGTATCCCCAGCTCTCATCCATTAGGACCATTACAACGTGCGGAAGATGCACCAGGCAGCCCAGCAGGAGTTGCGCCTATGCGGCCTGTCCCTGGTCTTTTTTTCTTCTCCCATGAAAGCCTACCATTGAGCCTCTACGAAAATAAATAGGATAGAATGAGCGATAAATTCTCGTGCCATGCTCCATACTCCTCATCTTTCTCTCGTATCTGGCTCCGTGTAGTCCCATTGCAGATCATGCCGATATAGCTTCTGGGATGCATCATCCAACAAGATCTTCAAAGGGATGATCCCGGAGCCGCACAGTGGGCCATGAGTCCACTGGCCCGGCTATGGGTTGATGGTTTCATGGTTTTTCTTTCTGCATCATCGCCCATTGGATCAACCTATCCTGTACACTACACTCCCAGGCTAGATGTATCAATCTAGAAGGTCAAGAAGTTCTATGCAACTCGGGTCAAATCGAACTATTCTATCATTCAGCCCCGGAAGCACTCGGTAATTTGCTCGTAAACACTATTTTGTAGCTGTGGGTTTGGTTCGTATCCTCGACAGAGTTGCCAATCCTGGAGCTGGTACTGTATGTTGCGACAAGACCCTGTAGATCTATTGTCGGAGTACTTCTTTGTCAAGTCTGTCTCGGATACGCTTTACTTCATGTGCGTGTTCACTTCTATCTGGTGGCACTAGTTGCTCCTATGAAGTTATTTGACTACTGCTCTCTTCTCGAGATGTGCAGACTACATATTTACCGGTAGCTTTACATCTTTGGTTGTAAACCCTGCCAAATTGGGACTTGCTTCAGAGCCTAAACTTATGTGCTGACTTCGAGTTGACTTGAGTAATAACCTAGTCACCAGGAGCGCCGGTAGAGCCCTACAAGATTCTCTACATATCGTGGTAGGGCTTAGTGGTCCGACTCTAACAACTTACGACACGTATAGGTAGATCTTTGCCACTGTTGGTAGGCCTCTGGAGGTACAGAGGGTTGGCACGTCGGGCTGGCCCCATGCTAGTATTTATGCCTACAACAGTGTCTTAGCAAGGTTTATTGCAAGCAGTTAAGATTGTTTACTGGCTACAGTACATTTTTAAGTAGACACTTTAGGTATAGAAGATACATGAAGTTAGCAGGTGGCCAGCCCGACGTGCCAACCCTCTGTAGGATAGATCGATGATAGTGTTGGTTGGGAGGTTGGGAGGTTATCTCGTAGCGGAATGCATAGCATGATGAATTTTTGATTTCACGACAAAGGAAAGGCTTCTAGAAGCATGATTGCGTCATCTTTCTGATATACAGCCAGCTTGTGATGGTCGTTTAATTCGTAGGACAATTCCTTCTTGAAATCTCGTGACGATGTTTTTCTTGAAGGCGAGGCATTTTCATTGAGCAGGTCCCAATTTCTGTTCTCGACTGCAGCAGAAATAGCGGACTTTTTCCCAAAGTCGACCTTTTGGTTCGTAGTTTCATCGGTAGTTCGCTGGCTTTGTCTTATTCGGATATCAATGAACAAGGGGCATAAAATGCGATCAATCGACTGATCCTCCTCTTCACTTACTATACCTAGAAAGAAGATGGAGCAATTTCTCTCCAAGCTCCAAGAACTTGAAGATAAATTCTCCCATTTCTTTCATCTTCTTGCCAATTACGTTGATTCAACTTCGGGCTTTTCCACAGGGATTCTGAGCTATGTTTCTCCTTCCCAGATAGAAAGTCGAGGTGATGTCCGTTTACTTTACATTCCTGGTGTATAGTTTACTATGCGATCAATCTTCGGTCGTACAGCAGATCCAGTATCGGGTGTTTCGTATGACGACCAAGATCCTTGCGTGCAAGTACAGTCGACATTTCGAAAATTGGTATATCATTCGGGGCAGAGTTTGCCGCTGGGCCTGGGCCCGATACAGTGACTATCCACCCATCCGCTCCAGGGATGGTCCTAGGAGGGATGACTGCACTTGTAGTGCAGAACTGCCTTTCGGAGACGAAGTGTCAAGCTGAGTTCTTTCTCTGCAAGTGTGCTCCTCACTTATCATCCAGCACCAGCAAATCTCCCATTTTGACTCCCGCAGTATTGTGTGCCTCATCAACAAAGAAGTCATCGTAGTATGGCGCCACGCGGGTATCGGTAACAACCACCTCTTTGATCAGCGGCTGGGTGACGAGCATCTTTCTCCACGAAGCCGCACCGTATCTGATCGATGCTGGATACTCTAAAGAAGTCATTTTCAGCGCAACATCGACATGATCCTCAGTTCCAGCTCTTGTATGCTCAGTCCAGACATCGAATCGAAGGTATGCAAAGAAGGCACGAGCAATCAAGGGGTTGGGGATATAGGCGCGTCTGGTTCCCGGAACGTCCTGATTTTCGTTTGGAAGAAGATAGAGTGCACGCTGGATTCGTCGAGATGAGCAAATGACTGCGTGCCAACGCTTGCAAACGCGCTGCGCAGTAGTAAGGAGGACTTGTAGTGGAAGACGCAAGAGGATAGCTTCTAGGAGCTCCACAACTTCGAGGGGTATCGGGGTAGAGGTAACCGGTGGTTTGGGTGGGGTCCTTGGTGGATTCGGTCTAGATTGAGAGTGTGTAATGCGAAGAACGCGAGCTGTAGAGCTAGACTTCATGTTTGTACTGACATTGGGAATGAAGTCAGGCATGTAAGGAGGATTGAGATGGAGGGTAGTCATGCTGGTCTGTGCTCAGATGAGGAGATGCTGTGTGAGTAAGGTACTGGCAGCATTCTCCTGGCTTTTTCCCGATGAGTTCAAATGTTCCAAAAAACCCTTGACATTCCTCTTCTAAGAATCTAGATTGGTCTGGATTCCCGGGCGGCACCACGAAGATCAACTATCGTGATCCCCACGAGTTCATCAAGAATGCCATATGGATCTATAATCCCTGGCATAGACCCTGCTCAGTTTATCCGTCCTGCTAGCTCATAACAATGACGCAACACATCCAGACTCCTTGGAATCAAGACATCCGGTTCAATATATATCAGCCATGTAGACAACACTGCAGCGCACTGTCTATACACCTTTCGACACGCCCTCTACTGCCTTACGACCAGCACTGAACTTAGAAATGGCGGCACTCGGACTTGGCATCTTCCTCGGAGGCTGCATCACCGCTATCCCAGTGGTAACGGGCGTCGCGGAAGGCGTGGAGCATCAGAAAAAGCAGAACGAAGAGGCTGCGAACGAGACCCGCATGATAAAATTCAATGTCCTTACGTCTTGCGACTCAGACGATGAACTTGCGGACGAGATCGACGACGGTATTGTAGTAGTGCGCCATAACAAGGTTCGTCTCTTCCTTTTTCATTGTCTCCCTCGATCGATAGCCATGCTAATTCGGCGCCCCCCTGTGCATAGGTCTGGATATTACCATGCGAAGAGAAGGATGGGAAGCCGGTTCCCATTCCTCCGGAAGACGACATTACCCCTCCCCTCCATGCTTTTGCGGGCTTCTACATTCAATATCCGGACGACGACCGCTCACCACCGGAGCGCGGTATGGTGTCAACGATCTCCGATGATCCGCCAATGTTGAACTGGATCTACATTGATAAAGAAACTTATGAACTTCGGTATGGAAATCGCACTGCTAGCATCGAACACATCGTCGGCGAATGGGACTGGACCGAGGATGAGTCGGCTGTCACTCTCGAAGGTTGGGAGGGGTTCGTCGCAGTGGATGAATCAGATGGGATGAGCGATGAAGAATGGGAGAGCACGCCTTGGGGTGCAGAGGGCCTCCGTTGGGCAGTATACTTTGATCGAGACGATAACGGCCTCAGCGGAAAAATAAGAAAGCCGCGCGGGAAAGGGCAGAAGAGCAGGTTTGAAGTTGTGCTTAATCGAAAACTGCAAAGCGACGAGGAGCAGCTGAAGCAGATGGAGGACGCGAATAAGAAGATGCAAGTTAAGAGTCAAGGAGGATTGAAGTCGCAATTTACAGCACCGGCTGCTAATAGGAGAAAGAACGTATGGGGACGCAAAGATTGAAGACAGGTGCGCGTATGGTTGGGAGAGGAACCAGGCCGCCAGCGCGTCATATTCGGGAATCCGCGAACTACCTCAAGGTTGACCTGATACATTCCCCCCATGGATCACTCCCGAAGCCTAGTCTTCTGCTCTTTGGAAAAAAAAGTCCCACCATACATGTTTGCACCCTACATCCGAGGACCCTTCATTACAAATCCTTCACGGTCCCACATGTCCCAGTTTCCTGGAGCCTCGAAGAGCGGTGCCGGAACCACCTAGTCTCGACGAGCGACTAGCTTGATGTTAGATTTCCTACATCAAAATGATGGCGGTGCCGAAGAAGGCACACAGCGATGCGGCATGGACTTGATAAAAGGGCAAGAGTTTTGGCAAAGATTGAAGGGGCTCGTCTTTCCCTGTTGATCAACTTGAGGAGGGAAATAACATGGGAATACCATCTCCTTTCATCGACTGTAAGAGTTCAGCTGTAAGCCAGATCAGAACAAAGTGCTCAGGGCATCAACTATTTTTAGGAAATATGACTAGCAGAAAAGAAAATTGGAAGCTGAACCTTTCGACTAGTATGTCAAGATGCTGAAGAATGGCTCAAAAGCCACGTAGATAAATGTATTACTGTTCTCTAACAATATTTTCTACCCTGAGATACGTGCACTACTTATTACGAGGCAGTGTCTACCTTGCAAGACCTATCTGAGAAGAGCAAGCCTTGAACTAATGCCTGCGGCATTTGCTTGTGCCTTTGGTAGCGACATGGCAAAGGAAGCTGGGACTAACCTTGTGTTGCCAAGTGTGCAGCGCACCCTCAGTCTAAGGGGGAAGCCGGAAATAAACAGATTTGTATCTAGTAAGTAATGTTATATGATTTAATATTTAAATATTATAGAAATGTTGCAAAGACTTAAGAAATGTTTTTAATGTTCTCTTATTCTGCCCTCTATAATGTCCCTGTAGTCAGTTAAAGAACCTTATGAGCCCTCCCCAGGCTACTTCCGAGGCAGCTCACTAGGGGGGAAGGGGAAGCTTAACTGGGGAAGCTCCGAAATGACGACAGAGCTCTCTCTGTCTACGCAACCGTCTGAACCTTCGTCAACCCCACGCAATCCCCTCGATCTGCAACTCTGCTCTGTATATATTTGTCCTTTCTACGTTGCGTTTGATCTCCTTTCCTCAATCCAAGAAATGACAACATCAACATGACGAATGAACGCACCCCACTTATCGCCGTGGTACACACGCGGCCTGCAAGAGACCGGTATCCGCATCACACTCTCCGCTACATCTGCACGATACTTCTGTCAGGTGTTTTGTTCCTTGGAATCGGCGCTGTCATTCTCGTATTGACCGTTTTCACTCCTAATAAGGAAGAAAAGGAAGTGCAAGCACCATGGCATGCCTATCTGCCCGGCGCCTCGCACGACATCCCCGCATCATGGCCCAAATCGAGCGGGCTTGGTTACAAAGACCTTCAATCGATCCTCGTGAACACGCCTGACGCAAAGAAGACGCGCGAATGGAGTAAATACTACACATCCGGGCCTCATCTTGCTGGCAAGAATTTGAGCCAGGCCGTCTGGACGAAGGAGCTTTGGCAGGAATTTGGCGTGGAAAACACCCTGATCAATAGCTATGATATATATGCGAACTATCCTAAGGGTCACAGGCTGGCACTCTTGGAGAAAACTACCCAAAAGGGCGACGAGGACACACACAGCGACGGGAAGACATCGTGGAAAATCAAGTACGAGGCGGAGTTGGAGGAAGATGTCCTCGAGGAGGATAGCACTAGCGGCCTAGCAGACCGAATTCCTACCTTCCACGGATACAGTGCTTCTGGCAACGTTACGGCGCCATATATCTTTGTCAATTACGGCACCTACCAAGATTTCGAGGATCTCGCCAACAGAAATGTCAGTGTCAAGGGCAAGATCGTGCTTGCAAAGTACGGAGCCGTCTTTAGGGGTCTGAAGGTAAAGAGGGCGCAGGAATATGGAGCAATTGGCGCCATCTTGTACTCTGATCCCGGCGATGATGGAGAGATAACAGAATTGAATGGCTATGCACCCTACCCAGAGGGCCCAGCACGTAACCCTAGCAGCGTCCAGCGCGGTAGCTGCCAGTTTCTCAGTAAGCTCTTTGGATTGCTTTTCGGTGGTAACTATGCTAACCGCCTGTAGGCTTCGCACCTGGTGACCCTACAACACCTGGCTACCCTTCCTTACCTGGAGCACCTCGACAGCCCGTCGACCACGCGATTCCCTCTATACCTTCGATCCCGATATCTTACAAAGATGCTCTCCCGCTTCTGAAGGCGCTCAATGGGCATGGCCCCAAGGCTTCCTCATTTGGAAAAGGATGGAACACTGGAGGCCTCGGATACAAGGGTGTGAAATACAATATTGGCCCATCGCCAGATGACCTTCTCCTCAATCTCGTGAATGAGCAGGAATACGTCACAACACCTATGTGGAATGTTATCGGAGTCATTAACGGTAGCATCCCCGACGAGGTAGTTATTCTGGGTAACCATCGTGATGCTTGGATCGCGGGTGGAGCAGGTGATCCAAACAGCGGCTCCGCGGTGCTGAACGAGGTCATTCGAGGATTTGGGAAGGCCTTACAGTCAGGCTGGAAACCGCTTCGAACTATCGTTTTCGCGAGCTGGGATGGAGAAGAGTACGGCCTTCTGGGGTCGACCGAGTGGGTAGAAGAGTACGTGCCGTGGCTAAAAGCCTCCACGATAGCGTACCTCAACGTTGACGTTGCTGCCTCTGGTCCTGAGCTTGAAGTCTCTGCGGCACCTCTCCTCAAGAAGGTGATTTACGAAACAGGTCAGTTCCCCGAGCATATGTCAACGGATTGAAGCTAATATGGCACAGTCGACCTTGTACAGTCTCCTAACCAGACTGTATCCAATCAAACTGTCGGTGATGTCTGGGACCGCTTCATTGCTCCTATGGGCTCAGGCTCTGACTTCACGGCATTTCAAGACTTCGCCGGCATCGCCTCTTTCAGCTTAGGATTTGGGCCTGGCGGCAACTCTTCTATCTACCACTACCATTCCAACTACGATTCCTTCGACTGGATGGAGAAATTTGGTGATCCAGACTTTTCGTACCATGTAGCGACAGCGCAGATCTGGGGCCTTGCCGCATTGAACTTGATCGAGACACCTCTCATTCAGCTTAATGCTACCGACTACGCGACAACTCTGGAACATTATGTTCACTCAGTCAAACAGACAGCTGAGGATAATGGACTTTCCACCGATACTGTCAATGATTTGTTTATTCCTATTGATAAGGCGATCGAGCGATTCCAGATTGCAGGCCAAGCGCATGATGCCGTAGCGGCCGCCCTGCATCAACAACTCGACGACAATGACATCCCGTGGTGGAAATGGTGGGAGAAGGTGAAGCTGTACTACGCTATACGGCAAGTCAACTCGAAGTACAAATTGCTCGAACGTGAGTTTCTCTACGACAAGGGCCTTGACGGTCGAACGTGGTTCAAGCACGTAGTGTTCGCGCCTGGTAAATGGACCGGTTATGCTGGCATTCCCTTTCCAGGCATCGTGGAGGCTATTGAAGAGAAGAATGAAGTTGCGCAGATCAAGTGGATTGGAATTGCAACCGAGAGAATCGAGGGTGCCGCAGCTACGCTGGAGTAGGCTGAGGTTTTGAAAATGCGTCTCGGGCTATAGGTAGAACAGCATGCATTTGACGGATACCCAATATGACATACAGAACAAACTTTTAAATGAAAAGAATATGTCTTGTCTTCGTTTTCCAGTGTTTCCAACGCGTAATAAACCTAATTTTAATCTACTACTAAATTCTTATCGAATCTAAACCTTGGTACTGTAGACTTGGTACCTATACTTATGTTAGTATTCAACAAGATTACTATCATGTCTTCATCAGTTTCTAGTAATTGCCCAGTCATGATACATCGATGATTTTTGTCTTGGTCACCAAATTCCTCCTTAGCCAGTGTATAAGGCAAACTCTATCTTACGAAAATAAGTAATGGTAATGTCATAACCGATGAACACACTGTTAATGTAACGCTAAACGTTGAAGATGCATGCAAGAGCCTCTTGGTGAACTCAACTCGTTCCCAAATCCTCGATGGTCCTCCAAAATGCTATTCCAGGACCTCAGTGTTGATCACATTCCAATGCTGACATCCCGCTAATACGACACTGCGTATAAGTGGCTTGCATCCCTCCTCCCCAAAACAACCTCCCCACATCAACCACATGCAACGTGACAAGCTAAACTCGGTGCCCCATTGTCCCTCACTCTCTACTACGCCTCCTCATGCGCAGTCAGTCCTCCCCATCCTGCATGCCCAGACATTCTCCCAGACCTTCAAAACGAAACCCCTCAATGTGAGACTCTGAGGGCGGCTCCGACGCAACCCGTCCTACCAGTATAGCATTTTCCCCACGTGCGCTTATGCGAGATGAGGTTCTACAAAGGCAAGAAGGAAAGGGATGCCTAGCCTGCGTGGTGGCACGAGCTATAGAAGAGATTTAAGGAGAGGAGTAAGAGGTATAGAGTGTTGTGAGATTGGGATCATAGGGGGTATATTTGGTGAGCAGGGGTAATAGTAGAGGGCACTGGGCGAGTTTGTCACTGTGTTGAGCACACCGATGAAAGGAGGAGTTATGTAATGGGGTGTTTTGAGGAATCGGCAGATGTAGCTGTTGAAGTGTGTTGAGTGTTTTGGCACAGCAGAACGTACTGAATCTGTAGAGAACATTAACAACACGCAGGTGTCTTAGTATCAAGAAATCCGACGTTCTGAGAATATAGAATTAGGCTTTGTGTTCGGAATGCAGCTATAAAATGTATTTAATAGAATGTAGAGTAAATAGCGTACGCTGCCAGTAGCGGTGTGCCACTTTAGCCACATGCGTAAGACGGAATTCCGCCCGGTAACCTGGATACTGATTCTCTTCATCATGCAGCCCTATGCAGAGCCGTTAGTTTCTATAGCAGGGATTTTCATGCTATAGAGGTTGCTCTTTGATATCACATTTTTCCTAATCCGGGAAGTTTGAAACCGAGAATGATGAAGTATTCTAGAGTCTATTGGCTGCACACAAACTCGGAGGGATGGGTTGATAGACTGTGAAGTCGTATACAGCGACCTTACTGATTGAGAGTACATGCCAATGCGAGAGCTGGCTCGAGCATTCGACCACAACTTATCATTGAAGCTCTTGGGTTGCATCTCTACAATCAGCTGAGATTTTCTGCGCCCCTTCCTTCCACACTTGAGCCACGACTTTAGGAAATGACGAAGCTTCTGAGAGCTCTGATCTCTTCTTGGAACCCCGTCCGTACTGGGCGTAGAATTCATTGGAGCCACTGAGGTTGCAGGATGAGTGATGTGTGCTCAAAGTCTGCATTCAGATGACATCCGAGATGCCGCAGTGAACCGAAGCAGAGAAGTATATAAGAGGGTCGATGGACCTGCAATAACTTCACCAATTCAGTTCTCAACAGTTCTTCAATACTATCTACTGAACCTTCGAAGCTTCAGCCATCTTGCGTCTACAAAAACTGTCAACATGAAGACCTCATTTGCAATCCTCACCTTTGCCCTTGCTTCCTTTAGCCTGGCTGCCCCTTCCGAAAGGCGACAGAGTCAGACTAGCTTTACTATCTGCAAAGAGAAGAAATGTGAGGGAGACATCAACCAGCGCAAAACTATTGATGTTATTCATGGGCAATGCCGTATGCAGAACACCCTTGAGTATGATGACTTGAGAACTTACCGATTTAGAAAATTTTCCCGAGGGCTGGAACAACACTGCCCGCGCCACTATTGCGAACGGAGGTGACTCCTGCTTCCTCCATGAGTAAGTTCCTCAATGCCCCCCCTTTCTACCATATGCTGATGATCCCAGTGGGAACTGCGGTTCCGAGGGTGCCACAATTCCCGTGGGCCTTCGTGAGGATGACCTCGAGCAGCGCGGGTTCGACAGAATTGCAAGTTCTGTCACCTGCGTTCGATCGGCAAAATTGAAGCGTCAGGTTGATACCACCGTCTTGCTTTGCAAGGAGAAGAGATGTGCGGGACCCGCATCTTCGCAAATCTCCGTCGATCTTGCTTTCGAACGATGCTGTAAGTAGAAGTGTTGAATTAACCAACGCAACCTAACACACAAGAAGATAACTTCACTCCTGCCTTTGACAACCAGGTCATCGCCGTCAAGGCCAATAGCAACGCAGTCTGCTTCCTCCATGAGTATGTGACTCCAGAATCCCCCAATAACCGGCATAAGATGGCTAACACTGATGCTCTTCGCAGGGGACCTTGCGACGATCCACGCCTAGGTGTCAGGTTTGAGGGCCAGGTCGATGATTTGACGCAGAACATCATTGGCACGACCTCGAGCTCTATTACCTGCTACGATAAGAACGTCATCAACCCTCCCCAGTAGACAGACAAAAATTACCGTCCCGCAGGACTTAGTACATCACTGCGCGGACAGTCACAGGCATCTGTAGACACTCGAGAGCAATCTCAAAGACAATTTGCGGTTTCCTAATGTTTTCTACATTTCCTCTTTTGAGGCTCGACACTCCTTTACATAGCTGGCCAGCTTGATAATTCTAAATACAATGTACATCCTCGTATGCAGCTTCAGCACGCTGATAGAAGAAGTGACTAAGTGATGTTGAGCCCGTCCACAGTCCCTCAGTACAATCGACATAGAGGATTGAACCAATCACAGTGCCCTCTGCTCGAAGCATGCTAAAAAAAATCATAAGGTGTCCATACAGTCACGGGGAAAAAAAGGATCGATCCAAAAAGGATGGACACAGTGGGGTTCAAACAGGATCCAAAAAAAAGCATATAGGAGGCTCACCACCCGGAGGCGGCTGCAGCCTGTAGGACAATTAGCAGTGATCATTAATGAAAGTATCATAAGTTAAGGAGTATATATAAACCAAGTAGAAGGACGAAAGGTAGATGATGTTGTTGGGAGGCACTGACAGCTTGCAGTAGCATAGGGCTGGCTTGGTAGGGCACAAACAATTACAATAGCGAAGTGAAGGTCAACTCTGATGTCGATTCGTATTTTGCAGCCCTAGGGAACTAACAGGACTCACAGTCATCTGTTTCCCAACCCTGACGCTCTGCTGCTACGTATTTCGTACCTTCTTTAACTATAGTAGAGTTAAAATTAAATTGTCGAGGCACTGTACGGCAACATGTAGGATTTACAGATAGTAGATAAATCCATTTCAGCTTGGTAGGTAAAAATGATCGGAGCTGCAACATTGTTCCTCAATAAAGAAGGCCCAATTTTCAGCAGATAGGAAGAGACAGTTATGTACCATCAGAGATCTATCTCAGGTAAATTAGGTTTGTGTTGAATGTTGCCTAGTGCAGGATGCGTCAGGATGTGTGCACATACTAGCCGACATAAACAACTTGGTTTACGTAGCAGAATTTGATTATATTACATATATTAGCTATGGATGTGTCTGCTAGCACGGATAGTATCAAAATCACCCTATAGTTATCGTCTCTGCTCGCTATCTTGTTAGTGCGCTCTACCAGAGCACAACGCCTCATGGAGGATACACTCTAGAGGACTCTAAGCGCAGGTATCACTAAAAAGACTCTTAAAGAACGCATTTGCCTTATCTTGTAGATGTTTTTGTTTCCAACATTGTTCTGCACTCGACCCTGAGGGAAGCGAAACACTAGAGACCTACTGAGCGTTGCGTCGGTATGACTGGAGTATATATGTCAAGATTCCCTTCATTATCATCCTTGATCCTCGAAATAACTTTACCAACACGCTTATGCTGAAAGGAATTATAGATGCCCGGTTCTACATCTTGTCCCTTTGCCCAAGCCTGTTTCCCAGCACTGCCACCCATGTATTTACTTTACCTCTATCCTCTCTCCCCTCCCATTCTCACTCTCAATCGTACCTCAATTCCAAATCACTGACTCTTTCATTATTGGTCCATCTTTACTGCCTGTGCTTGTTGCGCTCTTGGCAAAGTCTTTTTCGCCACAAAACCGCCCTCCCTCTCTCTCTCTCTCTCTCTCTCTCTCTCTCGCTCTCTCTCTCCTCCACACTCTCACCTTACCTTCAATCTTCTTACTTCTATACCACCCACTACAACGATCGATTCTCCTATTCTCCTTCAACATTCAGATACGATACTACTGATTCTTTTCTACTACACTCTTTTACTGGCATATCTCATCTCACTGTTTGCAGCAGACAGGTATCACTGATGAACCTGTTTGCATCTCTTTTCTGCTGCAGCTCTGCTCGCTTCAGGACATGAACAGAGATACGCATGACACACGATATATAGTCTGTCTTCATCGTCTTTTCCTTAATAGCTAAATCAGCATGGCAGGAATCTTCGAAACACCAAGCGTGGTGTTCACTATCGCTCTTCGCGCTGCTCCGTCGAGACCTGTTTCTCCAAGCCCTGCAAAATCTGCCACTACCACAGCAACGCAGGTTGGCCTCCACTTTTGAAGTAAGTAAGTATCATCTACAACCATTCCCTTCTATCATGATGAGTGCATTCAGGAATGAATGCGCATAATGCTGAAATGAAAATATGAGCATCAGCCACCCCGTCAGGAAGCTGGTTCCATGATCACCTCAGCGATACTACACAAATATTGTCTGACTGACTTTACATTTCATTGCTTTCGCCTCATCTACGATCCAGGACTGCGCTGACTCGAAACCAGGATGCTACTATGTCCCCAGGCCTGTTTCCGACCGTGTTTACCTTCACTCTACCTTCATTTACAGTCAGCCTAAGACAGTCTCTCTCCGACTGTTCAGATCTCACGGGATCTTCCAGAGAAGAGAAGCGGGATCCGAAGGTACGTTCCAACTTTCTGCTTTCTGTTTTTGTATGGTACAAGGATGATGGATCAGATCACAAAAGAGATCAATCAACGATCCTCACCCCAAGAACATTTAAGAACCTCCCTGCCCTGTTATTTTGCATCATTGGTTCTATGATGAAAAACATTGATACTACTAGAGTATAATTGAGGCCTGAGTACCTTCAAACATTCTCCGCTGCTTCAATTTATTATCTGAACGAAGCTAACAATTCTTTTTCTACCATCTTTTTTAGGAACCCGGTATTATCATTGGCCGTCGGTCTTTTCTGCTCGGACTCTTCTTACTGAATTCACTACAAGCCTACTACGAATTGTCTTCTGTTAGCAACAGGATCTCTACTCGGCAGTAAGTAATCTCACTCTCTCAATCTTCTACTACCAACAGTGATGAACACATAACATTTCTGGTAAATACGAGAGTAGCCGCCATCCCAGCGGTGGTTCCTCTATGATCACACAAAGCAGGCAAAATGTACCTGAGTTTCCCTTTTACCGTTGATCAAACACTACAAAACTAAGGACAGGGCCATGCTGACTTGTTGTATCATCTTTTAGGTCTTTGAATCCGCAATTATCTATCCGCCTGAGACATACTTTCCAACAGACGGTGAGTTAGCAGCTCTGCCAACTTCAAGGCAATGATGACAATATGCTTCTCTGTATGACTGAGGAACACCTCGAAAGGGTCGCTGTTCCTATGACTCAAACCCAATTTTTCAATTTGTCTGAGCCTTCTTTACCCCACTCAGTCGTACATCATCACTTCAGCAAGAGTCAGAGATTTGTGCTAATCATTCGTTGGTGCCATTGCATCCCTTAGGCTTTGCGGTGCGACTCTGCGAATAGTCATTTTACGACGCCGTTTTTGTCCTATCTTTTCTTCTGCCGCCAAACTTACCAGTCAACATTCGTCTCTCACCTTCTGTTCGTTTCGCTTAGGCTAAGTTAATCCCATGTCCTTCTAATCTCATAATACTGACATTCGTCCCTTTCAAGAATTATGGCCGAATTTTCTCTGCACGTATCGATCCTCCTAGCCGCCGATAATATCTTTCAAATTCAACATCTTTCTGGTTGGGACTGCGTCTGGACATTGGAGTTGGATTTTGATAAGGGGGATAATGGTAACTAGGAATGTAGAGCAGGTTGTCTTCTCGTGGTAACTCCAATACATGAAGGCGCTGTTGTAACGGTTCATAATATTTTCTGAAGGATTTCTGTAGAAATGGAGATAATAGATCGCGTTGTTAATGCCACTACAACCTTGGGGTTTTCCTTTACTAGGTATCCCGGCCCGACATACGTGCAAGAAGGGTACTGGATGTATGTAATGTGATATACCTCTTCAACATATCCGGGTCAGTTTACGCTTCTACTTATCATCTTTTCAACCTCTGCAAGTAATTAAATTGGATCCCTGTATGATCAGGAAGGCTACATGAAGTCTCGTAGATTGCGCCTGTGGCTTTTCTTCAAACTACACCATCGTGTTTGAGCGGAATCACTATTGAGACCTCGGATTGCCGGTCCCTTTTGATATATCGTCGAAATAGGGTAGTGTCTCGTATGCAGCCTGAGGGCTGTAGTATGCATGGCACCCATTCCAAGTTTGTAGCTGAGTGATCCTCGAGTCAGTGCTCCTGGGTGTCCTACTGCAGGACCAGTGGACGCGTGCTAAGAGACTCTGCACGCGTACTAACCTGCTGTTGGCATTAGATGAAGTAGTTCTTGTCTTTATCTGCCCCATCCTGCCCATTACAACTATCGTCTATCTATCCTATTCTACCCATCACACACATCTTCGTTACTTGTCCTATTCTACTAGCGACCTAGCAGCCTCCTTTTGCACGGGCCCGGAGAATTATAGAGCTAGCTATTCAAAGGTCACCTTGCAAACGCCAGGCAGAGTGTCGAACGTGGTGCCAGCCAATCTTCAAAATAGGGACGATTAGCCGGTCCGTCTCCCAGGCCAGTAGTGCTCAATTCCAAGCTCAGCCTGCATTCTAACCAAACGGAGCTGAATGCCTTCATGGAGGAGCTGTCACAAAGAATGCCGCCGACCGAGCGCCTCTCATTCTACTCGGAGGTGCAGGGCCTGGTCAATTGTGGGGTATCAACGCACATGGCAATGCTCATCCGTGCCTTTGCGCCTTGCTGCTACTACACGCCTCGAGCCAAAGTAGCCAGCCTCGGGAATAGAGACCCCTGATAACGACCAGAGAGAATAAGTGAGATTTCCCTGGAAAGGGAGGCTTTGTCAGTAAGAGGCCTCGGGTTGATAATACCGTCGCTAACAAATCTAGCTCCACTGAGTCCCTGCTTTCGTCTTCCTTTAAGGACATGTCAGGTCAATAGGTGCTCGATCTCCAGCTCACCGAAGCCATGCGCGAGGAATCGACGGCCGTGTCTCCTACAAAGCTGTTGGCGCCTAGCAGAGACCACTCGCAAGTGACTCCGGCAAGAGTCAAACCTGAATCGACCGCTGCCGGGCGAGATAGAACGAGCGAGCAGGTGGAATCATCTACAAAGGTCTCGGCTCAACTGACCAATCTGCCTCTCGGGGACGCAGTTGCCCTGGTCGGTCCCTTTTCCTCTGATGTGATTGCTATCGACGAGCACGATTACGAGGTTGCAGCTACACTGGCCCTGAAAATGATTTCTTTCGCTGGCTTGAGAAGACAGTGCGGGAAACGACGCATATCAGGTGTTACGACTTGCCTATGCGGGGCAGGACAGGCATACTTTGGTTCTGGTTCGACAGTGCCAGCGGCGTAGGGGCACTGAACAAGGCGCAGCAGATCGAAACGATCAGCCTAAACGACGTCGTCACAGCGACCGACTCGAAATTGCTTGTCAGCGTCCCTCGACAACTTTGGAGAACCTGCTGTCCCAATTACCTGTAAGAGAGTTAACATGGTTGATTGCACTTTGAGGCGGCAGTACTTGACTTCGTCAATCAGGTTTCAGTCTTGAGTGAGTACGATCATTCTATATTTCTCGTTTTCGTGGGCATCAGGCCAATCTTTTACGGGGATTTTAGTGGCTGCAAGTGTAACAACGCAGGAAGATCTGTGATGTCGGGCTTCCCTTCTAGCCATATGTTGTGGTAGATACAGTACTATAATGTCCGATGCCTGGAACGTAGACATATTGCTGGGTTTCAATGGTGTTCCCCCGATATCTGATGGCGCTCTGAATACGCCGCTTCTTTCCGTCGTTGATTTCATCATGCGTCTTCGTTCCTTTCCCCTTATCGCAATGTCATTACTTCTTGATATTCCCGTCCTTTGTAGGTCGCTCGTGAGTATCAATTATGGCCTTCGTATTGTGCCTCATTGTCGTGGTCGCCCTTGCCAACGTCCAGATCGGGTACATATCTGATCTATCTGCCGATTTCATCAGTTGTATCGATTCAGATTCTTTCGTGTTCCAGGCACTATTCAAATGAGCCTCCAAGAATCATAGTTGTTTGTTCTATCACCTCGTATAACTGAAAGGACACTGCCAATTCCGTATTCGCTGTCTGGGCGATCCTGACTTTATCGTGAGCTTTGGGGTTGCGCTTGATGCCGTAGGGAACAACCACCTCAATTCCTTTCTTCTGCTATTGATGACCTTTTACACACTTGTCTGCTCTTGGGGCTCTCCGTGCAGGCCTGAGGAGCTTCGTAGTGTCTTTGCCTTTATCGTCGTACATAGTGTGTAATCTGTCTCAATTGCTGTCCTTATTCTTACATGTGTTCTTTTGGCCGGCAAGTTGTGGCAGATTGTCCTTCTCGAGCTTCACAAATTCGCCCGTTCGGCATTCATAACCGCCCATGGCAAGTGAAGGTTTGAGGATCGTCGTGGTAGTTGTATTGAGTCGATAGTTGTCGGTTGGAGGGTATTTGCAGCGTAGCGGCGCGGCGTCGTAAACGGAGAGGAGAGGAAAGAAATTGTCTGTCGTGGAAGCTTCCAGGTCGAAGTCTTTCTTGATTCGAAGTTCAAAAATCAAGCCAGCGTCACTATGGGCACTGACAGCGCCAACATGTTGCGTCACTTGTGACCTCACAGTCCTGATAGCAAGTGCAAAGGATGAAGGTAAAAGGAAAATATGAAGTGAATGGCGTAGAAGACTATCTAGCGTTAACTATAGCATGCGCTCTACGTACAGCAATCACGTGAGATGAGAGTGAAGGTAGAGAGCACATAGAGCATCTGAATTATAAAGCAAAAAAAAGTACTCCGAGTAATAGTGCCCTCACTGAGGCTCGAACAAGGGGGGGCAAAAAGAAAAAAAAAAGCAAAAAGGAATTTGGCCAACCGGCTACCTAAGGCACCTGTTAGCACTGTTCTTTAATGATATACTGTAAAGTTATGAAGTATATATACCCTGATATCATAGATAGAAAGATGTATAGTAAATCAGTAGAGTAGGACTTGCACTGAGGAGAAGCATTGCAGCAGTGTATTGAGCGGTGAAGTCAGAGAGGGACAAACGGCCCAGCATTGCGAATTCTCACCCAACACGATGTTACAGGGCTCTTGTAGGAGCCTCTGCTACCAGTGGTTCTATGCCTCTCAATTTCAGGATGCATTCACTACCCTATCAACTGATATGTACACATTCAGAACCCTCAGTCAATTATTGACGTCGGTGATGATGAGGCTCTGAGAAGCGACCTACCCACATCGTCTAACTGTATGTCTGCACTGTGAACAGCAAGTATAGCTGGTATCAATTGTCTGATAACATACTGTGTCGAAATTGTCTGAGGCATCACAGATGGGTTCAGATACCGACTGCATCAGCATTTGATGTAGCCCAAGTTTTAACACAGTGTAGGCTCAGTAGCGAGCTCCAAGCATGATTGATTTGGCGATATGAATATCATGTGTAGGCGGTCCAAATGCATTATAGAATTCCAGTTATAAGAGCCCTGTCTACTGACCAAGTACCCTTTGCGTCCAGAAAGACGGGTGGGCCTATTCGGAGCTCAAGTAAAGCACATAAAGTGCCAGTAGGGTCGTATGTAAAATACATAAATACCTCTGTCAGCTAATTTGTGATAGTAAACGTCTACATGTCTACTGATTGCAGTCCTTGCCTATGATTTCTGTACTACAGTAGGTTCAATGTGCAACAAGATGATCAATACAGCTGTAGGTAGTCTTTTGCATGAAGTCGATTGCACAGTGTTTTCTTCATAATTATACATTGTTGAAGCAGTGCATAGGATAGTATAACGCCTCCGTGGGTTCCTTGCTGCTACTTCACTGTGTCCGCTAGAGCGTGCTGAAAGAACGATGCAAGCTAAAGTCCAGCTTCAGTTCCATGAACCCACGATCCGACACCGTATGAACGCTACTATATTATTCCAGCCATGCCTGCAGCCCGCCCATCAACAGCCCAGCCAGGGTAACAAACCAGCCAGCAACCCCAAAAGCACCCTGTACATCCCCCCTACCAATACTGTACAAAACCGCAAATATGGCGCTCCCAATCCCAAAGACCACAGTGAGAAGAAGCCAGACCTTCTGTGCAAGGAACCCCTCCACGAGATTGATACCCCAACCCATGCCGAATTCGAGTCTTTCGCGTCGTTTGGGCGAGCGGAGGTAGGTTATGAGTTCTCCGTCGTAGTCATTTGGATGCTTGAAGAGATGGAGGAGGTATGCTGAGCCTACAGGGGGCATGAGGTCGATAGGCTCGAAGGCGTACGGATGTTCCGACGGGGATTTCGGGGACGATGATGAAGACCTAGGGGGCATGGATGGCGATGCGCGGATGTCAGCAAACCTGTTGCGGTGGACTTCGAACTGGATATTGTTAGCGTTAGGTTCCAAGACAACAGGACTGCGTAGGCCTTTTGGGACTTGTCGTCTGCATTGAAATTGGTGCAGACACTGACGTAGAGCCGCCTTCATGTGAGGTACGTACCTGTACAAATTCGATTGTTGTCAGTCCGCGCAATCGCGCCCACTTTGTCCATCGACGATTGAGCTGGTCGTAATGTTCTCTTAGTGCAAGTGCCAAATCTTTGTCACTCCGGATTCTAACCGGGTTGACGTCGAGATGCACAATCTTTGGCGTAAATCGCCCCTCGTTTGCGCAAGTCAGGAGCCATTGTTCGTCCACGAGATTACCAATGCGGACACTGAAAGGGTTGTTGCTACGCAGCCGAGTAGGACTGAGCCTCGATGAGTCGCCAGACTTGCTCCAGGAAGCTCCTCCATAAGTAGATATCGGTGTTGCCAATGTCGACGCACGACTTGCAGAGCTGAAGAGTGACGAAACTGTCGATGAAGTACTTGTTCTGCCAGATGAGGTCACTGGTGAGTGTGAACGAGGGCGATTGAGATATAACTCCAGCGCCCGAGCGGCACCGGGTCGCCTTTCGATAAAGTCGTCATAAAGTAGTTCGCCACAAGTCTAGCTGTTTGTTAATTGCATTATTTCAGGATGTGAGAGAGGTTTCGCCTACACAAGTCCACCTTACACGCAAATGGTTGGGTGGAACCGGTGGTTCGCTTCCGTATCTCAATCGCATGGCGTGTAGTCCTTCGAATAACCGGTCGGACAATGCGCTGACAGCTAAACCCCAAAACGTGGACATTGGGCTCACAGGAGGCGGAGGCGGGCTTCGGATTTCGATTCCCGGCAAGATAGGTATCTCGCCCACTTGGTCTTCAGCACTCGGTTCCTCAATTCTAGGAATGCTTGACTGCGCATTATCGGGTATAGGCTGGCCTAATTCGGAGCTCACTGTGCCGAAAGCAAGCTCCAATGCTTCTCGAAGCTCCCCTGATCCAGAAACTTCCGACCAAACTGGTGATGGCGTATCTTCTGGGGCAGCAGGTACTTCCAACGACGAGGAAGAAGATGCAGTCTTGTGATGCCGCGGTGATTTCTTCCGCTTGGTGACAGGCGACGAATTTGCGGACTTAGCTCGAGGAACATCTGTCCTGACCCTCAAGCGAGTTGTAGAATTGTTTCGAGGTGACTGCTTTGGTGTTTCACTACCTTCATGAAGTAGGTCCGGATTTTCAATTGCCTCGACTTGTTGCACGCTGTTAAGAGAAGTCGGGATTCTCTCGCGAGTTAGACTCAGAGGGCTAGAAGAGCTGTCTGGTGAAGCACGCCAAGACTTCTTAGCATCTGATCGAGAGAGATAAGAGGGTTGTCTTCTTCCAAGTCGTTTCGGCTCATGCCTGCCTATTCGTTTGACTGGGCCAACGACAGAGAGCCCTCTGGTAGGAGTTTTGACGATACTGGAGATGGAAGCAGTCCTGGTAGGGAAGTCCGATGCTGTGCCAACAACAGTTTGATCATCCTCAAGCGATGACCCAAACGGCTGCGTCTCTTGTGCAAGCGTTTCTGCGTCACTGAATGACTCTTCCGCTATAGAGTTTCTGGGTCGAACATCGAAAGTTGTAGTGCGCAACCATTCGGGAACGGAAGAACTGCTGCTTAAGGGTGCAGATGGGCGTTGCAGGCCTGTTTCTCCCGATGACCCGATCTCAATAGCTTGTGGTATTGCGCGGACGGCCTCAGTTGCATCTAACTCAATTTGTGGGCATGAATCCAATTCGTGTACCGTCGCGACAGGCTCTTGCGTAGGTTGGCCCAAGTGGACCTCTGCGACCTCGTTTGTATCCGAACTTGAACCCTTGAGAAGTCGAACAACGAATCCTTTTCCGTTCTTTTTGATACGGGCTTTTATATCCGCCAGCCTGCGCGACTGCGTGGAAGCAGTCGAGTCCTTTCGCTGGAAGGTAAGCTCCCAGTCTGGTACGACTTTCTTGAGAAAATCGGGGGGTATAGCGTCCAGATCCGACCATTCCTGTGTCTCCTTCAAAGGGCTCATCGGAGGACTAGATTTTTGAGTTTGATACAACGAAGAGACGTCGTATCCTAGACTGGGAAAAGCCTGTAGATTTGTGAAGAGCTTCTTCGATGCAGCTGGTTGTGTCTGGCCTGCTTGGCCGCGGTGCCTTTCAGGGTCGATATCGACGACCAATTGAAATTGCCCTGGGTTCCTCTTGTCTTCTTGAAGTGTCAAATTGAACGGAACAGACTGCGTTCTCTCGTACTGAGGTAGCGGTGTCGATCGGCCTTGCTCGTTCACCTGCAGACCGGTAACACCTTTGGGTGTGTGCAGGTCTGCGGCGTAAGGCCGCGCAACCGGCGATGCTATAGTGGGTGCCTATCGAGATACGGACTCAGCTTCTAGCTTGCATAGAAAGAGATGCCAGCCTTGCAATTGGGGCAATCGTTCGATGTGCAAGGCTGTCTCTGGAACGAGGAAAACTCACCATGATTGCGCTCCACGGTTGTCGACGCCCCAAGGTGCATGAGGTGCAATGCCTCAGTGCGCGCAGTCAGCAGGCAGGTGTATCCTACATATAACAATCAGGCTGCAGTTATGGATTTCATTGAGATGAGATGCAGGTGGTCAGCGGACACTGCCACAGGCTTGCGAGTTTGCTGCGCAATAAATTTCCGTAGCACAATCATTGGCTCGCCTTGCTGGTGAGCGGGCACCTGAATCCTTCGTTCCCGCCTCAAGAGCCAAACATCTTCGTCTTCTCTCGACTGTGTCTCCTTGCGAACTGCGAACAGGTGGCCATCGCTTTTACATCGTATCAAGGCTTCGGCTTGGGTTTCACGAACATGCTGCTTGTGGTGACTTCGGAGAGCCAAGGCGTGGCTGGTTTCCTGAGCGCCACCAGATTTGATTTGACTTGACACACGCCATGGCGAAATGCAACTAAGAAGAGGCCGCTAGGAGCTTGGGAAAGGCAGAGAGAAACGAAACATCAGCTTTTAAAAAACTTTCTTGGACTGGACTTGCCTGGCTTTTGTTGTGGATATGTGTGTAGTGGTTTCCACCAATCCGTCCCATCATCTCGGTCTCGGTGCCCCATCCATTACACCAGCAACGGGCCGACTACATCATCATCCCCATCTTTTGCGTCTCTTCTCCGGGGCAACAGAATTCTGGGGATAGCTCCATGGGCGGTCTACCACGTGAATATTCTCATTTGGGTGGTCGTCCACCGAGCCGCTTATATTGCGCGGACGGACGCCAGACCTGAACCGGCAGAATTAGGAGCTTCGTTCGAACCTTCGGCTCATTATTATTGCTAATCCCCGCAAAAAACAGCTCTCATGATGAATCTAATTCCTCCGACGCTATATTTCCCCGCCATCCAGATCGACAGCACGATGCCAACCCAATAACCCCAGTCCTAGCGGTCTCGGGAATGAAGACATGGGATTCGCTACGCCTACTGTCTACCAATCTTGTTACCAGATGGCCGTGTCTACCGAATCACGCTACTTCGCCCTTTTGATGATGTCCCTGGATATTTGTAGAATCATACCAGGGATTCGTCTTTTGCTGCTATGTACGATGTAGTCCGATGGCCTGGTATAAAATGCGAGCTTCCCATCGTCCAGATTGTAGGCCTCATCAGACTCTTTCAGTTCTCTACAATGAAGCTCATTAGTTGTCTCCTCTCTCTTTTGCCGGCATTGACAATTGCCCTCCCGCAATCGTCTGCCCCGACAACATTCTCTCGAAGGGTGGTCTATACACCCCCTTCGAACTACAACGACCCCCGTGTCCTCTACGCTCGCACAGCACAGCTTCCTAACGGAGACTTGCTTGCTACATGGGAGAACTATAGCCCAGAGCCACCGCTAGTGTGGTTCCCCATCTTCCGCTCTAGCGACAATGGCTATACTTGGAAAGAGATTTCCAAAGTAGAAGACCAGGTCAAGGGCTGGGGCCTACGGTACCAACCGTTCCTCTACGTCCTTCCAGAGGCATTCGGAGAGTTCCCAGCCGGCACGGTCTTGCTTTCCGGAAGTGCGATCCCCACCGATCTCAGCCAGACGCAGATTGAGCTTTATGCCAGCCGCGACGGCGGAGTCACGTGGAAGTTCGTCTCCCATGTCGCAGCTGGTGGTCGCGCCGTCCCCAACAATGGCCTGACTCCTGTCTGGGAGCCATTCCTCATGCTCCACAAGAAGAAGCTCATCAACTACTACTCCGACCAGCGCGACAATGCCACATACGGTCAGAAGATGGTTCACCAGACCACCACGGACGGCAAGACTTGGGGTCCTGTTGTGGACGACGTCAAATATCCCACATATACCGACCGTCCTGGAATGCCTACTGTTGCAAAGTTGCCAAATGGTAAATTCATCATGGCGTACGAGTACGGCGGCGGACCAGCTATCACCACAAGCTACCAGTTCCCCGTCTACTACAAGATCGTCTCCGATCCCGAGAAGTTCGGCGCTGCAACTGGAATCTCGCTTAAGGCCTCTGACGGAACTATTCCCACTGGATCACCATACGTGGTCTGGAGCAGTGCTGGAGGAAAGAATGGCACATTGATCGTCAGCGCTCACTCCAGTGGCGATATCTATATCAATAAGGGACTCGGAGAGGGGCCATGGAAGAAGGTAAGCACGCCCGAGGGAAGCAGCTACACGAGGCATTTGAGGGTTCTCAAAGACCAATCGAAGCTGTTGATCATGGGCGGTGGCCAGCTTCCTCCCAGCACCACCAACCAGATCACCGTTTCTGTTATGGACATTAGCAAGCTATAGTCAAATGTACAATAAGTATTTAGGAGTTGCTACGCTCATAACAACTCATCTGAACATAGAGCGACACATCAATTGATAATATTAGTTGTCATCTTTACAAGAATGAACTCTTTTTCTTCCTCTTCAGACGTCGAAGTACGCAATTCTGTGGTTATCAGTGCTGAACTTGTCTCGTAGATATAGAACTTGGGCTAGGAGACCTCCGGCTATCCCTCGGCTTCCCTGACAAGCTCTTTTTAGGAATTTTAGATACGGAGTGGGCGTAATGTGGCAAAGGCTTGTTAATGGCGCTAGGTGGTTCGTGTCGTCGTGAATCTCGTCGTTATGATTGGTTGGCCGCTCGTCTTATCTCCACCGACTGATACGAAAAGATTTACGTGACGGCAATAGAAATACGCGTTCAATTCAATCGACCTCAAGGAGTTTTTCAAGGGTCAGAATAATGGGAATATGACTGCGTTTCAATCAGTATCTCATCCTCCAAGATGTCGGAGATTTCCTTACTGCGATGTTGGTTCCAGCGACTTTGGGGTGGATTACAAACGTGAATAGCTATCGCAGTAAAAAGCTTAACAACTTCAACAAGCTTATCAAGTCGCAAACTAAAACCGACGGATCATCTTCGTAGCGTGGAAAGATAATTTACTATCACAAAAAACGGGGGCACATCCAGCATTTGTACCACAACGCTCGACGCCATGTGGCTTTCATTCAGCCTTGTCCCGGTCGTATGGGACCTTTAAAGGCCCCCGCTTGCCCTGTCGAACGACCTCTTGTACACCTATGTGAATTCGTCTGCACACAAGACCTGTAAAAAAGAAGTGTGGAGCCGTATCCCTCAAGCAGCATGTCACCAACCGGCCTGGGACACGGCGATGTGGAGAAGAACCCTGTCACGTCGGGATCTTTTCTTCCAGAGGATGGTCATGCTGTCCCTGGATACACGTTTGAATATGGGAACAGCACATATGCCAGGTTGCAACGACTTGCAGGCAAGTTGCACGTCGAACAGAGAGGTATCGAAAGGGTTCCCGAAGATGAGCGAAATGACACCTCGTTATTGAACGTTGGCACTATGGTAACCATCGCGATGATTATTCGAATGCATCAACGAGTACTGATGAATTCTGTTAGTGGCTATCCTGCAATATGGTCGTCTCCTCATTTGCTTTGGGCATGCTTGCGCAGAAGCTGTTCTATCTTGGCTTCGTTGACGCCGTTCTAACATGCATCTTCTTCAACCTTCTCGGCGTAGCACCAGTGTGTTACTTCTCGACCTTTGGTCCCAGGTTTGGCCTTCGACAGGTTGTCCTGTCCCGATACTGGTTTGGCTGGTACGGCGTGAAAATCAGTATGTGATCCCCGAAAGATGTTTCTCATGTGCAGCAACTCATCGATCATAGTTGCCTTCTTCAACATGCTTGCATGTATTGGCTGGTCCAGCGTCAACTCCATTGTCGGGGGCGAACTTATTCATGCTGTCAACAACGACGTCCCAGGTTATGCCGGTATCATCATTATCGCCATATGTACGCTCATCATCACCTTCTTCGGCTACAAAGTCGTTCATGCGTACGAATACTGGTCCTGGATACCTACATTTATTGTCTTCTTGATCATCCTCGGAACCTTCGCACACTCTGGAGACTTTGTCAACATCCCCATGGGAGTTGGTCTATCAGAAATTGGATCTGTGCTTTCTTTCGGGTGTGTAATCTATGGATTTGCAACAGGTTGGGCGTGTATGGCTTCCGACTATACAGTTTACCAGCCGGCGACTCAGTCCAGGCGCAAGATCTTTGGAGCTGTCTGGCTAGGACTCATGTTCCCTTTGCTCTTCACCCAGATCCTAGGCATCGCGATCATGACCGCAACTACGATCAACGACGGCGATAACAGGTACATGCAGGGATATGAGTCCGCCAAAGTAGGAGGGCTGCTTGCTGCCGTGCTCTTCCCTCCGCTTGGCGGCTTTGGCAAATTCTGTCTTGTCATTCTGGCGCTGAGCACGATTGCGAACAATTGTCCCAATGTCTACTCTGTCGGTTTGACCTTGCAGGTTTTGGGTAGATGGACTCAAAGAATTCCCCGCTATGTTCTGACGACGATCGGCACGGCGGCTTACATTGCGATCGCGATCCCCGCGTATACGGAATTTGAAGAAGTGCTTGAGAACTTTATGAACTTCATTGGTAAGTAAAATTGGTTAGCTTCGCTCGCAGTTCATTTGCTTACCGTTCTCGAAGGGTATTGGCTCGCCATCTATGAAGGCATTGCATTCTCCGATCATTTCCTGTATAAGCGCTCCATGTCAGCTTATGACCCATCGTTATACGACCAGCCAAGCAAGCTACCCCCAGGGATTGCTGCAATCTTTGCGTTCTGTTGCGGAATTGTGGGCATGGTAATGGGTATGTCGCAGGTTTGGTTCGTGGGACCGATTGCTTTGCATGCAGGCGAGGCACCATTCGGAGGCGATGTTGGCTTTGAGTTGGGATTCGCATTTGCATTTGTTGCATATACCATCACGCGTCATTTTGAACTGAAGTACTTTGGGCGATAATTGTCGCCTAAGCACTGTTGAGCATGCAAGTAATTTACACAATGAGTTGCAAGAAGAGAGACTAATAATTGGTTTTCGTTGATGCGACTGCATCGTTGACTAGAGGCATACCGACGATTCCATGGTGGAAAACACAAACTCTCTCTCTTCTACCCTAGTTTGAATAACCCATGAATTATCATTGATATCCAAGAATGATTCTATGAGCATGTTGCTTGGCGTGAATGATAACAAGATAACGTGACTAGTTATTACGCTAACCTGTTAGGGCCCCCGCCCGATCCTTTGATTGCAACTTGGCTTCGTCATCCAGGCATCCACATTTCTCCCCCATCTTCTACAATTCTACAGTTATGTGAAGATAGGCTTCCTTCTTGCACACAGCATTGCAATGACACAAGTTGGAAAGTGTGACACATGTCGAGCTCGAAAGGTCAAGGTATGTGGCAATTCGTTGTGGCCATGTGCAACCCTGCCGCACTTTCTACCCAATTAAGATGGGGCGGATTTGCTCTAGCCTTACTGCGCGGATGCCTTAACTGATTGACTCGAATATATCTAATAATCCTTTGGCAGTGTGACGAGAAGAAACCCAAATGCGGCGCATGTCGGAAGAAAGAGCGCTCATGCACGTATACATACGGAAAAGCATCAGCACTTGTGCTGGAAACTCCTACCAAGTACTCCGGACACGGTAAAGCGAAAGTTGCGCCTCGCATAGTACCCCTCGTCGATTCCGAAAACTCAGCAGTCTTTACTCCTCAGGCCAGCTCCATTTCTTCGTCAGACGTGGAAGCGGACAGGAGCGATGTCGACGCCGCCTATCAACTTGACGGTACGTCACCGGAAACATGGGTCCTCAGCAGGCAGGGTGGACTCCAGAGGCTTTCAAGCAGCGAATCGTCTCGCAATTCTACTCCTTCTTCGTCTGGCCTGTCTTTAATTCGACCTTCATCACCCGAGATGTCTCTTGCAACGCGGTTTATCAAGATGATAGGGCCGGAATCGCAAGGCAACCCCTTCCTGATCCACGGAACATGGGTGAACTCAATCCCAACAAGGATTGGATGCAGTCCAGCGTTCGATACTGCTGTCAAGTATGCCATTGATAGCTTCGCATTCTTCTCAGATCCATCTTTTTCGAAACAGCGCATTGCACGGCAGTCTAAAGGAGTTGCATTAAAGGCGCTAAGGGACGGTCTAGCTCAGGTCAAGGGCAATGTTCCGTTCGACATACTCCTTGCGATCAAGATGCACTTCAATGGTGAAATTCTCATGGGGGTCGAGAATTGGGTCAACTATACTACTCATTCAATGGCACTGTCTGAGATATTGAAATCGAGGTCAACGCCGGAGATCGCCGACGAAGACTACTGGAGCTTCATCGACAACACATACATGGACGAGATTGCCGAGGCTGCCTTTTCGGGACGGCAGTCAAAATTTGAGAATGATTTCTACCTCAACGTCACCCGTTCTCCGCCAACTGGCTCTAGTCATACACAGTCATTGCGATATCGAGTTGCAATGACTCTCATGCATTCCTTGATTCAAGTTCCTCGTATGATCAAGCTTGTCCGGGATGCCAAACGGGATCCGGACGATGTTGAGGCTCTTGCAAAAGCAGTTTCCTCTATAGAATCGCTTTGGCAGATTATGCCTACGACTCTCTTGGAAGAATACTACCAGGCTGTCACTTCCAAGCTACCCATTTCCCCCGGACCGGAGCTCCAAGGGTTCATTGACGATACCCTATACTTCGAGTCTGTTGAAAGCGTCATTCTGCTGAACAGATTCTGGACTCTTCAAAACTATCTCTGCGGCGTTACTTACACCCTCTACGATTCATTTCCCTTGCAATCAGCTGCGAGCGCTTTACCTAGCATGGAGACTGTAGAACGCGTAGACATAGCTGCCGCATCCAACGTGCTTCGATCTGTACCATATGCCCTATCAATATCTTCGACACTTCACCTAGTCCCGCTTCGCATCCTTACTCCAATGCAAACCTCTATCGGAGCGTGGTACCGAAAACTTCGGCGATTGAGAATCCTACAGCTTTTCCACGAGCAAGGCTCACCCGAGCATGACCAAATCCAAGCAGACATCAAGCTTTATGAAACGGCGCAGGACCACATCGTCCGTGAAAGTAACAAGATCCATCTACTGTGGCGTGCCGATATAGTAACAATGCCTTTGTTCGCGTTCGCTTGCGAGATTCTCGAAGGCGGGCATATCCCAGAGGACCTACTCCAATGGATGCAGGAGCTTCATGCCGGCAAGGACGTCCCGAGACTCGTAGTCAAGATCAATAAGCAAATGGTAGAGATCGCTATGAGTCGCGATCCCATCACCGGAGCCAGTATGCCGATGAAGGTTGTCACTGACGAAGAATGGGATGAGCAGAGACAGCCCAAGATGCATGAAAATCTCAAAATTCTGCAGGTTCAAAATGTCTGAAATAGAGGTTCCTCTCCAGACCTACACTTTCCTCTTCATCACATCATTGTAAATGCACGAGACTATTCCTCTCCATCAGGCATACACCAACAAAAGCGCGCAACTTCAGGAGGTGGAGACCTCAATGTCATTTCATTTAGATATGAACAATCATAGTTTAATATAGCGTTAATAGCTAAAGTCGCAATGTTACATTTTAAACGGTCGCATTTCAACAGTTGATACTGTCGCGTATAGACGCCTCTGTAGTAGGGAGCATCACAGGCACGACCCGCAATCGGTGAATAGGTAGGAAAGGTAGATATTTGACCTGTCGATAGGCCTCTGGAGGTAGGTAGATGATGCCTCGATCCGTCTCGGCAGCCCTGATCGATCTATCATCTATCTATGCCCTGCCTTGTGCCTTTCCCTATGCAAGTGATCCCCGAATAGCCTCATCTATGATGCTACACCACAATACTACTTCCGTCGCATTCTTTTCCCTCCTCCCTCATCGGCGATTTGATTACGGGTCCTACAGCCCCAGGATAAACTCCTGCCAACTGCATCTCTGACACCCGTGATGATCGCATAACGTGCATGTCCTCTCCAGCTGCGGATACGGACTAGGTCTTGAGATCACGGCGTGGTATTTGTAGCAATGGCAACAGCGCCAGCGAAAGTACCTCTTGTACGTTGTGTTTGTTCCTGGGCTATGCGGCATTTTCTCGAAGATCGTTGAGATTTTGGGTTGTGAAGACTGTATCTGTATGAACTGAGTGTGAAAGACGAAGGATTGTGTGAGGGGAGAACTAGAATAGATGTGATTTTGTAATGCTTGGGCTTGAAGGGAAAGCAGTATGCATGGTGGTTATTGAATCATTGGCCTGCGCGCGTTGGCAAGCTGTGACGTTTCTGTGATTGGGTGAATCACCGACACACCATGATTATTATCTTTGTTTGGAGAGTGAATGGGCTGAGTTCGTGAAAAGTGGCTCCTTTGTTGTGACAATGGGCATTGATACAGGTTCGTATTGTATCCAAAGTTTTCACTGTCACTGTCAGTAACGGGGTACATGTGATTGTGTATTAATTCAAATCCCAGAACAAGTAACAACTCTCTTTTATGATAGGGTGATATAGGTGCTATTATTATCTATTCACTATTCGTCACGTATCGCGATTATGGCTCTAGCATCCACTTCACGGCGCCAACGACGTCCTTCTCCCAGTCCCTACTAACTTCCAGATCCGGACACGTCGTCCAGAAGCCGTGTGGCAGACCAGGGTACACATCCTCTTTCACCTCCAAGCCGTCCTCCCTCAAGATCTTTCCCAGAAGCAACTCCTCATCGCGTCTCGGGTCCCAACCACAAACCGAGAAATAAGCCTTCTTCGCAATGCCCTTCCAGGAATCGTTAAGCAGCGGCGAGTAGCGTATGTCGTCCTTCGGCGCGCCATACTTCTTCCAGAAATACTCGATAGATGCTTTCGTGAGGCCAGGGGCGTCGTCGATCTCGTCGACACTCAGAATCTGCGAGCGGTACCTCTCGGGTCGGACATCTGGATGGCAGAAGGACGAAGCCAAGAGAACCAGACCGGTGATGGGCGGCGACATCTGTTTCGAAAGATACCTCTGTGCAAGCCCGGCGGTGAAATTACCACCCGCAGACGTGCCGCCGACGAGGAACCCCTTGGTGAGGTCTACGTCGAGCTTCTCAGCAGCTTCGGGCGTACTCGTCCACGACAAAACATCCCAGCAGTCTTCGAAGCCGAATGGGAAGCTGTGCTCAGGTGCAAGACGGTACTCGACGTTGAGAACATGCAGATCAATCGACTTCGCCCAGGCTCGGCAGGTAGGATCATCTGTTTCTAAGGATCCCGTGACGAAGCCTCCGCCATGCATGTAGAGGAATAGTGGGAGCTTGTTTCCTGCACCAATTCTGCGATAGGAGCGGATGCGGATATCGTATCCATCGCGAGCTTTGATGTCGAATTCAGAAATGTCGAGGGCGGGATCCGGTATTATTTGCTTGCGCTCCCTGCTCATACGATTGATACGTGTACCGGGAGGCAAATTCTTGGGGAACTGTAGCGGCACGTGTGATCAGCGTTGTTCAAGAGCTGTTGGGATTGGTGATAGATTGCAGAGGTGATCTAATGATGTACCGCGCGGGGTAGTTTCATTGGCTAGTGCGGCAACAGAACCCAGCGTTAGAGGAGATACCTCGTAGCAGGTATGGTAGATATTATCGGAATTGTGCGTCCCATGTAGCAATAGAGGGTAATGCAGGGGAAGGTCGCCTAGTCATAGGAGCAACTTACTTCAAGCCATTGAGGATGCGGCTTTCTTAGGTGTCGATATTCTGCCATTTCTGCTTTACTGGGCTGTGGAATGAATGCTGTGCTGAGGTTCGGGGAAGATACCTCCGATTCTTATAGGTCAGACCGCCTCGAAACGCCATGTCGGCTTTTTACCAAATGTTAGCGGGTCAAATACCAGTTTTTTCACTGGCCGCAACTAGTTGCAGAGAAACCCACAAGTCGACCTCGTATTTACTGCCACTTGATGAGTTATGACGGCCAAGGAGCGCTATACGAGCAGAATTTTTATCTAATCTAATCAATCAGGGTAGTGGCTCTGCAATGATCAACTGTTATGAGACCACATTGGGCATGCGTGCGCCTTGGCGATTATATGCTCATGACAATCATCGTGACAGTGGTTTTGAGATTGACAATGCTAGCATCCCCATATCTGCACTGAGTATTCCGACGCATGTGCGCCGCCAATATCTGGGGTATCTGGTGGACGATCAGCCCTGAAGTGGAAATGAATATATGTGGTAGTCAGTATGTCAAATAGCGATGGTTTGAATCTCCTGGCTTTATTATTGCTGAAACGAGATGACAGACAAGACACTGAATACTGCCCCGACTGACCAAGCTATTGCTGCCGCACCGGCAGTACAGCTTGACGGAAAGAATACAATCATACGCTCAACTAGCCCCGACTATGATGACCCTGAGAAGCCCATACCGAGAGAGTCGACAACACCTGGAGTTGCAAAGGTCGAGCGATTTAGCCATGTGCTGTATCAATCCGGAAGGTCAGGCCGCCTGTTGCTCTATGTCCTTGCCGCATCGATTGGCTTGACTATGTTTGCATATGCACTTGACCAGGGAATCACGTCCAACTTCACCATCATCGCCGCATCCTCCTTCAACCATCACGCTGAAATCAGTACCGTCAGCACGGCTGCAGCCATCATTCGCGCAATCTCAAAGCCTTTCCTTAGCAAGCTTTCTGATATCACGTCTCGCCCGACTTGTTATGTCCTCGTCCTGGTCTTCTACATCATCGGATTCGTTGTTGCTGCAACCTGCCATGATATTGCTGCTTACACGGTTGGGATAGCATTCACGTCCTTCGGCAAATCTGGTCTTGATCTGCTCGGCGACATCATCGTAGCCGACCTTACGCCCCTCGAATGGCGAGCCTTCTGGTCTGCACTCCTCAGTGCCCCGTTCCTCGTCACCACCTTCGTCAATGGGTTTATCGCCGATGCCATGATCCCCGATAAATGGCGCTGGGGTCTGGGAATGTTCGCCATCATGATGCCGGTGCTCTTGATCCCCGCCATCCTGACTTTGTATGGTGTTCAGCGTCGTGCCGACAAGCTTGGGGTGATCAGCTTCGGTGAAGCCGGGATGGCAAGGAGGCAGGGTCTTAAGGTCAAGGGAGCCAGACACTGGATGGCGTTGGGATGGCAGGGCATCATCGACATCGATCTCGCTGGCTTATTCCTCCTAGGAATAGGCTTCGCATTGATACTCCTCACATTCAACCTCGTCAAGTCTGCCGACGGTGGCTGGAATAATCCGTCCATGCTCGCCATGATCGTCTGCGGTTTCATTATCCTTGTGATATTCGCAGCATACGAGTACTTCGTCGCCCCGAAGCCTGTCATGACCAAAAACATCTTTAACAACCGCGCCTTCATGTGCGCTCTCGCTGCTGATTCCATCGGTATGCTAGCCAGCTCGATACGCGGACTGTACCTCTCGTCGTACATCTACGTCATCAAAGACTGGTCAAACTATGCCTGGACCGTTTTCATGGCAGCCACGACCCTCACGCTCTGCTTCCTCGGCCCAATCAGTGGCCTCATCCATCGCACTACCCATCGCTACAAGACCCTGATGGTCGCTGGATCTGTCCTGAAGTTTCTCGGATACGCAATCGTGATGACAACTGACGTGCGAAGCACCCAAAACACCGTCGCGCTCGTTTTGTCTCAGATCCTCGTCGGCTGCAACTCCTTCCAAGTCATCGGCGCGCGTGTCGGTTCGCAGGCCTCTGTCCCTCACGAGGACCTGTCTTCTGTAATTGCCATCCTCTCCCTCTGGAGCACACTAGGCTCCTCGGTCGGATACTCGATTGCTGGATCGATCTGGACCACCCACATGATATCGAATATGCGCGATGAGTTACCCAACGTCCCCGAGAAGACGATTCAAAGTCTTTACGGTAGCATCAAGACTCTGCGTACCAAGTACCGCTTCGACGACCCTATCCGTCAAGGCGCCATCAGGGCATACACTCGAACAAACGGTGTCCTGTTCGTCACAGCGCTTGTACTGAATATCATTCCCATTATTGCGTCTCTCCTTATGCCTAGTAGGACTCCCGACGGAATAAAGCACCTGGCATGTATGCTAACAATCGATAGATTACTACCTCGGAAAGCAACAAAATGCAATCACAAACACCGATATGGCTGGACAGCCAGTTGAGATCAAGGAGAGAGATGATAATAAGGAGTTGCATGGCTTTTTTGCTAAGGCGAAGCGCCTCTACTACAAGGAGACTTGAGAGGTATGTGGAAAATGTGGCGCTGATATGCCTAAAGTTGGCGAAGTAGTTGCAGAGTGTTCCATGCCGCTTTGTTGTGATGTGCTGTTGATCAATTCGCATTGTTGAAGGGTGGTTTACTAACAAGACGGTTCTGATCTGTCGATTTTGTGACACTACACTGTTCCCTTCAGCTGCTCTGCAAGACATGATGTTTAAGTAGTATTGCACAGTCTTGAATACTTGCAACGCCACTACAATTATGTATGACTCAACGCTAATCTGATTTGATTAGCCATTATATCTTCAATGCTTATAAAAGTTGCGAAATTTCAATTCACAGATGTCAAACCAGCCTACAGATCTAAAATGCGGAAGTGCCAAGTAAAATGCTCACGTGATCTCGTGATCGGGTCGCGACAGCCATAAGCGTTTGTAGATCAAGGTCAAAAACACCATCACATAGGTCCTCGAATCTTTGGCTAATCGTAATATCATTCTAGTCGTAATGGATCATAACCGAAAATATCATGTTCGTTTCAGGGTATCGCGTTGTAAGAATCAAGCATACCAAAAGTGGCATGCGCCTCAAAAATGACTTTTCCGTGCGCCGCCTCGTCCTTTTCCTTCTCTGTTGATGCAGCAAATGCTCATTTCCTGGCACCAACGTTGTACCATCCAAGGTTCTAGCTCTTTCTCTACAGCGAGGGCATGATCTTCCTCATTTTCCACGACCAAGGGCTTCTCTTTCTGGAGTTTCCTCTGCTTATTGAAACTTTTGATTTGTTTCTGGGTAGCTCTTCTCCACACTCGTATGCTGGTCGATGTGTTGAAGTACTCTGTCAAATCTTCCGCGATGATCGGGTCATACATTAGAATCCTTTCATACCAGGACGGCTCTAGGGGATTCATAGATGGACGAAGTGCACGGATAGTGGAAGTCATCTGCTTGAATACGCTAGTCTTGATGGCGTTCCATTGGAGATGTACTATCGGCACCATGCTAACAGGAATGACAGTGTCATCAACATTCTCTTTCTCAGCTGCAGGCTCGTGGCCTGGAAGTGACAATGGCACTAGGGCTAAGGGAGGTGATTTGATGAATTTTGAGTTCCGGGGCGGGGTTGGACTCAAAGCTTCATCATCTTCGGAATCAAGTATTTCTTCGATATTTGCGAATCGCCCTGTCGGCCTAGGCGGCGTGCGCGGGTTGGTAATATCGTTTTCTGGTCGTAATTCAGGGTTAAGAGTGGGCACTTTTGAGACGGGGAAAGCGGAATGCGATTTTGGTGGACGGCCTCGACCTCTTCTTGGAGATATGAGAGTGCCCTTCAGTGGTGGATCTGATGAAGGCGGGCTCCACCTCTGCGGTTGCGTAGATAGAGGTATATCATCAATGTCTGGGAAGTCGGAGCTAATATCGCAAATGGGTATTGGTGCAGGTGTATGACCTTCAATGTTTGGTAGTATTTCTTCGGCATCGGTGTACGCTAGTTCTCTACGTTCTTCCAGCACTGTCGCAGGGGGCGTCGGAAGATCAGACGATATATGGATGATCTCTTCACGATCGTCTCCTACATCTATCGTATCGGTGATGTGCATTTCGTCAGGGTGGTCATCAACGGTATCGTCCATAAGAAGGGGTAAGTCTTGAGTGCGGTCTGGTTCTGGAATGTATATTTCCTCCTGCTGCTCAAGCATCTGGCCACATTCATCCCTTGCGCTTGCGGCCCAGAGGCCACGCTTACCATCTTGCTTTTGCATCCTTGACATGATGCCCTTAGAGGCAGGCGATTGGGCGTACAATAGGTTTCCGGAGAACGGAATCAAGTCGTGCTCGGATTCCCGAATGGCTTGTTGTATTTGGCGAACTGTGGATGGAGATTCTTCGAGCGCAAGCTGACTTGATGTGCCAAAGAGAACATCTTGTTTTTTAAATTTTGACATTGCCGACGACGGACTCAGGAGTTTATCTGCCATCATCTTCGGTGGCACTGGCGGCTTACTGGAACCATTCTGTGATTTCGAGCTTTTCTTCTTCGCTGCTGCTTTTGAAGTCGGTGGCTTACGTGTTGACTTGTTCGTGGCTGTTCCCATTTGACGATTTGATACATCATTCAAGGGAATCTTGACTGTATTTCCACGTGATTCAAAGAACGCCTTCGGCTCTAGGTTCGAGATCGGATCGGCCTCTTGAGCTGCATATTGGCCTGTTACAAGATCTGTTATTGTCCTCGGCTTCTTCTTTGGCGCTTTCTTCACGGGAGAAGAGTCTCGGGAGGCAGGCTGATTGTTCGGGCCTTCGACAAGCTGGGATCATCAGTATATGAACTGTGGTCTTGTGCGCTTGCATGAACTCACCTCAACTCTTCGTTTCCTTGTCGAAGTAGTGCTCTTCGAGTTCTTCGAGGTACCATCGGCAGTGTCCCGTGCCTCTAAAGTCTCAACCGCAAAGCTCGTGAGCATACTGCTAAATGAATTCGTTTGCACCGGCAGGCCACTCTCCACCCTGATACTGGGCTCGTTGCAATGATCCTGGATCTCAGGGATGGTATCCTTCACAGGTGTCCAATCCCGCCGGCGCGCTACGGCCTCTTCGACCTCCAGGTTCTCATTGCAGTTGTTTGTTGCCTGCAATGGCGGCGCCTCTTGCACGGCAGAGGCTACCCCAAGAGGCTCTTTCCCATCGCAAGACAACCCCACCTGTTGAACCAGATTACCAAAATGTTCAGACACCACGCTTCCCTTCTGAGTTTTTACTGATTTGCGGCTTCTTTTGGCTTTGTCTGTCTTTGTACCCGCCTCATTTTCCCCAACATTGTCTGCATTCGGTTCTTTTACTGCGCGAGGCTTGCGAGGCTTGGTGGGTTTGGCTTTCGGTGCAGGTGCTGCACATTCGACTGGGGCGCTGTCTGTGATTGAGGGCTCAACAATAGGAAAATGAGAAGAAGTGGTGGGTGCTGCAGGCAGGCCGTCCCTATTGGTTTCCTTGACCTTGCGAGTCCTGCCTTTCCTAGGCTTGGGTTCAATGCTGTCGGCATCGGTTTTGGCCTTCGCTTTCGCTTTCGCTTTGGAGGGCTGTTTCCTGGGCCTCGTAGGCTTTTGATCGTCTTCCTGGTATTTTGCACGGCGCGATGTTGCCGCTGGTGGTGGAGGGGAATCTTCAGTGGTGAGGTCAAAATGGTGCGACCGGAACAGACTCCCAGCGGTGGCAAACCCCGTAACCGCACCCTCAGGAATGAGAGCTGCGCGAGATCCCGATCTTAACGCGCCGGATAGCTGTGCCATGCTACTTGCATTTGTAGGGAGTAAAGGAGGGGATGGGGCGGGCAAGGCGACGCGTTGCTGGTTGCTTGGAGGAGTCGATCGTTGCCGTACATCATTGCTAGTGGTCGGCGGGGATGATGACAGGAGGACAAGGTCGAACGTAGCCATCGTGGCACCACATGACCTGCAGATAAATTTGATTGCAATTGTGCAGGAGCGAGGAGCCGTTGCCGCGGTCGTACACGTACAGTAGAGGAGGTAGTAGACAGAGCAGTCGTTGTTGACGATGGCGGAGGTGCAATTGGATCGGAGGTGGTCAGCGCATCATCATAGCGTGTGGAGCCTTTCAGAACCTTGATCAAACGTCCACACTCAAGATGAACGTCCAACAAGCTCAACTGTTCTACACTATGGCGCTTTCCTAGAATTTTCTTATTCTGCTGAGGATTTATACGGACCTCAAACATACGTGATTTGTAATTTGAAGAATAATTCACTCGTTTACAGATAAATGCACGATTTAGGCAACCTGTTTTGGCCCGACCGGGGGGTCGCTCTGTTGGACGAATAGCCCAATTTTCAACAGTCGCATAATTCAGCAAGTCGATCATTAATGGAAAATAATCTGAAGAGAGACATTTTAAAAGCCGCGATAGAGCCTTCAATTATGACTATTTATTGATTGAAACTATCCGACGTGATTGATATCGCGACAAAATACTGGAGTTATATCTTTGTGATCGCCGCTTCATCCTGGAAACTCCACTGCACCAACACTTCTACACATTTACCCTTGTGTTCCGGATTGTACCTACTAGTTGTATTTCTTGCATCATTATGCCTTCTTATAAGATATTTTTACACTTAGATCCTCTCCACTCATAGGCATCAAGATCCCTTTGGTAGGTACTTTCTCATCTGTTGTAGGCACCCTGCATTCGCTTACAACTTCTACATTATACGCACCAAGCAGTTCTCCAACAAAGGCCGCAAATTCCACCCTTGCGAGCACCCGCCCAGGACAATAACTGCTACCACCGCTGAAGGATTTGAAGTTCTGCGAGCTTGAGAGCTTTTTATCGTTGAAGAATCGATCTGGATTGAACAAATTGACGTCGGATCCAAAAACCTCCGCATCGTAGTGCAAGGGACGGAAAGGAATGAAGACAACGGACTTGGCAGGAATGATGCGCTTTCCGATTGCGACTGGGGCGAGAGTAAGCCTTATAGAGGATGAGGCGCTGTAGTAACGAAGAGATTCGTGCAACAGAGCTGCTATTCGGGGTGTTTCGTTTCGAAGGTGGCTAAGATAGGATTCACTAAGACGAGGCGAGTCAATGAGCTGCCGGGCCTCAAAGACTTCGGATTGAATATCATCTCGGATAGAAGAGTTGGTGAGAAGGTGGGCAGTAGCCCAATATGCAGCTTTGTATGTGTTCGTATTGATACTTCGATATTGTAATCAGCTTGAATGCTGGGATGATCTTATAGCTGGGGCCAGTGATACTTACATGAAGACCAATAGATGCATAATCCTAGCCAAATCCTCAACTGGAGTTCCGATTGCCAATTGTGTTTTCTCTATCGTATCTACCAAATACGCCAAGCCGACCCTCTCTTCGCGGGGCAATTTGAGCCACTTCTCGAGAGAGTCTTCCACTCTCTGCTTATTTGCAAACATCTTGTGTGACAATGGCCACTTGAACCATAGCTTCCAACTTTCGTCGTCAAACGCGATGAACTTGGCTACAATATCGGGATCGACCTCTAGGAGCTTCTCTCCAAAGAAGGTGCGTAGACCCGCGCTCAGGAAAACTCGCTGCATGAGTGGAAGTAGCTTCAGCACTCCATCTCTTTTGTCTGCAAGAGCAACTTCCTTGGCCAAATCGTCGGCTATCAAGCGTGAGAACTTTGCTTCAATAGCCCCGTATTCCTTTCCCGCGACCTGTGTTCTCCAGAAATCCATGCTCAAGTCGCCCAAGCTTTTCAGACCAGGGTTTGGAACTCCAGCGATAGTCTGTACTCGATCCTCCTCTTTGGACCTAGGCAATGCCCAAGCAATTCGCATCGTCGTTTCGGAGATGCGGAAAGTTCGCTGCAGCTGCTCCACGATTTTGATGAATGTCATTGTGGTTGTGTTCCTGTACACTGTAGTGCTGTCGTCTGGATGCAAGATGAAGTACATTTTACGATCTTTGAGTTGAAGCGCAAAGGGTTCACATGAACCATTGAGGTATGCCCTGAATGCTTTTGTGAGGCTACAGAGTTCTCATTATATACGCATTGTGGGTTTCAGCATACTTTGCCTGCATAACAACATCATGCCCGCTCCTCACATATGCAAATGTATGGCCAAAGTATGGGATCCAGTATGGGAGCTCCCTGGGCTCCTCTGGATATAAAAGTGGTCGTATCGTGAACTTCCATACACGGAAAGCAACGAGTGAAAGGAATATTGATGCCGCTACATATGCAAAGTGCGGTGGAATTGAACCCACTTGAGCTTGCAAAGTAGCACTAACAATCGAGAGAACCATCATAGAGGCGCGAGTATGTCTTAGATAGAGCAAATATTCAATGTCGTCGAGTACTGCTCGAAACTACCAAGTTTTACAAGGCGCTGAGGCTTGCAGGCGCTGCCATGAAGTTGCAAAGGGTGTAATTGTGCGGAAACAGTGCAACGTCTATGCATTGCGGGGACGAAACGCCACTGCCGTTGATGCCTCCTAGTGACCAAGTTCCTCGGTGTCCGAAGCAGTCTACTGTGCCACAGGGACACATGAAGGACGAATCCTGTAATAAACGATCCATTATTCATCTAAATCTAGGCAAAAAGAGTAGTACGTGATCTTAGCAAAGATAGTGCAGGGTTTCCTACACGCTTTCCGGTCCGTAAGTGGGTCGTCGCAATTCGCTCATATTAGGCCAAGGTATACAGTGTAAGATATACTCTGTGTCACTTCCCACTTTTGTAACGGACGGCCTCTCGCCATTGTTAGCATGCGCTCTTGTGTCACTTGCTACTATTGATGTTCTAGCCAGGGATGTCTGGAGACTTTGAAAGAAAGTGTCTGGTTCGGTCTAAATTACAGTCTCGACCGCACTGGATTCTGTTTCTTTGGCATCCAAATGTCCCTCAGCGCCTTGACGTACTCCTTTTCATGTTTCCCCAAATGGTTACAATGTCCAGTGTCATCCCACAGGTGCAGATCCACACTCCATCCTCGCCACTTTGCCTCTTCAGAATGGCTCACAATATTCTCAAAAGGCGTATTTTGATCCGCTTTACTAGCGAAGTAGCAGATCCGCTTAGTCGATAAGTTGTCAGGTCCGCCGACTTTGACCAGCATTTCATCGAAGAAAGATTGGCGTATAGCAGTTTCCGGCCTTGGGTACCTGCCCAGCGCTATAGATATCTCTAGAACTAGCAAGGCATAGCCGGCGGCTACAGGGCCGAGAAGTCTGAAGATCGCGTTGTTCGGTATACTTTGTTGGAAGCCACGATAGTTCTGCTCATATCCGCCAGTAGCCAGGGCCGAATCAATGACGAGACCGCAAAGTGGCATAGGGGTGCCTGTTTCTGACTTCCATAATTTCAGAAGCTGGAGGACATTGTTTGCACCACCATTTGAGAAGACGTGTAATAGTACATGGGGGGTGACTAAGGAGTGTCCGGAATTAGAAAGCGTTTCAGATTCGCAGTCCTCCAAGACTTGGGCAATGGGATTAATTGCAGGCCGAATATTTCGTGTTTGAATAGGATACGGTGCCAGAAAACTATCGAGAGGTGCCTGTATCAATAGTATTCTTGCTTTAGGAGCCAGGACTCTGTATAGGGACGTATATTTCGCGATGTGTTTTGCTGTGCCGCTCAGCCATGTAGCAAGAATGACCAGCTCGCCCTTCGAGGGTTCTAGAGGCTCGTAGAGAGAGATGGAGTGACTTAGTGACCGAAAGCTAGGATTTTCAGACATTTCTGAACGCCTGGAAATATTAGAAGGCTTGTGGCAGATCGCAATATATGTCAAATTGCTATTGTAGTCGTTGTTGTTGAAAGAAGTAGTGGTGGAGGTGGTGCGAAGAGCGGAGCCAGGGAGAGATAATCAAATCAATAAGCGACGCACGTAATCTAAATAGCCGGTAGCTAACAATTGATGAATTGATTCTATTTGAGTAAGTGTAGACTTAATGCTTGTGAACCAGCCATCCAAGACATCTTTCAAGTAATCCATGCGGCTCAAATGCCCCTAGCCGATCCACCAAAGGAGCTTTGGGCGTCATCTCCCCTACTCGTGAATTGCGATGCAATGGACATATCTCTATTCACCAATTCGTCAAATTCCACATCTGTCACGACTCTTTTACCACTTCCTGAACCGAACCGCTTACTCCCGCCTCCTTCATCCGAAGAAGAGTTCTTTACCCTGTTTTCCCGTGTAGAACCAGAGTCATATGTCGAAAGCTTCCAAATCTTCCTCACGCAGCTCCTTAACTTCTCTGCCCAGGTGCGTTTCTTCATGTTACGGAATAATAGAGGTGTTGTAGGAAGACAGGCGACCAAAAACCCAGCCGTGACCTGGCAAGTACCCCAGAAACAGAGTTTCGATCCAATAAAGGTAACATCGGCCTGACTTTTGAGAAGCAGAATTTGGTAGTGAATGCGCACAGCCGAACAGATGATAGCAAATATGCCAATAGTAAACAGAGCGCTTAGACCCCACTTCTTACTTCTGTTTAGGTGCAAGCGCCAGATAATCCTTTGCGGTACTGCCCAAATGATAACATCGGATATAAAGGTAACAGTGTTACCTATCGTTAGAACGATGGGCCAATCGAGACAACGCCCAGAAGCCGTAGAATCCCATATCTTGTGACGAGGCACACATGCAAAGATCAGCATAAACACGAACATGGTGTGATAGCCCGTGTTTAGAGTGATGAGGGTGTAGCATGCCACAGAGGTGAAGCAGCGAGTACCGTCTGGAACAAAAATGCGGATATACTGCAGGAGGATATTGGCTTTGATCAATATCATCAAAATCCCGTAAATGATCCAGGCACAATTGAAGAGCTGTACATAGTTTCAGTATTATTCCCTTTCTCTTGTATTAGGCCTGGAAAATGTCATAAATAAATATCAATGAAAATTGAACGTACGAATAAATGCTTCATCAGATGAGACATATCCATATCCCACCGATGCATCCCAACAGGCAGGTTACAGATCATTACAGCGATAGTGCAAAAGGCCCCATTGTAGACAAGCCAAGCAACACTCAAGATGTAATCTTCCAACAGCATTTTCTTCACGATTCGTAGCTGAACCCATAGCTTTGCAAGAAACACTGCATTTGTAACAGTGACCACAAATATGAATAGAGGAAATGCATAGTTTCTGGTATTGTCAGGGCTCTCGAGATTAGGCACTACGCCTGGAGGGGCATGAGCAGCAGGCGAGTCTAGGAACTGCTCGCGTGTGAGAGTCATTGCAAAGCTGAGAAAGACAACAATAGATAAAGATGGGGAGCCGAAGGCAGAGCACATTCGTATTCGCAAAGTTTGAAGTCAATGAGAGCCTTTTAGTTACTTATCTGACAATGGGATCAGCAACACGGGTAATAACAGTAGCTTCTCTATGCTGTAGTACGTGAACAGCCCCACTTTGCCCTCGGAAAACAAGAATGCCTACCTGCTTCGCTGCAGTGAGGTCCATCACAAGTTTCAAGGAAAATGTACTCTATGCAGACAGGCAAGTAGCCTCTTTGCTGTTCGCGTAGGAATATCAATCAAGACTCTATCTGAGTTTCTAATCATATGGACTGTTACCTGTGATTGGTTAATGCAGACGTATTGTTGCAGTCATAAGCCGGAGTAGATGTTCTTTTAGGAACATAACCCAGTCGGTAGGATACATTAACCTTCGGACCCCGGAGGTTTCTCTTTGTGCGCATCAGCCTATAACTCATGTGCTTATCATGGCTCCTGCACGAGACAGTTTTACAACGCTACGCCGGCCTTCATTCACGGAAGATCAATCAAGGCAACCTTTATGGCAAATTTTCAGGCAAATTTTCAGGCAAACGTATGAGGCATATATTTCTATTTACGCAATAACATGAAGTCGACTGCAGGATGACAGGGATCTATGAGGAAAAGCTTCGTGCAGTGTATCCGATATCATGGGCGAGACATCATCAGGATACATGTAGTCCAACCCGGATTAAGAATACGTTAAGTCAACAGCGTCGCAACTGTACACAGCAGTGAATACTCAGAAGAGCCCCAGTATGAAATTTCTTTGCCTTCACGGGATTGGAACAAACAATGAGGTAAGCCACAAATCTTTAGCTCCAATAGGGTAGCGAGTGAAACGACGCTCGAGTATGTGCATAGCAGCTGATCAACACATCGTACAGATTTTCAAATCACAGACAGCAGCTCTGCGGTATGCGCTTGGGTCTGATCATGAAAATCCCTTCGCACAGGGCTCCGTACCTTGGGAAGTGGCACAGGAACTTCAAGGTGTAGCCCAAGGGCAACAAAAATACTTCGGCTACTTCGATCCTTCTCATGCGTCTACATATCTTGAAGCATATTATCAATTGGACGACTTTCTTAAAAGAGAGGGGCCATTCGATGGAGTATTTGCCTTCTCACAAGGTGCAGGATTGACGATAGCGTATATGGCACGCGAGCGAGTGGAGCATCCTAATTCAGTGCCAGCATTTAAGTGTGCAGTTCTACTTAGCCCAACAGCAGTGGGTGATCCATTCGAGTGGTTCAGGACGGGTGAGATGAAGCGTTTGCGGGAACTTCCTGGCAGAGTCACAGAATGGGGAGCAGGGTTATGAATGCAGTGACCGGATTCAATTTAGGGTTAGTTAATTAAATCACAGTGCGCCAATTATTTATCATTGCTGCAAATAAGAGGCAAAGTCGATGTCTTGGCATTCCGATTATGGGTGGCAATCGACAAGCCAAGAGCATGTATGAACTAGCTGAAGTTAATACAGGCCATACATGACATTCCATTTTCTTCTGACATTATCAGATAAAGGTACTAACTGGTATCAACATTGCAACTACAATCAATCGCTTTGAGCAATAATCATGACACGACGTAGCAAATGCAGTCGGGAACCAATTGCTATTGTTGGGTTTGCATTTCAATTCCCCCAGTGAGCAACCGATGAGGAAGCCCTAAGGGAGAAATTGATGAGTAAAGAATGTACATCGACGGAGTTCCCCAAGGATAGGTTGAACATCGAGGGTTTTCACGACTCAGATACCACGAGTCAAGGCACGGTAAGTACACATGAATACTATCGGTATTGATGCTAAGGAAGATTGAAGATTCGTCCAAAGCGAGCCCACGTACTGAAAAAGGATATTCGAAACTTTGACGCACAATTCTTTGGTATCCCTCCAGTGGAAACTGCTTGCTTAGACCCCCAGCAGCGTGGATTGTTGGAAACGACATACCATGCAATCGAAAACGGTACGTTGCTCGAGTTCATGAATACAAAGCGAATCTAACTGCTTGGAAGCTGGCATTCGCCGAAGTGATATCGCTGGTAGTGATACGTCTATCCATGTGGGCAACTTCTGCAATGTTTAGTGTTACTACGTATTAGCCGAAACAAGTTTTACGGCGATACATGGTCTAATCAGATCCTGAGAAATAGACTATATGACATTTGTTTTGCGAGATGAGCAGCAAATACTGATTTATAATGCTACCGGATGTTCACAGGCCCTCTTATCTGATAGGATTAGCTGGGCTTTGATCTACGAGGAACAAGCTTGACCATTGATACAGCCTGTTCAAGCGGACTCGTAGCTTTGGATTTGGCTTGTCAAGAGATCTGGTCGGGGAGATCGTCAATCGCAATTTGTGCGGGATCAAGTATCATATTTTCGCCTGAGAATCTTATTACTCTATCCAATATGAGTTTCTTGTCTCCTGATGGGAAATGCTTCAGCTTTGATCATAGAGGCAATGGGTATGCGAAAGGCGAGGGATTTGCTAGCTTGATTTTAAAGCCGATATCTAAAGCTCTTGACAACGGTGATACAATACGTTCGTTAATCCGTTCGATTGGGTCTAACCAAGACGGCCATACTGCAGGAGGAATCATCCAGCCCAGCAGGGACGCCCAGAAACATATGATTGCGGAGACGTATCACCTCGCCGGGCTCGATCTTAGCCAAACTAGGCTCTTTGAAGCTCACGGTAAATATTCCAGAACGTGATGCCTTGAAATCCGATGTTGATGAATTATAGGGACCGGTACAGCTGTTGGTGATCCAGTAGAAGCTGCCAGAGTTAGCGAGACTTTTCGAAGATTTCGAAGTCATGCAGAGCCACTTTTCGTGTAAGTGACAACGATGTTTCCCCCAAGACTTCAAGGCTCATTCGCATTTCTAGAGGCGCTGTCAAATCCAACTTCGGCCATCTTGAAGGAGTATCTGGGCTGTTTGGGGTGATAAACAGAATGCTTTCTATCGAAAGAGGAGTAATTCCACCCAACACAAACTTTGAGAAGCTCAACTCTAATATAGACGACTCTTTCTTCCATCTCAAGTTCCCTAATGAGCCGGCTCCATGGCTAGACGCAGCTTCTGGTATCCGCAGAGCATCGGTCATCGTTTGGGTATGGCGGGACGAACGCGCATGTAATTCTCGATGATGCCCGGTCGTGCATGCATTACCATAAGCTGACTGGCCATCATCGCGTCCGCAACGTCCCTGATCACCTGCAAAAGAATATAGACAAACCATCCCAAGATACCCCTCGACTGTTCGTATTTTCAGCGTTCGATGAAGTGGGAATTCAGCGACAATTATCTGTGCATCAAGAAGCTCTCGCACAGTGTGGAGACTATGTTCTTGATGACTACGCATATGCTCTGGCCTGCCGCCGAGATGTCCACACATGGAAGGCATTCTGTCTCGTGACACCCTCGCCCGATATTCAAGAAAAGCCTCCGTTAATATTATCTACAAAACCTTGTCGGAGTTCCCAGATGGATCCGACATTATGCTTCATCTTTACCGGGCAAGGCGCACAATGGCACGGCATGGGGCGACAGCTGCTTGGCTGCTCACCCTTCCGGAACAGTTTCATTAGATCGCAGCATGAATTAGAACGGCTCGGATGGACTACCTCTCTCATCAACATTCTCGATGATGCAAACTTTGCTCAGCTGTTGGATCGTGCTCAGTACAGCCAAATAACTACAACGTGCGTTCAAATTGCTCTTATCGATGTCTTCCGATGGTTACGGCTCTCCCCATCTATTGTTCTGGGCCACTCTTCAGGGGAGATTGCAGCCGCATATTGTGCTGGATATCTGGACCACAGTTCGGCTATGAGGGTTTCATATTATAGAGGACTCCTAAGTTCATCACTTGAAGATGACGCACGCAGCAGTCACTCAATGGCAGCAGTTGGCTTGTCCGTCGAGGATACCCAAGCTGAAATTGCTAAATTTGAGAAGACTCAACAAAGCGGACCGACACAGTGCTTCACTATCAGCTGCATTAATAGCCCAAATAGCGTTACAGTTGCTGGCCCGCTAGATGCACTCAAAGATTTCACCAAATACCTTGTGGCTAATGGCACGTTCGCTCGGCTACTCAAGGTCAAAGTTGGCTATCACTCCCCACAGATGTGCTGCATTGCATCGGAATATGCAGAGCTGATGGGCGTTCTACGTCCGGATCCATCGTCAACCAAGGTCACAATGGTCTCTTCCGTCACAGGTTCAATCATCGATCAACATGTCGTTTGCCATGCCGCCTACTGGGTGCGGAATATGATTTCAAGGGTAAACTTTCTGGCAGCCATACAGATATGTTACCAGAAGAAAAGAACTAAAGATATGAAGAACTTAAACGGAAGTCATGCAGAAAATATTCGCGCCAATGTCTGGCTTGAGATCGGGCCTCACTCCGCCTTGCAAGGTCCCCTGAAGCAGAGCTTACATGGGATGGAGCCTCAAGCTCCGGTGAACTATACTTCAGCAATGGTTCGGAACGTATCTGCTCTCAGTAGCCTTCTCACTGCTATTGGGAGCCTGTGGCAGCAAAATGTGAACATCGACATGCAGAGAGGCGTCAGTCTATCCACTTGTGATAGCTATATTCCCGTGGTCCCACCCTCTCTCCCTGCTTATGTCTTTAATCATTCGGTGATGTATTGGGAGGAACCACGAAGTAATATTGACTTTCGTTTGCGGGAGCATCATCATCATGACTTAGTTGGTGCTCGCTTTGGTGACCTACGGAGCAAGGCGGAAGCACAGTGGAGGCTCAGAATCACAGTAAAGAGCATGCCTTGGGTACAAGATCATAAGGTCCAAGGGTCGTTAGTATACCCCGCTGCAGGATCAATTGCCATGGCTATCGAAGGTATGAAACAGCTTTTGGCGAGTTCAAAGTTGCTAGCATTGGAGTTCAAGGATATCGAGTTCCCAGCACCGATTCGTTTATCTCCCAACCACAGTACGCAAGTCCGCTTGCATTTATCTGCCAGGAGACCAAACCAACCTACAGACTTCCAGTATAACTTCCGCATTTTTCCATCCACATCCGAAGCCGACCATGAGGTACTGGCATGCTCCGGCATCGTGCGAGGAGACTTTGGTGATACATCGTCGGGTTTCAAGCAAGAACAGCAGATGCTCCGAAGCCATCGCTCGCTATTTTGAGATGCAAAGAGAAAATGCACTAGTGGTATTGTTGGCCAGCTTTACGAAAGCATGTCGAAGATTGGACTCGATTACGGCCCTGCATTTCAAACCTTGGCTGAAATTAGCTCGGGAAGTCAGGAACACGCAATTGCAACTTGTCTACCACTCCCAGCCGAGGTTTTGCGCAGCAGGCCGTCCGAATTCACAGTCCATCCAAGCAGATTGGACGGTTTGTTTCAGCTAAGCTTTGCTGCCACAGCTGGCGTCAACGATATTCGCGGTATGGTTCCGACCCGCATTAAACAATTAAATATTCCAGTCGCTGGATTTGGCCACAATGAGGATACCAAAGAGATAGCACATTGCCAAGTAACAGATACTACAGACAGGACCGCAATATTTTCAACTACGGTCTTTGATGAGGCCACCTTGGGTCTGAAAGCAAAGGTTGAAGGCTTGGAACTGACGGCTTTGTCTGGTCCATCGAAAGAGCGGAAATGTTTGGGGGATGCACCAAGTGTTTGTCATCAAGTCGAGTGGAAGCCGGATCTTGCATTGATGTCTGATGATGAGGTCTACGCGCACTGCCAACTACTAGATTCTGGACTGGACGATCTCGAATGGGTGCGAGTCTTGCATTCACTTACACAATCATACGTCAATGTTGCGCTAGATACTATGTGTATCCGGCAGGAGACTTGCGGATCAACTGCACTCTCAGCACGTATGACTGATTATGCACAGTGGTTGTCCACCAAAGTAGACAACTGCGCCAGAATCGATTCAAGCAAACTGGACGACATGATTGCAGCTCTACCATTCAACCCTGTAATAAATACGTTCGTCGTGATTGGACAGAACCTTCCAGCCATTTTATCAGGGGACATGCACGTTGATGAATTCTTACCAAAAGAATGGGATATCATTAAGCTAGTTCGAGTACTGGACACAGAGATTGGAAATTCCAAGAATCCCCTGGGAACCTATATTGACTGTTTAACACACAAAAATCCAAATCTACAGTTCTACGAGATAGGAATCCGACTTGGCAGCATTTGTACATTCATATCGGACCGCGAAGCTGATTCCGTCACCTCAGAGTGCTACGGAGGGTATACCATCGTCGACGTTGACGAACCACTCCTGGAATACATGCAAAAACAGCTACCAGAACATATGAACTTCAAGGCTGTCGATGGGAGCAAAAGTCCAAGTGCTCAAGGTTTCAATCCACAAACTTTCGATATAATTACACTCAATGCAACAACACATGATCAAAGTTACAGTGCCGACTTCATCGAGAGTATTACGACACTCCTCAAGCCAAACGGAAAATTAATCGTGCGAGAGGCACCCAACACAAGCCTTCTCTGGGGCTTTATGCTTGGTCTCTCGTCTAGATCCTTTCTTGGGGAACATCATGCCCCAAGTTTCGCCGACTCTTTATTGTCCCATTTTTCTCTTTGTCAAACCCAGCCATCCGATATTACACCTCATTGGAATGTTACTGTGTACTACAAGGACATTATCGATACCCGCGAAATGGTACCCAATGGTCTTATTATAGTGACTCATCAGGATTCGGTTCTTCAACGCGCCATTGGTACTGCGTTGTATGAGACTATTGGAACCTCAAATACGTCACGTATGTTATCTCTGTCAGACGCTGCTGAACTGCCCGACAAGAACTTTCATGATTTCATAATCACCATGGAAATGGAACAGCCTCTACTTTCCAGTATTGACAGACAGCAATTCGCTGCAATCAAAGAGATACTTCATCATGCCAAGAGTGTTATGTGGGTGAAAAGGGCTGGCGAAATACCTGATTACTCTTTGAGCGAGGGACTTCTTCGTGTCTGTCATGAAGAGAACGAGCGAATTTCATTTGTATCACTGGGGATAGAGCTCAAAGACAAATCTGCTTCCGGTATCGCACTCCGCATTCACACAGTTTACAATGAGACGCAACAACGTCTGGCGATATTCAAGGATGAATACGAGTCGGAATATCGCGAACGAAACGGGTGCCTCTTGATACCCCGAATTGTTGAAGCTAGAGAATATGACAAGCACATATTTTCAAGTATCGAAAAGCCGTTGGCGGTTCAGAGAATTGGCGACAAGAACTTGAGGCTCACCTGTAGAACTGCTGGTGCTCTGGACGCTTTAGAATTTGTCAGCGATGAATTGGAAAAAAGTGTTTTACTGGAAGATCAAGTGGAGATTGAAGTTCGAGCTATAGGAGTCAACTTCAAGGACTTGATGGGACTTCTGGGCAGGGTATCTGCAAAGAATCCTGGATCAGAATTTGCTGGAGTTATCACTGCAGTAGGGGATTCGACGCGCGGCTTCCGACCTGGCAATAGAATTGTTGCTGCTTACGTCGATGCCTATAAAACTCGTGCTCGCGTACCCTGGCAGACCGTATACCACATTCCAGACGACATGCCTTTCGAAGCTGCAGCATCAATACCTACAACCTTTCGCACAGCCTACTTCTGTCTGCAGGATCTCGCCCATTTAAAGTCCAGAGAGAGTATTCTCATACATCGCGCCTCTGGAGGTACAGGCCAGGCTGCTATACAACTAGCGCAGATGATTGGGGCCACAATCTATGTGACAGTGGGTTCTGAAGCGAAAAAGAAACTCATCATGGAACGCTACGGCATTGCGGAACGACATATCCTTCAAAGCCGTAATAAGTCATTCTACAACGCTATTAAGGACCTGACTGAAGGGCGTGGAGTAGACGTTGTTCTCAACTCACTCAGTGGTGAACTTCTTGAGGCATCCTGGGATTGCGTTGCACCATTCGGTCGATTCATTGAGATTGGACTTGGAGATGCTTATACACGACAGCAACTACCTATGTTCAATTTTTCGAAAGGGATATCCTATATCTCGTTCAATCTTACGAATTTCATGACTCCAGAGTTCTTTCCAATGCATACTCCGTTGATGAAGTCGGTGTGGGATCTCGTACTTGAGAGAAAGATTCGCCCTCCCTACCCATTACAAGTATATTCTATAGCACATATGGAGGAGGCATTCAGATTTCTGAATAGTGGAGAAAGCTCGGGCAAAATCGTGATCAGAATGGATAGGACAGCCGCTGTTCCCGTAAGTCATCATCTAGCTTCACTGTGTGCACAATTGCCCCTAACTGATTTAAGACTATCACATCATACACCCCAGCATTCAGATTCGACCCGGATTCAACATATGTGGTCACCGGGGGACTTGGTGGTATTGGTCTCAAGATTGCGCAATGGCTTTCCGGACGCGGCGCCATGAGTCTTATTCTTATAAGCCGTTCGGGCCTTTCTCCAAGCAGCAAGGCCTGGGGTGTTATCTCTGCGCTTAGATCTAATGGAACTCGTGTCGATTGTCCGGCAATGGATATAACTGACAAATCTGCCATGGAGAGATACTTCAAAAACCGGCACAACACTATGCCGCCAATCAAAGGGTGCATCCAATCGGCCATGGTGCTTCGCGATGCTACACTGGCGAACATGACAGTTGAAGATTGGCATCAAGCCCTTGCACCTAAGGTCAAAGGAACCTGGAATCTTCATGAGCTTCTACCACCTATGGACTTCTTCATCTTGCTATCGTCGTTTGTTGGTGTTGGTGGCAATCGTGGCCAAGCCAACTACGCTGCAGGCAATACGTTCGAAGATGAATTTGCGCGATGGCGCACCACTGAACATCACACAAAGACTGTCTCTCTTGACCTAGGCTTCGTTGTCGATGCAGGAGTCACGGCTGAAAACGATGCACTAGTACGTCAGTTCTTACGCCGTCAAGTCGACCGCCCGAACTACCTGGAAGAAATATTTTCACTGTTCGATCATATCTGCGATCCGAATACTCTGATCACTACCGAAAAGCAGAGCCAGATTATTACCGGAATGCAGTTGCCTTCTGCCGCTATCCTAGAGATTGGAGAGGTTCCAGCTGAATACATGATACCAATGTTCCGCATCTCCCACAAGATACAAACAGCCTCAACTGCATTTCCAACCGGCGCACAGCGCCAATCTCTGAGAGTTCTTCTCACTTCAGCAACTTCATCAGAAGAAGTAGGCACGGTCTTATCTTCAGCGTTACAAGCCAAGCTCGCCCATATTCTCGGATTACGTACTGAGGATGTAGACGTAAACAGACCTCTTAATCAATATGGTATGGATAGTCTGGTGGCAATAGAGTTCCAGAGCTGGATTCGTCGAGAGGTTGATGCTGAGATTGCGATCTTCGAGGTTTTGGGTGAGTCGACAGTAGACAGTTTGAGTAGAGTTCTCATGACGAACAGTAGATTTGCTCCTAAATCTACCTCATGACATGTTACTACTGAGAGTCGAGGGATACCAACTTTCCTATAATTGAAAATTTTGCCTAATAGGAGTATATGTTCTGTGCGAGTTGTAACAAGACAGCCTTTTAGGATCCTTATAAGAGGATCATCGCGGCGGCAAAGCCTAATGTAGTGTACTTGAATGAATTCGTTGTGAGGCTACACAAAGATCTCATAGCATCATTGCCCACGATGATAGTACGAAAGCAAATCGTAGACAAACTGAGAAGCATCCCGACCTTCCATGAAGCTGAAACTTCACTTCCACAAGTGTAGACTTTGCTACGCCCTGCTACTTCCTCACTTGTCTGGATAGGTTACATGCAGTGATGTAACACTCTATCGATGATGCGCTACTACAGACTCTTGGCCATGAGACTGTAGAGAGGGCAAGAGAGAAACACTGACTCTATCGCAACATTCGCGGTAAAGGCAGCATCGGGCAATTGCCCAGCGGCGCTATCAGTCAACACCTTCAATATCAAGCATCAGTCACATTTCCTACACAGCAAGTATGGGTTACGAGAGAAAGTAGCAACGTAAGATAGTTGTTCCTTGTGTGATTCAAGCTACACTGCGAGACTGAGATGTCTGTAGTAACAGTTGGAGTGAAACACCGGTGCGAGCACATGTTGCCGACAACCATGCAGCTTGTCTCGAAATATCTTCATGGAGCACACAATTGTAAGAACACCTGTTTCCCTTCGTCTGCTTTCGATCTATATGAACGGATTGTGAGATAGAGGCCCTCATGAGAAAATAGTGACAGAAAGACGCCATGTTGAGTTACTCTCACTACATCGAGCTTCCGCAACAGGACAGCAAGCAGCAGCATCATCTATACCTTCACTTCAAAAGACTGTCAACTTCATGTGTCAATTTCATGTGTCAAGCACATCTAGCTGTCTCTCTTCCTCAAGTACTCGCTCAAGACAAGTAAACTCAATGAAAAAAGGTCGCATTAGCCAGAGATAGTGCAATACTGGCCACACGGTGGTCTCAACGATGAGCAAGCTCAGAGCGAGGAGACCTGGTTCCAAAGATTGTGAAGGAGTATTAGCATTTTACTGCTAATACCACCTGACTGCACAAGTCAGTCAGGTGTAGCACTTAGGGGTACCAATCCCTGGGGAAAAGAAGGAAGAGTGGAGGGGCGGGCTGAGAGGCCTTTATATACCTGCGAGAGGGGACCTAGATCACAAAGTCACGTGTATCGCCCCTGCCCTCTGCGAGAGGGAACCTAGGTCGCAAATTCACGTGTGCCGCGTCTGCCTGGCCTCACGGTCTGTGCCCAGGTCCTCGTTTAGGTAAGGTGGCGCCAGGTGAGTGAATTGCTGTGATCTGGCGGACTCTTGGCAGCAAAGGTAAAGTAAAACCACGAGCAGCCCCCCACTACCTCCCTCTTTTCTCTCCTCGGTGAGTCCTTTCATTTGTTCAGGCGTTGTTTTCGTAGATAGTGCCAGGCACCACAAAGTGTGGACTTGCAATTGCACCTCCTGCATTTCTACACGGTGCTGCTCCTGTGGACCGCCCTCCACAGGGAATTTTTCGTACACACATTGAGTTCAACTCAAGGTCCCAACTTCTTTTTCTTCAATGATCAGCATGGCTTGCCAGTTGTTTGTGGAAGAAGCACTACTTGTACATGATGACACGCATTTTGAACTTTACATGCTCTGTGTGCGCAACGCCATGTAAGTGAAGGATTCGATACGGGCATTCGCACACCCTCACCCCGATCGAAAGAGTGCCGTATGTAGGGTCCTTGAATCATTTTCACCATCCTCTCTGCTTTTCATTCTACTTCTTCTTTACTTATTCCCGTCCAAGTATTGTGCTGGATATTGGAGGCTGCATTGAATCAGAGACAGTTCGAAGAATCTGGGTTGTCTCATGGTCACCCTCCAAGGTAAATCTTCAACAGTTGTGCGGAGCATACTCAAGAATTTACGCGATGTCTGGGCGCTTGTTTCGGTGGTATGCCGGTCAGTATCACAGCATGTCTCTTGTCTTGATAGACAGCAAAAGAACGTCCTATTCAGTCGTAACGCTCGTATTGCAACAGAGATTTTGGCTATCTACGCCACATGACACCTCCAAAAGACATATAATGTGATGTAGCAGAACAGGTGGGATTATTTTTGGGGATATGCACAATTTGTCCTGGAAGTGAGTGAGGCCTTTCATCGCGTAGTGCAGTTATCACGCTTTCTCCATTTCTCTTGCAACTGAATTACAGTAAATTGTGATACTAACGAGGCTTCTTATATACTAATACACACCTGCATGCAGGAGGGTCTTCTACCCTTCTGTGCATGCATGCCCCAGAACTGTTCAGATTGGTGAAACGAACAATCGTAGAGGTATACGCATAGTGTCAGCAACCATAGAATAGGAAGTCCAGATGTAGACTCACTGGTTACAATAATTGCCTCCATCCCTGTGCTGCACAACCTCCAGCGCAAGGCCTGGTCCGTCAGCCCCGCCAGTGTAGGCTAACAGGGCATCGATCATGTACGTGACTCGAATTGTCGACTCTGGTAGGCTTTATATTCTCCTGCTTCGTCGCAGTCTCTGTCGGTATGAGCGCTGTTTTCATGACTATGAGACGCCGCAGAGTGCGCATCTCAGCACAAGATGTTGATATCAGGTCAGCTTCAGGCGACGCATCGTGTATATTCAACCCCTGCTTTCCTAGCATGTCCGTGGCCCACTGCCGGATATTCTGTGTGTAATTTCGAGCGATTCGTCTCCTGCATCGATAGGCAGGTTCTGGTAGGCAGGTCTTGATGGGCGGCGAGGTTGGGAAATGCGGGGGCTTGATCTAGTAAAAGGCTGCACAACTACTGTGTAAGTTTGACGATTAGTACAGCTGAAACCTGCAAATCCTGTCTTTAGCAAATGCACGAATGTCGACACAGACAGTAAGACCAAACTGGAAAAGCATCGATTGCGGCGCAGGGCATTCAAACTGCCATGAGTTGTGCCGAGAACTGCTTGTCTTTCTCAGAGGCCAGTAGTTAGTCGCGATGAAGGCACCCACTGAGAGACAAGGGCCCTCCACAAGGCAACAAACGCTATGACTGTCTCGAAATTATCCTGGAATCCCGATGTTTCATGGTTGGTGCGCTCTGCGTGCGCCGCGCGGGCCTGTTCTTGTCGTAGATGAAATTGAATTTTTGGTCGGCAAGGGCAACGCGCAGTCGACTCCAGGGCTATGAGAGGGCCCTGATTCAATCCATTGATTTGTTTCAATGTTGCTCCATAGTTTCTGACACGATGGGGTGCTTTGAGTGTGTTGTTTTGCTTCGAAGCAAGGTGTAGGGTGTAGAGGTGATATGCGCTCTCACTTAAGCAAGCAGGGAAGATATTTTTGCTGTTCCATTGCATGCTACAGCAACGTACGCTACAAGACGCATACGTATAGTAATATCCTTTAACAGAACGTATAGTAATATTCTTACACAGATTTCAGCATTGTATTAAGTAGCAGACATAAGAGGTATACTAAATTGACATAAGATTATGAACAAAAAACACATAGTGCTGCTGTAGCATCTCTGCGCAATGCAACGTCACACATCAGTTGGAGCTTAAGTAAGAAGAAAGATGAAAGAAAAAGGCAAAAACAAAAAGAGCCCCAACCATGAATTGAACACGAGCGCCAAAAAAAGCAAAAAAGGAACTCAGCCTGTCGTCTTCGAAGTTTCTCTCTACAGCGACGCTGACGACGGTATCGACGATGATTGAAAGGAGCTCGGCACACTCACATTTCCTGACAGCTGTCTCTTCAAGAATCGCAACATAAACTAGCACATCAAACATTGACGTTCTTATCAAAGAAGGCTAGGGACTTATTGAGAGAGAATAGACATGCCTTGTTGATACCGTTGACTCTGGATGATACCCCCAATTTTACAGTTCTTCTTCCCCGCCTCAAGATGCTATAGCTTATTTAGAGATCTAGAATGAAGCTGGACCACCTCAATCTTTGTGTGATTGGAACTGCATTTCTGTGTAGCAGGCCTGAGTCTTCGACATAGCAAGTGATTAAAAGTTCCAGCCGACATCGGGAAATTACAGAGAGACTTGCAAGACTAAGATTCAAAAGGTAGTGCAAGCAATAGTATATTGTTTTGACTAGCACAGATAGTCATGCTCTTCGATTGCTACCAGAAGCTACGTGTTGCGTGACTATCTGATACCTGAATGCTTAGATCTTGTCTGCGACCTTTCAAGGGTGTATTGCAGGAATGAGCGCTGCTTGGTGTTGATGGAAATGACCCTGCTCTCATTCGAAGATCAGAAAGACGCGCAAATAAATTCATTCAATTACGAGTTCCGTTGCTAATGCCGGCAATGCAAGCAAAATGCACAACAAACCTGTTTTGTTATCAGCTACAAAGCATTTGATCATAGATGGAAGTCTTGGACAGGTACAGTCCATGCACAGGGTGATAAAGTGATATTGAAGGTAATTTAAATAAATAAATAGTTCAATTTATAGTGCTATCTGGTTCCCTTTCGGGTCTATGAACACTTCCCCTACGTTATTGTGTCTAGTAGGGCAAACGTGATGCCTCTAATAGGGGAGGTATCTAAAAACCCCTACTTCCTACGTGTCCCTGGGTGCCTTCTGCTTACGCTTCTTCCTGCTATTGTACTGTGTTGCCATGTGAGGGCTTGGCAGAGTTTAGGTTGGCGTTTCGTGGGCTTTGTGGAATGGCGCCCACTTCTCCATGTCGACTCCTTCGTCTTCCTTTGCAATGCGGAAGTATTCCAGCACGTGTGTGTCCAGG